GCCCCCGTCGGTCGACATACGAGTGTTCGAATTCTGCTCTGTGTCGCTGCCTGTCACAATCTACGACTTTGACAAATCGACGTGGCAAACGCACTTCTCTACGCACCCGTCGACGCACTCATCCTTGTAGAGTACCCGCATTCGTATACTACTAACCCACCGAGCGTATGCCGTCTCAGAAAGTCGCTTTACGACATTAAACAGGCACCCCGGCTCTGGCAGCAGTATCTACACTCACAGCTCATCACTATTGGATTTCGACAACTGCCGCATGATCATGGGATATATCTTCTAACTGACGGCAGCAACTAAATTTTACTCGTCGCCTACGTCGACGACATTCTCTACGTCAGTACTACCGATTCGCTCGCCGATACCTTCATACTGAAACTACAGAAAAATCTACAGCTTACCATCTCCAAAACAGTTTCACAGTTCCTCGGTTTGAACATTACCTGCTAACTGACATCTATTCATCTCACCGCGTCGTACGCAGCGATTCTCGCTGCCCGCTTCAGTCTTACTCCTACTGCAGTCTCTACACCGTACCGTTCCCTACCGACAGATCATAAACCGAATACTACACCGTTGAGTCTAACCGATTTACAGCTTTATCAACAGCAGTTAGGCTGTTTACTCTTCGCTGCTGTTACTTGCTGTCCAGATCTAGCCTACGCTGCTAGTCAACTCGCTCAGTTCCTACGCCGTCCTGAAGAGGAGCACCAACTTGATCTTCTCCGCGCACTTCAGTATTTCGTGACGACTCCTGACGTCGGTTTAGTCTACAACGTCGTCGACTGTAAAACACTATACCTACATGGTTTCGTCGACGCCGATCACGCTGATGACTCTACTAATCGACGGTCGCGTACTGGATTCATCTACCACCTTGAACCTATCGGGCCTATTTCTTGGAATTCGACAAAGCAGGAGCTGATTGCTCTCTCCTCTGCTGAAGCTGAATTTATCGTTGTATACACAGCAACACGCGAAGGACTTTACCTATAGGAACTATTGGAAGAAGCGAAGTTGAGGACAAGTACTCAGTTTACTCTACAGTGCGACAACCAAAGTGCAATTCGCATTGCGCACCAGCCTGGTTTCGTCAACAGGACGAAACATATTTCACTGCTTTACTTTTTCGTCAAAGATGAAGTCGAGAAGGGGAGGATGCATTTGGCCTATTGTTCGACCAACGAAATGGCTGCCGACTTCCTCATGAAGAAGCTGACACGACATAAGTTTCAGTATCGTAACAAGCTTTGCGGGATCTTCAAGAAGTGACACTATCGGACTTCCAGAAATGAAGGGGAGTGTTGTGGTATAATTCATACTTGGCATTTCTGTAAGTCGTTTATCAATAGATAGTGTCGAATCCTACTGTAGAATACAAATCCGTAGGATGACGTTAGCAAATAGCGCTCGTCATGAGGACAGGCGTTTCAGTCACGCGAACAGTCGCATCTCTTCATTATCATTTAGGGCGCATAGCGCGATAGTGACGAACAGGTACATTGGTGAATAGGTACTTTCCTAGAGCTATAAATCCTTGTTATGTCTTTTCTATTATTAACCTTAAGATTTCGACTTTGACACTAGACCTCCCACAGAATTTTGTACTCAGGTTCACTCTTACAAGACTTCTGCTATCTTACTAGTCTACCATTCCAGCAAAGATCCTATGCTAATACTTGAGGTTTTCCAAGTGTTTGTGTTTGCAGATTGTACGCATAGTTTCCTGCAATACTTGTCCAATTATTTCAGACTAGAGGGCAGAGCGAAGCACATCCAGATGCGGTACTTCCTCCTGTGTGAGCTACAGCGGCGCCGTCAGGCCCGCGTAGTACACTTGGCCTCTGGTGCCAACACAGCTGATATCTTTACTAAGGCGCTTGCGCTTAAGAATCATTATCGGCACTATGTACAGCTTGGTATAGTTCCTGTAACTCCTCACTTGCTAGGACCCTGATTGTGTACTACTCTTTATATTATCTTGACTGGCCTTGTAGCTCTTGTTCCAATGGCTGGACTAATAGTGCCTCTCAAAGAAGCTTAGGACACTAACTAAACTTAGGAACCTAGCTTAGCTAGGAAGGAAGGAAGGACGTCATGGAATGGCGTGAGGCAAGTAGATCTAGGAGTAGGCAAAAGTGACGAGAAAGAAGAGTGACGATTAGGAAGAGAGAGGAGTACAAGGAGGGGTTTGTACCCTCTACAGAAAGGTTCAGTAACAACCTACCAAGCCTATATTAAATTATAACTTATATAATTTTAACACACCCCCTAGGCTTGGTAGTGTCAAGCCCACGCACACCCCCACACCCACACCCACACCCACACCCCCTAACCCCGCACACTCTCAAGCTCGTGCTTAGCCGGGTATCTGACCCTCGTGCTAAGCGTTGACACCCCCGGGCGAGAGGCAGCCGACGGCGTTTGGGCGGCTCAGCGACAAGCAGCGGCGGAGCTCTGGCTCAAGGCGGCTGTGTCGCTGACGGCAGGCGGCGACTGCCGCGGCTGAGGGCTCTCGGCGGTGTGGCAACGTCCGGGCAGAAGACAGCAGCTGCGACAGGAGGAAGGGAAGACGCAGGGGGAAGGGAGAATGGGGGGGGGGGGGGGGGCGAGGCGAGTCTTCAGCGACGCGCCATGAGTGGCGCGGCGCTTACTGGCAGGAGGGCGGGCAGGTGGCGGTTACGACGGCGTGCTGCCCGTTGCCGCCCATCGACGCTGCCACGGCAGCATGATGACGCCGCCAGAGCGCGGCGTCGACGCTATGGCGGCACGCCGACGCTGCAACGGCAGCAAGGTGACGCTGCCACGGCAAAGCGTCGACGCCACCACGGCAGGGCGTCGAGGATGCGACGGCCGCACGACGAAGCCGCCATGACAGGCCGGCATGGCCGCCAAGGCGGAAAGGCAGTGACGAGAGAAATGCGCGGCGGAAGCGACGGCACGACAGCGCGACGCCATGGCTGGACGTCGACAGCGCCGCCACGGCTTGACGTAGACGCCGCGACAGCGCGACGCCACGGCTTGACATAGACGCCGCGGCAGCGCGACGCCACGGCAGCGCGTCGCGACGGCCGTGGCAGCATGACGCGGCCAGCGGCACGACGACGCGGCCACAGCAGCTGGACGCGGCCGCCATGGCAGTGAGAGAGAGAGAGAGTAGGTGGTCCAGCAGGGAGGACCTCCTGCTCTGATACCATGTTAGAAAGCTAGACTAGGCTAGAATGCAGTAAAGGCCGCCATGAAAGTGGCGGCGGGGTTTAGCTAGGAGAGTAGGAAAAGTGTCGAGAGAAAAGATGTTGGAGTAGTAAGAGAGGGGCATACAAGGAGGGGTTTGTACCCTCTACAGAAAGGTTCAGTAACAACCTACCAAGCCTATATAAATTATAACTTAGATAATTTTAACACACCCCCTAGGCTTGGTAGTGTCAAGCCCACACACACACCCCCACACCCCCTAACTAAGCACCCATGCCCAGCAGCAGCTGAGACACCGTCGGGACTGGTCCAGCCCCACGGCCCGGGAGACGGCTATAGCGGCAGCGGCGGCAGTGACGAGAGCGGGGTCGGCGACGGCGTGCGGCGGCAGCAGGCCAGCGGCAATAGCGGCGTCGGCGGCGGCGGCTTCAATCGTCAGAGGCTACTGCAGCGGCCTCCGCCCTCTCGGCGGCATGGCCAGGCTCCTCGGCGACGGGGACGGCCATCACGAGGCAATCGTCGACTGTGGCAAGGAAAGGGGAACGGAAGGGAAGGAAAGGGGGGGGGGGGGGGAGCGGGGCGTAGTTCCGAATCACGCCGGCGGCTGCAGAGCGGGCGGCAGGTCCGGCGGCACCACTGACGATGCGCGGCCGGCTGTCGCCCGACGACGCCGCCACGGCAGCCAAAAGACGCCGCCACAGCGCGGCGTCGATGCCGCGGCGGCGAGGCGGAGGTGCAACAGTAGCACGACTAAGCCGCCGCGGCATCTCGGAGAGGCCGCCACAGCGGCACGGAAAGGCAAGGCCGCCACGGCGGCAAGAAAACTAAAGGCCGCCATCGGCGGCACGGAACGAAGACAGGCGAAAGACAAGAACGCGGCGGAAGCGTGGGGAGCAGGCCCGTAAACGGTCACCTGCTCTGAAACCATCTCAAAGAAGCTTAGGACACTAACTAAACTTAGGAACATAGCTTAGCTAGGAAGGAAGGAAGGACGCCATGGAATAGCGTGAGGCAAGTAGATCTAGGAGTAGGCAAAAGTGACGAGAAAGAAGAGTGACGATTAGGAAGAGAGAGGAGTACAAGGAGGGGTTTGTACCCTCTACAGAAAGGTTCAGTAACAACCAACCAAGCATATATTAAATTATAACTTATATAATTTTAACAGTGCCGCCCTAAGTTACACTTGTTTAGCTTATACTCTTGCTGACTGGTCTTTATACCCTTGCCTCAGAGGTTGGACTAGTAGTGCCACCCTGAGCTGCGTGTCTCTCGCTAGGCACTGCCCCTTGTCTAGCCTAAGGGGTGTATCAACTAATACATATTTGCATATGTAACAATTATAGGCCAGAAGGGTTCGTGCTCTTGGAGAGTACAACACCCAACCATATATTCCCTTGTATCCCTCCTTTCTAGTCATTCCGTTACTCTTAGATGGAATTCCCCGCTTGTGCTATTTTAGATTGTGATTTTAAGGTTTTCTTATGAACTAGAGGTGATTTTCATTGGTTGATGGCATTCGCGAATATAGCAAAGCACATGTTTCCAGACAGGAAAAACAGTCAGATTCGAATATGCCGAAACCCAGTCCACTAAGTGCACGGTTATCACCTCCAAAACGCTAGACTATACCTTGGTTCTAGGAAGTATTATGAAATTGAGCCCAGAGCCGAATTCTTCCACTCATGTTTTATAGGGATTGCATGAAATTCCGATTATCGCGGATTTGCCATAACCTGGTGACTGTTGGGAACTGGTGACAATCTAGTGATCACCCACCAGATTCGGGAAGCCTCCAAAGTGATCATTCTTGCCTTCCATCGCCATGCCGCCCTTCCGTGGCGCTTTAGGCGCGCCAATCTCACCATCAGGGGTGGAGACGACTCGACGTGTGGCCAGAATGCCTTTTTGGACGATCCTTGTGCTTGTTATCGTTGTTGCGACTGGCTCGGATGCGACCAAGCCGAAGCCGATCAGCATTTCGCTGCGCGCTAAGTGGGAGGGAACGCCGATTCTTCTAGAGGCAGGGTAAGTCGTATAGTAATGGCAGATCCCGGTGTTTCCAGAGCCTACCGCATACTCGCGACGACAACAGCGCATGGCGATTAGTGGCTGTAGCGGGCAGCTCTCGTTATTGCGGGATTCATAACCCAAGGGGGGTGCTTGGTCGGAGGGCAAGTCCTGCTATATGAGCGGACGATTTCCTGCAACCCGCACCTGTGCCAGCCGTCTGCGGCTGCCGCGTTCTCCTTAGCATTTCGCAACACTGGTAACCAGCCTTTCGTGCGATGATTTTTTTTTCGAGCATTTCAAAAGTCGGGTGCTGCTTGCTTCGTGTATACGGCCTCTTTGGCGGATACGCGGACTCATTGCCGGATGTGCCGACTGTGTGCCTGCCTCGCTTATTCATTGCCAGATTCGCCGACTTTTACCTGAATCCGCTGATTCGTTTCCGGATTCGCCAGCAATTTGCCGGACTCGCTGGATCAATGCCGGATTTCCTGCGTCATTGCTGCAGTCCCTGATCCATTGCTTCATTTGCGGAATTATTGGACGAATGTTGCCTCATCACCCCTCCCCCCTTACCCCCCCCTTCCACCCCCCTCCCCCCCCCCTCCTCCCTCCATCCCCCACCCCGATAATGTCTCCCAGGGAGTTCTTAGCGCGCGAGGATCCTTCGCTCTACTGGAAGTTCCTCGTCGCGTGGCCCCACGCCTCACCCGATGTCAACTCCTCTGCGGCCCCCGCGTCCGCCCCACCGCCCCCGTCTGACGGCGACTGCCTGCACTCCCTGCTGCGCCTCGCCTCCTCGTTCCTCGCGCCCCCTCTGGCGCCGCTGCTGCGCCTGGCGCTCGCCATGCGCTCGCTGTCCCCCGCGCTCCTCCTGCACCGCCAGCTCGCCCGCCTCTCGCTCTCCCGCGCCGGGCTTCTGCCCTCACACGGCGCCCAGGGGGGGGCTGCTGGAGAAGAGCAAGGGGGGTGGAGCGCAGGGGATGGGGATGGGGGTGAGCGGTGGAGGGTGAGTGAGAACCCAGCTGCCCCTAAGGGACACTGCTGCTGGGTGGAGCTGCGAGGGAAGGTGCTTCTGGGGGAGGCGGATGTGGTGGCGGCAGTGGCAGCAGTGCAGGCAGAGGCAAGGTGAGGATGCATGCTAGCCGTGACTGTACAGTGGCGTGTATGTGTCATGGCCGACACCTACCTTTTCCAGCTCTACTTCCCTTGTGCATCTCCCTCCCTTACTATCCATCCTTGCATTCGTCCTTCCCAGTCTCAGCATCCCTCTCGTATGTGCATCCGGCTAGCGTCAGCACTCAGTATCTGTTCAGCATCGCCATCACTCTCACTCCAGCACCGTCTCCCTCAACCAAGTCCTCCTCCTCACTCCCGGTGCTATCCTTGTCCCAATGTCCCAGCCCCCCTGCCTCCTCCCCATCAGCAGAATACGAATCCCTGGTGCACCCCTTCGACCACGTGTACCCCTCTGCCTCCTCCTCCTCCTCCTCCTCGCACCACGCCCCACCGCCCGCCTTCCTCTATGCCAGCCCCGGCGCTGCCTGCTTTGACGCCCTGCTGCCCCTGCTCGCCGCTGCTGCTGACCAGGTAACGCTGCTGTGGGGCCTGTGCTGCGAGTATGCCGTCTTTCAGTGCTGGTTGGTAGTTCAGTGTTTTCCAGGGCGTTCCTCGCTTGTCTCTCTCATCTCCCCCTCGCATCCCTCGCCATGCCAATCCCTCCCCGTCCCTTTCATCCATCTCTCCCTTCGTGTGGAACCCATTCCACTCAACCACCTCTGCCTGCCCTCCCTGCCCCCCCTCCTCCCTCCGTGCCGCAGGGCGCAATCCGCCTGGTGCTGCGGCCGGTGCTGCCAGGGGGCTGTGAGGCCCAGGTGGGGCGCTGTGCGGCGGTGGGGGCGGGCGGGCGAGTGAGTCTGGGCGGGTACGGCGTGGAGCTGGCGCTGAAGAACATGGAGTACAAGGCGCTGGACGACAGCCAGGTCAAGAAAGGTACAAGGCGCTGGACGACAGCCAGGTCAAGAAAGGTACAAGGCGCTGGGCGACAGCCAGGTCAAGAAAGGTACAAGGCGCTGGGCGACAGCCAGGTCAAGAAAGGTACAAGGCGACAGCCAGGTCAAGAAAGGTACAAGGCGCTGGGCGACAGCCAGGTCAAGAAAGGTACAAGGCGCTGGACGACAGCCAGGTCAAGAAAGGTGCAAGGCGCTGGACGACGCCAGTTGTTTTCCGCACATTCGTGTTCATTCCTGGCACACTCTGTTTTTTCCATCCATATGACTCGCATGTGTGTGGCATGGGTGGTGGTGTGTGGGGCATGGGTGGTGGTGTGTGTGGCATGGGTGGTGTGGTGGTGTGTGGGGCATGGGTGGTGGTGTGTGTGGCATGGGTGGTGGTGTGTGTGGCATGGGTGGTGGTGTGTGGGGCATGGGTGGTGGTGCGTGGGGCATGGGTGGTGGTGTGTGTGGCATGGGTGGTGGTGTGTGTGGCATGGGTGGTGGTGTGTGTGGCATGGGTGGTGGTGTGTGTGGCATGGGTGGTGGTGTGTGTGGCATGGGTGGTGGTGTGTGTGGCATGGGTGGTGGTGTGTGTGGCATGGGTGGTGGTGTGTGTGGCATGGTGGCAATGCATTGAGACACAGACAAGGCAGAGCAGGCGGCAGCAGAGGGGTCAGCAGATGACTTGGCACAGCCAGTGAAGGGCTTTCTCTTCGACACCCTTGTTGTGAGTCACGGCCTTCTCTTCGACACCCTTGTTGTGAGTCACGGCCTTCTCTTCGACACCCTTGTTGTGAGTCACGGCCTTCTCTTCGACACCCTTGTTGTGAGTCACGGCCTTCTCTTCGACACCCTTGTTGTGAGTCACGGCCTTCTCTTCGACACCCTTGTTGTGAGTCCTGGCCTTCTCTTCGACACCCTTGTTGTGAGTCACGGCCTTCTCTTCGACACCCTTGTTGTGAGTCACGGCCTTCTCTTCGACACCCTTGTTGTGAGTCACGGCCTTCTCTTCGACACCCTTGTTGTGAGTCACGGCCTTCTCTTCGACACCCTTGTTGTGAGTCACGGCCTTCTCTTCGACACCCTTGTTGTGAGTCACGGCCTTCTCTTCGACACCCTTGTTGTGAGTCACGGCCTTCTCTTCGACACCCTTGTTGTGAGTCACGGCCTTCTCTTCGACACCCTTGTTGTGAGTCACGGCCTTCTCTTCGACACCCTTGTTGTGAGTCACGGCCTTCTCTTCGACACCCTTGTTGTGAGTCACGGCCTTCTCTTCGACACCCTTGTTGTGAGTCACGGCCTTCTCTTCGACACCCTTGTTGTGAGTCACGGCCTTCTCTTCGACACCCTTGTTGTGAGTCACGGCCTTCTCTTCGACACCCTTGTTGTGAGTCACGGCCTTCTCTTCGACACCCTTGTTGTGAGTCACGGCCTTCTCTTCGACACCCTTGTTGTGAGTCACGGCCTTCTCTTCGACACCCTTGTTGTGAGTCACGGCCTTCTCTTCGACACCCTTGTTGTGAGTCAGGGCCTTCTCTTCGACACCCTTGTTGTGAGTCACGGCCTTCTCTTCGACACCCTTGTTGTGAGTCACGGCCTTCTCTTCGACACCCTTGTTGTGAGTCACGGCCTTCTCTTCGACACCCTTGTTGTGAGTCACGGCCTTCTCTTCGACACCCTTGTTGTGAGTCACGGCGTTCTCTTCGACACCCTTGTTGTGAGTCACGGCCTTCTCTTCGACACCCTTGTTGTGAGTCACGGCCTTCTCTTCGACACCCTTGTTGTGAGTCACGGCCTTCTCTTCGACACCCTTGTTGTGAGTCACGGCCTTCTCTTCGACACCCTTGTTGTGAGTCAGGGCCTTCTCTTCGACACCCTTGTTGTGAGTCAGGGCCTTCTCTTCGACACCCTTGTTGTGAGTCGTGGCCTTCTCTTCGACACCCTTGTTGTGAGTCGTGGCCTTCTCTTCGACACCCTTGTTGTGAGTCACGGCCTTCTCTTCGACACCCTTGTTGTGAGTCACGGCCTTCTCTTCGACACCCTTGTTGTGAGTCACGGCCTTCTCTTCGACACCCTTGTTGTGATTCATGGCCTTCTCTTCGACACCCTTGTTGTGAGTCATGGCCTTCTCTTCGACACCCTTGTTGTGAGTCGTGGCCTTCTCTTCGACACCCTTGTTGTGAGTCGTGGCCTTCTCTTCGACACCCTTGTTGTGAGTCACGGTGTGCGCTCATCTGTGTCTCTCCTTGTTCATGCGCAGCTGTCGGAGGGAAATTCCATGTGCTACGCCACGAATCCCTTGCATCCTCACCTCTGGAAGCTGCGTTTGCCTTCCCCTGTTTGCCTCGTCGCCTCTCCCTTGCCTGCATGCATCATTCTTTTATGTGCTTCTGTCTTCCTCGTGCCCCTGCCCCGCCCCTTCCCCCCCCAGCGGCGGCACCCTGAGCTGAGGGGCGAGCTGCTGACGTTCCGCGACCAGCTGCTGGCAGCTGAGGAGATCCGAGACGAGTACAACGTGTGGGAGCTCAAAGGTACAACGTGTGGGAGCTCAAAGGTACAACGTGTGGGAGCTCAAAGGGACAATGTGTAAAGATACCATTTTCTAAGTACCAGCTTAACTTAGGGGAGTGATAGCCTTGTGTGTTTCTGCTTGTTCAGGGAGCGGTAAGTCTTGTCCCAGGAGATGTGTGCTTGTGTGCCTGCATGCATATGAGTTGGGATCTTTCTGTCCCCCCCTGCTCTCTCTGCCCACCAGATCTGGGGCTTCAGGCCACACAGCGCATTGTGGGAGGCGCGGAGCCCCTGCGCCTCATGCAGGATATCAACCAGAACTTCCCCAAAATCATGGACTCTCTTGCTAAAACCAAGGTGGGTGCTGTGTCATTCGTTTTGCGGCTCGGCATTCGTTGTGCAGCTCGGCATTCGTTGTGCAGCTCGGCATTCGTTGTGCAGCTCGGCATTCGTTGTGCGGCTCGGCATTCGTTGTGCAGCTCGGCATTCGTTGTGCGGCTCATACATGGTATGTCCTGGAAGCGTGTCCTGTGGTGCGTGCGCGCTGCGCGGTCTGTACAATGCATGTGTTTGTGGATGTTGACCATACCATGACATCCCCTCGTGTCCTACTGCCGTCATCCCTGCCCTTGATCTCTGCCCTTCGTCTCCCATCTCCCGCTTTCCACTACCAACGGTTGACCTCCACTTGGCATTGTCATTCTTGTGGTCGTGCCGTGCCATCGGGTGCCATGCCATCGGGTGCCATGCCATCGGGTGCCATGCCATCGGGTGCCATGCCATCGGGTGCCATGCCATCGGGTGCCATGCCATCGGGTGCCATGCCATCGGGTGCCATGCCATCGGGTGCTGTGCCATCGGGTGCCATGCCATCGGGTGCCATGCCATCGGGTGCCATGCCATCGGGTGCCGTGCCATCGGGTGCCATGCCATCGGGTGCCATGCCATCGGGTGCCATGCCATCGGGTGCCATGCCATCGGGTGCCGTGCCATCGGGTGCCATGCCATCGGGTGCCATGCCATCGGGTGCCATGCCATGGGGTGCCATGCCATCGGGTGCCATGCCATCGGGTGCCGTGCCATCGGGTGCCGTGCCATCGGGTGCCATGCCATCGGGTGCCATGCCATCGGGTGCCATGCCATCGGGTGCCATGCCATCGGGTGCCATGCCATCGGGTGCCGTGCCATCGGGTGCCATGCCATCGGGTGCCATGCCATCGGGTGCCGTGCCATGGGGTGCCGTGCCATGGGGTGCGAGCAGGTGGACGGCACGGTGGCGGAGGCGGTGGCGGAGATGCACGGCATGGTGCAGGCGGGGCGCACCATAGTGGCGCTCAACAGCATCGCCTTCAACCTCGCCACGCTCGACATCTTCACGTGAGCTGCATTCCCACACGTGCTGCTCGGCTTTCTGCACGCACATGACTCACGCCTAGTTGGCGACGCCTCTGGTTCTTCTCGTCTCTGATCAAGGGATGCCTTCACGTGTGCAATGGCTCCAGTGAATAACTTGGACCCCTCATTTTAACTTCCTCTCTCATTGTCTCCCCCTCTCTCATTGTCTCCCCCTCTCTCATTGTCTCCCCCTCTCTCATTGTCTCCCCCTCTCTCATTGTCTCCCCCTCTCTCATTGTCTCCCCCTCTCTCTCCTATTCTTTCTCTCCCCTTTCCCCGTCACTCTCTCTCTCCCGCCCACCTCCCCACCTTCCCCGTCCTACGCCAGTCTGTTGGAGGCAGTGCAGGCAGAGCTGTCGCTGGGAGCGCAGCTGCTCTCGCTCAAGGTGAGTCCATCTCGGCTGAGTGCGCCCTGTGTTACCAGTAGAAAGGCCAAGTACGTCCTTCTCACACTTACCTCGCTACCTCGCTCGCACTGCCCTCCCCTTGCTTCTCCTCTCTGCCTGCCCGTTCCTCTATCTCCGACCATCTCCTCCTCCATCAGTCTTTCCTCCCTCTTCGTTACCTGCACTCCCTCTTCTCCTTCCTCTCCTCCTCCCCTGCAACCCACTCCTCTGCCCTTCAGATGCCAGCCCCGGTGGTGCGCCAGCTGCTGCATCTGCCGCCTGCCTCGGCCTCGCGGGAGGACGGCGCATCACCGCGGCTGGACTTCCGGTCGCCGTGGCACGTGCACTTCTTCAATGACCTGGAGAGGGACCGCGAGTACCGAGGCTGGTCGCCCAACATGCATGAGGTGCGCCCACCATGCATGAGGTGCGCCCACCATGCATGAGGTGCGCCCAACATGCATGAGGTGCGCCCACCATGCATGAGGTGCGCTCAACATGCATGAGGTGCGCCCACCATGCATGAGGTGCGCCCACCATGCATGAGGTGCGCCCAACATGCATGAGGTGCGCCCACCATGCATGAGGTGCGCCCACCATGCATGAGGTGCGGCCACCATGCATGAGGTGCGGCCACCATGCATGAGGTGCGGCCACCATGCATGAGGTGCGCCCAACATGCATGAGGTGAATGCTATCCTCGTGACCTTTCACAATTCTGGCCGCCCTTGCTCCACTTGCTTCATCTTACCTGATTTGATCACCTTATTCATCCATCCACCTTTTTTTTACGTGTACGTGACTCAACTTTCAATTCTCTCCCACATTGTCATTGCCTCTCCAACTGCCTATGTGTGTGTGTGTGTGTGTGTGTGTGTGTGTGTGTGTGTGTGTGTGTGTGTGTGTGTGTGTGTGTGTGTGTGTGTGTGTGTGTGTGTGTGCGTGTGCGCCGGCAGCTGCTGATGCCCATGTACCCGGGGCAGTTCCGTGCCATCCGCAAGAACATCTTCCACGCCGTCTTCGTGCTCGACCCCATGCACCCCGCCACGCCCAAGGTGCCTTCTCTCATACACTCCCATTGCCTTCCCAATTTCATTTACCTGCTCTCTGCCCTGCTGCCTCATGTTTCTCTTTCTCTCCCGGACTCCCCAATCTTCCACTTTCTCCTTGCGTCTTCCTTCACACAAACCCTCCTTTGATCTTGGCCCTCCTCATCTCGTCGTCTCCTCTCCCTTTCCCCCACCAGGCGGTGGCGCACATCCACCATCTGCACCGCAGCAGCATGCCTCTCCGCATGGGGCTCATCCTCGCCTCCTCCGCACGCCTGCTCGCCCTCAATGACCCCTCCGCGCCTCCCGGCCACGATGACCTGTCGGAACTGGTGGGTGGGCCACCTGCACTCACCTGCACTCACCCGCCTTGCATCCCCTCAGTCCCTCTGCCAGACTGCCAGCCCCTGTGCTGCTCATCCTCCCTCTTCCACTTATGCTGAACTGCTCAATTTCTCTGGCACTCCCTCCACGTGCTTCCTTTGTGTCATGCATGCCCCATATGATCCATTGCATGCACCCGCCCATGCACGGCATGCAGGCCATGGCCCTCTTTCTCTACATCAAGGACTCCTTTGGCCCGCGCCCCGCCTTCGACTTCCTGCTCTCGGTCAGCCGCCCCATCCTTCCCCTGCACATGCACACTTCCCCCTATCCCCCTCTCTTCTTGACCCTGCTTTTGTCATGGTAAGCGTTTCTTGCTGTTTGATCTCTCAGCCACTGTGCCAAAATCCTTGTTTTCTTTCAGTTCTCCCCCCTCTCTCTCGCCCTCTCATCACCCCCTCTCTGCCACGCTCCCCCCTCAGATGTGGGGCGGCAGTGCGCTGGACCCCGCGGGTGACGACTACGAGGACGCCATGGTGACGCTGCCCCCCCCGCAGTACACCGCTCCCGACCAGCCCGCCATGGAGGCCGCTTTCCTGGACGCACTCAGGTCGGCAGGGGCTGGGTTACAGTGTGGTTTGGTGGGATGGGACGGGATGGGGTGCAATGAGATTGGGCGAAAGGAGATGTGCAGGGGTAGGATGCAATGTGATGGATGGGGTGGATAAGATGGGGCAGGAGAGGATGAAATGAAGGCAGTCGTTTGGGCAGAATCTGGAGCGTGCCGCAAGGGGGAAGCAGTGCATGGGGCATGAGTGTGCCACTGACTTGCAACCGTCACATCTCGCCGTCTTCCCTCCACGTCTTGTCTACTACTCGCCTTCTCTCTCTCTCTCTCCCCGTGCTGCCAGCACGGCAGCAGCAGCGGCACGGGAGTCGTCACTGGGCACTGAGGAGGCAAGAAAGGCTGCGCTGGCGTTGGTTCTGGCAGGCAGGCACAGGGTGGAGGGTGGTGAGGGGGGGAGGGGGGAGAGTGCGGCAGCGCGAGGAGGGGACGGGGCGGCAGCAGCGGTGTGGACCCAGGTGGTTGGCAGCTCTGGCTTTGTGTCAGGGCTGGGCCTGGCGGACGCCACGCCCTGTCTGCTCTTCAACGGCATCTTCTACCCCCAGGCTAAGGTCAGCCCCGCCACCTGCTTCTGCCATGCTCTGCTGCACTCCTGTGCCTGCTGCTCTGCAACTGCTCTCGTCCTTGTGTGCCTTTCCCCAGGTTTCATGCCTTCAAAGCCTGTGTCGTGATGCACCTTACTCCCCTTCGTCACTTCCACTGCCCTCCCTAACTGTCCCCCTCTGGTCCTCCTCCTCCCCACCACACTGCACCGCGCTGCGCGCCAGGTGCCAGGGGGAGTGCTGGAGGCGATGCAGGAGGAGATGGAGGCGGTGCAGCGCGCCGTGTACTACCAGCAGATCCGCGCCTCCTCCGACGTCCTAGCCTTCTTCCTCGCCTCCGCCGCCAAGCGCTTCAACCCCGAGGCCAGTGCCACCCGCTCACCTGCCCGCCTCATTGCTCGATCTGCCGCTTGCCCGCTATCCTTCCTTCAGCCCACTGGCAACTTTCGTGGTCTCTCTGTTGCTGAATCGAGAGCCGCTTTTTCCTCCTCCTTCCTGCATCCCACTCCCCCCGCCTCTCCTCCCTCCCCCTCGTCGCCCACAGGTGGCCCTGCCAGCGGGCAAGGCAGCGCCCTACATGTCCCTGGCGCCTCCCACTGCTGCCGACCACCCCTCGCTGGCGCGCCTCTCCTTCCTGCACTCGCCTGGAAGTGCGTCCCTCTCGTCTCGCCCCTCCCTCTTACTGTCCTCCATGCATCTTCTTGCTCCCCTCCCCGTGTTTTCTTTCCCTCCTTACCCTGCCTGCTTGTCGTCACTACCGTCTCCTGTACCTGCCTCGCACCCCCTGCTCTGCCTGTGTTGTCGCATGTCCCCATGGCATGGCATGTGTGGCGAGCAGCGGAGGACGAGGTGAAGCCCTTCTCGCACCTGCTGGCGCTGGACCTCTCATCGCACCAAGGGGTGGACTTGCTGCTGCAGGCCGTGCTGCACCTGGTATTACCGCACCACACCTCGTACAACTGCATGAATGTGGCAATACCACACTGAACGAACCTGGTATTACAGCACTGAACCTTGTCGCAGCATGCCATTGTATGTTGTGCCATGCCCCGTCATCCCTCCCGGCCCAGCTCACGCCAGGCGCTGTTCCTCGTGCCCACCGTCCCACCAGCTCCTCTCACACCCACGCGCCCTGGTCCACATGGTCCCTGTGGGCAGGAGAGTGAGTCAGCTGACGGCGCCCGCGTGGCCATTCTGCACAACCCCCTGCTGCTGCCAACTGCTGCTGCCACATCGGCTCCCCTGCCCCCCCTCGCCTGGCGCTACCTCGTCCCGCGCCTCGTCATGGCTGCAGTGCACCTGCCAAGGTGAGATGCTCGTCATGGCTGCAATGCACCTGCCAAGGTGAGATGCTCGTCATGGCTGCAGTGCACCTGCCAAGGTGAGATGCTCGTCATGGCTGCAGTGCACCTGCCAAGGTGAGATGCTCGTCATGGCTGCAGTGCACCTGCCAAGGTGAGATGCTCGTCATGGCTGCAGTGCACCTGCCAAGGTGAGATGTTCGTTCCACCCTGCTGCCAAGAACCGTTGCATGCTGAGAGAGCGCTGCTGCTCAGTTCCACTCAAAGCCACTCTTGCACCTATCCGCCCCTTTCTTGCCCCATCCTGCCCTCCCTTCGTTGCCACCCGCTGCCCGTTGCGACCCCCCCGCTCCACCTCCCCCCTTTCCTCCCCGCCATCCCCTCTCCCCCCCCCCAGCCGCCGCAGCAAGATCCCGGCCTTCCTGCAGCGCCTGCTGCAGATGCCGCTGCTCAGGGCCGTGGTCAGCCGGGCAGCAACGGGCGCGGAGGGGGAGGGGTGGGCAGGCAGGGGGGAGGTGAAGAGTGAGGAAGAGGGTAGGGAGCTTCTGGCGTCAGCATGGAGCATTGCTGACGAGGCAGGGTTGAACAGAGGCGAATTGGAACGAGCCGTGACGGGTGCTGGTGCTGCTGAGAGTGCTGTCGCACACATGGCAGAGGTGGGTGCTGTCGCACACATGGCAGAGGTGGGTGCTGTCGCACACATGGCAGAGGTGGGTGCTGTCGCACACATGGCAGAGGTGGGAGCCAGAGGTAGAGGTTAATGGTAGGCTTCATGTCGCTCCCTTTTCTCTACAAGAACTAAGCATCATCACCCGCAGAAGCACTGCTTAGTCCGTCGCTTTTGTATGCCGTATGCAGACTGCCTTTTTCCCTTTCCTTTCCCAACCCCTCCCCCTTTGCAGGACCATCTGTTTGTGAAGCAGCAGTGTGATGCCAGCCCTGGCACCAGCGTCATCATCACCAATGGCAGGGTGCGCCCCCTCTCCTGTTCCCGCCCCCCTTTCTTCAGCATGCATTTCTCCTGTGGCCTCCTCTCAACTTTCACCTCACTCCTGCGTTCCATGCATGCCTGTCCCTCCCAGCCACACTGTGTTCCCCCACATCCTTAGTTGGTCAATTACGTTTACGTGTACGTACGTTACGTACATTTACGCCTTACGTATACGCGTACGTTTATGTACCAAGAACGACATTACGTCTGTGGGCAGGTTAAAAACTTTTGGGCCTGCCCTAGGTCTAGGTGCTTACCATGGAGGGGTGTCCACCTCTGCTAAAAACTGTGTGCACTCACTGATCTATGCTCCCCCCAGTCCCCTTTCTCCCACAACAACCCTTATCGGTCTTCCTCTCATAACTTCAAATCCACCCACACTCCTAGTCTCCTTGTCTTAGTTTGTTTTCCACATAGGTAGCCTTAGCCGCAAGTCTCGCACCTCCTAGGGCTCCTTTTCTTGCTCTTGGTTCTGTTTTCACCCCGGCATAAAATTTTCAAAGCTGCCCGCCAAAATGTACGAGTAATGACGAGTAAGTAAAGGTAAAGTACGTTTACGCGTAACATTACGTTTACGTAGGTGCCATGGGCGTAATTGACCAATTAAGCCCACATCCATCTCATTTGCATGCACCACAAAGCACCTTCCTCTCCCCTCCCCCCCCCCCCCCCCCGCGCAGCTGCTGGCCCCGCAGCACCGCTTTGTGGCGCTGGACTTTGCGCTGCTGGAGGACGTGGAGGCGCCGCGAGTCAAGCCCGCACTCGCCCTGCTGCAGAACCTGCCGTCCTGGCCACACCTCCCGCCCGACCTCCCTCTCAGGTGTGACCTGCCCAGTTGCAGTCTGCCCTTTCGCTGTTCACGGTTTGCGTTTGAAGTGGCCTGTTGGGCCTCTCCAGAGAAAGCCGCCGTACTGCAACCTGCAACCTGCCACCTGCCACCTGCGACGTGCAACCTGCAACCTGCCACTTGCGACCTGCAACGTGCATGCGCTTGTTGCCTGATGATGCAGGCAGATGCTCGTATGTCAATGTGTGCATGTGCATGTATAGACTTGTGGTGGGATATTATGTGTGTCACCATGTAAACCGCCATACGTGTCACACACCACCCGTCCCACAGTGACCATCTGTCGACCATGGCAATGGTGGTGGCATCAGCGCTGTCAGCCGCGCAGAGAGCCACTGGCGACTACATCCAGTTCACACGCCTCACTGCCAGCCCCAGGTGCACTTTGCACTGCGCTTGTTCGCCTTAAACCAGCACCGCCATTCTGTCAAACCTAGATGTTCCATGAATCCTTCTCTCTCGCGCTCCTGCTCACACTCCTCCGTTTCTTTTCCCTTTTCTGAGCCTCTTCTCCTGCCCTCCCTTCCGCCCCCTCTCCCCCCCCCCCCTGCCTCCCAGCATCGGCATCATCCACGAGAACGACTCGGCGCTGCTGCACGTGGATGGGGTGATCGACCCGCTCAGCGCTGAGGCCCAGCAGGTCACGCCGCTGCTGCTGCTGCTGCACGAGTGGTTCAACCCCTCGCTGCGCCTCTTCATGAACCCCCTCGTGCGTCCCCCACGCCCCTCTGCTGCGCTGTCTTGTGCGCTCATCGTCACCCTCCTGCATTAGTGTGGGGGAATGGGGATTTTGTGTGAGCTTCTATCATCTCATCTAGGACACCATTCTGTTGTTTCCATCCCTCCCCTGCATGCCCACCCACCCCCCTCTGTGTACGCCCGTCTCTCCTGCCAGTCATCGGTGTCGGAGTTTCCTCTCAAGAACTTCTATCGATACGCCGCCCCCAATAAGGCACGCTCCCTGGCCCCTCGTTTCCAACTCCCCCTCCCCCTCCCCATCCCCGTTGCTCCATGTCATATCCCGATGACAACTCCACCTGATTGCATGCAGCCTCTCCTCTGCGTTTCTCGCCCATAACGTGGCAGCATGCCACTCACATACTCTATTATGCCTCTCTTCTGTCCCCCAGCGCCCACCTCGTATCCTCAGCCACCATCCCACCCCCTTTATGCATCTCACTCTTCCACTTCGTCCTCCCCCACCATCCCTCGCCCTTCCACCCTTGCGCCCCGCAACCCCCCACCAGGCACTGACAGACGCAGCGGGGGTGCTGGCGGCGGGGGCGGAGGTGGAGTTTTTGAACATGCCTCTCACGCGCACGCTCACGCTCAACCTCAAAGTGCCCGAGCCCTGGCTCGTGGAGCCGGCTGTGGCGGAGTGAGTGAGGGTCGAGCCTGGGTCAGTGGGAAGTGGTGGAGAAAAGGTGTTTAGCCGTTGTGTATTTTCTGCACCTGCTGGGGTCGTCAGTTCCCGGGGCCATGCCCGCCCTCCATTCACTTCACTCTTCGCCGCTCCTTGTCTCGTTCGCTGCCTGCTCTCTCCCCCCGGCCCCGCATGTCCGCCGTGGCAGCCACGACTTGGACAATCTGGTGTTGGAGAAGGTGGCGGACCCAAGCGTGGCGGCCGTCTTTGAACTCGAGGCGCTCATGATCACAGGTGAGGCGCTCATGATCACAGGTGAGGCGCTCATGATCACAGGTGAGGCGCTCATGATCACAGGTGAGATGTTTGTGTTATCCTGGGTACACTACTGTGGCCCTTTGGCTTTCGGTCGGGCTTTCTTTTACACTTCCTCTCCTCTCTCTCTCTCTCCTCGTTGCACTGCACCCACCATCAATCTCTGTGCTCCGCCACTCGTTTCCTCCCGTACCTCCCCCCCCCCCTCCCCACCCCCCCCCCCCCCCCAGGCCACTGCTATGAAGACTCTGACATGCCGGAGCCCCCTCGTGGCATGCAGCTCGTGCTCGGCACCCCGCCACCCGTCCCTGCCGCACCCCTCAACCACACCACTGCCGCTGCCACCAGCACCAGCACCAGCGGCGGCAGCAGCACAGCAGCGGGTCGGCCACATGGGCTGGTGGTGGCGCGCACGCTGGAGGACACCACGGTGATGGCGAATCTGGGCTACTTCCAGCTCAAGGCGGCGCCCGGCCTCTGGCTGCTGCAGCTCGCGCCCGGCCGCTCGCAGCAGCTCTACCAGCTGGCGAGGGAGGGGTTGATGGGCGGCGGTGCACCGGGGGGGGCAGGAGAGGGGGGAGAGGAGGGCGCGGATGGGGAGGTGGGGCGGGTGGCGATGGAGGTGGCGGTGATGGACCTGCGAGGCAAGGTGGTGCAGCTCCGGGTGGCCAAGCGGCCCGGCATGGAGGGCCAGAAGATGCTGGACGACGCAGGGGGGGAGGACGGGGAGGAGGAGCAGGAGGAGGCAGTAGCGGTGAGAGCCTTCACCTTTTCCCCTCAACACCCCCCTCACGCGCTGTGCGCCGTCCGTCCCGTCACGTGCTGTGCGCCGTCCCTCACGCGCTGTGCGCCGTCCCTCACGCGCTGTGCGCCGTCCCTCACGCGCTGTGCGCCGTCCGTCACGCGTGACTCCAGCAACACTCGACTCGCCTCTCACTGCCTCCCGCGATCCCTCCCCTGCCTTCCATGCTTGACCCGTTGTCCCTGTTGTCCTCCAGGCATCGCTCTTCGGCTCTTTTTTCCAGAAGCTAACGGGCAAGGTGGGAGACGGTACAGCGGGAGGGGACTGTAGCTGCTGATTCTATTTTGGCAGGGGGGGCTGGGAGGGCTGCGCTCTGGGTGTTGTCAAGTAGCAGCTTCAGAGCTGCAGTTTTTAAATGCCTTTTGATGCCAATCTCCTGCATCCGCACTCACCTGTTATTCATGCCCCTTCCCTCCTTCCCGTGCGCACACCAATATATATTTATAAAGAAATGGAACTCTTCCACTCCACACACCCTCACCTGTGCTGGTCAGAAGCCCACCAAGGCGAGCAAGGGCGGCGGGGCAGCAGGCAGCAACAGCACAATCAACATCTTCTCCATCGCCAGCGGCCACCTGTGCGTCGTCCTCTTGCACCCACCGCCCATCCCAGCATCCCCCACTGTGCTTCATTCTCTGCTCCACTCCATGTTTCATGCTGCATCGTGCTTCATGCAAGTAGCCCCCCCTTCTCCCTCACCCGTCCTCTTCTCCCTCCCCCCTCCCCTCCTCCCACCCCCCCCTCCCGTCCTCGCCCCGTCTGTGCAGCTACGAGCGGTTCACGCGCATCATGATTCTCTCAGTGCTCAAGAACACGCGCCGGCCCGTCAAGTTCTGGTTCATTAAGAACTACCTCTCGCCCTCTTTCAAGGTACCTCTCGCCCTCATTCAAGCTGCCCACCCCCATTAGGGTTCGTTCCCTTCCCCCCGGAAAGCCCTTTCTGCAATCTCCCCACCTTTTGCACTTTTCCTTGTCTTCCAAATTGCCTCTCCCGCCTTTAAAAAACTTGCCACTTCCACCTGCCGAGCCGTCACTTCACCATCGACACCTCCATGGCATTCACACGGGCATGTCGTCTCTCCACCCCCCCTCTCTTCCCCCTCATTCGCCGCGGTCCCCCCCCCTATTCGCCCTGCCCCCAGGAGGTGATCCCGCACATGGCGCGCGAGTATGGGTTCGAGTACGCGCTGATCACGTACAAGTGGCCATCATGGCTGCACAAGCAGACGGAGAAGCAGCGCCTCATCTGGGCCTACAAGATCCTCTTCCTCGACGTCATCTTCCCCCTCTCGCTCGAAAAGGTCGGCTGCCCCTCGCCACGGCCTCTGCTATCCCCCTTTACCGCGTCCCCGTTCAACCTCGCAAGGGGCACTTTTCACCTGTGCGAGAGAACATGTTGTACGCACCTCACTGCATGGGTCCCCTTCTCCATGCCCCATACCCCATGCCCCTTGCCCCATACCCCATGCCCCTTGCCCGTTGCCCCATGCCCGTTGCCCCATGCCCCTTGCCCGTTGCCCCATGCCCGTTGCCCCATGCCCGTTGCCCGTTGCCCCATGCCCGTTGCCCCATGCCCGTTGCCCATTGCCCCATGCCCGTTGCCCCATGCCCGTTGCCCCATGCCCGTTGCCCGTTGCCCGTTGCCTGTTGCCCGTTGCCCACCCCCCAGGTGATCTTCGTGGACGCGGACCAGGTGGTGCGGGAGGACATGGGGCAGCTGTACGACCTGCCCTTGCATGGCAGCCCGCTGGCCTACACGCCCATGTGCGACAACAACCGCGACATGGAGGGCTACCGCTTCTGGAAGCAGGTGAGGGCTACCGCTTCTGGAAGCAGGTGAGGGCTGCCGCTTCTGGAAGCAGGTGAGGGCTGCCGCTTCTGGAAGCAGGTGAGGGCTACCGCTTCTGGAAGCAGGTGAGGGCTGCCGCTTCTGGAAGCAGGTGAGGGCTACCGCTTCTGGAAGCAGGTGAGGGCTGCCGCTTCTGGAAGCAGGTGAGGGCTACCGCTTCTGGAAGCAGGTGAGGGCTGCAGGTTCTGGAAGCAGGTGAGTGGGCAGTAATAACCAGGAAAGAGGATTTTTTTTTTTATCTTGATCTCCTCTCACGATCTTTCCTTCTTTCTTTCCTCTGTGAATGCCTAAATGCAGGGCTTCTGGAAGGAACATTTGAGGGGAAAGCCATACCACATCAGGTGAGCATGTGAGGGAACAGAAGCAGCTGAGCAAGATCTGCCACGCCTGTTTCAGCACCTGCACTTCCTTCCCCCTCCCCACCTCTGCCGTCTCTGCCATCTTCCCATCTCTCCCACCTCTGCCGTTCTGCCATCTTTCCATCTCTCCCACCTCTGCCGTCTCTGCCTTCTCTGCCATCTTCCCATCTCTCCCACCTCTGCCGTCTCTGCCATTGTCCCATCGCTCCCATCTCTGCCCGGACGCTCTCTCTCCTCCACCTTCAAGCTCCCCTCGATCCCGCCGCACCCCCAACTGACCCTTCCCCAGTGCGCTGTACGTGGTGGATCTGGTGAAGTTCCGCCGCATGGCAGCAGGCGACACGCTGAGAGTCATCTACGAGAGCCTCAGCAAGGACCCCAACTCGCTCGCTAACCTCGACCAGGTACCGCCTCCCCCCTTGATCAGGTACTGCCTGGAGGTGTGGCTTACATCGGGTACACCTGCTGTGCATCATTCCCACCGTAACTTGTTTCACCTTCCTATCGACCTGGCATCAAGAACCTGGCTTCTCCTCCATTCCCCTTCCTCCCTTCACTCCTCTTCCTCCTCCCCCCTTCCCCCCTTTCAGGACCTGCCCAACTACGCACAGCACACGGTGCCCATCCTGTCGCTGCCACAGGAGTGGCTGTGGTGCGAGTCGTGGTGCGGCAACGCCACCAAGGCTCGGGCCAAAACCATCGACCTCTGCAACAACCCCATGACCAAGGAGCCCAAGCTGCAGGTAGGTGTCGTGGTGCTGGTGGGTGTGAGAGCACTAGAACTATGGGAGCCTGATAACTATGGGAACTATGGTGTTGCTCTTTCTCCTCTGATATTCTTGTGGCCGCACCCCTCTATCCACCTGTCATTTGTGTCACAGATGGCTGTCCTCCATTTTTTTCTCCCCTACCGTGGTCCCTCCCTTGTGCCTGCCTGCATCATTCTTTCTTCACCTTCTTCCCGCGACCTCCCTGCCCTTGCCTCTGCCTCTGCCCATCCGTGTCCATGCGCGCCCATCCGTGCCCATGCGTGCCCATCCGTGTCCATGCGCGCCCATCCGTGCCCATGCGTGCCCATCCGTGCCCATGCGCGCCCATCCGTGCCCATGCGCGCCCATCCGTGCCCATGCGTGCCCATCCGTGCCCATGCGCGCCCATCCGTGCCCATGCGCGCCCATCCGTGCCCATGCGTGCCCATCCGTGCCCATGCGCGCCCATCCGTGCCCATGCGTGCCCATCCGTGCCCATGCGCGCCCATCCGTGCCCATGCGTGCCCATGCGCGCCCATCCGTGCCCATGCGTGCCCATCCGTGCCCATGCGTGCCAATCCGTGCCCATGCGTGCCCATCCGTGCCCATGCGTGCCCATCCGTGCCCATGCGTGCCTCGCCCTGGCAGGGAGCACGGCGCATAGTTGCGGAGTGGGCAGGGCTGGACGAGGAGCAGAGGCGCTTCACAGAGAGGGTCACCCGAGGGGAGTTCGATGACCTCTCTCCCTCCGCGCCACGTGGCGCGCTGCGATTCGCCGGCTTCCACTCCGCTCCCCGACCAGAGGAAGGGCCTGTTGGTGAGGCGATGACAGAGGGGGGGGAGAGGGGAGAGGAGGATGCTGGTGGATTGAGTGAAGGGAGAGAGGAGGGAGGAGAGGAGGCAGAGGAGGGAGAGGAGGGGGGAGTGGAGGAAGGCGGGGAGTGGGCGGGGTACGAGGTGGATCCAGCCTACGAGGATCTGGAGGGGCTGGAGGAGATGGCAGTGGAGGCTGTGGATGGGGCGAAGGGGGAGGACGAGGACGAGGACGAGCAGGACGAGGAGCACGAGGGGCATGAGGAGTTGTGAGAGTGGGGAGGACTGATGGCGGTTGCATCACGAGAGGTGATGACATGAGAGTCTTAGTAGATGGTACAAGAGGTGAGGACATGACACTGCATGTTACAAATCGAACCCACCCATGCTTTGACGGCTAAATGGCACTAGTATGTTTTAGATATGTAAGCACATGTATAGTCACATCAGACAAATCTACCCACTCATCTCAGCAAACCCTGTCACACAGTACACACTCAGCTAGTAGTAAAGAACAACCCGTGGTGCGAGTCTCATAAGAACTGTACAAGATATGAACTCTCTTTCTACACCCACTCGAACACCTGCTTCCTGCTCGTTTCCATCAATTGGGCCCTTCTTGTGGTGCTGCTTCCAGCCCTTGCATGCCCTGCGCTCCCTGCATGTGCTGCGCTCCCTGCATGCCCTGCGCTTCCTGCATGCCCTGCGCTCCCTGCATGTGCTGCGCTCCCTGCATGCCCATCACTTGGCCAGGCGCCGCCAGCCCAGCAGGCTGCGCAGGGAGCGGGGACGGCAGGGCGGGCAGCGAGGCCCTGAACCTCAGGCGCACGTAGTCGCCGAACCATCTCCCCTCGGAGTCGCACAGCGCGGGCTGCAGGGCGGCGTGGATCTCGTCGTAGACGACGTTCTTGTCCGCCTCGCTGAGCCCCGCGAAGAAGCTCTGCGCGAACGCGTCCAGCCACGATGCCACGCCGTCGGGCAGCAGCGTGGGGCGCGCGATGAGCTCCATGCACTCCACCTCGAAGCCGTGCGACTCCAACAGATTCCTGGGGGCGCAATCATAGAGGGAGGTGCAATCATCAAGGGGGTGGTATGGCGGGCAACAGGATTTGCAGCCCAAGCAAACCCCCATTTGTTCTACCCATTCATTACCCCCCAAGACACACCCCTCCCACCCACACTGCCCGTACCCGCGGGCTCACCTGTACTCCTCCTCGGTGGGGAAGTACCAGGGGATGACCGCTGCCGCGTCTATGCCCCTGGCCCGCAGCACCGCCACCAGCGCCGTCACCAGCGACGCCACATTGCCAAAACCCCCCATCTCCGCCACAAACCTGGAGGGGCAGGGGGTGAGGCAGAGAGGGGGGGGGGATGGGTCCCGGGGAAGAGCAGATTCGCGGGATGGTGGGATGGCGAGAGGGAAAACACATGGATGGGCGCACACCGCACACCGCACGACGCAGGGCCATGAGGGAGCGGCATGAGCGAGCGCACCTGCCGCCCGGCTTGAGAGCCGCTCGCACGTTGGCGACGACCAGGGAAGGGTCTCTCTTCATCCAGTGCAGTGCGGCGTTGCTGAAGACACAGTCAAACTCGGAGGAGAACCTGCAGAGCGCGCACGGGAGGGAGGGGAAAGGGATGGGGAGGGGGATGGGTCAATGTTTACAAATGACAGCAGCGGCAGAGGGCAGCGCAGCACACCTGCAATGCAAAGTTGCAGCGTGGAGCGGAGCGCAGAAAGCAATGAGAGTGTGTGCATGTGCATGCGCCTGATAGAGCCCCGGGCATGTGCATGTCTTGCGCCATCATCAGTCATGGTGTTTCTGCCGGGCACTCACTGCAGCGCACTCACTGCAGCGCACTCACTGCAGCGCACTCACTGCAGCGCACTCACTGCCGCGCACTCACTGCAGCGCACTCACTGCAGCGCACTCACTGCACGGCACTCACTGCACGGCACTCACTGCAGCGCACTCACTGCAACGCACTCACTGCAGCGCACTCACTGCAGCGCACTCACTGCACGGCACTCACTGCACGGCACTCACTGCAGCGCACTCACTGCACGGCACTCACTGCACGGCACTAACTGCACGGCACGCACTGCACGGCACTCACTGCACGGCACTCACTGCAGCGCACTCACTGCACGGCACTCACTGCACGGCACTCACTGCAGCGCACTCACTGCAGCGCACTCACTGCAGCGCACTCACTGCAGCGCACTCACTGCACGGCACTCAGTGCACGGCACTCACTGCACGGCACTCACTGCAGCGCACTCACTGCAGCGCACTCACTGCACGGCACTCACTGCAGCGCACTCACTGCAGCGCACTCACTGCAGCGCACTCACTGCAGCGCACTCACTGCAGCGCACTCACTGCAGCGCACTCACTGCAGCGCACTCACTGCACGGCACTCACTGCACGGCACTCACTGCAGCGCACTCACTGCAGCGCACTCACTGCAGCGCACTCACTGCAGCGCACTCACTGCAGCGCACTCACTGCAGCGCACTCACTGCAGCGCACTCATTGCACGGCACTCACTGCACGGCACTCACTGCACGGCACTCACTGCAGCGCACTCACTGCAGCGCACTCACTGCAGCGCACTCACTGCAGCGCACTCACTGCAGCGCACTCACTGCAGCGCACTCACTGCAGCGCACTCACTGCAGCGCACTCACTGCACGGCACTCACTGCACGGCACTCACTGCAGCGCACTCACTGCAGCGCACTCACTGCAGCGCACTCACTGCAGCGCACTCACTGCAGCGCACTCACTGCACGGCACTCACTGCACGGCACTCACTGCAGCGCACTCACTGCACGGCACTCACTGCACGGCACTCACTGCACGGCACTCACTGCAGCGCACTCACTGCACGGCACTCACTGCACGGCACTCACTGCAGCGCACTCACTGCACGGCACTCACTGCACGGCACTCACTGCAGCGCACTCACTGCAGGGCACTCACTGCATGGCACTCACTGCACGGCACTCACTGCACGGCACTCACTGCACGGCACTCACTGCAGCGCACTCACTGCAGCGCACTCACTGCACGGCACTCACTGCACGGCACTCACTGCACGGCACTCACTGCACGGCACTCACTGCACGGCACTCACTGCACGGCACTCACTGCACGGCACTCACTGCACGGCACTCACTGCACGGCACTCACTGCACGGCACTCACTGCACGGCACTCACTGCAGCGCACTCACTGCAGCGCACTCACTGCAGCGCACTCACTGCAGCGCACTCACTGCACGGCACTCACTGCACGGCACTCACTGCACGGCACTCACTGCAGCGCACTCACTGCAGCGCACTCACTGCACGGCACTCACTGCAGCGCACTCACTGCAGCGCACTCACTGCAGCGCACTCACTGCAGCGCACTCACTGCAGCGCACTCATTGCACGGCACTCACTGCACGGCACTCACTGCACGGCACTCACTGCAGCGCACTCACTGCAGCGCACTCACTGCAGCGCACTCACTGCAGTGCACTCACTGCAGCGCACTCACTGCAGCGCACTCACTGCAGCGCACTCACTGCACGGCACTCACTGCAGCGCACTCACTGCAGCGCACTCACTGCAGCGCACTCACTGCAGCGCACTCACTGCAGCGCACTCACTGCAGCGCACTCACTGCACGGCACTCACTGCACGGCACTCACTGCAGCGCACTCACTGCACGGCACTCACTGCACGGCACTCACTGCACGGCACTCACTGCACGGCACTCACTGCAGCGCACTCACTGCACGGCACTCACTGCACGGCACTCACTGCAGCGCACTCACTGCACGGCACTCACTGCACGGCACTCACTGCAGCGCACTCACTGCAGGGCACTCACTGCACGGCACTCACTGCACGGCACTCACTGCACGGCACTCACTGCACGGCACTCACTGCAGCGCACTCACTGCATGGCACTCACTGCACGGCACTCACTGCACGGCACTCACTGCACGGCACTCACTGCACGGCACTCACTGCACGGCACTCACCGCACGGCACTCACTGCACGGCACTCACTGCAGGTGGCAGGCGTCTGCGAGTATGGCGTTCACCCCGTCTCTCCTCGCCATCTCCACCATGTCGGGCGACGAATCAACGCCCACCACGTGGCACCCCAGCGCCGACAGAAACTTGGACAGGGTGCCCTCGCCGCACCCCAGGTCCAACACGCGCTCGCCTGGTGGGGGGGGGGGGGGGGGGAGGGAAGTGGAGGAATGCATTGATGAGGAGCAGCAAGTGGGTAGATGTAAATCCCTATCCCCCGCCCGCCAAAGCGTGGTGGTGGCACAGCAACCTGCGGGGCACTACTGACTGCTCGCTCGATCCAGTGGGGAGGGGCGCGGCAGCCGTGAGTGGCATGCCCAGGAGGGCGCGGATGGGTGGGTGGCCTACCGGGCAGCGGGGCGAGCAGGTCGACGACGGGCAGGCCGAGCGTGGGCACGAAGGAGAAGGACTTGCGGTACGCTGAGGGGTTCCAGCGCTGGCGCTGGGGGGGTCGGGGGAAGGGGGAGGGGAGGGGAGAAGAGAGGGAAGAGGGTACGGCGTGAGGATGACACGGAACTTGGGAGCAGCACATTGAGAACACGCATGAGGAATCACCTCACCCTCTCGCCTCACACCACACCACAGCACACCCGCCCTGCCACGCACCTTTCTACTGGGCGCAGCATCCTCTTCGCTGTCATCGCCCTCCCCTCCTCGCCCCCCCAACTGCTCCTCCTGTGCGTCCCCTGCACACACAGCAGGGGGGGGTGTGGGGGGGGGGAGGAGGGGAGGGGGGAACGGGAGAGTTGCTGTGTGCATGGACGGCAGGCAGGCATGTTGGACTTACAGCAACAGCTGCATGCGCAGTGAGGTGTATATGTGCAGTATGCATGCACGCCATGCACCAACCTCTCGCCCTCATGCATGCCTGCATGCCCACACCGCCACCCGTCACCGTGCCACTCACTGGTGGCAGCGGGTTGCTGCTGGATGGCGGCGCTGATGCGCCGCTTGAAGCGCGAGAGCCAGCCGTCCGACATCTTGAAGTCGGTGGGCGGGATGCCGCGGTCCAGCGCGAGGTGCTTGGCCTTGTCCACGATGATGGAGTCCACCATGTTGGGCCGCTGCGACAGGATCTGCACCGCGCGCCCACGGGTCAGGGTAAATGGGAATGGCACAAATGGGCATGTCTGAATTGGCTCACTCCAGCAGAAATTTGCTTGACAAGAACGCACTTGCTTAAACAGCTCAGCACCGCACAGCATCCCTCTGAACCGTTCAGCACCGCACCTCTCTGAACCACTCAATGAGTTCGTCCTCCAGGTCCGGGAACTTGCCAAGCCTCTGCCGCTTCTGCCGAGCCTCAGCTTCGGAGAGAGTGAGCCACTTGGGCGAGTCCTTGAGGATCTTGCATACCGTCGTTCGACTCAGCCTGACGCCGTGGCGGGTCTCCATCTCCGCGACGATCATGTCCTGCGACATCTTGTCGCTGCGCTGCTTCAGCTCGCAGATCTCGCGCTTCATCTCCCCCGTCAGGCTGCTCCGCCGCGCGATCCCCTCCATGTCCCCGCCCCCCCGCGGAGTTCCGCCTTCCGAACCCGTGGGTTCCGCTCCGCCCTGCGCTAGGGCGGCCGCGCTGTCCAGGTGCGCGGATGCCTCCCCGCGCGGCATGAGCGCGGAGGCATCGGCGCGGGCGGCTTCCGCGTCGGAGACAAGGCGGCGCTGGCGGAGAATCTCGACCTTGCTGACCATCGGCGGATGGCGGAGGGGGAAGGGGCTGGCGGGGGGAAATGAACGAAAGGGGGAGCGGCATTGCACGGGGGATGACGACCTGAGAGCGAACGAGGCCAAGGGGTAAACTCGACAAGCTCGAAATGAGGCAAGCGGAATCGCCATGCTAGGCACGTGGAAAACAGGGGTGTGCAGACACGAGAGACAGGACGGACGGCACTGCTAGCAGTGGCGTGGCCGGAGACTGCGCAAGAACGAGTCGCCTACCGAGAGCTCGTTATCCGAGGAGCGCGTCACGTTGTGCTCCACAGTGCCACGACGACCGCCTTATATGTGTCAGCTTTACCAAGGAGCCAGCAGGAACAATCTAGGTTAGTGAGGAGTGCGGTGGATGAAACCAAGGGTGGCGTGTGATATGCGGATGCAGATGATGGGGTTGGGTGTTTGGCGGGAAACACTCATTTCGGCCCTGTCAGAAGGCGGCACTGGGGTTTACGCATCTATAGAAGCGTCCACTTACAACCGTGTGTTGTCGGCTGTTACAGTTTCTCTTTTTTTGGGTTGCGGAGCAACCTATTGCAATCGATCGGGCTGGTTTTTTTTTCAAGTTTGTGAAATAAAAATCAAATGTTTGTTGTGATGGAAATAAAACATTTTATGTATAATAAAGTCTGATCATGAAATGCTCCGCAACCCTAAGACGATCTCGTCGCCTCTTGTTTTTTTTTTTTTTTTTTTTTTTTTTTTTTTACGTGGAAAAAAACCGATTGGATGGTGCTCTTCTTTGCCTAATTTCTCTCAACGTTCTTTTTACGGTATTGCACTCTCTGTGTTCTCTAGGTATGGGATGCTAGTATGGTAGCGAAACTCCCAGAAAACAGACAGATTTGCAGATATTTGAGCGCGTTGAAAGTTGCAGCTCACGGCCAGCCGATGGCTGCCACGTGACGCCTCTGCATTTTGTTCGCGCCACCTGATTCGCCAAAACCCGCGAGATTATGGCGCTTGCGGGGTGGCTGGGGGAAGAGCGAAATCATCCGCATTCCCGGCCGCCTAGAGAGCTTCCCCCCACTCCGCCCTGCCCAGATCCGCTATCGCTCCCGCCGCGACCTGCTGCTGGCGCTGCACGGGCTGTCTGCGACACTCATATCCGCCAGCCCGCCAGCACAGCTCTTTAGTTTCTGGCGAGCACAGCTTCGGCAGAACGCTAGGCCTACCTTGCCTCGTCCTCAGGTCGCTCTGCTCATTGTCTGCTCGGCGTCGGCAAAAGGGACAAGCGCGTCTCGTTCACTTCGTGTCGAGCTCGTTTCTCAAAAGTCTGACGTCAGCATGCAGGCCATCAGCGCTCTGCGGCGATCCATCGCCAGCCGCGTCGTGCCGGTCGCGCGGCTCGATGGGCTGGCAGCCACGGCCTCGGCGCAGCGCCTCTTCTCGTCGTCCGCCCCCGGCGAGGTACTCGGCGGGTTGCTTGCCGCGACGTGAATCCCACCTCCTCCTCGTCACCCCGCTCGACTGCGAGTCGACTACCTGGTTCCTTGTTTTCGACCTCGTGATCCCTCCGATGTCTCTTCATGCGGCGAAAAGTGGCGATGAGGGTGCCGCGTTTTCGATCAGCAGGTTCTCGTTGTGATCCTCTTAGATCCGTCATCGTGGCCGTCAGATTTGCATCGCCATGTCGTTGGGTGTGGGTCCACTCAAGCCCAAGCGGGCATGACCGATCGTGGCGCCTTGCTTTCCCCCAGCGTGGTGGCTGCGCGTTGCTGATCCCCGAGTTGCTGATCGTGGCTCAGGGCTGATCAAGGAAGTGGGCAGGGCTGATCAAGGAAGTGGTCAGGGCTGATCAAGGAAGTGGTCAGGGCTGATCAAGGAAGTGGTCAGGGCTGATCAAGGAAGTGGTCAGGGCTGATCAAGGAAGTGGTCAGGGCTGATCAAGGAAGTGGTCAGGGCTGATCAAGGAAGTGGTCAGGGCTGATCAAGGAAGTGGTCAGGGCTGATCAAGGAAGTGGTCAGGGCTGATCAAGGAAGTGGTCAGGGCTGATCAAGGAAGTGGTCAGGGCTGATCAAGGAAGTGGTCCGGGCATGATCAAGGAAGTGGGCCGCTGTGCGCCATTCGCGGGGGCTGGTCAATACGGCAGTGACCCCTTTCCCGTCACCTTCCGCGCGCATCTCTTTCCGCCCATGCTGCATCGCGCGCTCATCGCCTGCCATCCCTCCGTCTTCCCCGCCCCCTCCCCTCCCCTTCCCGCTCCGCCTCCCCCTGCCTCGTCCCCTCCCCCTAGATGACGGTGCGCGACGCCATCAACTCGGCGCTGGACGAGGAGATGGCTTCCGACCCTAAAGTGTTCATCATGGGCGAGGAGGTGAGTGTTCATCATGGGCGAGGAGGTGAGTGTTCATCATGGCCGAGGAGGTGAGGCACAGGCGAGGGGGTACAGAGAGAGGGAGGCGGTAGCGAGGAGATGAATGGCGACGGGAGGGGGGGAGCGACGAGGTGCAGGTGGAGGGCGGGACAGTATGAGGGGGAATGTGTCACTAGGTCGCGATGGGGAGGTGAGAGGAGAAGGGAGAGGGTCAGGAGGTGGTGGAGAGAATGCGAGGTGTGATACAGGGAGGAGGGTCGCGGTTCAGTACGACGGAGTGAGGCGAGGCGAGGGGGGAGAAGGGATGGCGTTGGCCTCAATTCGCGCGCTCTCGCCTCCTCATTGTCTCCTCATTGTCTCATTGTCTCCTCATTGTCTCCTCATTGTCTCCTCATTGTCTCCTCATTGTCTCCTCATTGTCTCCTCATTGTCTCCTCATTGTCTCCTCATTGTCTCCTCATTGTCTCATTGTCTTCTCATTGTCTCATTGTCTCCTCATTGTCTCCTCATTGTCTCCTCATTGTCTCCTCGTCGCACGCTCTTATCGCTCCCCGTCCATCCACCCGCTCCACCCTTCCTCCGCGGTACCGGCGGCAGGTGGGCGAGTACCAGGGCGCGTACAAGATCACCAAGGGGCTGCTGCAGAAGTACGGCCCCGACCGCGTGCTCGACACGCCCATCACCGAGGTATGCTGCCGTGCGCTGTTGTGCGGTGCTGTGCGGTGCTGGACACAACCAAGTTAAGAGGAACATCGAAGTGTTTCGTTGACTTGGGACGAGCAAATGTGCGCATTGGCTGGATGCGAGCAACAGGTACCTTGGAGAGTCATTGCATGCAGAGATCATTCGTCTCATCTGCTTGTTGCTCATCCGTCTCATGAATGCTTGTCTCCCATGCCACCACCCGTGGTGTGTGTGCTTGTGTGGGTGCAGGCGGGCTTTGCGGGCATTGGAGTGGGAGCGGCCATGTATGGCTTGAAGCCCGTCGTCGAGTTCATGACCTTCAACTTCTCCATGCAGGTACCGCCTTCTCCATGCAGGTGCATGCCATGCCATCCATGCCATGCCATCCATGCCATGCCATCCATGCCATGCCATCCATGCCATGCCATCCGTGCCATGCCATCCATGCCATGCCATCCGTGCCATGCCATCCATGCCATGCCATCCATGCCATGCCATCCATGCCATGCCATCCGTGCCATGCCATCCATGCCATGCCATCCATGCCATGCCATCCATGCCATGCCATCCATGCCATGCCATCCGTGCCATGCCATCCGTGCCATGCCATCCGTGCCATGCCATCCATGCCATGCCATCCATGCCATGCCATCCATGCCATGCCATCCGTGCCATGCCATCCGTGCCATGCCATCCATGCCATGCCATCCGTGCCATGCCATCCGTGCCATGCCATCCGTGCCATGCCATCCATGCCATGCCATCCATGCCATGCCATCCATGCCATGCCATCCATGCCATGCCATCCATGCCATGCCATCCATGCCATGCCATCCATGCCTTGCCGTGCTATTTCCATAACCCAAACAACTGCCTCCAGTCTCCTCCCCCCGTCCCCCCCCCGTCATTCGCCCACCCTCCTCGTCCCTTTACTGCACTCCCAATCCCCCCACTACTCCCCCTCCCGCGCGTGCCGACAGGCGATCGACCACATAGTGAACAGCGCGGCGAAGGCGCACTACATGTCGGCGGGGCAGATCACGGCGCCCATCGTCTTCCGCGGACCCAACGGCGCCGCTGCTGGCGTCGGCGCGCAGCACTCGCAGGTACTGCTGGGGGGATGGGGCACTCGCAGGTACCGCTGGGGGGATGGGGCACTCGCAGGCACCGCTGGGGGGATGGGGCACTCGCACGTGTGCTTGAATGTGCCGTGCTTGTAGGTGGTGCTGGGGTGTGCTGGGGTGTGCTGGGATGCGTGGCGCGGTACTGGTAGGAATCGAGATGGGGACACGTGTGTCTACACGGGTACACAAGGCAGCACTTCTCCCACGTCCCCCTCCTCTCTCTTACCTCGTTCTCTCCAGTAACCGCCATCCCCCACCCCTCTCTCAAGGCGCAACACCTAACATACAACGCGTGCCTCCCTCCTCCCCTCTCATCCTCCATCCCCCACCCCTCCCATTGCCTCGCGTCGTGGTACGGCCACGCGCTCGGGCTCAAGGTGCTGCCAGCTGTTGTCCAAGTGCTACCACGTGTCTCCCTTCTCTCTCACTCCCATCCCTTATCCCCCCCCCCCGTCCCGTCGCCGCCCCCCGCTCCCCCCGGCAGTGCTTCGCATCGTGGTACGGGCACGTGCCCGGGCTGAAGGTGCTGGCGCCGTGGAGCGCGGAGGACGCGCGGGGCCTCATGAAGGCCGCTATCCGCGACCCCGACCCCGTCGTCGTGCTCGAGAACGAAATCCTGTGCGCCCAGGGGGGGGGGGGCATGGATGGGGCTTGTATAGAGACATGTGAGGGGGTGGAGGGGCGCGGGGACGAGGGAGAGTTTTAAGAGAGGCGAAGGAGGGAGCAGGGAGTGGCGAGATGAATGCAGATGCAATGCACTTACGACTGCTCTCTCTCCTGGCTCTCCTCTCGTCAACCCATCTTCCAACCACCCTTTTCGTCCCACTCTCCTCCCCCTCACCCCCTCCCTCCCTCCCCCCCCCCCCCCACCAGGTATGGCGAGGCGTTCCCGGTGTCGGCCCAGGCGCTGGACCCCAACTTCACGGTGCCCATCGGCAAGGCCAAGGTGGAGCGCGACGGCAAGGACGTCACCATCGTCGCCTTCTCGCGCATGGTCGGGCTGTCTCTTAAGGTCAGTGCTGCGTGCGCTAGGGATGTCTCGCTCCGCCTGCATGCGGAAGCCAGTGCTGATGACTCGTGCAACATTTTCGACCCTGCCCTTCCTGTCAGCAGCCTTCAGCTTTCTCGGTCGCCCAACTTCATCTACTCTCCCCATGCCCCCTGCTCTCTCTGCGTCTGCCTGTGTGTGCCTGTGTCTGCCTGTGTGTGCCTGTGTGTGCCTGTGAGTGCGCCCTGGCAGGCGGCGGACGAGTTGGCCAAGGAGGGCATTTCAGCTGAGGTCAGTCCCCCCCCTCCCCCCCTACCATGCCACTCCATGCGTGCTCTTTGCCCACAGTCCCTTGCTCGTTCTACCTTGCAGCAAAGCACCCACACTGCCCCTGCTCTCAACCCTACAGTACGCCCCCCCCCCCCCCCTCCCTCGGTCGCGCTGCAGGTGGTCAATCTGCGCACGATCCGGCCGTTGGATCGCGACGCCATCAACGCTTCGGTGCGCAAGACGTCGCGACTGGTCACCGTGGAGGAGGGGTGGCCGCAGTCGGGTGTCGGCTCCGAGATCTGGTGGGCCATCGGGGTGGTACAGTCGGGTTTGGGGGGGAGGAGGCTGGCGAGGCATTGGGGGGGCCCTGGAACATGGGTGCTGGCTGGGGATGGGGGGTGCTGCCAGGAACACCAGCTGCCGTTTTCTCTCCTCACCGCCTGACTTTTCTCTGCCTTGCTCTCTGTGCCCTTAACCCCACGCCCAACTCCCTGTACCTCCCTTCCCTTGCGCCCCTCCCCCATGCGCTTATGCCTTCCCCCCTCCCCCCGTGTGTTTGTGTGCGCAGCGCCTCGGTGGTGGAGTCGTCCTTTGACTACCTCGATGCGCCTGTGGAGCGCATCTGCGGCTCCGATGTGCCCATGCCCTATGCTGCCAACCTCGAGCGCCTTGCTCTGCCGCAGGTGCGTTTGCTCTCCACTCCCCCACCCATGGCCCTCTCTCCAACGTCATTTCCCCTCCTCTCTCACTCCATGCCTCCCGTGCTCTGCTACTATGCGATCATGCAAAGCATCTCCATGTACACCACACCTCATACACCTGGGCTCGATAGTTGGAAGAAGTTTGTGCTCTGCTGTCACGTGCTGCGTTGTGCCGTGCGCCCATGCGTGCAGGTGGAGGACATCGTGCGGGCATGCAAGCGAGTGTGCTTCCGCTCTGCTGCACCCGTTGCTGCCACGGCTTAGGGGGCAATGTGCAATGGAGCCCTGTCAAACACACCATACACCTCTTTCTGTAGTTAGGCTTTGTTACACCATAGCCAGTGTAAGGCATACTGATGCATGGCTGTACAAGAGCAATTTTATTTGGGCTTATAAATCGTATACCATAACAAGCACAGCATCACCAATGAGTCGCGTGGTGCAACGGGTAAAAACGCGTTTTGAGTATGGTGCAACTGGGTTTATCGCACGTCTGTTCTTGGGTTCAGGTTCTAGGAATGCGCCCTTAATCGCTCAAAGCTACCTTCAAAGCATGCTACAAAAATAACAAAAGTTATACATGAATGGGTAGCCACAGGACAGCATGTGGCTTGCTAACACTCAGTACGTATATTTAGTGCAAGCTGCTACTAGTCCAGGCTTCCACAGTTGATTGTTTCTCTTGCATCGTGCCACAAGGTTCTCCTCTCCAACTTCGGCTCTCCCACGTTTACCGCAAGTCTCAGAATATGCTCGCAAACTCGCTGCCCTCCCATCCCAGGCGCAGCATTTGATCCACCATCTTCACACTCAGCTGCCGAGAGGGGGGGGGCGAGGGGAGGGGAATGGAAGAGGGGAGGGCGAGTGGAAGGGAGGGGTTGAGCACCAAGACGATCTGTGTTGTGCAGGCAGTTGTTGGTAGTGGCTACAGAGGGGCTATTGAAGACCCAATGCAGCCATACACTCAAGGCGGCCATGGCTCAAGCCCACCCACCGCTCAAGGCCACGCACCGCTCAAGACCGCCCACCACTTAAGACCGCCCTGAGGGGGTTACTGTAAAGAATGAGCTTACAAGAGGGTTGCTGTAGAGGATGAGTTGGCCCGGTGCAAGGTCAGCAGACGTGGAGCACAGCAGGTTGGTGTTGTCGGCTGACAGCGCCAGCGCCGTCACGTCCGTGCCCTCGGGCAGCTTGAAGCGACACAGCGCCTGCTTGTAAGGGGGATGGGGCAAGGAGGAGAGTGGGGCTCGTAAGGGGGATGAGCTGTGGAGGAGAGAGGGGAAGAAAGGCTTGTGCATGCTGACAGGCCTTGCCAGGCAATGCGGTGATGAGCAGGCGTGCATGCTGTGTGCCAATAGTTGCGATTGCACACTGACTACAACACGCACACCGAACAGGAAAGGCACAATGCGGGCGAGAGACACACCTTGAGGGAGAAGAGGTCCAGCAGCGAGACTGCTGATCCGCGCTCCTTCCGCGACCCGCCCTCATCCGTATCCCTCCAGTCCGCCAGTGCGTCACCCGCCCCTGCAACCATCTTTCCACCCTCTCCATTCCCCCCTCCGCCCTCCTGCCTCTCACTGCCTCTATCGGCCTCTCCTGCCTCCCCTCCCTCTCCCCCCTGGCCACGGGCCGTCTCCTCTTTCTCCCCATCCAAATCCCCACCCCTCTCCTGCCTCTCTCCCCCAGCCTTTCCCAGTCCCACCTTCTCCCCTGCCTTCACAGCAGCCCGCTCCAGTTCCTGCTGCCTCTCCTTCTCCCTCACGTGCCGCCACCGGCTGCAGTCAGTGCCCACTGCCAGGAACAGACCGTTGCTTGACACCTGCAGCCCGCTCACATCGCCATCTTCCTCCGAGATGCTCACCCCCGCCACCGCCCCGCCGTTGATGGTGAATGCCCGCAGGGTCCTCGGCTGCCGCTCCCACACCACCACCACCCCCTCGGGGGAGATGGCGAGCACATCCGCGGGCCCCACGCCCGGCAGCTGGCGCAAGAAGCGGCCCTTCATGAGGGAGTGCAGGATGACGCCGCGCGAGCGCGAGGAGGACGCAACGAGGTCGAGGTCGGACGACACGGCGCAGCACAGGAGGTCGTCCAGGTGGCCCCGCAGCACCTGCACCGGCCCCTCCATGCGCCGCCACTTGCGCGGCGCCTCTAGCCCCCCCCCCATGCCCATGCCCCCCGCCGCACTCAGCAGGAGAGCCGCTTCCGACATCCCCCCGCCTGCACCTCTGTCCTGGTAGTCCGCCCCGCCCACCGCCACACTCCCGGCGCGCTCCTCACTTGCCGACACTGCGGCTGCAGCCGCTGCCAGAGCCGGGTCATGCGGGCCTGTGGGAGCTGCCGTGCTTCTCCTCGCCAGGCGCCCCCCTCCCCCCCCCCCTGCGGCCACGAGGCCAGCAGTGACCCCCGCGGCAGGGGAGGCGGTGAAGGGCGCACTGGCCTGGTTGACCCGCCACAGCAGCACCACCCCGTCTGTGGCGCCCGTGGCCAGGGTTGCACCATCAGGGGAGAGCGCGAGGCAGGTTACCGGGCCCGCGTGCACCGCGGCTGTCTCCAGCACGCGGGTCGAGTCAACCGACACCAGCTTCACAGAGAAATCCGCGTGTCCCCCCGTGAACAGGAACTTGCCGTCCGGGGAAATTGCAATTATCTCCTTCCCCCCGCCGCCTCCTCCTTCCCCTCCCATTCCCACTGTGCCTGCTGCTGACGAGGTGTGCTTGACCCCCGGAGCAGGGAGGGCCACGAGGCGAGGGTAGAGGGAGGTCTCGCTGTTGCTGCCCTTGCTGCCCAGCGCTGCACCTGTCAGCATGCGCAGGATGGCACTACCAGTCAACGAAGACCGCCCAGGCTGAAACAAAAACGGCCACCCGTGGCCATCCGGGGTGTTGGGCTGCCATTGATGCACCGCCACATGGCACGCTGGGGCATTCAGATCGACGGTCACGATGGAATCTGACGTGGCGACAATTCGACTCGCGGGCACGTTGAGCGTATCCGGATTGGGCAGCACGTAGGGCAGGATCTCATCGGGCTTGCGGAAGACAGTGTGCAGGTGCAGGGCGAAGTCCAGGGGGATGCGCTGGGGGTGCGGCGTGGTGAGCAGCTGCGAGGGCGTCTGGCCGAAGTACGAGATCTGATCCTGCATGCCGCGCCGCACAATCTGGATGGCGGGAGAAGGGAGAGGGACAAGGTTCACGCATGGGTGCGCAAACAGGGTTGCGAGGTTGAGAGGGTGGCGGTATGGAGCATACAGGGTTGCGAGGTTGAGAGGGTGGCGGTATGGAGCATACAGGGTGGCGATGGCTCACAGGGTTGGTTGGTGGGAAGAGAGAGGTAGCAAAGAGGCTCACGGGGTTGGTGATGGAGTCGATGTCCACTGCCCCCTCGTACGTGACATAGAAGAACACGTTGTGTGCGTTGAGGGCCTCCTTGCCCTTCTGCTTGTAGCTGCCGCAGGGATCGGGAGCAGCAGGAAGGGCGACCCAGGAACAATAAGGGGGCAGAGGAGACAGGCGAAGCAGGAAAATGTTGGGAAGGAATATTAAAATGTTGGGAAGGAATATTAAAATGTCGGACAACGAGCACGGGAGGTTGAATGGCAAAGCGACATAGAGACAAGGCGACGAGGCCGAGTTGACGGTAAGCGCACCCGAAGATGAGGTCGATCCAGTGGTGCAGGTTGCTGCTCACGTATTCGCTCTCCAGTGCCGCCCGCTGCTTGCGCACAAAGTCCGCTGCACTGGCAGCCCAAGGGGGCAGCTTCACATCGCCTGGGGGGAAGGGCATTCAGGCACGACGGCGGGGGGAGGGGGAGGAGGGGGGGAGTGCGGGGGAAAAGGTAGGGGAACGTTTACTTGTAGCCTTCATAACAATGCAGCAAGGAAGTTTGAAGGCTATGCACTGTCCACTGACGTTGACCTCCAAGCATTCAGTGACCCTGTCCTGTGCGACGGTGCCATGTTGGTGAGTGGCGACGGGAGCTCACCGATGACCTCTCCCTTCTGTGTGGAGCCGAGGTGCAGCCCGTTGACGTTGCAGAACATCTCAGGCAGACAGAACCACTCGGGGATCTGAGCAACGCACACAACGAGAGAGAACAAAAGGGTGGGGAGGACAAAGGTGGCCTCAACCGTACGTAAAAAATCCACAGGGCCATTCCACAGGGGAAAGACAGGTCGACAGGGCTGTTAAGACCATCAACTTCCATCCAAGACTCCCCTCCCGCCCCCCTCCCTCACCAGCTCCTTGACATCGCTCATGTCGCTGGTGACCCCCCGCCACGTGGCGGCCACGTCGAGGAAGAGGCGGTCGGGGTGGTCGAACTGCCCACCCTGCAGGGCCAGCGCCAGCGACGTGTATGGCTCCACTCGCAGCAGGTAGTGCGCCACCTGCAAGGAGGGGGAGGCGGGGGGAAGGGAGGGGGGAGGGGGGGAGAGCGGGAGGAAGAGTGAGTGAGGCAGAGCGAGGGGTGCGTTCACGCATGCGCTCATGGGACGTGCAGGGCTACACTCGCAGCAGGTAGTGTGAACCCTGGGGTGGAGAGAGGGAGAGCGGGGGAGTGAGTGAGAGTGAAGCTAGAACAAGGGTGAGGGAGTAAGGTATTGTTACAATATATCCTAAATCTATAGCATGTAGTATGTTAGTGTTGTAGTGTAGATGAAGGTTTGGGTTGGTTGGGTCAACCAACCCTTGACCCCAATTCTCGAGAGTTCCAATAATGTTGGCCAACCCAACATTATTGGCCCTCCTATAATTGGTGGTCAACCTTCCCAACCATTATTGGTTCACCCAATAATGGTTGGGTTGGTCAACCCCTCTTTGACCTAGGATTGGCTACCTAGCTACACAGCCCTGTATCCTCTCTCTCTCAATCTATCGACTCACCTTCTTTCATGGTACCAGAGCTTTTCGATCCCCTCCTGTGAGAATTTCCCCGCTCCACCTCACGCTCCTCCCTAGCGCATTCCAAGCTAGCTCATACCCTTCCTCCACGCAACTCACGCCACTACCGCATCCTACGCGCTAGCCTGGTTCACCCCCCTACCGTTTTCTTTTTCCGCGCCCTCCTTTAGTCCTTCACAGCACCCTTATTCCTCTCAGCGGAATTCCCGCCCGTCCTGAAATTTCAACATTTCAGACGGTGCGCCCGCTCGAGGCGGCGAATTCACCTGTCGCCCTCCCCCTCGCAGCCCTGCGCTGCCCTTCGTCGCGGCGCTTTCGCCCGACGCCCCTCCACTCCCTCGTCGCAACGCTCGCGTCATTTCGTCGCGGCGGCACTTCGCCCGACGCCCCTCCCTTCCCTCGTCGCGGCGCTCACGCATCCTCGTCGCCGCGGCATTCTGCCCGATGCTCCTCCTGGCCCTCGTCGCGGCGGCCCATTGCCCGACGCCCCCTCCCTGTCCGCGCCCTTGGCCGCATCGTCGCGGCTATTCCCGCCTGCCTGACGCCCGCCGCGCGCTTCCTCGACTGACGCCTTCGCCGCGCGCAGTCCGTCGCGCCACCTCTGCGCCTTCGCCCGTCGCATTTGCAAACGCCGTACGCGGCGGCGGCGTCCGTCCGGATTACTACGACGACCCCGCAGCGACATCTACCGTCGCATCGCCAGCAGCTCGCCGCGGAGTCTCCTTCAGCGCCCCCTGCGCCAGCGGCTGCAGCTGCACCAGCTGCGCCGTCAGCAGCGCCATCGGCAGCCGCAGCAGCGGCGGTACCAGCCACGACAGTGGCAACTGCAGCAGCGGCGGCAGCATCAGCGGCAGCAGCGCAGCACGAAGTCTGCAGCGCCGGCGGCGACAGCAGCAGCGGCGGCAGCAACGGCAGCAGCAGCGGTGGCATCAGCGACAGCAGCAGGGGAAGCAGCATCAGCAGCAGCAGCAGCAGCAGCGGCAGCAACAGCTACAGCAGCAGCTACAAGCAGCAGCGGCAGCAGTAGCGGCAGCAGCAGCAGCGGCGTCGGCGGCAGCAGCGGCAGCAGCAGCAACGCCCCACCATGGCGACCGACAGTGTCAACGTTGACACAAGCTCCGTCGACAAGCTCGAGCTTGTCAACACCACGACGGCGGTCAACTGGCACTCGTTCTCCCACAAACTGCACATGCTCCTCCGCTCCACTTGGGTCAGTGGCTACCGCCTCTCCACAGTAGTCCTCCGCGAGCCTGCGGGCCTGCAGCCCACCGAACCTGTCTCGCCTGGCGACCCCCCCCCTGCTGCTCCCCCTCTGCCTGGGCCCGCCCCTGCAGCGCCTGCTCCTGCCCTCTCTTACGACGACCCTCACACCTTCGCCACTCGCATTGCTACCTACGCCACCTCCCGAGACACCTGCACCCGCAACCTCGATGCTCACACCGCCCTGGTTGCAGAATATGACGCGGCCCTAGCCCTTGTTCAAAAGCACGCAGATGCTATGGTCACTCACGCCACAGCTGTTGCTACCTTCAATGCCCGCAGTGAGGCATGGTGCTCTGCGGATATGAAGGCACTCGGCATCATCTTCGCCTGCCTTCCCCCCTCCCTCAAACGTGCGCTGGACCCGGCCTCCTCCTGGGCCCTCTGGACCGAACTCCAGGCGACCTATGATCGCCAAGACCTCGCCTCCCTCCATGCCCTCTACCGCGAGTTTCACTCCATCACACTCGACACCTGCACTGGTGCCGCGGACTTCACTCGTCGTCTCAGTGGCACTGCTGCTCGCCTCACCGAATGCGGGGCTCGTGTCGACCCCTCCCTCCTCAACTGGCGCCTGATGGATGGCCTCACCGAAGCATATGCTGTTCACAAAATTGCCTACACCCAACTCCTTTCCCTCCATGTCCCCACCGCAGATATCATCACCTGGATTCTTGCGACTGAGAATGAACTCAACCTCACCGACTCCCCTTCCCTCAACTACACCCAATCTCGGGGTGGGCGTGGGGGACGTGGTGGGCGCAGCGGACGAGGAGGACGCGGCGGTCGCGCCAATCCTGCTGCTACCTCCACCTCCCCTCCTCCCATTCGTTCACCCAATAATGGTTGGGTTGGTCAACCCCTCTTTGACCTAGGATTGGCTACCTAGGTACAAAGCCCTGTATCCTCTCTCTCTCAATCTATCGACTCAACTTCTTTCAGTTATTTGCACGTATTGCCGTGGATAGTCAGTTCGCAGCTAAAGAGAGTGAGTGTGGCGCTGACTCACGATGCCGGCGCTGGAGTAGTGCGAGCCGTAGTGGAACTTGGGGATGATGGGGTCCGCGAAGCTGTGGTAGCGCTCGATGAACTTCTCCAGCCGCGCCGCGTCCAGGGCGCCCACCGGCTGTGATCGAGGAGGGAGGGGGTTGCAGCGGAATGAAAGCCAGCAAGCAGTGAAGGGAGAGGTGAGTGTGTGCTTTGAAAGGAGGCGAGACTTGCGGGTGCGAGAGGAGAGGGGTGGATATGATGGAGCAGGTGAAGATAGTTGAGGAGAGAGAAAGACGAGAGGGAAGTGAGTGAAGGAAGGCAACAGGTTGAGGAGAATGGCGCCAAAGCGGAGGTCTCTGGGTGCAGGTGAGGTGAAGGCACCTTGGAGAGATCTCTGAATGTGGCTGGGTTGGTGAGATCGAGCTCCTTGGAGGTATAGTCCTGAATCACCCAGGGGAATACGGGGTACTGGCAAGAAGGGGTGGGGGGAGGACGGGGGAGGAGGGGAAAGAAGGATTATGAGGAGGGAACAGGAGGGTAACGGGAAGGAACATGGGGAAGAGAATATGCAGCCAACCACAGAGAACCCCCAACGAAACAATCAGAGCTGTTGCTTGCTGGTAGAGTCATGTAATTCACCTGATCGTTGGATTCACCCAAGTGGCATAGTTGAATTCAACAGTGACTTCACCTGATGGTTGGATTCACCCAAGTGGCATGGTTGAATTCAACAGTGACTTCACCTGATCGTTGGATTCACCCAAGTGGCATGGTTGAATTCAACAGTGACTTCACCTGATGGTTGGATTCACCCAAGTGGCATGGTTGAATTCAACAGTGACTTCAACTGATCGTTGGATTCACCCAAGTGGCATGGTTGAATTCAACAGTGACTTCACCTGATCGTTGGATTCACCCAAGTGGCATGGTTGAATTCAACAGTGACTTCACCTGCGTGACGTCATTGAATGTGCGGCCGGCTAGCGTGTTGAGCTGCATGAGATAGTCGAAGTTGGTGATCTGATGGGCACGGATGAGGGATGAGGGGTTGGAGGCAGAAGGAAAGAAGGATGGGGGCGAAGTGGGATGGCGAGACAAGGGACTGCAAGTGAAGCAGATAGTTCCATGGGGAGGCATTGCCTAACTTTAACGCACAGATGCTTCCAACAACATTAAAAGGCAGAGTCTTGAGGAGAGACGAAACACTGAGAGAATCGTCCATCTCACCCGTCTCCACTACCACCACGCCTCTCCCCTACCAGCACACCCCTCCCCTATCATCTCACCTCTCGCCTGAGCCATCTCTCTGTGAGCTGCAGCCGCTCAAGCATCTTCTCCGGGCGCTACGGGGATGGCAGGGGGACACAGGGGCACACACATGTGGGAGCAAACGGGGTCATTCTCCCACCTGTGTTTCTCTGTGTCTCTAGCCTGCCAAGCGCATGTCCCTAGCCTGTAATGTCCTTGATAGACAGGTGAGAGTGAAAAGTGTTCCACATGTGAGAGAGGTTGAGAAGGAAAGGTAAGTGTGAGAAGAAGAGACGGGCGCACCTGTGTGGGCAAGAAGTGGTGCTGCAGGTGCGGCGGGTTGGCGTGCTCTATGGCTCGGTGCACCCGTAGCCGCTCCTCTGGGCCCTGGTAGGGAAGAGAGGGGAGAGGCAGGGAGAGGAGGGACGGCATGAGGCCTTCACGACAGCGTGAGCCTTGGTTCCACGTGTGGAGGAGGCTGGGAGAGGGGAAGAGGGAGGGAGAGAATGTGCAAGCGTGCTGCCATGACACGTCACCATGTGGTACTCTCTCCATGTCTCAAGGCCCCAGCTCATGTACCCCATCACATGCAGCACCCATTGCATCACATGCAGCACCCATCGCATCCCATGCAGCACCCATCGCATCCCATGCAGCACCCATGGCACCTCGAAGTTGAAGAAGAAGTTGGAGCGGTCGATCATGAATATCTCCAGGGCAGAGCGCCGCAGCAGATACCTGGCACAGGGGGCACGCCCAGGGGAGGAAACAGGGCAGATGCACGAGGGATAGAAGCAGAGAGGGGCAGAAGCAGAGAGGGGCAGAAGCAGAGAGGGGCAGAAGCAGAGAGGGGCAGAAGCAGTGAGGGGCAGAAGCAGAGGCAGAAGCATTGAGGGGCAGAAGCAGCGAGGGGCAGAAGCAGCGAGGGGCAGAAGCAGCGAGGGGCAGAAGCAGCGAGGGGCAGAAGCAGTAAGAGGCAGAAGCAGAGAGGGGCAGAAGCAGAGAGGGGCAGAAGCAGAGAGGGGCAGAAGCAGAGAGGGGCAGAAGCAGAGAGGGGCAGAAGCAGTGAGGGGCAGAAGCAGAGGCAGAAGCATTGAGGGGCAGAAGCAGCGAGGGGCAGAAGCAGCGAGGGGCAGAAGCAGCGAGGGGCAGAAGCAGTAAGAGGCAGAAGCAGTGAGGGGCAGAAGCAGTGAGGGGCAGAAGCAGTGAGGGGCAGAAGCAGTGAGGGGCAGAAGCAGTGCAGTGAGGCTCAGGAAGGTAACTTTGAGTTGGAAGGGGGAATGGGAACAGCTGACAACAGATATCAAGGAAACCGTGCCATGCGGAGCTTCAGATTCTGCCTTTCCATAACCACCTCACCACCACTCGCCGTCTGATGAACACCTCACCACTCGACGTCCGCTGCGCACCTCACCACTCACCGTCTGCTGAGCACCTCTCTCACTGACGTCAGCCGCCACACTCTATCCCGCGCCTTCTTCCCCCCCACACCCTCCTCCTCCTCTTCCCCTCCCCCTTCCCTCCGCTCGCTCCCCCCCTTCCTTTGTTCGTCCGCCCCGCTCTCCCTGAAGGTCACGGAGGGGTCCACGAGGAACAGCAGGCGCGAGGCGGTGACGAGCAGGCGGCCTGTGACGACCTGCAGGGGCAGCACCATCATGGCTGGCACCTCCACCATCACGCGCTCCCTCTCCCCCACCGCCACTTCTGCCGCCACCTCGCTGCCGCCCACCACGGCGGATAGTCCGGGCTGCTCGCCTGCAGCTGCTGCCACCGCTGCTACTGCGGATACGGCAAGTGCTGCAGGGGGAGCTGCAGCTGCAGTCGGGGCAGAAGTGGTGGGGGCGGCAGGAGCAGCAGGAGCAGCAGCAGCGAGACTGGCAATGGCACTGGTGGCACTGGGGGTGGTGGTGGAGAGAGGCTCAGAGGGTGCAGCAGAGGCTGATGCTGCCTGGCCTGTCGGCTCGGCAGCCTGCCTCACTCCTCCTCCATCTGCCTGCTTCACTTCCCCGCCATCCCTCTCTTCTGACTCAGCACCCTTCGCCTCCAAAGTATCGGGCCTGCCGGGGCCATCTGCGCCTGGTTCACTGGCTGTGAGGTGTGCACCACCCTTCAACGCCTCATGCTCTGCAGCCATGCCCCCGCCCTTAACCTCACCTGCTGCCTTCACGCCTTCAGCATCCCCCTCTGCTGCAACTTCAACTTCCTGTGTCGTGTTGCCATCTCCCCCTTTCCCTCTGTCCTCCCCTGCCCCTTCCACTCCCGCACCTCCCTCCCTCTCCTCTTCCCCTTCCTGCTCCTCTTCATCCTCCCTCACCTCCGCCGGAGCATCAAAGTCTTTCACAGGAGCGGGCAGGCAGCCCCCCAGCAGCCCTGACGCGTCTTCCACTATGGCCCCTCCGGCCTCGTCCACACCTCCCCTCCCAGCGCCATCCCCTGCGCTGCCATCGCCCTCACCAGCACTACTCTTCTCTACAGCTCCCTCCTGCCCATCCTCCTTCCCGCCCCCCTCTCCATCCGCACTCACAGCCCCAGCACCCTCTCCCTCTGCCGCCTCTACCCCCTCCCCACCCCCCTCCACTTTCTCTCCCACAGCACCCACAGAAGCCGGCTCTCCCCCCACCTCCACCCTCGTCTCTCCCCCACCTCCCTCCTGCGCCCGCTGCCCCTCCTCGCCCTTGGCTTCTGCCGCATCCCCTGCCCCCTCGTCCCCCCGGGCGCGGCGGATGGCGTCCATCTCGTGCTCGTCGCGGAAGTCAGCAGCCAGCCCGTGGCAGTCGGAGCCGCCATAGTTGCGCACCATGCGTCGCCGCATGCGCGAGCCGCTCTCCACGCGGTCCACCTTCCAAAACACCTGCGTTGGGGGGGGAAGGGGGGGCAGCAGTGAGGCTGCTGGTCCATCCACCGCATGCACGACCTGCTCTCCATGCACTCCACCTTCCAAAACACCTGAGGGCGGGGAGGGGGGGGGAGCGGCAGGGGAAAAAGGGGGGGAGAGGGAAACCGGCAGTGAGGTTGTCGGTTGTGAGGCAGAGAGGAGGGTGGAAGTGGGGTTAGGGGTTAGAGGGGCACAGGTCTAAGGTTGAAAGGAACAGAGAGAGCAGTTGAAAATCCTGCCACGCCACCCACTCACCTTGCGCTGCTTCAGCTCCTGGTAGCTTCCCGGAAGGCCCACCAGGAGCCCTGACTCGAGCAGCTGGCGAACGAGGGAGCGCCACATGCGCATGCCAGCTGTGTGCGCGCGTGCCATCTGCGTTTCTATCTTCACCCGCCGCAGCCTCTGCCCAGGAGAGAGGGAGCAGGAAGGGCAGGGCAGAGGGCGGGGGTAAGGGGAGGAAGAGGAAGAAGGTTGGCGTTGCTCTCACTGTGCGGCCTTGGCATCGTGTATGTGCACACATACTCATGGCGCCAGTAACAACGTGCTTGTTGCAGCATAATGCACGGGAAGAAGGGAGGGTACCTGAGCCCGAATGAGGCCGCGCATGCCGTCCAGGTGCTGCTGCAGCCCTCCCAGAGTCGGCCCCAGCGCCATGGCGTTCAGCGTGTCATCCGACCCTGACGCCCCCACTCCTCCCTCCCTCCCTTCCCCTCCTCCCCCACCCCCACCAGCAGCAGCAGCGCTGCTGCGAGTGGCAGGGGAGACGGGGATCCCATGGCTGCAGTCCCACGCCTTCTCCATGGCCTCCCCCAGGCTCCACCGCTGCGCCCTGTCCTTGTCCCCATTCATGCGCCGCTGAGACGATGTCGCCCCCTCCCGCTCCCCCTCTTGCCTCCCTCCCCCCCCCTTAGTCACACCGCTGCGCCGTGCGGAAGGGCGCCTGTTGACTGCTGAGCTGGAGCTGTGCTGGCTGGGCGGCACGTGATGGCTGCTAGTGCGGTGGACGGTACCAACCGTGCCGCTGCTGGTACCAGAGAAGCTGCTAGCTGTGGCAGCAAGGGCGGTGCTACCAGTGGGTGTGGTGGCACTAGGGTGAGTGGAGGTGCGGGAGACAGGAGCTGAGGAGAGGTTGGTGAGGGAGGAGGAGGAGGAGGAGGAGGTGAGGGGGGTGGGGAGAGCAGTGGAGCCGGGGCCAGCAGCAGCAGCCATGGCTGCAAGGGCGGTGGAGGCGGGGGGGGAGGCGAAGGCTGCCACCCAGATGACTTGCAGCAGAGCCAGCGACGCCTGGGGGGGGGACAAGGGGGACGAGAATAGAATGAAGCGGGGTGGGAGAGGAGACGGGAGGAGGGAACAGCAGCAGCCGTATCCAGTTCAGCCAAGGTAAAGAGCAGTTCTTTTGCTTCTTTTAGGCACACGACGATACGAATAGCCACCCACCCACCTCTTCAGCAGCAGCGTCGGTGGCCAGAGCGCGGTCGTGGTCCCTCAAGAAGGGGTTGTGGCCCTCAAAGTCGGTGAGCTCAGCGATGAAGGCAAAGGCGGGGCGCCACTTGCGCAGGAGGGCGGCCAAGGGGGGCAGCAACACCGCAATGAGGGACGGACGCAGGATGGTGCGCGATGGGGCAATGGCGTGGATGGCCTGTGGGTAGGAAAGGGGTGGGAGACGGGGGGGGTGCAGATAGGTTGGGGACTGGAGGCAGTGGGATTGTTGCAGCAAGGGTGGTAGCAGGACAACAGCCAGCAGGGGCAGCAACACCGCAATGAGGGACGGACACAGGATGGTGCGCGAGGGGGCAATGGCGTGGATGGCCTTGGGGGGGAGAAAGGGGGAGAGGAGGAGAGAAAGGGTAAGTGTGGCTTGGTGGGGCAGGGGATGATGAGGGGGGAAGTGATGACTGTGGGGGGGTGGAAGCACGGGTGGTAAGAGCGCGGGGAAGACCAGTTCCGGTACTTGCCTCTGTGTGCAGGACAGCAGATGTGGCCAGCGCACACTGCTTGCGCGCATCAAGCGACGCTGTGGTGAGCAGCGGCAGCACGACCCTGCAGGGAGGGAGGGGGGTGAATACCAACGGGCGGAGGGAAGAGAGAAAGTCGGGACGGTGGGAAGAGAGAAAGTCGGGACGGTGGGAAGAGAGAAAGTCGGGACGGTGGGAAGGTCAGCGGAGGGAGGGATGTGTGGCGCCGGACGCCATAGTCCATGGAAGTGGCGCAATATCGTGACACACATGAGGTACTGATGCACTGGATGCTGCACCGTGCATGCCACCTGATGTACAGCAGGCATGCACGCACATACCGCCAGAGCAGGGAGCTGAGAACGCCAGGAGAGATCCCCTCCAGCTCAGCTCGTTCCAGGGCCACTGCTCCCCCTTCGCCTCTCTTCACCAACCCTCCCCCTGCAACCCCTCCTGCCCCTGCCGCCCTCTCCCCCACACCCGAATCTTCTCGCCCACCTTCTCCCCCCTCTCCTCCCTCGTCCACCACATCACTGAGCTCCCTAGCAGCCACAGCAGCGAGCCTGAGCACAGTGAGCAGCGTCTGGTCGTCCTCCAGCAGCCGCTGGCTCGCCCTGTTCAGCACGCCCCCTGGGCTGCCCCCTCCCAGCATGTTCGCTATCCCCCCCACCACCGCCAACACCCCCTCTGCCGCCCCTCCCCCTGCCTTCCCCCCCTGCGTCTTCCCTCCCTCTCCCGCTCCACTCTCTCCTCCTCCTCCCCCTCCCTCGCCCCCCTGCGCCACCTCCCCTTCCTCCAGCAGCATCGATCGCAGGATCCCAACCGCCTTCACCACAAGAGGCAGATCCTGCCACCGCCCCGTCACAGGGTCCATCTCCACTGCTGCCGCCCACGCCGCCCGGCCCCCACCCCACCCTGGGCCACCCTTCCCTTCTGGCGGCAGCGCCACCCCATACCACAGCTTGCTCCTGTGCCCCCAGCTGAGGGGTAACTCCTGGGAAATGGACCCGTAGGTGGGCAGTGCGCAGCGTACGCCCTCAAAGGGCTCAGCACTAGTGGAAGCGGTGATCCTATCGAGCATGGCGGGGGTGAGCTGCCCCGTGTCATCCGCCATGAGGCCGAGCATCTCGAGGGTGATCAGGTCCGTAGGGCTGCGCCTGCGGGAGGAGGAGCCGGAGGAGAGCAGCGGGTTGGACAGCTGTGCAGCCAGAGGTTTTAACCCCGCCGCCGCTGCTGCCGCCGCTGTTGCCGTGGTGCCGGGCAGCGCTGCAGCAGCCGAGGCAGGCGTGGGGGAGCCAGCAGGTGCCTCCTGCCAGGCAGCGGGGCGGGAGCCGGGGAGGGTGTCATCGGCATCGAAGGCGAGCGTGGCGAGGGGCAGGGGCGAGCGCGCTGCGGCGTGGATGCGGAGGAAGTCTTCGAGCAGCATGAGCAGCGCCACTGCGTTCTCCAGCAGGCAGGCGGAGGTGGCGGACACGAGTAGGGGGTCGGGGGAGCGAGGGTGGGGGGAGGAGGGCGTGGGGGAGATGGGGATGTCCACGGGCAGCGGGGACGACAGGGCTGCTGCCTCCGCTGCCGCTGCTGCTGCCGCCGCTGCTGCGGCCTCCACTTGGGCCTGTGCAGGCGGGGAAAGAGGCGACAGGGGAGGCTTGGTTGGTAAGATGGACAAGGGAACACAAGGAGAAGGGCAGAGAGAAGCAGGGGAGAATGCGACGCAAACAGAAGCCTGCTGAGCCTATCACAAACACAGTCCCATCTGACCTGCCATGACACAGTCCCATGTGACCTGCCATGACACAGTCCCATGTGACCTGCACTGTCACAACACAGTCCCGTTTGACCTGTGTCAATGCAGTCACGGCTGACCTGCACTGTGAGCTGCGCGGCAGTGAAGTCCATGACGCCATGCAGCAGCCGCCGCTTCACCGTCGCCATGCCCGCCTCACGCCTGTCGGGGGTTAGGGGTGAACAGATGAGGTCTTTCTGAGTCGCAGGGGTAAAAAATGAGGTGATTCGCGAGTGACAGGGGTGACTTACTGTTATTGACTGGTAACTACTGTAGGGATGATGACTTACTTGACTCGCTCTGGGCCGATGCTGGATCCACCAATGAGAGCCATCCACTCGAGGCAGTGGAAGGTGGCCTCCAGCTCCTGGAGAAGGGGAGATGTCAATGGCAAGGGGCATGGGGAGGGTGAGGGATGGCATGATGGCATGATCCAGGACGGCATGATGGGATGATGGGGTGCTGTAAAAAGCACAGAGGGAGCAAGGCATGCCACTCACCTTCCAGCCGTCCTTGAACGTCATGCAGTGCTCCAGCACGGTCCCCAGGAACGTGAAGATCATCTCGTTCACAGCCACCCGCTCCCCCTGCTCACCCGTCACCTCCCCACCGCTGCCATCCCCATCCCCATCCCCACTATCAACCTCCTCGTGGCCCTCCCCCTCCGCATCCACCACCTCTGCCCCCACCCCCTCTGCGCTACCAGCACCCGCAGCTGTGTGCGTGCCTTCACCCTTCTCCTGCTGCCCCTCTTCTCCCCCCACCCGTTGCTGCCCCTGCACGCCCCCTTGGGTGCTGCTGATGGAGCACGCTCCAGCAGGCAGTCGCTGCAGGGGGGAGAGGCGGAGCACACAGGGAGTGGGTGGGAGAGGCAGGAGAGGCGTGAGGGACGAGGGAGCGGCAAGAGAAGAGGCTGTGGAAGCAGCTGATGGAGCTCAGGCCAGCAGACAGCCGCTGCAAAGCAGAGGGAACCAAAAGAGGAAAGGGGCCATGCGGACAGCAAGTTGAGGAGGGAGGAAGGGAGGTGGGAGACGAGGGGGAGAGGGTGCAGTGCAGCTGTGCAGGCGTGGCATGCCCACATGTTCACGCGTCAGCCCACCTCGAGGTTGTCCAGGAGGGTTTCCAGCAGCCACTCGGGCCACTCGGGGATGCAGGAGAGCTGCCGGCGGTTGCTGCCGCTCACAGACACCAGCAGCAGCACGTCCTGAGGTGTGTGTGTGGGGGGTGAAGCGGGGATAGATGGTGGGGAAGAGGAGATTGTACGTGAGCAGGGAGGTAGGAATGCAGGAGAGCTGCCGGCGGTTGCTGCCGCTCACAGACACCAGCAGCAGCACGTCCTGGGGGGGGTGGTGAGGGGGAGGGGGAGATGAGAGGGAGGGGCGAAAACTGGATTGGGCAGGTAGAGAGAAGTGTGTTGAGCACGAGGAATCGACTGGAGGAGAGAGGGCGAGGGGGAAGGCTGACCTGCAGAATGGCGAGCTGGGTGCGGGGAGGAGCAGCAGGCAGCGCTCTGAGCAGCGCCAGCAGCAGCTGCAGCTGAGACGCAGCAAACGCCGTGTCCGCAGGCAGTACTGATGCTCCTTCTGCTGCTGCTCGTGCTGCCACTGCTGCTGCTGCTTCTGCTGCTGCTGCTTCTGCCCGAGTGGCTGCAGGACCCGCACTGGTGCTGCTGCTGCCGCCCCTGTAAGTGATACCACTATCACCGGCTCCCTGCACTGATGTGGCTGACTGCAGGGTGAATGCAACGGCAGGATGCACGTAGGGTAGGGGAGAACGTAATGAGGGGAGTAAGGAGGGCATAGGGGGGAGAAAGCATTGAGGGGAGAGAAGGATAACGAATGAATGGGAGGGGAATCGAAGACAATAATGAACTAGGAGTCCATCTCCCTGCACAACACCCCAACCACACCACAGCGCACGCACACCACCAGCCACACCAGCCACACCACAGCTCACACCAGCCACGCCCTTACCTCTGATCTGAGCACAGCAGTCATGAGCGCATGGTACACAGCAGGCGTGAGCAGCCTGCTAGGCGCCAGCTGCAGCGCCCTCTGAACGCCATACACCGCCCACGCCCCCACGTTGTTGCGGTCCCCCGCCCCTCTGTCCGCCACCACCGATCCCAGCCCTGCCCCCGGACCCCCAGGCACCAGCCCCAGCACTGCAGGGCTGCTCAGCCGGATGTACCCTCCCTCCGCTAGCAGCCCTAGGATGGCAACCACCGCGAGGAAGATCCCATCTGGGCCGTCCGTGAGGGGGAAATCGTGCGACTTGGGAGCGAGCAACGTCTGATCGCCAAAGGGGGAGGAGGTAAGGCGGCGGCCGCTGCGTCTGCCGCTGCCAGAGAGGGAGAGCGCTGCTGCTGCCGTGATGACGTCCGTTGACAGGCCGTGGGAGCCCTTGGCTCCGGCCGCCCTGCTGCTGGCCAAGGGCTGGCGGATGGAGACAGAGCGAGCCACTGAGACGGTGTTTCCGGTGGGGCCCGGAGCGAGAGCGCACATATCAGACGCCTGGAACAGGCCTCTCTCCTGGAGCTTCTTGATTATCTCTGCTGCCACGTCAAGCCCTGTTCGCGGCTCAAGAACCGGCTCCTCCTTCGCCTCCACCGCCTCCCCCGCTTCTGCAGCCTTTAACATCTCCCCATTCTTCCCCCCTGCTGCTGTCTCCTTCCCTCCCTCCTGCCTGCCGCTGCCAGCTGCTCCCCTCTGCCCGTCTACTGCCTGTGCTTCTGCCTCTGGAGCCTCACCGCGGAGCCCGAAGGGGTCAAAAAAGGCTTGCCAGGACGGGGTGGAGGCAGCGGGAGTGGACGGCTTGGGGGTGGGTGCCTTGGGGGAGAGTGCCCGGGAGGTGGTGGTGCTGCCTGGCACGTCCACCTTCAGCTCTGGGGTGGGCCCCGATCCCCCTGATCCACCTGTGGCCGCTGCTTCTGCTTCAGCTGTTGCGGCTGTTGCTGTGCCTGCTGCTTCTGGGGCCGACGGTGCGCCATCTGGTGCCACACTCGCTCCACCCACCACAGCACCACCCCCACCAGTTGCAACAGCTTCCACGCTACCCTCCCCCATGCTGGCTCCTTCCCCCGCTTCCACCACAGGCCCTGCACTCCCCTCAACGCCTCCCTGCAATGCACTATCCTTCGCCCCACCACTCCTCTCCGCCATCACCTCCCTCACACTGCCTGGCTGAGCCTTGCGGGGCACGGGAGGGAAGAGCAGGGGGGAGGACTCGCCCCACTGGCTCTCCCTCAGCAGCAGCGCGAGCAGCATTTGGGCGCCGCCTGCTGCAAGGAACTGAACGGAGAAGGCTGCTGCTCGCGCGGCGTTGGGGTGAGCCATGAGGCGGTACACTAGCAGCAGCACTCGCACCACCTGGCAAGCACATGGGGGGGAGAGAGGAGGGAAAATCTGAAACAGGAGAACTAGGAAAATGGGGTTGGCTGGTCTGGTGACATGGCGTGTTCATGGAGTGGGTGGGAGGACATTTTGGGAGCACAGGATATGGCAAAGAAGGTTCACCTGGTTGGGGTGGGGGCAGTCGAGCAGGAAGGCCACCAGCGTGCGCATGTCAGCGCCCATGGCAGCACTCGAGCTGCTGGCGAGCAGCAGCTCCAGCACGCCCACCACCGCATCCACCAGCGCGTTCACCTCGCCCATCCGCGCATGCTGCGCACCCACCACCTCCCCTTCCTCCTGCTGCTGCTGCTCATCTCCCTTGGCTTCCCCACTCCTCTGCCCACTGCCCTCTGCTGCACCATGGCTCCCAGCAGCAGCAGCGGTCACAGAGCGCGAGGAGGCGGGGCCTAGGGGCAGGGAGATGGCCTCGTGCTGCACCCAGTAGCAGCGGCGGCACCCGTCCAGCAGCACTGGCAGCGCGCCCGCTGCCCTCAGCGTGTGCTGCTCGCGCACTGCCACGGCGGCCAGGGACGACAGCACCTGCTGCTGCACGGGCAGGGGGCACGAGGCCCACAGCGGCAGGTGCAGCAGCAGGTGCAGGAAGAGGTGCGGCTTTAAGGGGTCGCCGAACCGCGGTGCCATGGCCAGCGCTGCAGCTGCCGTCACTAGCTGCTTGTCGTATGGCTCCCCCCTGGGATGCGCTGTCACAACCTGCTGCTCCCTCTGCTCCCTCTGCTCCTTGTCGGTGGCAGTACCATCGCCATGTGAGCCAACCCCATCCCTGCACCCCACCTTCGCTCCATCCCCCTTCCCTGCGCCCGTTGCCCCCTGTGCACACGTACTGAGGCCATACGCCACCATGTGAGCCAGCATGGCGGGTGCGCCTCCCTTCATCTCCTCACGGTTCATCCCATGCCGCATCGCCCGTCCCACCAGCCCCAGCACCCGTGGCAGCAGCCGGGCCGCAGCCACAGCAGCCAGGGGATCCGCTGACAGGGCAAGAGACTGTGGGAGAAACGAATCCGGCTGAATGGCGTTGATGCAGAGGGTGAGGAGCGCCAACGGGCCCCCCTGCCCCGCCTGCCAGATCACCTCGGGCACTCGATGCCGCGCCGCCACATGCACGTGGCCCAGCACTTCAGCGGGCCGCCTGTGCACGCCTGCAGCGCTGGCAGGAGACGCATCTGGGCAGAAGCGCCCCAGCAGAAGGCGCGGGTGGTACAGGAGGTGCAGGCGAGGGGCGAGGTCAGAGTCAAGGCTATAGGCGTCGTCTGCTGCCAGCATGAGCTGGTCGCTGCTCAGCAGCGCAGGCACACCCGCCCCCGCTCCAAAGCACGGCAGGTGGTCCCCTCCCCTTGCTGCCAGGCGCATCATCCTCTCAGCTCCGATGGGCTCCTTGAAGATGTACACCGGGCCCAGCTCAGCGAACAACGGGCACTGCTTGCGGCGGCGCTGCAGCCCCGCCATGGCGGCCGGCGGGTTGGTGCCGATGCAGAGAAAGCCCAGCGGGCGCGAGATGCGCGGCAGGTCCAGAGGCAGGGACTCGATGAGGCGGCCGTCCACGAACAGGCGGATCTCGCACTCCGCCTTGCCCAGCAACGATGGCTTGAACACGTGCTCGAGCCCAATGAAGTACCAGCGCTGGGGCTCAAACGCGTGCGAGAAGTGGAACGTGCTCTTGGACCCGCGGTGCGTGGACGACTCCACTATGAGGTACTCGCGGTGGAAATACGCCTCCACGCCCTGGCTCTCCGCCGTCAGGAAGCTGTACAGCCGCGGCATGTGCATCAGCCCCTCCCCCGCCAGGGCGCTCGCAGCAGCAGCAGCAGAGACAGCCGAGGTTCTGCCGACCTTAGCAGTGGCGGCAGCGGCAATGGCTGCAGCCATGGCAGCGGCGCCCACAGCAGAGCTCTCGGTGTCGTAGAACGACTCCACGTAGATCCACGTGGCGAAGGCGTACCCGCTGGCGAACGGCCACTTGCTGTCGCCCGGTCCCAGCAGCCCTGAGCTCTCGCCGTCCAGCTCAAACGTGTACGCCGGCGCCCGCACCTCCTCGCCCTCCATGGCCCCTTCCAGCGCATCCAGCAGCGCCGCCGCCCTCCCTTGGCTCACCCAACCCGCGGCTGCCCCACCCCCTCCTCCTTCTGCGGTTTCTTCCCCTGCCGGCCCTGCTGTTCCAGTTACACCTGCTGGTGCTCTCACGGTAGAGGTGGTGCTGCTAGCAGCGTCGACAGAGGTGGTGAGGGCGACCACAGTGGCCATCCACTCCCTCAGCTCGCCCACAGACACGGAGTGGGACGCCAGCGACTGCAGCGCTGCCAGTATGGGGCGCACGTCCCAGGCGGACTCAGCAGCACCGTAGAGAGCAGCATCAGAGGCACCTTCACTATCATCACCACACCTGGCAGCAGCCTCATCCACACCTTCCTTCGCCGCCTGCTGCCTCTCCTCGCCCTCCTTCCCTGCAGCCATCCCGCCCTTCTGCGTGCTTGCAGTCGGCTCAGCCAGCGGCATTGCTTCATCCAGCAGGGCAGCGCCACGTGGCCGTGAGCCACTGGCCCGCACGCCCCCCAGGAGGATGATGCGGAGGGAGGAGAGGAGGGAGGAGGTGAGGCCAGCATTGGCACACATGGCACGGTTGCGCGTGCAGGACGAGAGAGCCGTGGCCAGCACTCGTGCCAGGCGTGTGCGAGGAGACCTCAATCTCGACACCCCTGCCTTGGGCAATGACCCCGCTGCAGAAGTCCCGGACTCAGCTGTCCCTGCTGGCGTGTCAGTAGCTGCCGCTGCTGCTGCGTCAGTTGGTGCACCTGCTTCTATGCCGGCCGTCTCCTTGCTATCTCCACTCCTCTCTGCTGCGTCACTCGCCACTTCTACATCCACTGCCCCTTTAGTGCCGTCATGCGGGTGGCCGTCGCTGCATGGCAGCCACGGCAGCAGCGCTGCTCCCAGCACCGCAGCCTCAGCAGACATCATGATCACCGGCCCGGGGACCTTGCCCCTCCTCTTCGCCTCCTTGCCCCTCGTTGCTGCCACCTCACTGCCCCTACTGCTGCCATTGCTGCTGCTGCGCTCCTCGAGCGCGTCTTGCAGCTCCTCCCCCTCGTGGCTGCACCCCATGATCGCCAGAATGGTCTCTACCACCAGCGCGGCTGCTGCCTCCCGTTCCTCCGCCCCGACTGGACCTGCGTCACTCCCTCCACCCGCTCCCGTCCCCACCCCCCCACCACCAATCGCCTCCGTCCCTTCCGTCCCCGCTGCACCCTGCTCGTCCGGCTCTTCTTGCTCTCCTCCCACCCCGCCCATCCCTTCCACCCGGCTCATCCCAGCCACCAGTCGCTGCAGCTGCACCAGGGCTTTCCCCCCCCTCTGCCCCCCCATCCCTCCGTCCCTCCCCTCGCCTCCCTTCGCACCCCTCGCCACCTCCTGCAGAGCCTGTTCAATCACCGCAATCAGCGCGGGAGGCACGTCAGCGGGCGCCATGGCGGAGAGAGAGGGCGCCGCAGAAGGCGGGTTTCTCGGAGCCGCAGCAGCGGCAGCAGCAGCGGGAGCTCGGATGACTGCGCTTGTAGCGGCAGCTGCGGCACCTGCTGCGGCGGTTCTCACGGCGCCCCATGCGCGAATGACCTCTTCCATAACGGACGGCGTCTGGGGCGGGAAGCGAGGGGGGAGGGGCTGGTTGGAGAGAGCTGTAGGAACCGTGCCTGTAGCTCGCTGCTTCCCCTCCGCCGCTGCTGCTGAACCCGCAGATGGGCCTTCCTGAGGTAGACCCTCCCATCCTACTGCTGTTGCGTCGCCTTCGATAGCATCACTTGAATCTGTCGCCTCGGTCCGCGCTCCTTCCCCCGCCATAGTCACGTCTGTTGACCCTTGACTCGATGATTCCGTTGCATTGGCGACATTCGCGGCGGATTCGGCCCTGCTTGCACCACTTGATGACTCTGCATTTTCCTTTTCGCCTTCCGAGCGATCACTCCCCGGATCAGCCATGTGAAAAGCGGATGAGAAGCGACTCAGTCAAATGTTGTCACTGTAAACAAGCAGGGGAAGAGCACAGGACAATGCATGCAATGGCTCAATGCGCAATAAGCAACATCACTCTGATGCGTAAAAACATCTCTGTCGCGATCTCATCTAATCTACGACGACGGAGTTCTGCACATCAGGTAAATTAATCGTTCCTAAGGCATAAAAGGTATAAGTATGCAAAGACAGTTTAACCTACATTCATCGGCATAAGTGGCCGGATATCACGGAGAGCACCAGGATTGAAGCGCGCCATGATCAGGTGAGACCAACATTTTAGGAGCTGGCAAACCAACCTGGGAACCAGAAGGAGCATTGACTGAATTTGGTTCTGAACGACAACATCGAGGAGGCTTGTTCCATGTTTCGGGAACAGTTACCAGCTGTAACATGAGGTTAGCCCACATATTCTCTTATGAATATGGGAGTTTGTCATCTTTAAGTTACCCCTCATATTCTCTTTATGGAATATAACCCTCATATTCTCTTATCAATATGTAACAGTAAACCATGACTATATGGCGAATCATTGTGTTCAAATTACCTGTTATGCAGTGAAGTAAGTGAGAATCTGTGCACGATTACATCTTCGTTATAGGCATTTATGTAAACCCATCAGCATAGCACAATATCAACATGGAGGTTAAATTCTGTAGAAAGTATTGGAAATTTGCCTTCAATGTGTGCTTGTAGAGCAGCTGCTGCTGGTGAAGAACAACCCTCAAGACGTCGAAGGATCGTGCGACTATTTCAGCCAATCATAGAAGTGTTACGGCTTTTCAACCAGTCTCCTACTTCGTCAAAGGGCGCCAAGACACATTGTTATTGGCCACATCCGGCCCAAGCCTCCACACAGGGGCCAGCGTCAGGGCAGCCTAAGGGCGTGTCACATTTTTTCACGAACACCACTAAGGGTCGACCATTTAGAGGCTTTGAAAGCGGTATAGTGTGATGTTTTGCATTTTATATTATTAAAAGCGTGGTAATTTGCGGTGAGTGTTCGGTTCGGAAGCTGTTCATAAACTCGCCAACAAGGCTAGTGGTAAGGGTCGTCTATGATTGGACAGCACGCTCCTTGCAATCCCGCCACAACGACCTAACCCTGCTCGGAGGGGCCTGCAAACGTCAATGACCACGAAATATTGCTGGGCTGGCCCCAATTGGACAAATAGGTTAGCCATGCCTGCCCGACTCGAAAGGGCAAGCGTTGGTGACGAATTCTCAACCAAGAGGAAGGGATGGGTGGACGAGATTGGCGGCTGGTGGGTGGCGCTGGGGTCAGCCAACTGGAATGCGCGGCGCACAGTCTGTGGGAAAGGGGCTGGGCGACACTGCTTGCGCCCACTGCATTGGTGGATCGCAGGCCCCGCTGTTGAAGGGTCATGGCAGAGTGATTGCAAGCTGGGCCTTCCTCCTCAGGATGAGGACGCCATGGCGGTGGAGGTGCAGGGGGGAGCATGGCGAGTTAGTGGGTAGGAGGGACGGTAACAACGGCGCTCTGCTTGATGCCGACTGCCCTGCCTGTCGCCGATCCAACCTAATCCGCGTTCGCCGCGACTCGAGAAGGTTTCTCTTTTCCTCAGTGGCATGGAGCGAACAATGAGCGATGACTTGAGAGTCGGCACATATTAAATACCAGAATCCGAATGCAGATTGTGGCAACGACACATCAGAATCCTTTTATCGTCAGTGAAAACATTTTTTCAAAGCCCCAATTTGAGAATTACGATCACGTTCGAGAGTCTCTCGTTTCCCGATCTAGAAACCCAAGATGGCGCTTCCTGCCCGCGTGCTTGCCCTAACGATCCTTTTTACCTTAGCGTTAGCATGCATCACGGCGGCGAATGCTACGGTCGACCCCAAGAGCGTGCTGTTTTCGTCGCTGAGTCGAGCCATCGTGGTGACCGCCACGGTCAACGGCAACAACGTCACCAACGGCACGTGAGTACCCCCCCCCCCCCCCCCCCCCTCCCCCCTACCCCCCCTCTACTCCCCCCCCCGCACACCCACCCGAGCATCCAATCCCACTCCGCCATCGCCTTCCAGTCGCAAGGACCTCAAACGTGAGCCATTAATGCTGCCCCGCTGCTGTGTCTTCTCCCTGCTCCTCGCCCTACCCGCCGTTTCTTCCGTCTCACGGGACGAGATGGCGATCCACTGGCACCTCAACCAGTCGCTGGACGGCAAGGGAGTCTACTTTTGAGGTGCGTCAAACTTAAGTCCTCCCATCTGCTTCCCCCTCCGCGTCACGGCAGGGCGATGACGTACTCCAAGGACGAGATGGCGATCCACTGGCACCTCAATCAGTCGGTGGCGGGCGGCGACGCGGCGTTTAAGAAGGTCGTCCTGCAGCTCTGCTTCGGCGCGCCCAGCCAGAACGCCCGCCCCTGGCGCCAACCCAACGACGTCGTTTCGCACTCCAAAAACTGCAAATACACCATCGCCTGTAAGCCCTGTGCATGTATATGATTATTCGTTGTAAGCGCATTATCTCCCCGCGTGTTCCACTACTCACCCCTCTATGCAAGCATCTCCATCTCTATTCTAATCCTTTCCCTTCTTCCTCCCCCTCCTCGCCTGTGCAGCGCAACCGTACAACGCGGCGGGCAACAGCACGGTGTGGCGGCCGTCGCAGGACACGCCAGGCGCGCAGTACTTCGTGCGCGCGTGGGTGCTCAACTCCACCGACGCCTCTGCCACCGTCTCCGCCAACAGCGTCGCCTACGGCCAGGTCAGACGCGGATCCCCAATCCCTGCAGCATTCCCGTCGCCCCAAACATGTACACATTCAACCTTTCTCGCTGTTCCAATCAGCAGAGGGGCATCCGCAGCTGCACTTTGAGAATTCGAGAATTCTCAATCTCTCCCCTGACCTCGAGTGAAGCTCACATCTTCCCTGCCTCACCGTGTGCCCCCCCCCCCCCCCCCCCCCCCCCCCCCACACACACCCCCCACCTGCTGTACTCGCTGTGACTGCAGAACACTGACCCCTCCATGAGCAGTAACCTCGTGGTCGTGCAGCCGTTTTCTGGCACGGCTGTAGGGATCAATATTTACATCATATGCGTCTCTGTAGTCTCATATGCTGCCCTGGCTGCCTTTTTCTTCTATGAGAGATGGGCAAAGAAGAATAAATAGCATGCTGTAACATCGCATTGTAGAGTTAATCGAAGCAGTTGTTTATTTACCGATGGCTGGTTTAGGCAGTAACCGCAAGGTGCTGTGCAAGTCGGTGATTCTAGTGATGATACTGGTCGTGTTTGGAAGTGGAAAGATGGGGTGAAAGTGGCATTGATAAAAGCTGTGTTGAAGCAGCAAGTGTTTGTCAAACATGTGTATTTGTTATGTTTGCATAGACTGTATAGGGTCATCTCTTAGAGGGTACAATACTTAGGTATATCTATTTGTACTCTCACTCTACCTATCATTCACTTCTCTCACTTTGATAGTGTTAACTAGAATGAATGAGTAGTAGCAAGGGAAAACAAAAGAGTTTTACTGTTGGAGTTGTACCCTCTAAAAACATACATTTATCTAGCCTATCGTTTCTACATATCATCATATGTATAAATTAACATACTCGTGTTAAAATTATATAAGTCATAATTTAATATAGGCTTCGTAGGTTATTACTGAACCTTTCTGTAGAGGGTACAATCCCCTCCTTGTACTGCTCTCTCTTCCTAATCGTTACACTTCTTTCTCGACACTCTTCTCCTCACGTTCCTAGATCTATTTTGCTCACGCTATTCCATGGCGGCATTCCTAGTATCCTAGCTAAGCTAGTGTCCTAACTTTAGGAACCTAGTCTCCTAAGTCTTTGAGATGGTATCAGAGCAGTTCGCTCCTAGCGGACCTGCTCCTCACGCTTTCGCCGCGTCCTCCTTCGTCAGTTTTTCTTGCTGTGCCGCCGTGGCGGCCATGCTTGTTCCTGCCGTGACGTCACGTCGTGACGCGTGGCGTCGATGCCACACTGCTGCGACGGCGCCGTGCATACCGTCGCAGCATCGACGTCCTACGACGCCGCGCTGTGACGGCGTCGTAAGGCTGCCGTGGCGGCGTCGTAAGGCTGCCGTGGCGGCGTCGTCGGGCGACAGCCGGCCGCGCAACGTCAGTGGCGCCGCCGGACCTGCCGCCCGCTCTGCAGCCACCGGCGTGATTTTGGACTACGCCCCGCCCCCCTCCCCTCCCCCCCCCCACCTCCCCCTCCTTCCCCTGCATCCCCCCCTTTCTTGCTGCAGCCGACGACTGCCTCATGAGGGCCCTCCCCACCGCCGAGGAGACTGGACATGCCGCCGAGAGGGCGGGGGCCGCTGCACCGGCCTCTGACGTTCAAGCCGCCGCCGCTGCCGCTGTTGCCGCGGGCCTGGTGCAGCCGCACGCCGCCGCCGCTGCCGCCATTGCCATCTCACGGGCCGTGGGAGCTGCCCTCTTCCGGAGTCGTTGCGGCTCCTGCTGGGAATGGGGGTGCTGGGCTAGGGGGTGTGGGTGTGGGTGTGTGCGTGGGCTTGACACTACCAAGCCTTGGGGGTGTGTTAAAATTATATAAGTCATAATTTAATATAGGCTTGGTAGGTTCTTACTGAACCTTTCTGTAGAGGGTACAATCCCCTCCTTGTACTGCTCTCTCTTCCTAATCGTTACTCTTCTTTCTCGACACTCTTCTCCTCACGTTCCTAGATCTACTTTCTTCACGCCATTCCATGGTAGCATTCCTAGTATCCTAGCTAAGCTAGTGTCCTAACTTTAGGAACCTAGTCTCCTAAGTCTTTGAGAACTCCCTAGGCTAGATATGGGGTACTGCAAAGGAATAAACACGCAGCTCAGGTTGTGTCATGAATAAACACTGGAAGAGTAGCCACAAGGCCAGTATGAAAGACCTAAATATAGATAAGTACACAATCAAGATCGTAGCAAGTGAGAGTACACAAGAACTAGACGTAGCTGTATACAGTACCGCTGATGATCTTTAGGCGCAAGCACCTTCGTAAAGTTATCAGCTTTGTTGGCACCGGTGGCCAAGTGTACTACGCGGGCCTCACGACGCTGTTGTAGCTCGCGCATGAGGAAGTACCGCAGCTGAATGTGCTTCGCTCTGCCCTCAAGTCGAGGCTCCTGACACTGGAGGATCATGGCCCTGTTGTCAGCGTAAAGGACCGGGGCAGAGCTAGTCCGCTCACCTAAGTCGGCAAGCAAGAAGGTCAGCCAGCGGAGCTCCTGTGCCGCCATGGCACCAGCGTAGATCTCAGCCTCACAGCTAGACTAAGCGACAGATGAGGAACGAGTGGACCTCCACGAGATGGCACCTGAGCCAAGGCTAAAGCAGTAGCCCTGGGAGGACCTGAGGGTCTCAGCGTCGTCTGCCCAAGAAGCGTCTGTGTGCCCAGTAAGGACCACTGTCATACGTCCTCCTAGCACTAGCCCCATGCCCGATGTACTTGCAAGATAACGCAAAACCCTCTTAGCGGCCGACCAGTGCTGTGGTCGGTATCTGCCAGTGGCCACAAAGCGAGCCATGATGCTGAGAGGGTATGCAGGATCTGGACGAGTGCAAGTCATCAGGTACATGAGGCTGCCGACCAGCTCTGCGTAAGGACCACTAGGCTCTGCTGACTCCTCGGGAATTGGAGCTGAGAGCCTGTGGTCTATAGGCAGAGGTGTGGGCTGTGCGGAGGAGAACTGAAGACCGAACCTCTGAAGGACCTGGCGTACCAAGTGTGACTGTGTAAGAGTGATGGTGCACGCTGCTCTGTCCCTAGAGATCTCCAGGCCAAGGTAGCGGCGCTGCTCTCCTAGGTCAGTGCATGTGTGACTCCTCAGCAGCTCGGCCTTCACGGAGGCCAGTGCGTCCCTGTCTGCAGTAGCGAAGACCAGGTCGACTATGTAGACAAGGATGTGTAACGGAGTCTGGCCAGCACGAACGAAGAGCGAAGGGTCTGCAGCCGACCGAAATAATTGCAGGTCAGCTAGCGTAGCACGCAACATATCGTGCCACTCACGGAGCGCCTGTCGCATGCCGTAGACCGGGCGCCGAAGGAGCCACTGGGTCCCAGGAGGGAAGGTACCGGTGAAGCCCTGGGGACGGCGCAGGTAGACGTGCTTGTGTAGGCTGCCCTGCAGAAATGCAGTGGAGAAGTTGAGGGAGTGAAGCTCGTAGTAACGCTGTACTGCTACGTGTAACAGTGCCTGAAGAGTAGTCATCTTCGGAGTCTGGGCGAAGGTCTGAAAGAAGTCCACACCTTCTCGCTGACTGAAGCCTCTAGCCACGTAGCGCGCCTTGAACACAGATGGCTCTCCAGGGGGGCGCTTTACCTTGAAGAGCCACCGGCCATCGACTACATTCACCCCAGGTGAAGGAACTGCATCGACGTAGGTGTCGGTGGATCTCCAAAATGTCATCTATTGCTCCATGGCAGCAATCCACTAGGAGGCCCAGGGTCCCGAGGTCGCCTCAGCGTAGGTGCGAGGGGTCGGGATGTCAAAGGCTTCTTGCTCACCCTCAGAGACTAGCAGCATGGAACACAGATGGGGAGTAGCCTCGAACAGGAAAGCAAGCTCCTATTGCCTCTCCTCTAGGACGTCACTGCCGGGGCAAGGACCACCCCCGAAAAACAGAGGACGGGCAGGGTCAAAGACTAGAGGAGTGGCGTAGTCAAGGCGGCGGATAGAGGCGAAGTCAGCAACAGCAGCAACAAGAGCATCAATACTAAAGACAGGAACAGACAGGTCGGTAACGAGGGAGGCAAGAACCCGAGGGACAAGAGGACGAGCAGCACGAAGGTATTCAGAGAGAGGGGGAGACACGACGTCGAGGGACGACGGAGGAGGCGAAGGCAGGAGGGGAGGACGAGACGCGTGAAAACGAAGTAACATAAGGTGCGAACGCTGAACAAGAGAGACAGGACATGCACGAGAGGGACGGCGGGACCAGACGCGAGACAGAGGCATCCGGTCAGGAGATAGAGGAGGAGTAACAAGAGGGGAACGATGTGGGAAACGGGCCGGGGACGAGTCTGGCGGAGGAAACACAGGACTGTGGACAGGAAGTGGAGGAGGCGACGAGGGAGGCGTGGGCGAGCGGTCAGCAGAGGGAAGGCCGAGCAGGCGAAGGGCGGACATCAGCGGCGATTGCGGCTGCTGCTCGACGCTGTCACATGGACCACCAGCTGCACCACGGGCACCTCCGGAACACTCCACTCTAGCACCTCCAGAACAAGCACCCCTAGAGCGAGAACACTCTCCAGCACCGGTGCCACCCTCGAGCCCGCCGGGACAATCCACGACAGGAACCCCACGACTAGCACCCTCCTTAACACCAGCACCTCCAGTGTCCACGAACGGCTGCGGCTGCTTCGACAGCGGTGGCAGCTGCTGCGGCGGCGACGGCGATGGGGGAGGAGGAGACACCGGGGAAAGGACAGGCGGCGCAAACGGCACCGCGGGGCCACCAGAGTCAGCCGACTCCTCGACTTGGGCAACCGACGGGAGGGGAGGGACGTGAGACACACCAGAGGGCGCAGGACGGGGAGGGAGGGGAGCAGGGGCGACCGGGGGAGTGGGAGCCAGAAATAGAAGGGGGGAAATCGGGAGACCTCGGTGGGGAAAGCGGTGGTAAAAGGAGACAGACTCGTCAAAAGTGGCGTCACGGGAGTGGAAAAAGCATTGAGACGGAGGGTGGTAAAAGTGCCAGTCGGACGAGTCAAGGGGGAAACCGAGGAAGACAGAGGGGACAGTGGGGGGAGTTAGCTTGTCCATGCCGGAGGCACGAACGTGAGTGAGGCAGCCCTAGACGTGGAATGCAGACACGTCACCAAGTAACCCGGTCCAAAGAAGGGTCGGCGAAACCTGCGGCCGCAGGGAGCATGGCCAGAGGTTAAGCTAGTGAGCGGCGTAGCGAACGGCGAACGGCCACAAAAAATGGGGTGCACCGGCATGGATCATGGAGGTACGAGCCACCTCCATGACCAAACCGATGCGTCGCTCAGTGACCCCATTCTGCTGCGGGGAGTCCAGCAGGGTGTACATCTGGGTGATGCCCTCCGCACGACAAAACTGTCCAAGCCGACCAGAGGCAAACTCGCTACCACGGTCAGAGTGAAGTCACAACACAGGGAGAGCTCGGTGGAGGCACGTTCCTACGACCCACGCAATAAGAACGTCAGGCACGCTGGCCTTCCGCTCCAGGGGAAACACCGTGGTGTAGCGCGTGAAGTCGTCGACGAGCACGAGAAAGTAGCGCTCACGACGTGGTCCAAGGACAGGGGCTGGGCCCCAGACGTCCAAGTGGTGCAGTGGCAGGACGAAGCGAGGAGGAATGAGGAGCACGGCGCAGCCGGCCCTCAACGCAGGGGGTGCACGGCGGCGCAGGCGAGGGAGGGAGGGCAAGGAGTGACGCAGGAAGGCCTAGGACGAGACCGTGCTGAGACATGTGACGCAGACGCGGGAGCGCGGGGTGACCTAGGTGGTGGTGCCACAGAAACGACGGGTGAGTGAGTGACCAACACGAGCAAGCCGCAGCAACCTGAGTAGATGCAGGACGCGGAGAGGACGCGCCCACCGCGGGGGAAGCAGTGTCCAGCGTAAATAGGCCAGACACCGGGTCCCGGGGGAACGTCGCAAGGGGGGCACCTTAGGCGGTCTCGGTACAGACCGCGTACCGCTCATGACCAAAGAACATAGTGGTGACCCCGAGGTCCTGAAGACAACCGACACCAACTAAGTTTTTGGAGAACGAAGGGATGTGCAGGCCTGTAAGGGAACCCAAGGGAACCGCCGGACAGAGAAGGGTGGTAGAACTCCGAGCAACTACGGAGGGGTCAGCAAGGGAGACAGCGGCAGGCGCGGCAAGCGGCGTGAGGGTGGCGTGGTCGTGGAAGAAGCAGGCTGAGGCACCGGAGTCAAGAGTGAAGGACAGTGAAGCCACAGTGGTCGACGAAGGGGGAGCAAGTGTAGAACCTAGGCTAGACAAACTAAGTGGTCCTATGCCTGACGCAGCAGGGGAGGCTGGACTACACACAGGTGCTACGCCTAAGCTAGAGAACACAGGCTAATAAGATCCAGAAACACTCAAAGCGTCAGCATACAGAGAATGCAAAGCAAAACTAATCTGATCCATCTCTAGGTCAAACACACGCACACTGTGGCACAGCAGACTGGGACAGTCAGGGAGGTCCGGGGCTGGAACAAAGCGTCGACGGAAGAGGTCCTCGAGACGGCGGAAGCAGCAAGCGGTTGGGTGCGGGCACCGACACACCGTGCCACGGAGGGGCCCGGTCTGTAGCTGGTACTGGCAGCTTACAGAGCTGAAACTGCCAGTGGACACCGAGCTGCGAGGGCCACTACCACGACCACTACCTCCAGGGGCTCCTGGCCACCCCGGCGGGAGGCGAGCCCACGGCTGCTGCTGCGGCTGCGACGACTGCTGCTGCTGCTTCTGCGGCTGCGGCTGCGGCTGCTGTTGGTGCGTCTGCGACGACTGTTGCTGCTCCTGGCCACCAGCTCCAACCCCCTCGTCAGAACCACTGTCCCCTCCACCACTACTACCACCATGCCACCACCATGTCCTCCCTTGGGGCCACGGCGGCCCCGGCGCTGGCGCTGCTGCGGATAAGCCGCAGCTGCTGTCTCAGTGGCAGGGGCAGTCGTGGCAACTGCGGCTGAGACGATAGCGTACGTGCAGTGGGAGGGAGCGCAACCCTGAAAATAGGGACTGCCGCAACACCGCTCGACTGAGCGATAGTGCGCTTGCGAGTCTCTATCTCAGACAGCGCAGTGACAAAGGCGGTCAGGGTGAGGTCGGCAGGGTGCTGACTAAGGAAGTGGTCATGGGTAGTGGCTAAACGGCCAGGCAGGTGCATGACAATGAGGTACAGGGTAGCGCAGAATGGTGGGGGAAGGCAGTAAGCTGGGCGGCAGTGCTAGAAGCTTAGTAGCTGGTCTCTAGCGCACGGAGGTGAGTAGCGAGGTCAGCTACAGTGGGGAAAGCGGAAGAATCAGGGAAGAGCATGGGAAGGATTAAGCGGCCAGCAGAGGCGGAAGCAAGTGTGGAGTAACGCTCAACTACAGCAGTGAGGAAGTCCTTGTTGTTTGCGACAGTGGTGAAGCGCTGACGCTCAGACAGGGGAAGGGCATGACTAACGGCAAGCTGTGCTGCAGCGTCGTGAGCATCCCAGACAACACGAGCGAGCGCAGCACCAGCAAAGGCCTTGCTATTAGCAGTAGTGGGGTCAGCAGGGAGGGGAGCAGGTGCAGGGGGGCGGGGGAGCAAGCCATCAACATGCATAGCCAGGGAGTGCCCATCCTGGCGCTGACCTGTCAAGTGCTAGCGGAGGTTGACGAGCCAGGCAGCGAAGTCGATCGCATGCCCCTCATCGTCCAAGCGAAGAACGGCGTCCGCCATCGCACAGTGTGACACGACGGCTCAGCGGCTCGGCGGCACGGCGACTCTGCAACTCGGCGGCACGGCGGCTCTGCAACTCGGCGGCTCAGCGGCTCGGCGGCATGGCGGCTCAGGGTCACGGTGGCGCAGCGGCTCGGCTGCACAGTGGGACTTCGACTCGGCGGAAGGCGCGAGGGGCCAGTGGGGGCGCAAGGGGCCGGCTCGGGAGCATGGGGCCGACAAGGACGTGAGGGGCCCGCTAAGGCGCGAGGGGCCGGCTGGGGCGCAAGAGGCCGGTAGGGGCGCAAGGGGTCGGTGGGGGCGCAAGGTGTCGTGAAGTTAGGCTAGGTAGGAATAGGTGAAGTCATGAATATGGCGTGAGATCTTGATCTAGGAGGTAGGCGAGAATGTCGAGAGAAAAGAGAGCTAGGAAAGAAGAGAGAGGGATACAAGGAGGGGTGTTGTACCCTCTGAAGTAATGTTCAGTAACATCTACCAAGCCTACACTTATATAATAACTTATATAATTTAACACACCCCCTAGGCTTGGTAGTAGAAGGACCCACACACCCCCACACCCCCTAACCTAGCACCCCAATTCCCATCAGCCACGACGTCTCTAACAGGGCCAACCCCAAGGCCTTGGAGATGGCGACGGCGGCAGTCCCGGCAGCGGCGACAGCGACGGCGACGACGGGCGTGGGGCGGCAACAGGCCTGCGGCGACGACAGCGGCGACGGCGACGGCTTCGGTTTACGACGGCGGTGACGGCAGCGGCCCCCGCCCTTCCGGCGCCGTGTCCAAACTCCGCACCGGGGGAACGACCGGCGAGAGTCTGTCGGCGGTTGTGGCGAAGAGGAGGGGACAGAGGAAAGGGGGAAGGGGCAGGGCTTCGGATCTTTAGCGCGGCGTCATTGCTGGCGCGGCGCTTACTAGCGAGCGGGCGGGCTGCATTTCCAGCAGCGACGTAGGTCGTGCGCGACGGCAACAGGCCGACGTCGCAGCTACGGCACCACGACGGTGCCACCATAGCGTGGCGTCGTCGCCGTAGCTGCTCGTCGACGCTGGGCCGACAGCACGCAGGAGCCACCGCGGCATCTTGGAAATGGTGCCACAGCGGCAGACAGTAGGAAGGCCACGACGGCGGCGAACATGCAGAAGGCCGCAACGGCGGCAAACGGACAGAAGGCCGCGACGGCGGCACGGTAAGGACGAGTACGCGGCGGAAGCGTGGAGAGCAGGCCCGGGAAGGGCGTCCTGCTCTGATACCATGTCGTGAAGTTAGGCTAGGTAGGAATAGGTGAACCCATTAATATGGTGTGAGAACTAGATCTAGGAGGTAGGCGAGAATGTCGAGAAAAGAGAGCTAGGAAAGAAGAGAGAGGGATACAAAGAGGGGTGTTGTACCTTCTGCAGTAATGTTCAGTAACATCTACCAAGCCTATACTTATATAATAACATATATAATTTAACAGAAGGGGCCGGTGGGGGCGCGAGGGGTCGGTAGGGGCGCGAGGGGCCGGCAGGGGCGCCAGGGGCCGACGACATTGCGAGGGGCCCGCTAGGGCGCAAGGGGCCGGCTAGGGCGCGCGGGGCCCGCTAGGGCACGAGGGGCCGGTAGGGGCGCGAGAGGCCGACGACAGCTCGAGGGGCCCGCTAGGGCGCGAGGGGCCTGCTGGGGCGCGAGGGGCCTGCTGGGGCGTGAGGGGCCAGTTAGGGCGCGAGGGGCCCGCTAGGGCGCGAGGGGCCCTCTAAGGTGCGAGGGCCCCACTAAGGCGCGAGGGGCTGGCGTGGGCGGAGGGGGGGGGGGCTAGCGAGAGGCGGTAGGCTAGGGCACGGGGCAGAAGCGTGTGGGTGGACCTACCTATTCATGATACCATGTTAACTAGAATGAATGAGTAGAAGCAAGGGAAAACAAGAGAGTTATAGTGTTGGAGTTTTACCCTCTAACAACATACATCTATCTAGCCTATAACTTTTACATATCAACATATGTATAAGTTGACAGCAAGTGGGCTCGAACCTGCACCAGTGATGCAGCCCATGTTAGTGTACATACCAGTATGTCGAGTTGTTATCAAACATGCTCCATGTGTTGTATTTTGATATCGTATCTACCAAGTGAACTTTTAGCCCAAGGCTAATCAACACAAGGAAGACATTAGGGGTTGTACTAGAATGGTGTTCGTGTAAGCAATTGCAACCTGTACACACAGGGGTTATCTTGTTCTTTTTTCATTGTCTTGTACAACGCCATTTATAAAGCGAAAGGCCGTCCGAGATTCCTGAAGAAAACCCGAGCATAAGACCATCGGCGCAGTTACCTCACAAGAAGTTTAGACCAGAGCCCAGACGGCACTACCCTTCCAGATCCTTACGAAAAGGAAGTCCGTAGCGTAAGGGACGCGGGTTCAGTCTGAGGCTAGTCGTTCTGGTCCGTTGTCGTTCCGTCACCCGCTCCGTCGTGTCATCGCCTTCCCCATCTCTGTCCTCGGCTCTTCATCTCCCCGTTTAGGTCACTCCCCGAAAACGCTTCATCTGCGTTTCGTCCTCAATTTGAATAGTTCATAGTGATTTTTTGTCACTTTCCCTTCCCGTCGTCCGATGGCCGACGCTGAAACCCTAGCGGTAGGCAAGCGGAAAGCGGACCAGCCAGGCGGATCGACGGCTGGGAATGGCGCTGCGGACGGCGACGATGCAGATCGCGCGGGAAAGCGGAGGCGGTGGGACAGCTGTGCAGATGGGGTGCAGAGCGGTGCCGATGGCGGGCAAAAACCCGCGGAGGGTAGCGGAGGGGGGGGTTCCGCTCCCGCTGCAGGCGCGAAGAAGGTAGGTTTGGCAGTATCGTCCCTGGGTTACTAGCAAGCTCGCTGATTCATAGCCAGCTTATAGTGATTCCGTTATTTCTCTTTATGGGTGGCGTGGCGCACACGGAGTCTGCGGTACGTGCTAGTCGACTCCCGCTGATTGTCGCACAGGCCGTCCTGTCCGCAGCGCATTCAACGCTCGTTTCTGTATCAACATGCATCGACTGCCGCATCTTCTTAGTCGAATTTCGTCATACTCCCGTCAAGGCGAACACGGCCGCCTGCCTTAATGCATCCATATGTCCTTCTCTCCCGCATCCCCGCATCCCCGCGTTCCCTCATCTAGGTACCGAGCGTGTCTTTGGACGCTCTGGCCAAGGCGAAGAAGGCCCTGCAAATGCACAAGGAGCTCAACGAAAGGCTCAAGAAGCTTCCTCAGGTGGGTCCCAGGTGCTTCCTCAGGTGCGTCCTCAGTTGGGTTCCCCAGAGTACAGGCGCTCACGAACTGGTTGGTTTGTAGTTAGAATGTGCGCTTTACGAGGATGCACAGGTTTATTGTCACCCTTGGGGTCATATCTTGTGTTCTTGATCAACCCGTGAACCCAAGTCAGCTGGTCAATGCATGTGCAATTTCGGGTTTTCCTCCTGGCAATGGCAATGGCAATGGCAATGGCAGATGTTACTGATGTTACCGTGCATGCCCCAAAACCCGTTTTGTCCTCCACTTGCTATGCGTTACAGCTAAGCAAAGCAGCACCAGCAGCAGCCGCTGCAGTACCCACTGCAACAGCAGCCGCCGCTGCAGCCGCAGCCGCAGCCGCCGCAGCCGCGGCGGCAGCTAAGGGATTGCCGGCGCCCGTGCCGGTGGTGGTGCCGGTCGCTGTTCCTGGCGTCGGCATCATGCCTGTCGTGCCCGGCGTTGGCGCTCCTGGAGCTGCCATTCCAATTCCGGTTGCTGCTGCAGCAGGTACCATTTTCGCTCCAGATGCAGCAGCAGCAGCAGCGAGCGGCAGCAAGGTGACGCGGGCGCCGGTGCTGCGGTTGGATGCGATGGGGAGGGAGATAGACGAGCACGGCAATGTGGTCGAGCGACCCAAGATCGGTCCCGTCAGCACTCTCAAGGTGCGCGTGCTGCTCTTTCAAGGTGCGTGTGCACACACAGATGTGCGTACACTCTTGCGCACACACGCCTGCACCGTCATGTCAACGCCACACGTTTCCCGTCCTCTCCCCTCCCAACCTCCCACTCACCATGTCCCCTCATTCTCTCACCCCCCTCCCCCCCCAGGTCAACATAAACAAGGCGAAGAAGGAAGCGTTCAAGATCCTGCGCCCCGAGCTGGAGGAGGACCCCCACGACAGCCCCTTCTTCGACCCGCGCATGGCCTCCGAGCGCCTCAAGCTCCTGCGCCCGCGCAAGGCGTCCTTCCAGTTCGTTGAAGAAGGGACGTTCGCCAAGCAGGCGGAGTCCATGAGGATGAGGGTGAGCAGTCACTGCTATGTGGTCTGGTAGACACTGCATAGACACTGCTCTCAATCTGCTTCGTAAGGCGTCCTTCCAGTTCGTGGAGGAGGGCACCTTCGCCGAGTCCATGCGAATGAGGGTGAGGGTGAGGTCACACGTCTCAGGCTGAGTTCATGCGCCTCGCAGTGAGTCCATGCGTCTTCCATGGACCCATGGACCCATGGATCCATGGACTCACAGCGCATGAGACCCTGTAGCTAGTCTTTGTGTCACTCACGCAACCCATAGTGAGTCCGTCCCATGCACAAACCAGGGATGACCAAGTGAATCCAAACATCTATTCTCCCATGCCCCTGAAACCCTCTCGTCGTGCTATCATATTCCCGTCCCTTGCGTCTCTGCAGGCGCAGTTCGGTGCGGCGAGGCAGATGGAGATGCAGGCGCGGCAGCGGACGCAGGAGAGGGAGGCGGCGGAGGGGGGCGAGGTCAACCCCAACCTCGTGGAGGTGGGGCAGCGCCCAGGCCAGCCAGCGGAGAAGCCCAAGCCGCCCATCCCCGACGTTGAGTGGTGGTGAGTCATGTTGCTCCCTCCCTCTCTTGCTCTCCCCTGGCTTCTTCTCCCATGCGCTTTTCCCCAATGCCTCCTCGTTTCCTGCCATCATGCGCACTCAACGCTTGCTCAAAGTTCATACAGCTCCCCACCATCATAGAGTACCAGCAGTCCTCAAAGCCTCTGGGATCACCGTGTATGTGGAGCACCCCTGCCCATCGAGCCCCCGGCGAAAGCCCCCCTCCTATCCCCCTCCCTACATTCTATCTCCTCATGTCTTCCTCACAGGGACGCGCTCATCCTATCATCCAACCAGTACCCTGAGGACAGCTCAGATGTGCTGGCTGCCCTCAAGGCATCCAAGATCACCGTCTACGTGGAGCACCCCGTGCTCATCGAACCCCCGGCCGAGGCCCCCCCTCCGCCCCCTCAGCCCCTGCGGCTGACGAAGCGCGAGCAGAAGAAGCTGCGCACGCAGCGGCGCGTGGCACGGGAGAAGGAGCGGCAGGAGATGGTGCGGCAGGGGCTGCTGGAGCCGCCCAAGCCCAAGGTGAAGATGAGCAACCTCATGCGCGTCATGGCGGCCGAGGCCACGCAGGACCCCACCCGCATGGAGAAGGAGGTAAGGGCTGCCGCCGCGGAGAGGGAGCAGGCACATGTGGACCGGAATCTTGCGAGGAAGCTGACGCCGGCGGAGCGGAGGGAGAAGAAGGAGAGGAAGCTGTTCGAGGAGACGCTTGGGGGAGGGGTGGGGGGTGGAGGGGAGACGCACGTGGCGGTGTTTAAAGTGGGGCACCTGCTGCACCCGCAGACAAGGTTCAAGGTGGATGTGAACGCGCAGGAGAATAGGCTGAGTGGGTGTGCGTTACTGGCTGATTCGTTTGCGTTGGTGGTGGTGGAAGGCGTGAGCAAGTCGGTTAAGAGGTACCTGAAGCTCATGATGAGGCGGATTCACTGGGCAGAAGCAGTGGCTCCTGGTGCTGTCCGAGAGGAGGATGAGGATATGGGGGAGAGGGGGGCAAGGAAGGAGAACAAGTGTGAGCTGGTGTGGCAGGGTACGGTGGCCAGGGCTGCGTTTGAGAAGTTCACAGTGGAGCAGTGCCGCACGAGTGCTGCTGCCAGGAAGTTTCTGGAGGATCGCAAGGTTGCCCATTTTTGGGACTTGGCTGAAAATTTGTGTCAAGAGTGATGGACTTGGGTGTAAGTACGCTATGGCCTTGCGTGGAGATGGGGATGCTCATTGCATTATTACAATTTATTTCCCTGGTGAAAATGCTCTATCAGTGGCAGAAACTCAGGTGCATGATGCCAAATGATTTAGTATGGTTATGCTTGAGCTTCAATCCAATGAGGAATTGAACTGTTCCTGGAAACTTAAAACTCTGAGAGTACCTATTTCTGCGTGTACTGCACCCGTTATCCCATCCCTCGGCAACACCGCATCCTGGCCCTCGAAGTTATCACCGAGAGGGATGATTTCAAGGAGGTTTGTTCTCCCTGTTATACATTCTCCTCCACAACATCCAAATCATCGATTTCTCCATTCCTTCAAATTTTCCCAAAGCTTGCTAGGGTTTGTTCGTCATTCAGCCACCATGGCGAGAGGTGACGACGACGAGCGCTACGAGGACGAGGGGCCCTACGAAGACGACGACGAGGAGTACGACGGCGCCGCTCGCGACGTTCGCGGCGCGAAGGATGAACCCGACGAACGGGACCGCCGCGATGTTCGCCACGACGAGCGCCGCGAGAGGCGCGGTAGCCGCGAGGGACGTGAACCCCGTGGTTCCCGCGAGCCCCGTGAATCCCGGGAGTTCCGCGGCCGGCGCGACGAGGACGAGGAAGAGGAGGGCGACGACGAGGAGTATCGCGACGATGAGGTCCGTTGATCGACCGTCGTGCTACACTCAGTGCCTCCGTCTTAATCCGTTTTCATATATCTTCGAAGGCCCCTGTCGTGCTTTCTTAGATCTATTCCTTGACGTGCTGGACTGATCTGAAAGAGGACCACGATCGGGACTTTATAAGGGTACCGAAAAGAAAAACGGATAATATCAATGTAGAGTGTTCCGTCAAAGCATTGTCTTAGTTTTTCTCTGCGACTTTTGACGCTTCCGATTTCGACCGTGTAATGCCGTTATCTCTTCTCGCATCCTTTTTCAACCCTTCCCACAGCCACCATACGACGACAGAGGGCCAGAGCGCGCTCGCCGCCCGCGAGCGGATCGCGAAAGAGGCAGGGGCGCAGTGAAGGGCGAGGAGGAGGGGAGCGACGAGGAGGAGGACGAGGAGGACGAGGAAGGCGGGGAGCGGGACGTCGACCGCGACCGGCACAGGGACCGCGACCGCGTGAGCCGCGAGAGGCGGCATTCGGACCGCGGCAGAGGCGGGGACCGGGACAGGGATCGGGACTACCGCGACGAGCGCGAGTACCGGGACCGAGATCGGGGCCGCGACCGCAGGGACAGGGATCGCGACTACCGCCACAGGGATCGCGACCGTGACCGCGACAGGTAGTTATTTTCGTTCCGGATTCTCCTTGCTTCGGCGTTGCCCTCGCCTCCACGTCTCGCGTTGTACCTCCTCTGGCCGTTTGAACCTCTCGTATTCTTACCCCTGATTCTGTTCCGTTTCGTTGGTTTCGTTTTGTTTGATTTCTCTATTTTCGGCTGTGGCAGGCGCAGCCGTCGTCGCGATCGCTCCCGATCTCGTTCGTATTCGAGATCGCGCTCTCGCTCGCGCTCCCGAGACAGGGAGCGACGCAGGTACGGCCTTGCGGTTTGCTGCTTGCTGCTTGCCGCTTTCTGCGCCCACTCGCTCACCGTTTCTCGCCGCGTTGACGACGCCTTGGTGTTGCGATGACAAAAACTACCCCGCTGTATCGCATACCCTCTGTGTTCCATGGTGCCTGTACCTGCTTTCTCGCTGCATCCCTGTGCGTGCATGCATCATCCCTGCATTTGAGCATGTGCACGTGCCGTTGATCGCTGCATTTATGCGCGTGCGTTACTTATCACTCCCTACCCATCACCATCGCTCGACCTCGCCCTCTGCAGGCGCGCCAGCGGATTCGACATGGGCCCGGGGCCTTCTCTTGCCACCGTGCCGGGACTCGCAGGTACGCCCGCCTGCCGTATCTCCTTCTACCCCAGGAACCATACGAGTTATTACTGGCCTCGTTTGCTACCTCCGCTCTGCGTTTTCTTGAGATGTTTTTCAAGTGATTCAGGCGGACTCACCTCCGTGGCTCGGTTGTCGTTTTCTGCTGTGGTGGTTGTTGCCGTGTGTGTCTCCTTTCCTCTTTGCTCTTTCTGCTCTGGCTTCTTGCTTCTTGGCTGTTCGTTCGGCTGTGCGTGTGTTCCTCGCCCTATCTCTAACCCCCCGATCTTCTCAAGCTGGCCCGCGCCATCTCTCAATCTCTCCTCTCCTCCCTTCGCCGCTGCTCCTCGCTTCGCATTAGCACAATGATCCCAGCGGTAAACCCCAATTCCTCAGCTTGACCCTGTGGCCTTGGGATTGGGAGGATCTATGCATTTGTTTTTAGGGAGGGAAGGGGGGATATGCAGCAGCATGTGCTGCCTCGTCCGCGTTCCGAGCAGCTAGTTCTTGCGTCTGCTGGATTTACTTGCTGGAATATCTGCTCCCCATCGAAACCCCTCCCCCGTCTGATCCTTCCCTGCAGCATTCCGTCTTTTCTTGGTGTTCATTTTTTACTTCTGTTGTATGATTGGGCTGTTATTGGGGCATGTTGTAACGAATCGTTGTGAGCAGGCTTGCTTTCTGGAGCAGGGGGAGCAGCGCCGGCTGCAGCACCAGCGGCGGCACCAGCCCCACCCACTGCTGCGCCGTCCGTTGGCACTCTGCCTCTCACAGGCGTCGCTGGTAAGTATCTTTGAGTCGACTCAAAAAGTATCTGAGGTGTCCGATTTTGGGCCATGGCCGCATGCTTCCCATGCCTGCTTCGGCAATCGCACCTGCACGCATCTCAACTGCCTCTCTTTCTTTCTTCCGCCAACTCCCCCCCCCCCCCGCCCCCACTCCTCCAGGCGCCATGGCGGCGGGTCTCTCGGGGCTGCCAGGGATGCAAGCAGTGTCCGGATCCATGTTCCCCAACCTCTTCCCCTTCGCCGCCGCTGCCGCACAGGTAACCTCTCGCACTGGTAACCGCTCACATTGCTTGTTTTCCAACCTCTTTTCCTTCGCTGCTGCTGCCGCACAGGTAACAAAGTCGCGCTGGTTACCACTCTATTGGTAACAATTACCGCAGCGTTGCGCCTTCGTTTGCTGCTTTCTTGCGCTTGTAGTGGCTACGGTGCTCGAGGGTAGGCCATGCACTGATGGAGGGATGGATGGTGGGCATTCCCATGCACGGCCAGCCACTAGGCTGCTGGGAGTCAGCTGCGACGAATCAGGTGCTTGTGGCCACATGATGTTTCGTGACTTGATGCGGGCAGAGCCACAACTCTCTGACAACCGTTTCACTCCTGATGGCCCGCTGATTCTGCAGCACAATTTCTAGGCCTCCTGTTTCTCTCTGAGGACCCGGACCGTTGCCTTGCATGCATGCATGCATGAGGTGCTTGATTTCTCCGTGCGCTTCCCGGCCACTTGATGTTTCGTGACTTGATGCGGACAGAGCCACAGCTCTCTGATAACCGTTTCACTCCTGATGGCCCGCTGATTCTGCAGCACAATTTCTAGGCCTCCTGTTTCTCTCTGCGGACCCGGACCGTTGCCTTGCATGCATGCATGCATGAGGTGCTTGATTTCTCCATGCGCTTCCCGGCCACTTGATGTTTTGTGACTTGATGCGGACAGAGCCACAACTCTCTGACAACCGTTTCACTCCTGATGGCCCGCTGACCCTGCAGCACAATTTCTAGGCCTCCTGTTTCTCTCTGCGGACCCGGACCGTTGCCTTGCATGCATGCATGCATGAGGTGCTTGATTTCTCCGTGCGCTTCCCGGCCACTTGATGTTTCGTGACTTGATGCGGACAGAGCCACAGCTCTCTGATAACCGTTTCACTCCTGATGGCCCGCTGATTCTGCAGCACAATTTCTAGGCCTCCTGTTTCTCTCTGCGGACCCGGACCGTTGCCTTGCATGCATGCATGCATGAGGTGCTTGATTTCTCCATGCGCTTCCCGGCCACTTGATGTTTTGTGACTTGATGCGGACAGAGCCACAACTCTCTGACAACCGTTTCACTCCTGATGGCCCGCTGACCCTGCAGCACAATTTCTAGGCCTCCTGTTTCTCTCTGCGGACCCGGACCGTTGCCTTGCATGCATGCATGCATGAGGTGCTTGATTTCTCCGTGCGCTTCCCGGCCACTTGATGTTTCGTGACTTGATGCGGACAGAGCCACAGCTCTCTGATACCTGTTTCACACCTGATGGCCCATTGACCTGCTGACCCTGCCGATACCAGATAGGTTGTGCTGTGTCTTTGCGCGCCAGCCTGTTGCCTCGTCGCGTGTGAGTTTGCTGTCTGCTATTGCCCAGCCACATGATGCCTGGTGACTTGATGCGGACAGAGCCACAGCTCTCTGACAACCGTTTCACTCCTGATGGCGTGCAGTAACTCCACCAAGCTGTCGTCTGGCCGCTGCACCTCCCCCCTCCATGCCCCATGCCCCTTCCACATCACGTTGCTCGCTCCTGCTGGTTGCTCTCCCACTGCCATCCATCTCATTCGGAACGTCCCGCTTGTGTTTTCCTGCCCCGTGTGGTTGTCCGTGGCAGGGCGGCATGCCAACCCAAGCCACTCGCCATGCGCGCCGGGTGTATGTGGGCGGCCTCCCGCCCATGGCAAACGAACAGGTGCGCCATGCTTGTTGCCCTGGTGGTGCTGTGAACTTGCTGGGTTTGCAGGATGGCTCTGCACTTGCCTTATATTGCAATGTGTTCGTTGTTGCATCTTCCCTGCGGCATCCCTCTCATGGCGTGACGCCGCGCCTTCCCATGCCATTATCTCCCTGCGTGCAGACGGTGGCGGCGTTCTTCAACAACGCCATGGCGCTCGTCAATGGCAACACTGCCGGCCCAGGTAGGAGGACTCGGAGTATTAGGGGGGAAGGGGGGGGGGGGAAGGGGGGGGGGAAGGGTGTGAGCACAAGGGATGTGTGCATCAGCCACAGGAGGAAGTTTGCTCGGAGTGTTGTCCTCCCTCCACCCTCAACCCCCCCTCCCCCCCACTTCCCTCCCTCTGCACTCCCATCTGTGCAGGCGACTGCGTGGTGTACGTGTACATCAACCAGGAGAAGAAGTTCGCCTTCGTGGAGATGCGCACTGTGGAGGAGGCCAGCAACGCCATGGCGCTCGATGGCATCAACTTCGAGGTGTGTTAGCCTGGTTACATGGTTACACGATTACACTGGTGCATGGTTGCATGGTTGCCACCAGCCTAGATGTGCACGGTGGAGGAGGCCAGCAATGACATGGCATTGGATGGCATGAACTTAGACGTGCAGTGTGTGTCACAGGGTTACCAGCCACTGACGCAGGAGTACAGTGTTGGTGCTACTGGTGCGTGTTGTTTGTGTCATTTATCGTCTTGTCTCTTGTGCTCTTATTCTCCTCCCTGCCCCCTGCCAGGGCGTGGCGGTGCGGGTGCGGCGGCCCAGCGACTACAACCCGTCCATGGCGGCCACGCTCGGCCCCACGCAGCCCAGCCCCAACCTCAACCTCGCTGCTGTCGGCCTCACTGCCGGGTAGGGAGGCGTTGAGACCGGGGCTCACTCTATGCTGCCAGCCAGGCCAGCCTCACTGCCGTGCATCCTCACTCCCTCCGCGTTACCTTGCCGCTTCTCCCCTCCTCGCCACTCAGTGGTCCGGCCTCCCCGCGGCTTTGTGTTCCTCCCCTCCCTTCCCTTCCCATCCCACACCTCATGCCCCTCGCACCTATGCTGCCCCACCCGCCGCTCATGGGTGTGGCTTGTCTTGCCGCCTTCTCACACGGTTCGTTGCTGCCTGCCTCTCACACCTTCTTGCCCCTCCGCTGCCTTCCCTCCCCCCCTGCAGTGGCACGGGCGGAGCAGACGGTCCAGATCGCATCTTTGTGGGCGGGCTGCCGTATTATCTCACGGAGGAACAGATCAGAGAGCTGCTCTCCTCGTTCGGGTGGGTGGCCTGCCTTTCCCCGTGCCCTTATAACGAATTCATCAGAGCTGCCTAAGTAACGGCATCTGTGTTTGGCCTGGTGAAGGTATCATGACACGTGTACCACGACACAGTCACCAACCGTGCCGGTCTATTCCCATCCTCCCTCCCCACCCTCCCATATCCCCTACCCTCTCATATCCTCTACCCTCCATATCCCCTGGCGTTCTCCCATCAGTCCGCTGCGGGCCTTTGACCTGGTGAAGGATCGCGACACGGGCAACAGCAAGGGGTACGGCTTCTGCGTGTACCAGGACGCGAGTGTGACGGACATCGCGTGCATGGCTCTCAACGGCATGAAGATGGGCGACAAGACACTCACCGTGCGCCGCGCCACCGCTAGGTGCCCGCCCAGCTGTTCCCAGGTGTCGTTTGGTGCCACTAGACGTCCTCTTAGGTGTTCTCAGATGCCTCTGGCACTGGCAGGTGTGCTTTCAGGTGCCATACCAAATGGCTCAGACGTGTAGGGGGTTGAGCAGTCTACCGCATCCTGTGCATCAATACGTGCTTATTGTGTTGTCCCTGTTCCTTTGTATTGTCCCTGGTACATCATACGTTGTGTGGCAGTGGGCAGGCCAAGCCAGAGCAAGCCAATGTGTTAGCGCAGGCTCAGCAGCAAATCGCCCTGTCGGTGCGTTCTTGTTTCTCTATCTTCCCCTGTTGTCCTCGCTCTCACTGCCCTTCTGCTCGGTCCCCTTTCCCCATCTCGCCTACTCTCTCTCACCCTTCCCCTCTAGGCACTCCCTCTCACTCACCCACCCACTCCTACCCACACTCTCCGTCTCACCCGCTCCTTCCCTCGCATTCCTTCTTGCTCCCTCCCTCTCGCTCCCACGTGCACCCTCTTCTCCTGTGCATCAACTCTCTTCACTTGGAGCGATTACTGCCCCTCTGGGCCTCCTGCTCACTTTCACTCTCTGTCTCCCCATCTCCCGTTGCTGTGGTTTCGGCTCCGCCATCTCATTCATTCCTTCCTCTCATTCATTCCGTCCTCTCACCCTCCCGGGCCCTCTTTGTCCTCACCTGCTCGCACCAGCGCATGGCTCTCACAGGGGCCAACACAGTGGGGCTGGGGGCAGCCCCTGCTGTGCCTGCTGCGCCGGTTGACATTCCAACCAAGGTCGTCTGCCTCTCGCAGGTTCGTCCCACTCTCCTCACTCCCACTTTCTCATGTCGGGATTGCTCGGCTTGTGCCTGGTGGTGCGCCATCTTGCCACAAGCACCCGAGCTTGTCATTGCAGTGATTGTTGTTCGCGCAGAGGCCGAGTCACATCACTCTCATGCTCATGCTTGCCACGTCAACGTGCTGTGCCTGCTTCACCATAGCACGCCATGACACCATGATGCCATGTGTGCCATGGTGTGCCACGCAGCCACGGTACTTCTCAGCACTGTGATGTCCTCCTACTGCTGCTGCCATGGCAGGTGGTGTCACCGGACGAGCTGACCAATGACGAGGACTATGATGAGATCATGGAGGACATGCGGGAGGAGTGCGCCAAATACGGTGAGTTGCCCAGGTCATCCATCTCTCGTGACTCTTTGAAGCTCTGCGGCTTCCCTGATGCATCTCTCCCTCTACTCCTCTGCCATGTGCCATGATGCCTGCGTGTGCTCTCCCTGTGACAACTTGAAGCCACGATGCTGCATCTTATTCTCTACTGACTGCTCTGCTGCTTCTCCTTGTTTCCTGCTGTATGGGTGACCCTCTGTCCTCCCTGTGAGCAGGTTCGCTGGTGAATGTGGTCATTCCTCGGCCACCAGCAGCAGGCGCTACAGCTCCTGGGGTTGGCAAGGTACGGTCCATAGATGCGTCTGCGTGTGTGTTGCCTCACCCCTCACCCATGCGTGACTAGTGAGAGGGGCAGAGGGTGATGTGTAGCTTGTGCTGCACCCTGCATTCTATGACTCTGCGCCTTGCTTGCTGGCGACATGGACCTGCGCTGGTTGGAACACGTGATGGGAAAGCTGCAGCAGGGTGGCAGTGCAGGTTCTTCTACCTGTCATCCACGTCCCTCCCTCCTCCCTCCTCACCTGTCCCTCTCCCGTTAACCGCCTGCTGCAGGTCTTTGTGGAGTATGGCGACACAGCAGGTGCCCTCAAGGCCAAGGCGGCCCTGCACGGGCGCAAGTTCGGCGGCAATGCAGTGGTGGCCATTTTCTACCCCGAGGATGCTTACGCTAGGGCAGACTACTCCAAGGCCTAAGCCTTAGGTTGGTTGCTGAACTTTGGACCCAGGAAGGGTGGCAACGCAATGCCTTGGTGGCCGTCGTCTATCCTGAGGGTGCCTACGTGAGGGCAGACTATTCCACAGCCTGGGCTGGGTGGGACCACTTCCCTGCGCTCATTTGAACATTAGCTTGTGAATCAGCGGTGGTGCTGTTCTGCTGGGTGGGGATGCCCATGCACAGTGGAGATAGCTAAGTGTCTGTGTTGTACTTCTCCTGCTTTGAATGGATGCAAGTTTGATTGCAATGTGAAACGCCAGGGAATGTGGTGGTGGTGGCCACCTACTATCCACAAAATGTGAATGCCAGGGGCTTTGAAGTCTGTCATAGGGCTTATGGTTTACGATGTTGATACGGTACCGTTAGCGGACCACCACCCTAATGGTAGCTGAGTACTAGTGAAATTCCTACTGCAAGTCAGACTGCACTGAGGAACATGGTGATTCTAGTGTACATCTAATATATCCTTAGTGCTCCTACGCCCTCAGATTATTTCATGAGTTAGGTGTGGCATGCAAGTGCTCCATGCAAGTGGTCAGCAGAGACGGTAATGAAGTCAAGGCACAGCAGTGCACAATTTCACGAGAGAGCAGTGCAGACTATACAGCGTGCCCATGGCAAGCAAGCATCACTGTCTAAGCAGCAAAACGCTACACTAAGCAATGTCTATTCAAACCCACTCTATCCTATGCTTTGCCTTACTCTGCTCCACCATTGCCCATCGGTTCCTCTCCCTCTTCTCCCTCTCTATCGCTCTCGATTTCTCTTCCACTCTCACCCTTCTCTCTTCTCATGCTCGCACACCAACCAAATCCTGCATGTACTCCAGCCAAATGAGATGCACCTCAAGTTATATGTACCTTATGCTGTATGCACCTTATGCTGTGTGCAGGTTATGCCATATGCACGACATACATGCCTTATGCTACATGCACCTTATGCTCTACAATGCACTTAAAACTATATGCACCTTATGCTATGCACCTGATGTTACCAGTACCGTATGCTATACTGCTCCTCACTGCCTCTCCCCTCCACCACTTCACCGGTACCCGACCAGCACCCATCCCTCACCTCAGCCATACTTGCTCACCCCCACACACTAGCCACAAGCCACACTTTACCTCCATACCAATCTCGCCCAACTACATCTGCACACCAATCTCGCCCAACTACACCTGCCACCTGTACCCCTCCCTGACTTCAGTTCCCACCCTCTTTCTCGCCTTGTGCCTCTCTCACCCCCAGCACATACCTCACCTCTTTCACCTCTCCTCTCCCCTCCTCTCCCCTCCTCTCCCCTCCTCTCCCCTCCTCTCCCCTCCTCACCCCTCCTCTCCCCTCCTCTCCCCTCCTCACCCCTCCTCACCCCTCCTCACCCCTCCTCACCCCTCCTCACCCCTCCTCACCCCTCCTCACCCCTCCTCACCCCTCCTCACCCCTCCTCACCCCTCCTCACCCCTCCTCACCCCTCCTCACCCCTCCTCACCCCTCCTCACCCCTCCTCACCCCTCCTCACCCCTCCTCACCCCTCCTCACCCCTCCTCACCCCTCCTCACCCCTCCTCACCCCTCCTCACCCCTCCTCACCCCTCCTCACCCCTCCTCACCCCTCCTCACCCCTCCTCACCCCTCCTCACCCCTTCTCACCCCTCCTCACCCCTCCTCACCCCTCCTCACCCCTCCTCACCCCTCCCAAACCTCTCCCAAACCTCTCTACTCCCTGGTAAGTGTGCACGCCCTTGTTTACGCCAGCATGCTTCCTCAATACTTCCACCTCTGCTTGGACGCACTCTGCACGCCCTTGCCTTGCGCGCTCCTGCCCTCCCCGTCCCTGCTGTTGGCTCTCCCGCTCTCCCTCAACGCGCGTCCCTCCAGCCCCTCTCCCACTCCCCCCGCCTTACCACTCCCTTGCAGACGAGCACCGGACGCATCAGGAGTGTTGGGGGGAGCATGGGGAGGGGTATACGGGGTTCTCTCACTCCTGCTCCTCACCATCCCTCCTTCCAGCACACTCCCCCTACGCACTCCCCCCCTGTCCCCCTCCCCCCCTCCCCTCCCCCCGCCGCACTCCATGGACAGCTTCCTGCTCGCCACTCGCCCTTGCGGCTGAGACTCGGCCCGAACCAGCCTTCCGAGCCTGCTGCTTGATGTCGAGCCTGGTGCTACCAGAGCTGACTTTGGCTTGGCAACCTTCCGAGCCTTTTCTGCCCTGGCAGTGCTGCTGGTGACAGTCCCCTGGTCGAAGATGCCCCCCACTCGGAACATGCTCCCACTTGCATCGCTCGCCCTCCCCTTCCCACTCTCCTTCAACCCCTGCTGCTGCTTCGCCTTCTGCTGCTGCTGCTCCTGCTGCCGCTGCTCCTGCTGCTGCTGCTCCTGCTGCTCCTCTTCATTTTCCTTCGCTTCCTCCCCCTCCGCTGCATGTGTGTCCTTTGCCATGGAAAAGACACTCCTAGCACCCACGACAGCAGCAGCAGCGGCAGCGGCAGCGGTGGGGGTGGAAGGCACGGACGAGAAGGGCGTGGCAGGCGCAGAGAAGAACTGCTGCGCCTCCTCGTACTCCTCCCCCTCGTGCCCCTCCTCCCCCTCATGCTCCTCCTCTCCCCCCTCCCTCAACACCTCCCCATTCTCTCTCTCCCCTTCCGCACCACCACTGCCACCCTTCCCTTCTCCAGCCCCCGCAGCACCTGAAGGCCCACCAGCGCAGTCAACGGGGTCAACGGGACCAACGGGGTCAACGGGGTCAACAGGGTCAACAGGGCCAGGGCCTTGCTGCAGGGTCAGCGGTGGCACAAGAGACGTACCTCCGCCATTCCTGCCTATCCCCATCGACGCCTTTCTTTCCGCAACCACCGGCGCAGCCCCATTGACACTGTAGCTGCTGCTGCTGCTCCCCTCCCCCCCACACACACCATCCATCCCCGCGCCCCCATACTTGGGCACTGCGCCATACACGTTCCCCCTGATCCGCGCAACCACCCTCATCTCCCCTCTGCCGGGGGGAGACGGCGTACATCCCAAGGGCGACCCCAGCAGGGGGAGCCCCATCCGCCACAGCCCCGGCTCCCCGGGTCCCCCTGCCCCTGCGCTCCCGCCTGCACCTCCCCCTGCGGCTTCAAGGGGTTTGGCCGCGAGGGGGGTGTCGGGCTCGGGGGAAGCAGACGGGGAAGCGGAGGGCGAGGGGGAGCGGGGGCAGAGGGAGGAGGTAGAGGCCTGCACCGCGCGGCTGAGGGCGGAGATCTCCGCGGACTGGTGGGATAGCTGGGGGGGGGGAGGAGGGAGTGGGTGGGGGGGAGGGTACGGGGTAGGGGGAGGTGAAAAGGAGCAAGAGGATAACATGAGTGACATGCGATGACATGAGATGACATGCGATGACATGAGATGACATGCGATGACATGAGATGACATGCGATGACATGAGATGACATGCGATGACATGAGATGACATGCGATGACATGAGATGACATGTGTTGGAGTGGAAACCGACGGCATGACGTGATGGCATGGCATGGCATGGCATGGCATGGCATTAGTATTGTAAGGCCAGCTCACCATCTCCATCAACTCTTCCATGCCCGCCTTCCTCGCATCCCCTGCCTTCTCCTCCTCCTCCGTCTCTTCCTCTCCCTCTCCCTCCCCTTCTCCCCGTGCTGGCTTTCCCGCATCTGCACCGTCCAGTGGCGCGCTGCCACGCGTCAGCCCCTGAATGGCCTCGGTCTGACCGAGAATGAGCGCCTTCAGCTCCGCAATGTGCGCCGCCTGCAGCGCCATCATGTCCTGCGGGAGAGGGGCGCGCTCAGCGCGCCCAGGGGCGCATGGAAGAACAGCATAAGCGCGCGCCAAAAGCAGTGTGCGCCGCCTGAAGGGTCATCAGGTCCTGCGACAGGGACGTGGCACGAGACACGCGTGGCGGGACGCACGCATGCCGGATGCGTGGACAAGCAGCGCGGGCAACAACAGAACAGACACCGGCAACAACAGACAACAGCAACTTGCTCCGCGGAGGCGAGGCATTCAGGAATATGAGGAGCTGTTATAATATCACATTCGTTTGACTCACCCTGAGCGCGGAATTCGACTCCACGGCGGCATTTAGGGCCTCCTGCGTCGCGACTCGTGACGCCTCAACCTCCCCGCACCGTTCCTCCGCGCGTTTCATCTCCTCCGCCATCCGTTTCATTTCCGCCTCCATGCGTTTCATCTCCCTCACCGCCAGTTCCCTCCCCTCATCGGCACGTTTCATCTCCTCGCGCATACATTCCTCTCTATCTTTCAGCTGCTCCTCCATCCGTTTCACCTCCTCGGCAGCCCGTTTCATCTTCCCACCCATCTCGTCCCGTTCCTCCTCGGCGCGTTTCATCTGTTCCTCCAGCCGTTTCAACTCTTCATCCTTCGCCTGCAGTAGCTGCTGCACCTGAAGCAAGCACAGAGGAAGCCCACGCAAGAGGGAAGGGTAAGCAAACACCGAAATACCCTTCCCTAATGGACATCGAAGAAAGGAATGGGAATCCATGGCGTAAGGAAACATGCCGTTGACAACAAGTCAGACCATGGAAGCAACGTCTATATTCTAAGACATGTTTTTCAACCGTCAGAACCCCCTATTCGTCGCAAAAACGACGGGAGCTACGGATTGCGAGTCGTACAACGTGTTGTGACGCATCTCAGCACGTACCTGCGATTCTTCTTCGCTCGCTCTCGCGGGACTCGGACCACCTTCTGCGACGCGTGCGACGCCCGACGACGGGCTGGCGACAGGCGACGACACGACGGATCTGGGCGGCTGCGATCGCAAGGCGACGATCTTCTTCCGCAACGAGCGCGCTTCCATGTCCTTGGCGCGGATCAACTTGCGGATTCGCGCGAACTCCCGCTTCATCTGCATCCTGGCCGTCGATACGGATTTCCACGTCATCGCGAGGATCAACGCGCGCTGCGGAGGGAGGAGAGAATAATATGAGAAAGCAACTTGACATTGACTTTATGCTGACATACCCATGAAAGTCGATTCATTCGCCAGCTGATTCTTTGCAAGGATCAAGGAAGCAACCGGAATTTCGGAGATTCATGGTGCTTACGTAAACGGCCGGGATGCTAAGCCAAGCATGTCGCTCATTCTCCGTCAACATTCCGCTAGCTCCAACGATTTCCGTCAACGCCTCCACGTTCTGCACTTTTCCGTCAAGCGACATCCACGCCAGGCTCATTCGCTTCCCTGCGCCTCCCGCTTGTCGAGCCTGTGGCGGATAACTTTCCGCCAAGGGCGGTAGAGACTGCAGGGATGCGCGCACGGGGAGCCCGTGAAACTCCGCCACGTCCACAAGAAACTCCCGCTCGTCCGGCAGCATGGCGGAAAAATCCCCCGCGCTTTCCGCCAGGGCGGAGATCCGCCGCTGGCCGGTCCACGGCGGGGGCGGAAACGCCAAGGCTGCGGACGACGAGGAGACGCTGCCGTCAAGACTGCCGGCGAAGCTTAACGACGTCCGTCGAGATGACGGCGCGGAACCGAGGCCGCCGGCAGAAGAACTGGTGTAGTTTCCGAGAAAAGGGGGAGCGCCGGAGATGGACTGACGGACGGACGCGGAGAGACGAGGCGGCACGATAGGAACCGAGGGCATGAGCTCCGTCGCCTTGAGCGTGTTCGGCGGCAGGACCTCGACTAAGGATTGAGTGCTTTCCTGAGGGACCGAAGGTGCAGGCACGGCGCTGTTCCGCCGGTTATTCTCATTAACGCTTCTCACCCCGAGCACGGACATGGCTGCTGATTTCCCCGACGGGAAGGAAAAGAAGGAATTGTCTGAAAAATCCTGTAGCGCGGATCGGACGGCGGATCTGCCGGTTTGAGGGTTGCCCGGCTTGACGGAACCGTCGAACCATTGCGTGACGGCCGCCAGGCCGACCGGGTGCACCTCCTCGCTGTCGGTAACGGTTTCCACGGGCAGCGGAAGCGCGGGAGTGGTGACGTCAGCCAGAAGGGTAGGGGAGGGTTTCGAGAGAGGTAGGGGGAATGGAGAGGCGTTTTCATCGTTGAAGTGGGAGGCGAAGGAGAGCTTGTTGTGCAGCCTGCCGGGTCTCCGAGTCCCGCGTTTCGCTGATGCGGATGCCATGATCAGAAGCTATGACGCGGAATCGGGAGCGACTATAAAATTGTGGGAAGCACGTGCTGTGAGTGGCTACAAAACTAACGAGTTTGCACAGAAGCACCACGAAACAACTAAGACGTTGCTAAGGAGAATAGGGGCATAGGCAATCACTCAACGAGCTTATTGAAGCGCAAAGCCTAGTTTTTCAAACGGTGTGAGGACCAAACTACGGTAGATGTTGACAACTACGAAGAGAAGGAGACAGAGACAATCATTGGGATCCGGAATCAATGGCTAGAGTGAAGGGATGAGAGGGAAAGAACTCAGCGGGAGGGTGCTGCTGCTGACGAAAATGGGAGAGCTTCTGAGGTGGGGGATTTGGCTTGCGAGTATTGTGCACAATTCCGGTGACTGGCGTATTGCGCGCGATGTGCAATGTACGAGTCGCGTCGCTGCAGAAATTCAAATGTTTGCGAGCGGTGCGGATTGAGCGGGAAATGGATTTCCAATGCCTGTCAGTAGAAAGTGTCATTTCTGTACCAATGGGCAGAAAGCCTATTGTAACGCTTCGGTACAGACATGTTGTTGATTATACGAGTACGCAATAAGGCTGGCTACCTGCAGCGGAAAATGAGAAGCGTTGTAAAGAAGTAAACCTGGCTTGCTCCCTGATCTGCGATAAGCACACTTCTCTTCACTCGGCAAGATCAAGGTCACTAGTGCCTGAATCGGCTCCTTCATTGAGGCAGATTCAGGAGTATGTCTTATTTCAAATCGTTCATGATGTCGCCCTTATCTTCCCACCGCTTCTAAGAGCGGACGTGATAATCTCCATAGCGATATTCCGTGGCTGAGAAAATCTCGAAATTCCATTGGTAGTCCAGGCATATGGCTACATCGCTCGGGCAGTATCACCTGGCAGTCTTGTTCCACCGGCTCTTGAGGCTTTCTTAGCCTTGCTCATAATGTTCTTAAAGCCGGTATCCTGCTACTGTAAGTACCTTTTACTCTAGTGCGACGCGGCGACGCCAGGCTGGCCCCATGGATGGGGCCGTCGTCCGGCTCATGCGACAGAAGGTGCCGCGAATCGTCGCATTCCCTGTCGCATTCCTCCTGGGAGTCGCCCTGCTGCTCGTCACCCGTCAGCCAGCGGAGATCGCGCGAGTAGAGGACCTCTTCGAGGCATCCCCTCCCACCGCTCTCTCAACTTTCCCTCCACCGTCCGATGCTTCATCGGCTCGCCTTTCGCCGTCCGATATCCCATTCCGGGAAAACCAGGAGAGAACGAATATCAGCGAAGATGACACGCGAGAAGCTGGCGATGAGGTTCATGAGAGGAGGATAGAAGCGGGTATGAGCGCACGTGATATTAGCGAAAACAGTCTTGCCGATAGAAGCACTGACGATGATAATGATCCTGACGACGAGCAGTGCTGGGACGGGCGGGTGCGCGTGTACGTGTACGACCTCCCGCGGCGGATGAACCTGGGCCTGCTGGAGCCCAAGTGGAAGACGCGGCAGCGGGAGAGGACCAACCAGAGCATCGACGACGCGCCCATCCGGGCGTGGGCGTGGCCGGCGCAGGGAGACGTGCATCCGACCGCGTGGCAGCACAGCCTCGAGTACTACCTCGTCGCTGACTTGCTTCATGCGCCCTCTGTACGCCCCTAAGAAGCATGCTGCATTCCCCCTCTGTCCGTTCTCGTGGCACGAGACATGCTCCATCTCCCCCTCCCTAGGCCCTTGCGAGACACGCTCCATCTCCCCCTCCCCAGACCCTTGCGAAGCATGCTTGACCCGTTCTTTCTTCATACCGCACACGACTTTATGCACCAGCGGGCACACAACGCTCTACCCACCCTGCCACACAGCCCGCCATCCCATGCCATACAACCCTCTACCCCTTTCTCTGCCCTGGACTGGCAGGGGTGAAGGTGAGGGACTCCATGTTTCTTTTGTAATGTAACCTTGTGCACCCCTCTCCATCCCTCCACACCCGCCACCAGGAGCGAGACCCTGGAGTGGCGGCGGTGAGGGTGAGGGACCCTGCGCAGGCGGACGTGTTTCTGGTGCCCTTCTTCGCTTCCACCATGGTCAACCTGCTCAGGCGCAAGGACTTCCCCACCTACAAGGCTCTAGCGGTACGTTCTTGATATTGACCTCGTTATAGGCCCACTGTGTTTCTGGCGCCCTTCTTCACTTCCCCCGTGGCCAAACTGCTGAGGAAAAAAGGCATCCCCACCTACAAGGCTCTAGTGGCACAGGAGGGGCGGTGGGTGGGGACGATGTGCTGTGCGTCACCCATCCGAATGCGGACCATCCCAGTACCCTTGAGAGTCCGTGCACTTGACTCACGCTCTTCTCCCTCGTCCTCCCTTTGCACATATCCGATCCCAGATGGAACTGGCGGAGCTCATGAATGCCTCGCCCTGGTGGCACAGACGAGGCGGCAGGGACCATGTGCTGTGCGTCACCCACCCCAATGCGCTGGAGTCCGTGCGGCACTACATGGCTGCTGCCGCCTTCATTGCTGTGGACCTCGCCAGGTGAGTGGGTGGGCGCACGGGCAGCAGTTGCGCCACCCACCTTAAAGTGCTTGAGTCTGACGGCATGCATGGCTGCTACAGCTTTCATTGATGTGAACCTTGGCCGGTGAGTAGATTGGGTGAGATGGTAGCAGTTGCAAGGTGGGTAGGTGGGCGCAATGGCGGTGGGTCACCAATCTCAATGTCCTGAAGTCAATCCCTACACACCCACACACATGCACACACCACCCCCCCTCTCCGCCCCCCTCTCCCCGCCCCACCCACCACACACGCGCCCTTTGCTCCCTTCACTTCAGGTATGCACCGGGGGCTTTGATTTGCACATGGACACAATAGCGCCATCTGAACACCTGGAGGAATTATTGCCCAAGGTGCACACGCATGCACAGAACCACACCGGTAATCAGCGCTCACCTCTTCCCCCCCACCTCCCCTGCCCTCAGGTATGCACCAGGGGAGGCTGATCTGCACAAGGACATAATAGCGCCGTATGGGCACCTGGTGGAGACATACACAGCGGAGGAGGAGAGGCGGGACGCCCTGAGACAACAGAGGAGTCATGCGGGCACAGGCACGGAGGGAGGGAAGAAAAGAGATGAGGAGGAGGCGGGAAGGAGGGGGGGACATGGACGGGGAGGAGAGGCAGCGGTAGCTGAAGCAAAAGCTGAGGCTGGGAGCCGCAAAATGGTGGAGAGGGAGGGTGGTGGGGATGGGGGGGAAGAAGAGGAGGAGGATGAGTTGGATGGGGGGAGGGATGGGGTGCGACAGGGGAGAGTGGGGAAGAGGGAGGAGGGCATTGCAGATGGCGATGAGGAGACAGACGCAGGGACAGGAGACAGGGCAGTGGATAAGGGAAGCCGCAAGGAAGAGCGGGAAGAGGGGGAGGAGGAGGAGGAGGAGGAGGAGGAGGACAAGGGTGAGAAGGATGCAGATGGGGAGGGGGAGAGGAGGCGACTGGTGGGTCAAAGGAGACAGCTGGGGGGTGAGGAGGAATCAGAGGAGGGGGAGGAGGAGAGTGGGGGAGAGAAAGAAGGGAGCAGTGAAGGTGAAGAGGAGGAAGGGGATGATGGGAAGGAGGAGAAACAAGGAGATGATGCAAGTGACGGTGATGGGAGTGACAGATTGCATGGGCAAGGGAGCAGAGTGGAAGCAGGAGCAGCAGGAGCAGCGGAAGAAGCGGGTGGAGCTGCCGACACAGGAGAGGCGGATGCGGGGGTGTTTGCGCGGCGCAAGACACTGCTCTACTTCCAAGGCACGCTGCACAGAAAGGATGTGAGTGAGATGGGAGAATGGGTGAGTGCATGGGGAGCAAGGGCAGGTGCCAATACAGGAGTATCGCACACTGCTCTACTTTCAAGACACACTGCACCAGCAAGATGTGAGTGATTGGGCAGGGAGAATAATTGAATGCGTGGGCTAAAAGGATATGACTTAGGGGTTGCTCTGCCTGCCATCGTTCAATTCAACCCTGTCAGCCGCCTCTTCCACGTAGAACGCACTCCTGACTCTACTTCCCGTTTTCCCCTCCACGGCTCCTCTCCCCTCCGCCTCCCCCCCCAGCGGCACAAGGCCCTTTTTGAGGAGCTGCAGGGGAAGGTGGACGCGCATGTGAAGGAAACTTCCTTTCAGCCTCTCCCCCCCTTCTCCCTCCTCCCTTCTCCCTTCTCCCTTTCTCACCCACTGCCGCCCCTGCTGCCCCTCTCCCTCTGCCCGCTTCAGCGGCGCAAGGCACTGTTTGAGGAGCTCCAGGGGGAGGCGGACGTGCATGTGAGGGAAGCAGCGGGCTCCAGCCAGTCCATACGAGATGTGAGTCAACGTGAATGCTCATGCACATGCACAAAATTTCCAGGAGTCATGCACGTTTTGACCTCGGATCAGCACGGACGTGCATGTGAGGGAAGCAGCAGGCTCCAGCCAGTCAATACGAGATGTGAGTCCGTGCCACTGTCACGTGCATTTTGGCCCTCCTGCCATGCATATTCGGCCTCGTGCAGTGCATGTACATGCATCTGAGGGAAGCAGTGGGATCCAGCCAGGCCATAGGGGATGTGAGCCTCTTCTTCTTTTCTCTCTTCTGTGTGCAAGCTGTGATCACTCGCTCGATCCCACGCCCCATGGGTTGTGACTCGTTGCCGTTCTCCTGCATTCTTTTCACTTGCCCCAACCACTTGTGTGCCACAACCGCCCATCTGCTCCTCCCCACTGCCCACTGTCAGTCCCAGCCCAGCAGGGCATGTGGGGGCCGCGCTTCTGCGTGCACATGTCAGGGGACATGCCACTTTCTCTTTTATCCTACAGCATACATCCCCAACACTCTGGACCTTCTGTCTGTCCCACTCTCCCTGCCCCGTCCAGTCCCAGCAAGGCATGCGGCAGTCGCGCTTCTGCCTGCACGTGGAGGGCGACACGCCCTCCTCGTCGCGCTTCTTCAACGCCCTCATGAGCGGCTGCGTGCCCGTGGTCGTCAGCGACTATGTCGAGCTGCCCTTCGAGTCAACCCTCGACTACTCGCACCTCGCGCTCTTCTTCTCACAAGAGGTGAGTGCGTGTGACTTTAAGGAAGGGAATGCGGTAAGGAGGGGAGGTGTGGTTGAGGAGGGGAGTGTCTATCATCATTGCCCTCATGAGCAACCGTGTGCGCATGGCGGTGAGCGACTAGGTGGAGCTGCCATTTGATTCAACCCTCGACTACTCCCAGCTTGCACTCTTGTTCTCGAAAGCGGTGCGCATGTGAAACCCAAGGAAGGGAATGCGGTTGAAGGACGGCACGTTTGCTTTTATTTTTTTGTGAAAAGAGCAAGCATGCGGGGAAGCCACTTCAGGTATGGCTAGCAAGAGTTGCTATCTCCACCACTCTTCTTTGCATATCCCGAGCCTCAGTGCAACTATCAGCTGTGTCCTTTTTTCCTCGCCCACTCATTTCTTTGCTCTTCCTCTCCCACCGCCTCCCCTCTCCTCCCCAGGATGCACTAGTCAAGGGTCGTCTAGTCTCCGCCCTGCGCCAGCTGTCAGAGCAGGATTGGCTGGCGATGTGGCACAGGCTGCATCAAGTGCAGAGGCACTTTGAGTTTCAGGTATGCATGCAGAGCCCCGCTGGCTATGCACAAGGGCCATCGTGAGTGCGCCAGCTTCGCATGCACCCTCTGAAGCTCCACACAAAGCCCGGTCGTTCTGCCCGAGACACATCTGAATTGTCCCAGCCGCTCCTGCATCTATGTCTGTGACTGCACCTGTTCCCGTGTCTGTTTCCGTGCCTACCTCCCGCCAGCACCCATCCAGGGCAGGCGATACGGTGGACATGCTGTGGCGGGAGGTGTGCAGCCGACTGCGAAGCATGCAGCTTTTGACACACCTGTCTCCTGTATGCTCTCATTCCAGCTTCCATGCCTGCTCCTCACGTGCCCTGCCCCGAGCAGCACCCAGCCAAGGCAGGAGACGCGGTGGACATGGTGTGGCAGGAGGTGCGGAACCGGCTGCCGAGCATGCGACTATTGGCGCACCGCGACACACGACTGACCATTCCCGACTGGAGTGCTTGAGGAATCCTTCTTCAGGCGCCTCACGAATGTGCTTTCGGAGCACCGCGATGCACGGCATGACGACTGACCATTCCCAACTGGAGTGCCTGGGGACCCATGCTCGCTGCTTGATCGTGCCTTGGATGTGGCTTGTTTGGATGCCATGGTACGGGTAGTACCTGAATGTGAATAAGGCGATCCCAACCCAAACCAATTGTTAGATAATGATGGAGCAATGGCCCACCTGCAACTCCAGGGACCTGTATAAGCTCAAGCATATGTCCATTTGTGGAGCTCAGTTCAGTATGTACACCTTACTTCGACAAGGATAAACACCAACAAAGAATGGCATGTTGCATTACGCATACATCAACTAGTCTAGTTCGCTGACGGCTTCATCTCCCCATGTCGACCTTACCAGCCTTGATGCCCTTCTCATGGTCGTCATCGTCATCATCTTTCTTGTCCTCGTCAGTACCCTTATCGTGTTCATCACCCTCATCACCATCCCTGTGCTTGTTCTTCCCATGCTCATCCTCCTTATCCTCATCCTCATTATCCTCCTTGTCTTCCTTGTCCTCCTTGTCCTCCTTGTCTTCCTTGTCCTCCTGATCTTCCTTGTCTTCCTTGTCCTTCTCGGCTTTCTCATCATCATCATCATGCTTGGAAAACTTCCTCTTGGGATTGTCATCATGATCAGCATCATGCTTGTGCGCATGCTTGCCTTCATGGTCATGGTCATGGTCATGGTCATGGTCATGGTCATCAGCATCACCATCATCATCTTCCTTATCATCATCACCGCCACTACCATCCCCATGCCCATGTTTGTCAAACAACACACCAGTCCCATCGCCACCACCACCACCAACCCCCGCCCCCTTGCGCGCCTGCCACTTGCGCCGTGCCTTGCCGTATTTCTTCCTCAGCTTGGAGCAGTGCTCCAGTCCCTCCCGCACCCACCCCTTAGCCGTCCGCAGCTGCTGCTTCGCGCGCACCAAGTCCGCAGGGCATGTGGCCAGACTGGCGGACGATGCTGCGGGAAATAAAGGGTGGAGGGGAGGGAAAGGGAGAAAAGGGAGGTTACGCAGGAAGAGAATCAAGGTCATACTGATGGCGAATCAGATGACACGCTTGATGACACAATAGATGACACGCCAGGAGATGCTGCAAAGTACACCACGATCGAACAGCACCGACCTGCATCCATCTTCATTTGATTAATCCCTTCCGCCTGTACCGTTCCTAACCCCCCTGGCTGCCCCCCAGGCTGCTCTGTCTGCGGTAACCCCCCTCTCTCCGCCCATCGCCTCTCCATCTCCGCGAGCTTCGCCTTCGCCTCTGCGACCTCCTGATTCGCACGCGACGTCGCATAGTAACCCGTGGCGATTATGCAGGCGACTAGTGCGACGAATCCTATTAGCACGCCGACGGGGATCCCCAGTGGACCCTCGGCGGTCAAACCGGCGCCATTCGCGGCGAAACGACGCCTTCGCGACGAAACCATGTGCGACGAAACACGAGGTTTAGGGCGAACGTAGCTACGCTATGCTCAACGGAAGAAGCAACAGCCTCGAGAGTAGACAGGAGATGACCTCGAGAACATCGTGGGGAGACTTTTGTGCAATCACTGACAAGCAAGTCGATTTGCACAGTGAGATTTGACAATGCGTGACAAGCAGCTTCGATAGCATGCAGAAATTTCGGAAATGTATTGCACCCAGAAAAAAGGACAGGTTAGACCTGCAACGCAAGTGATATACAATGGAGGCTACTCTTCCATGGGCCAATAGGATACTGCACTCTACAGTAGAATGAGATGGCAGACAGAATGAGTGATAGCACCTCTAAACAGCAACCCAGCCTTCTGCTTGAAAGGCCAGTCTCATGGGCCGGCTGCGATGCATCATGTGCGATCACCAAGTCAACCCATGACAGAGGCCAACCCTGCGGGGTGTGTGCGTGCGGCACTAAAAGACCGGCTTCCCCTACCTTGGCAGAGAAACACCGCAAATGCATGCTCGCCAGAAGTGACTTGGGAAGTCAAAGGGCCCTAGAGAATCATTCGAGGGGCCAGTCCTGCGGGGTGTGCGGTACGAACACCGGCTTCCCCTTGGCTGCTTCCAGCAGCGGCCACAGCCCCACCCGCTGCTGAAAAAACACCTCGAGCGCTTGCCCGTCAAACGTGACCTCTGCAGCATCGTCGCCGTCAGCCGTGGCACCCAGGCCGCTCTGCACTGTGAGGGTCGGCTCCCACTTCTCCTTGCCGCGCTGTATGGCGCTGAACACCTCTTCTTTTGCCACTCCTGGCAGGCCAAGGAACTGAGCCAGGGAAGCAGAGGCGGTCTGGGGAAGGTGAGTGAAGGAAAGGAGGGGAGAGGGCAAAGGAAATGGTCATATTGGGAAGGACGACACATGGGGAAAAGACGGATAATGAACCCGTGGCAACATGAGCCGCGGGTGGCTTGCCACTCTGCTCCTCCCCTTGAGTCGCTTCAAACCACCCCAGCATCCACGCCAATCAGGCTGAACGTGCCACAAGGCAGAGCCCTGAGCGAGGCATCGATGCAAATGAGGCTTTCCTCCATCAGCCGCTCCTGCAGCCCCACATAATGTCCCTTCATCTCCCTTCATCTCCCTGTATGCCCGCTGCCCATCCTGCTCCCTACCTTGGATCTCTTGACCAGCGCATCCACGTCAATCAGGCTGAACGTGCCACAGGGAGAGCCCTGAGGGACGCATCGATGTAGCCATGCTGTCCTCTACCAGCCGCGCCTGCAGCCGCACTCCATATCATGCCACTGTGAGACATCCCAACCAAACCACCCACCTGCTCTCCTCACCTTGGGTCTCTTGACTAGTGCATCCACGTCTATGAGGCTGAACGTGCCGCACGGGAGAGCCCTGAGCGAAGCATCAATGTAGACCATGCTGTCCTCTATCAGCCGCGCCTGCAGCCCCACGTCGTCATTGTGGAAGCGGCGGAGGACCGACCAGAGCACCGTGTCTGTAAGGTTGCGCACGAGCACCACGAGCTGAGGGAACCGGGGGGGAGAGGCAGGAAAGGGGCCAAAGGAATGAGAGATGACGCCTGCAGCCCCACATGGCCGTTGTGGAAGCGGCGGAGCACGGATCAGAGCCCCGTGTCGGTGAGGTTGCGCACGAGCACTATGGGCTGAGTCAAATGGGGGGGAGAGGCAGGAAAGGGGCAAAAGGAATGAGACGCCTGCAGCCCCACATCATCGTTGTTGAACTGGCGGAGCGCGGTGTCTGTGAGATTGCGCATGAGCACTAAGAGCTGAGGGACTTGGGGCGCAAGGGGGATGAATAGTGGAGACGCGATGAAAAGAACAATGCAGCACGGACCAGAGCACCGTGCCTGTGAGGTTGCGCACAAGCACCACAGCATGAGCTGAGGGAAGGAGGGTCGGGAAGAAACGGGGGGGGGGGAGGGGGTAGTGGGGTAGTAAGAGGGAGCATTGTGGTGTGATGTGATGGAGCATGGACCAGAGCACTGTGCCTGTGAGGCTGCGCACGAGCGCTACGAGCTGAGTGACAGGGAGATAGATGGGGAGCAATGGTGGCAAAAGGGATGTTAAGGCATGAGACGCCTCAGAAGCGATGGCGCTTTGAGACGCCTCAGAATATCACATACATGAATTGAGACGCCTCAAAGCACAGCCCTGCTGCAACTAAGTCAGATTCGTTGTACACAGCTGCACAGTAAAGGTACCTTGAGGTTGTAGTCAACTCAAAGGTCACATGCACACGCTACCTTGAGGTTGTACAGAATGCCATGGAAGGTAGCGAGTGGGATGAGGTCAGAGCGAGCCAGCTGGGTCCGTAAAGAAGGCATGCATAGGACGATTTTTTAGGCGCCTACGAAACTGTCTTCTCAGTTGATTCAGCGGTCACATACACTCGTACCTTGAGATTGTACAGAATGCCGTGGAAGGTGGCAAGTGAGATGAGGTCCGGCCGAGCCAGGGGTGTCCGAATGCGGCCCATGGGGAAGGGGTCCCTGGCCCTCAGATAGTAGTTGGTGTCCTGCGCACGGGCAAGGGGAATGGGTGGGTGGCAGAAAGCAGGCCCTGACATCAGCAGGTGCGATCTGCAATGCGTTTGAATAGCAGTCGGTCTCCTGCCTTTTAGGGATGGAGGATGAGCAGCAAAAGGAGAGAGTCGTCTCATGTAGGATAAACAATTTGACAGAATACGTTTGAAGGCGGTCCACAGGGGAGGGTCTCATCTCATGCACCCCAAGGGGAAGGGTACCCGTAGGGATGGGGAGAAAAAAAATAGATGTTGTATTTCAGAAGTTATGATGCTAGCGACGGAGGAGGACCATGAGGAGGAGGTTTCACGACCTCCGACAGTAGTTAAAATCAGACATGAGGGGAGTAGACGGGCGAACGGAGTTCATGGGAGAACAGAAGACAACGATAGGGATGGGAGGATGGGACAACTGATGGGCGGGCAGGGAAAACAAGGGCTTACCTGGAGCTTGGTCTCGAGTGTGGATGGCATGCGAACGCCAAAGATGTACATGTGTTGTGAGTACATGTGTTGTGAGTACATGTGTTGTGAGTACATGTGTTGTGAGTACATGTGTTGTGAGTACATGTGTTGTGAGTACATGTGTTGTGAGTACTGCAGCAGCTTGGGGCAGCCCACCGTGACGCCGGTGGGGTCCTTCCTGAGCCAGCTCTGAGTCAATAGTCAACAATCAACAGCTCGAGACAGTTACCTGGAGCTTGGACTTGAGTGGATGACATGCAAACACCCAAGTCGTAGACGTGCCGCGAGTACCGCAGCTTGGGGCAGTCCACAGTGGCGCCAGTGGGGTCCTGAGTCCTCTCAAGAAAGATAAGAGAGCGGCTTTACCTGCAGTTTCGCCTTGAGTGTGGACGACATGCGCACGCCAAAGTCGTAGACGTGCCGGGGGTATGGCAGCTTGGGACAGTCCACCGTGGCGCCGGTGGGGTCCTGAGCAGTCGCCACCTTCTGCTGCGGTGACGAGGTCAGGTGCAGGTCGGGGTTGAAGCGGTCGATGCTGATGTTCACTGGGAGGTAGCTGTTGAAAGACAGGTGGAGAAGGAGGCATCCAGGGAGGGACGAGGCAGGGTGCAGTGAGTGTGACGAGGTCAGGTGCAGATTGGGATTGAAACGGTCCAAGCATGCTGATGTTCATTGGGAGGTTGCTGTTGAAAAGGGGAGAGAAGTTAGGGAAACAGAAGGCGTCTATTTTTGAGGCGCCTCAAAAAGAGAAGTTAGGAAAACACACAAGGCGGGGGAGTCACGGGAAGGGAGGGGGATGAGGCAGCGTCTGTCAAGTGTTGATGGTTGTGCAGGTCGGGGGGGGTGAATCGGTCCATGCTGATGTTCACTGACAGGTACCTGGTGGTGAAAGACACGAGTGGTGGAAAGGGAGGCAGCGTGCTTGTTTAAGAGTGAAGATAAGTGGGGCGCAGGTTAGGGGTAAATAGGTCGATGCTGATGTAAAGTCGTGGGTGGGGCGAGTGGCAAGCCAGGGACGGACCGCACCTGATGATGTACTCAAACAAGCCGTGCCCCCCTCCCTCAGCCCCAACGAGCATGTGCGCGTGTGCGCGGGTGGGGCGGCAGCAGACAAAAGCGCCCAAAGGGAGGGGCGTGGCACCCTGGGGAAGGGGCGCACCTGAAGATGTATTCAAACAGGTCGTGCCCGCTCCCCTCAGTCCCGATGAACATGAACACCCGTGGAAGCTGCTCCGCCTGGGCGTGCACGTGGGTGGGCGGGCGGCAGACCGGCGGGTACAGGTGGGGCCGCCAGGGCTTGGTGCTGAGGCGCCAGGAGAGGGGTGCGCACGCCAGCAGCACCACCACCGCTAGCGCCGCCACCAGTGTCCCCCAGGCTGATCCTCTGGGTGCTTTGAGGGCCTCAAAGCCGTCTGACGGACGCCTGAAAGAGCGGAAGAGGAGGAAATGGGGGAAAAACGGCAGGCGGGCCGGTCTAGAGCTGAGGCGCCAGGAGAAGGGCGCGCACGCCAGCAGCACGACCACTGCTGACGCTGCCTCCAGCGTTGCTGAGCCTCTGGGAGCCTTGGGGGGCTTAAATGCGCCTGACGGACGCCTGATAGGGTGGGGGGGGAGGGGGCTGCGGGGGGGAGGGGGAGGGGCGTTGGAGGGAGGGGAGTGGTTGTGCGACGACTCAGACGGCAGGGACGTGGCTTATGATGGGAAGCGGGAGTATGGGTCGCAGCTGTGCAGCTGGCGGATTGTGCCGTGCCATCCGATGGCGCTGACAGAGACGCAGGACAGCACGCCTGATACAGTCACTACGAAGAGACCATGGGAACATGGATCACGAGTAACAAAGAGAAACACGGCCAAGGGATCAACTGGAACGGGGCTGTTGCGCACTTGGGGAGAGGCGAGGAGTTGAGTGGCGTGGGCGAGTAGGGCGCTGACGCGGGCATGGTGTCACGCCAACCGCATGGAAGTAGCGCGCCGGACGGAGGAAGTCCCAACTGCAAAATGGCTTAGGTTTTTTTTAGTCGACTCTAAAGCCGGTTCCCAACTGCTTCCTGCAACGAGACTGAGGTGTTTTCTGGGGAAGGAGGAAGGGATGGCAGGGACAAGGAGAACGACCGGATAATGAGTAGAGTAGAGGAGCAGATGTGCGGTGGACGGAGGAAGTAACCTAACGGTGACACGCCGTGGTTCGGGGGAGTAATAGGAGCAGAGGTAACTAACGGAGAGCGACAGGTTAGGAGGACTTTGAAGGAAGCGTAGCGTAAACGGCTGGCAGAGAAACTCCGCACTGTCGTACACTTCTGACAGTCATGTGCGGAATAAGAAGCTCACCTAGGTATAATCAGTTGAAATGCGGCTTTAAAACTAATTGCGTCTCTCTGTAGGTGAGGTGAATAGTTAGGAGCTAAAAGGTTGTCCACGTGAGGATTTTAGGTCAGAGTGTTTGGCCTGGCACCTAGAAATGCGGTTAGGTACGTGATAACCTATCCATACAACCAAGGGCGGCGACGGGTGATTGATTTAGGCCTAATTGCGCATCTCGACAAAATCGCGTCCTCAACTAACCTTTTCTACCCATTTTGCTCACGATCCGGGCAACCCCGAACTCGGATAAACATTTTCTACGCGCGAGTCGGGAAATGTGAAATTTATGGAATTTGAAATTGCGTGAACTGTATTTGGGATTTAGTGGTTGCCCGTGAATTACTAGCTGGGTCAACCTTGCAAGGTTTCGTCCAGCCCCACCCGCAGATGTACGAAATCTCGTTAGGTTTAGTGAAGCTTGTCCAAGAAAACGTTGTCATTAAAAACCCCTTGTCTAAACATTTTAGGGCTTTCGCATTTTGAATGTAGCTGCTTAAAAATACCCGAACACAGCTTGGAGTTCGCGGAATGTTGTTGTTTCAGTGGAGCTCACAACACACTGCGTTTTACTGGAAAACAATATATAGGATGGGATACTATGAATTTCTACCGATAATCTAAAAACTTTGGCATGTTTTGAGAAACTGTTTTGGCTGACACTGTAGAATCTAGACGGATGCAGACGAGGTCTACGCGGGAGAACACGAGAGTCCGTGGATTCTCATGAAAACTCATGCCCCTAAGCTCAACTTGCGCCACTAGCTAAATACATGTCATATGCCTTGTAGACAACCTCTTTCTATGCCCAGGAGTATCTCATAATCATTTTATCCTTAAGGGCCTCTCCTTGTAAGCAAATTGTACCCGTCTCAACTGAACAGTAAATATGACGGTCAAGTCGGATGATCCAAGACTGTCCAATCATTTTTCTCCTGTGTTTTCAGAGCGACCACGCCGAGTGGTCGGCGAGCCTCTAAAAATCCAGATGTGTCAAGCTCGCCAATCAATGTCGAAAAAGAAATCCAACAACTCACTGACGGTCTAGTAGAATTACGACTACAAAGCAAATGGAATTCGTCGGCGTCGCCCATGGAAAATCCATCTATCCACAGCCAATAGGAACGCGCCTAGGAGCGCGTCAAGGAATCTGACATTCTTTTGAAACCAGGCCTCTAGAAGTCAGGGTAATTACACTACTTTGTCAAGGAAAACATGGTAAAATTTCGACGCCCGATTTTTTAGTAGGGGATGGACTCACCCTGGAAACTTTACTGTAGAAGTTCGCACCCCTAGAAAAAATGGCTCCCCTGTCATTGTCAGGAGTGGCACATTCCAAGCAGGGCGAAACTCATGCCTGCAAAAATACTCAAAAGTTCTAGAGCTACCCAGCTTGGAAGAGTTGGACCCCGGGCAAACTCGGATTATTCAGGGTGAGCCCTAGGTTATCGAGGGACCTGCTTGAAACGCGAAGTTGATACATAGGTGGAGAGACTTGCGACGCTGCAACATTTACTCAATCGCTGCATACACCAGTCAAGCCGCCCATGCACAGTACACAAAAAACACCGCCCTATTTCCTGGGAAAACCCCATAGTCTACGTTGCCCCTACCGTACGGCCCGCGTTCGTTAAAAGCGAAATCTCTCGCGTCGCCCCCCGGGCTCTCAGGGCATATGATTTGTACCACTCGTAGCTGGATAGCCTTGTCATCATTTCGGGCCATCATTTTGGGCAAGGGAAACATGAGAGTTCGTAGAAGAAAACGCGGTTAATAAAAAACGTATTTCCCTACTCGCGCATAGAAAAACTTTATCCGAGTTCAGGGGTTGCCCGGGCCGTGAGAAAAACGGGTAGAAAATGTTAATTGAGGACGCGGTCTCACCGAGCCGCGCAATTCTGCCCTTGATTTGCTTGACTCGGCGAAACGAGGGAAGGCTGCAAGGCGAAAGTTTCGCTCAACAGCTCCCAAGCTTCGCCGCCTCGTCCCCCGAATCAAGAAGTGAAGGAACGGTTACAACTAGCCATCAAATGAACTTCAACATAAAATCTCAATCCAAGAGCGTGAGAAAACAGGAAACATGTCGCAACCAGAATGACCACTTTTCCCCCAAGAAGCCACATATACATTAGAAATTAAACTATAACCAGCTGCACATAAGCTACACTATTTTCATATAATTCATGAGTCCTATAGGTGCAGTCACACTACGAGCCGGTAGTTGATATATCTACCAGCAGTCTCGCTGTTTCTGAGAACCTTCACCACCTGGCCTCTGTTGAGTCCAAAGTATCGAGCCACTGGGTCACTCCTCTGCATGCGAGGGAGCTGGTGCAGGATTGAGGAGGGAGGGGGAAAAGGACAGATGGATGCAGGAGATGGCGTGAATGCACCTCCATTGAGCCCAAAGTATCGAGCCGCCGAGTCACTTCTTTGCATGCAAGGGAGCTGGTGGGCAAGCGAGACAGAAATAGCCAGGTAGGTGAGGGGAGACCAGGAGAGGTGGCATGCATGAGTGTGTTAGGGTAGATATGAGGGGCCCACGAGGTATGTTGAGTGGGCTCAATGCGTACATGGAGAGGGAATGTGAGAGAGAGGAGAGGGAGAGGGGGGAGAGGGGAGAGAGAGCTACTGGCTAATGTGATAGAAATCCTATGAGCATACCTGGTGCTCCTTGCTGGTGTATCTCTCCATGTGCTTCTCCTCGTCCATCAACACCGCATGTTGCCTATGGGGTGCCTTAAAGGCAAATCTTGGCTACCAGAGTCATCATACCTGGTGCTCCTTGACCGTATATCTCTCCAACCCCACCAACACACCTGGTGCTCCTTGACCGTATATCTCTCCAACCCCACCAACACACCTGGTGCTCCTTGACCGTATATCTCTCCAACCCCACCAACACACCTTGTGCTCCTTGACCGTATATCTCTCCAACCCCACCAACTCACCTGGTGCTCCTTGACCGTATATCTCTCCAGCAGAATGTGCTTCTCCTCGTCTGTCAACACCACGTGTTGCGGCACCAACTCATGCTTAGTCACGTTCACTAGCAGCTCTCCCTCCTGCAAGAACAAATTGCAGAGACAAGCAGGACACAGACTCAGTGGGAGGGCTTGGCACAAATGGCAGACATAGCATCAGGAATTAGGGTATATAATTAACTATTTAAGGTTTCAAATAACATATGCGTAAACACATCACCTGGACGACCTCCTGAGGCACATCAGAAGAATCACCTGGAAGACATCAATGATGTATTTCGGCACCATGTCAGCAAGGATCTTCTTGGAGAAGGGCGTGAGGTTCACTTGAACACCTCAATAATACCCCGCCTCACCAGAGAGTGTCACCAGAAACACCTGAGGAATGAGTACCTGGAAGACCTCGATGATGTATTTGGGCGCCATGTCAGCGAGGATCTTCTTGGAGAAGGGCGTGAGGTTCTGCTGCACCACCATGATGGCACGTGACAGCCCCGACCCCTTCATCTTCTCGTAGTACCCCTTCAGCGTCTTGATGCCCACCTTCGCCTCCACGGGGAAGAACACGTAGATCTGCGTGTAGAAGCAGGGGGGGGGGATGCAGGGAGGGAATGCATGGAGGGAATGCAGGGAGGGAATGCATGGAGGGAATGCAGGGAGGGAATGCAGGGAGGGAATGCAGGGAGGGAATGCAGGGAGGGAATGCAGGGAGGGAATGCAGGGAGGGAATGCAGGGAGGGAATGCAGGGAGGGAATGCAGGGAGGGAATGCAGGGAGGGAATGCAGGGAGGGAATGCAGGGAGGGAATGCAGGGAGGTTGAGACAGGCCAGAGCCCTTCAGCGCCCAGAGCCCTTGGCTTCTCGTCGTACCCCTCGAGCGCCTTGATGCCCACCTTGGCCTCCACGGGGAAGAACACGTAGGTCTGCGTGCAAGTGGGAGCAGCAGGAGGGAATGCAGGGAGGGAGGGGAGGAGGGAGATTGAGACAACCCGCTGCCCTTCATCTTCTCGTAGTATCCCTTGGGCGTCTTCATGCCCACCTTGGCCTCCACGGGGAACAACATGTAGATCTGTGCAAGTGGGCGAAAAGGGGGAAGGGGGAGTGAGGCGACAGAAGGGGAGAGTAGTGAGAGAGGAAGAAGTAGGGGGAGCATGGGGAGACGACTTCGAACGAGTCAAACGGCAACTTGACTCCCAACCCGAGCGTCCGACACACGTGCTCCGAACGGAACTTAGGGTTGCCGCACCTCGTCGCCAGGGTTGTCGCACCTCGTCGCCAGGGTTGTCTCACCTCGTTGACAGGGTTGTCGCACCTCGTCGCCAGGATTGTCGCACCTCTTCGCCAGGGTTGTCGCACCTCGTCGCCAGGGTTGTCTCACATCGTCACCAGGGTTGTCGCAACTCGTCGCCAGGGTTGTCTTACCTCGTCGCCAGGGTTGTCTTACCTCGTCGCCAGGGTTGTCTTACCTCGTCGCCAGGGTTGTCTCACCTCGTCGCTTGGGTCGGCTCACCTCGTCGCTAGGGTTGTCTCTCTTCTGCTTCAGGACGGTCAGATCATCCCGTTGCGGGTCGTCGCCGAATTGGTCTCTGAAATCATCCTTGGTCGACCGGAGCTCGCGATCAGCCACTAGATACCCGCGATCTTGTAGCATCTGACCAGCCAACAGAAAACCCGCCGGGAAATTCGGTTTATTAGAGCAGAAAGAACGGAAATAAGAGATAAAAAGTGAAGCGCACCGCGATCATGCAGCATACATGCGAGGTGCAGCAGATAAGGGGTTCGGGGAAAGGGTAAGGGGTTTCTGGCTGATTCCTGGAAGACGGAAAGTGATGCGAGTAACTAGCTGCACTGCGCACCGAGTCGTATTGGCATGTAACGAAGCATGCTGTACGGTACAACGGACCTCGAAGATGGTCTTTCTCACGCGGAACAGCCTGGACACCGTTTCGTCCCCCATCGCTGGGTGACTCTATTGCTATCGAAAGCGTCGAAGGATACTGTTGACACGTTCAGCTAAACTGCGGAGAGCGCGCAGATGCGCAGATGGAAGCTGGCAACGTCGAACCGTATTTGAACTAACAGGGCCTGAGAGGGAAAGGCTTAGAGCACACTTCGGCGATTTATCGCGTCCTGCAACTAATTTATGGGTGCGGTCTGTTGCGGTTTGGTGTTTCCCCCGCATTTCGACGTTGACGTAAACATTGCTTGTAGCTCGTTAGTTTGGTGTACGTGCAGTCACGTCACGAGTTCTCTAATAGCGGAGAAAATGTAGCCTATCTGTAACACAGCAGCGTAACATATTTCGACGATAAATTTCGGGAGTACGGTGGATATTCCACGTGTGCTCGCCCTTCCTCAAGCATCTTGGGGCAATGTTGGAGATTTCGCCACCTAGAAAAGGCTCCCACCACAGCCCCCATTCACGTGGCATCGATCCACGTCAGCCATTCGCTTCTGAATCACACAACACCTTTCCTGGTGGATCAGTCAGCGTTGGGATCTTCATTTTCATCCCTGCCGTGCGATTCGCCTTCGGGATTTGGAATCTGTGCAGCCGTTCCGGCCTGGCCTGGACCTCCTTGAAAATGCCGGTGTTGCCATTGCCATGCCACAGAGCAACCGAGCATAGATTCCCTTGGAGCCATTGCCATTTCCGTTGCTCCTCTTCGTCTCCTCCATCCATTTCAGAACCGGCAATCCAGATTCAACATGGCTCGCGCCATCGCCGCTCACTCCGCACTCCTGTCTCAACTGGCGGTCCGCAGCCCCGTCACAGCGAGCCACGCGTCAGCCGCTGATAGGCTCCATGCCGCCATTCTCCCCGTGAATCCTCTGCGCGCTGCGGCTGCACGAGGAGTCAGCAGCAGGAGCCACGTGTCCCGCGTCAACGTGTCGGCTTCTGTCGCGTAGGTCACCGGTCCCCTCGAATGCGACAAATGACTGACGGGTGACCTGCGACGTTATCGCATGCGACATTCTTCCGGTAGCGAGAATTCAGAACCATTCCCATCTGTTAGAACCGTTTTCTTCCCCTACCCTCTTTTCCCGTGCCTCCCTGTCTCCCCTTACCAGAACCGAACCTAATTCCAAGGACCTCCAGGCGAAGTTCGGCAAGGACGGAGTGAGCTTCGACGACGGTCTGGGCGGCCTGCCACGTGTCACTCTCACAGACGCCTCAGGAAGGTGCGGCATTTTCCTCCCCTTCATCTTGCTCACATCCTTCTTTCCCCTTTGTATCCGTCACACGAAGCTGCCAGTTTGTGGTTAAATAATCCCACTTCGATGCCTCATTCCTGCCTCTTTGCCTCTCGATCTTCCACTCTCCCTCTCTTCTTCTCTCCCTCTCCTCCCTCCTTCCCTCCCCATCTTTGCTTCATCGTTATCCACTTGATCCCGGGCGGATTTCCTTTCACTTTTTCCTGTATCCCTGCCAGCACGGCAGAGGTGTACCTCTACGGTGCCTGCACCACTTCGTGGAAGCTTCCGTCCGGCGAGGACCTGCTGTTCGTGCGGCCTGACGCGGTGTTCACGGGGCAGAAGCCCATCAGCGGCGGCATTCCGCACTGCTTCCCGCAGTTCGGCCCGGGCGCCATGCAACAGGTACGTGATGACGTCGTGCAACAGGTACATGACGTCATGCTGTGGCCTCGATGGTTCTAGTTGCACATGACGACAGTCAATGCAATCCGATCGAAAATAATCTGATTCACGGCTGCCATTCCCCACCCTTCCACCCGCCTTCCTTCTCTTTCTCTCCTCCCGCTGCCCCTTTTCCCTTGCCCCATCTTCCCTTGTTCCTCCGCCTCACCTCCCCCCTCCCCCCTACTCTCCTCCTCAGTGCCTCCTCCCCACCCTTCCCTTCCCTCCCATCCCTTCCCCCCTGCCCATCACAGCACTGCTTTGCGCGCAACGTGGCGTGGGAGGCGGAGGCAATGGCCTGCCTTGCATCTCGCACCCTCACACTCCCTCCTCCCCGCCCTTTCCCCCCCCTGCCCCTCGCAGCACGGCTTTGCGCGCAACCTGTCATGGGAGGTGGAGGCAGCGGAGGGGGGTGCGTCTCCCTCCCTCACCCTCGCCCTCTCCGACAACGAATACTCGCGTGCCATGTGGGACTTCGCCTTCAAGGCCACCTTCAAGGTATGCCTGCTTCTTGCTCTCACACAGCCAAAACACCACAGATCGAATCATGGACACGATAAGCCAGCATTCAGCTCTTCTTTCCAGGCGCCTGAAATTAGCTGCGATCTTTTCCTCCCATGTTCAAACACCTTCCAGGCTGGAGACGGCCGTCACAGCGGCCAACATGGACAGCAAGGCCCCCCCATCGCTAACAGCCCTGCCTCGTCTCCTTCCCTGCTTTCCCCTCCCCCACAGATCACCCTGTCCGGTGGCAAGCTGGAGACGGCCTTCACTGTGGCCAACACGGACAGCAAGCCCTTCTCCTTCACCACCGCGCTGCACTCCTACTTCCGGGTGCGTTGCACGAGCCATTGCCTGTCTTGTACGCTGTACTGCCCATCGGCTTTTCCATCTGTTATGCCCTTCTTTCGTTCTTTTCCCGATTGAGACTCATTGTAGCGCGCTCTTCCCTCTCTCCCCTCCCTCCTCCCCCCCGAAACCTTCAACTCTCCCCTCCGTTCCCACCTCTCCCCCCTGCGTATGCGTCCCCCTCACGCCACTGTATGCCCTCCTTGCGCTCCCACGTGGCAGGCTGCTATTGGCGGAGTGAAAGTGACAGGCCTCAAGGGCGCTAAGTCCCTCAACAAGGACCCCGACCCAACCAACCCCATCGAGGGCGTGGAGGAGAGGTGAGGCAGGGAGGAAATAGGAAAAGGAAACAAACGCTAGACCCTGAATAATTACCTCAACCCCACGATAATATTCTTGCATGTGGAGGAGAGGCGAGTCTCAAATCGTCCCTCCACTCAACCCCCCCTCCTTTCGGCCCACCCCAACCCCAGGGACGAGGTGACCTTCCCCGGCTTCGTGGACTGCATGTACCTGAACACGCCAGAGGAGCTGGTGCTGGACAACGGGCTGGGCAGGAAGCTGGCGATCCGCAACAAGGGGTGGACGGACGCCGTGGTGTGGAGCCCGCACCTCACCATGCCCGCCTGCTACCTCGACTTCGTCTGCGTCGAAAACGCCAAGGTGAACTGCCAGCGTGCCGAGAATGGCCCAAGGTGCTGTGCCTCTCTCTGCTCGCTCCCTTCCCTCTGCCCCTCCCTTTTCTTGCATCTGCCATTCGCAAGTGGCACTTACTCCCTTGCTCTCCTCTCCCCTCCCTGATTTACCCTGTCCACTGCAATTCCTTCCCCTGCTCTCCCCACCCCTCCTGCTGCCCTCTGGTTCCCTCTCCCCTGTGCTCGTCCCATCCCCTCCCCTCTCCCCTTCAGCTGTCATAGTTGTTCAGGCAGGTCGGACTTGACCTGCCAAGTCTATCACTGCTCTTTTCGTAACAGTTGTCACCTCCAATCCTCGCTCCTCTCCCCCCTTCAACTACTGGAGATGCAGCTGCAGGCGGGCTAGTCGTGGACTGCGAAGTGAATTGCTGTTTTCTTCAATAGCCATTGACATTTCCTTGTCTTCCCCATCCACTCTTCTCGTCTCTCCCCCATCCAGCTATCAGAGGTGGAGCTGCAGGCGGGCCAGACATGGACTGCAGAGCAGGAGTTGGTGGCGTTGTGAGGGCATGGTGCTATGATTGGTGCTGTATTACCTGTATTGGTGCTGTGAAAGCAATTTTGTTCGTGCCTAGCATGGCACTATGGCAAACTGCATGTTGCGTACAAGTGAGCACCGTGCACATTCGTAGTACCCTCTTGTTTGGCTGGCACAGAATAGTCAACCACCTGAAGCAGCAATGACAGACGTAGAGAAAGCGATACCAGTGTGGGCCTTGAACATAACCAACAGCACATATCGTACTACAACCATGTAGAGAATTATTTGTGTCAGTGGATTCTGTAGTAACAGTTAAGATAAGCTATGTACACATACCAGGCAGCTACACATAGCACTGAAACTGAAGCCGTCTTCACTACATAGCTTTTGAGCTTTAAGATGCCTAACAAAACATGTACAGTACAGTAGCCTCCTGGTGCTGGCACACCAGAATCATTCGGCTGCTAGTTGGAGCACCCGTCCCAACAGTTCCGGATGCACACCTTCATGTGCTCATCGCACGACTCACCTTCTCCACCTCACAGTCAATCCATCATCTCACTCCACTCCCAGCGTTTCCATGCAGGCTCCCGTGGTGTGGTGTACCGTAGTCAATCATCCGTGGGTTTGAGCACCCTCGCCAGCAATTCCGGCTGCACGCCTTCATCTGCAAACCACACCACTCGCCTTCTCCGCTTCACCTTGGGTTCATCCCCCTCCACTCCTAGAATGCCAACGCTGCCTTCCCTATCCTCTTCGATGGAAGTCTTTCCCCTTCGTTCTGTGTTAGGATTGCCCCCCCCCTCCCTTGCCCTGTCGCCACCTCCTGCCTGCCCTGCAGCAGCGGCACCATCGCTCCCTTCGCTCCTGCTGCCAGTACCAGAGTCTAAAGCATCAAGAGCAGCTGCCCCTGCCACATCAGCTGCCCCTGCAACATCAACTATCCCTGCCACATCAGCTGCCCCTTCTTCCGCTGCCCTGGCTGCAATGACTGCTGTGGCAGCGCCAAGCAGAGAGCACATGCTGCTGCATGCATCCAGCGTGGGGACACCAGCTGTGCCTCCCTCAGCTGTGCCTACCTCAGCTAAGCCTTCCTCAAGGGTTGAATAGTGCTTGTGAGCCACCAAAGGGCCTTGGGTAAGAGGTGAAGAGCACCCGTTGGGCGGAGAGCAGGCAGCAGGGGGAAAGGGATCAGCGAGAGCAAGGCCAGGAGGTGGCAGGGGACATGCAGGCAGCGAGAAAGAGAGGTGGGCGCGAGGGAGGGGTTGGTGGGACAGCAGGGGTTTAGGGGAATAGAGGGGCTTGGCGGGGGAGGTGTATTTGACGGGACAAACGGCTTTGGCGGGGGATATGGCTAGGGAGGGCGAGAGCGGGCGGGAGGAGTCGGCAGTGCGGACGAGCCTGAGAGCGAGCAGAATGGCGTTGCGCGCCACCGCCTCCCGCGCCTGCCTCTGTTTCGCTTGGGCTCCGCTGTCAGGAAGACGCTGCAAGGGAGGAGACAGACAGAAGAAGAAGCATGGGGACACAGAGAGGAGGTAAGCAGGGGAAGACAATCTGTCTGTTGTGCGCTATGCCCCCCCATGCCTGCCTCTGCTTTGCCTCTGATCCGCTGGCAGGTAGACGCTGCAAGAGAAGTGACGGACAGAAGGAGAAGCACAGGGACAAGGAAGAAGCAGACTGGTATGGACCAGGGGTGTCTGCTGTTGTGCAATGCTGAACTTAGCGATACCACACCCCACCACCATACAGTGGCGGAATAAATTGTCCACATGTTCAGCCTTTTTTGGCATTTTGATGAGTGCAGCGGCGTAAACATTAAGCCTTAATGTATGGTGTGCATACACGCTGAGAAGTTCAGTTACAGCACTCACTCGAGTTGACAAACACCAAAGTAGTACCACACATGGTCCTTAAACACCTAAGCATAGCATAGGATAACATCCGGACAATTTGTACCGAAAAAAGGTATCATACTAGATTCTAGGAAAACTAGTACCTAGTCCAGCGTCCCTTTGCCCGAATCACTGCCTTGATCCTCCTCGGCAGGCTGTCGATCAGGTTTGCACACACCTCCGCCGGTATCTTGTCCCATTCCTCCTGCACCCTCTCCCACAGCTCCAGCATTCCCCTTGGCGGCTTTTCGTACTTCCTCAACTGCCTTTTCAAGTATGCCCACAGGTGCTCAATCGGGTTAAGGTCCGAGGAGCACGACGGCCATTCCAGCACCGCGTACTCCTGCTCCCCAAGCCAATCTTGGACCAGACGAGACCTGTGCTTGGGATCATTGTCGTGCTGGAAAATGACCTCTGAGGGGGAAAGCTTGAAAAAATCGATGGTCTGTTTGAGCTCATCTTGCAAGATGCTGTGATACAGCGGCCCATCCATCCTGCCATCTATCTTGCACATGAACCCCGCCCCCTCATACGTCATGCAACCCCACACCATCACAGAACCGCCCCCATGCTTAACTGTCTGTTGGACTTGATGGCTCCGAAGGCTGGTGCCCTCGCGAATCCAGGCGTACGCACGTCCGTCGGAGCAGTAGCGGTTTATCTTTGTCTCGTCAGACCAAATCACCCGCTTCCAGTCCTCCAGCGTCCAGTCGGCATGCGACCGCGCGAAGTCGAGACGATCTCGGATGTTTTTCGGTGAGAGCCTGGGTTTCTTGGGCTGATGCACGGCGATCAGCCCCGCGGATCGTAATGAGTTCCGGACCGTCTTCGAGTCTACGGCGAGACCGTGCTTCTCCAACAACATATTTGCCGCTTCTACAGAGCTTTTCGCCTCGCCGCTTGTAATCGCGCATACTATTCCGCGCTGAAGACGGGTAGTGATTAAGCGGGGGCGGCCGGCCGAAGGCATCGTAGGTCGCACCTCCCCGAGACTAGTCTCGGCAGCCACTTTCAAACTGTAATCGTGCACAGTGCTCTTGCCTATTCCAAGAACTTTGCCTATTTTCCTAGTCGAATGGCCCGCACGCAACATGCTTCTGATTCGCGCGCGTTTCCGCTCAGTTAACGGCTTCATGGCGATGCGGTCGTAGGCTCGCTTCCGGACTAACTCTTAAGCCAGTAACTATTGCGCGTTACGATGTACACACTGAGTGACGGGGGAAAATAGATCTACTCTTCCGCTCGGTTGGAAATGTCCGCATCGACTGTCGAGGAGTAAATTTCAACCCCACTTTCAGGTTGTGACACAATTGCGCCAAGCAAGAAACGGTTGAAGCAGAACTCGGAAACCTTGTAACGGAATGGAAAAAACCGGGTGTTACTATCTTCGAAACATGTGTGGCATAGCGTGCTGTTTCAAAGTGTTAAACATCCGGGCAATTTAATCCGCCACTGTATATACCTGCGCCGCAAAAACAGGCACCACATCTACCTGCATCGGATCTACATGCACCGGATCTACCTGCACCGAATCTACCTGCACCGGATCTTCCTGCACCGGATCTACCTGCACCAGAAATACCTGCAGAATCTGCAGCATGTGCTCTTCCAGCGTGCCTGCCATGGCGAGTGTCTCCACTGTGATTGGTCGAGAGGCGCCCATGCGGTGCGCCCGGGACACCATCTGCTCCTCCACACTGGCATCGGGGGGGGATGGGATGGGATGGGATGGGATAGGGTAGGGTAATTGGCATGGGAGGGATATGCATCACGATGGCATGCATGGGGTGCGCCTGGGTCACCATCTGCTCCTCCACCCTGCCATTGGCGGGATGGGATGGGAGATGGACATGGAATGGGATACGGGTAGGTCAGCAGCAATGGCAAATAGGCATGAGGGGTCCATCATGACCATGCGATGGGCCCGGCCCGGGATACCATTTGCTCCTCCATGCTGGCATGGGCCCCCAGAATGAGTTCCTCACTGGACCGCCTGACCACTCACTGGACCGCCAAGCCACTCACGGGACCGCCGATCGACTCACGGGACAGCCGGTCGACTCACTGGACCGTCGGTCCACTCACAGGACCGCCGGATCACTCACTGGACCACCTGACCACTCACTGGACCGCCGGTCCACTCACGGGACTGCCGTTTGACTCACTAGATCGCCGATCGACTCACTGGACCGCCGGTCCACTCACTGGACCGCTTGTCCACTCACAGGACCGCCGGACCACTCACTGGACAGCCGGACCACTCACTGGACCACCGGTCCACTCCTGGCCACCAGAATGAGTTCCCACAGGCTTCGAGGCTCACTCTTTCTCACATTACTCACCTGGCGTCCCAGACCCCACCTGGCGTCCCAGACCCACCTGGCGTCCCTGACCCACCTGGCGTCCCACACCCACCTGGGGTCCCACACCCACCTGGGGTCCCACACGGGCTCCATGAGGAAAACGCGGGACACAAAGGAGAGGTCGAGGCCCAGCGACCCCGTGCCGTCCATTAGAAGCACGCGGCACGATGGGTCGTGCTGGAACCGAAGCAGCTCCTGCATCTGCTCGTTTTAGTCACATGCAAAGATGCAGATGGAAAAAGAAAAGAAAACAAGAGGCGACGAAATCGTCTTAGGGTTGCGGAGCTTGATATATTTATTTGGTAGAAAATACACACTTATGCTCTGAAAAATCAAAGCGTAAGTATCCGTTAATATATAATAGCTGTTTAATACATAAACCATGTGAAATATTCAATCAAGATTTTATGTCGTATTAGTGCATTAAAAAAGCGCATATTATATCAAAGATTATACATAAAATACATAGGGCTGGCCTTCATGTACATATATGTTTTGGTTATATTGTATGAGGGCTTCAAGTTACTTGAGATTGCGTGACTGTTTCAAAATCGTGCCACGGTATTTGAATTGGTTCCTTTTGTTGTTTGTTTCTTCTTGTACAGTCGTCTGAACCGTTTTGTTCCTCATTGTTCCTTTGTAGCCAAGTTTCCGTAATGTATCTTCTGTTTTGTGTGCGTTTGGGCCTTTTTTTTTTTGCCTTTCCGCCAACTGCCCAGCTGCTGGGAGTTTTCGCTTTCATTTCATTTGATTATGTGGCGATTGTGGCCACTGTCGACTTGTGGCAAGCGAATCTGGCCACGGATTTGATTTCCGTCTGGAAGTTACAACGCGTGACGAGCCTGGCAAATTTTCCCTGTGGCGAGGCTCGTCACGCGTAACTGCCAGACGGAAATATAATCCGACGTGGCAATAACCCCCGCCTAGCCACACTCGCCACAGAATGCTGATTTTTGTTTTCGTCCATACGAGGCAAAACCCCCGAGCTCGGCACTAGATGCATTGCGCGTTACACACTCAAATTTCCAAGTTACACTACCGATAGTGCTCGTTAAAAAAACACCATTAAGCGAATTTCAGTGCGACAGGGCACTTTCTGACCGGAAAAAAAAAGGAAAAAAAAACGATTTTCCACCTAGTGGCGAAAGCAGCAAGTCCGACCTAGTGGCGAAAGTTGCCAGCCTGACATGCCTTCCACCCAGGCGAGCTCGCCACTCTAGCCACTGGGTGTTTTTATTTGTTTCTCTAGTTGGAAAGCCACATCTCGCCAGCTGGTGGTTTGTTTTTTTTCCTCACATGGAGAGGTGAGGTTCACCTCGCACGCCAGTTCCTGCAAGACACTTCCCCCGCCACCTATTTTCGCCAGATGACGGATTTTGCGATCTGGCAGCATTTCGCCATTGGAAACAAAACTCGTCAACGAGCGAGCTCCCCGCCAAAATTTAATAAAATGGCGTGCCTCGCCACGTGAGTCTCGCCACAGTCCTTTATTGCTTCTTTTCTTCTTCTTCTTTACATGCTTAGACTCGCCACGGCACAAGAAACCCGTTCAAACTCGTGAGCAAAACGCTAAACGCTCTTTTGGTTCTTTCTTAGCCATGCGTTTGCTCCGATTGGGCAGTTATTGCTGGAAAAAAAAATCACACCTGCAACAACCAGAAATTAGGTGCTTCCTTTGGAAGCCACCCCACCACCTATCAGCCCCACCAACCCCATGTAGGGCTGAAGTCACCGGAATGACTTCTGCTGAGTCCCCATTGTCAGCTTCTGAGACGACTGCTCACCCTGTTAGCTTACTGAGTTTGAACTCCAGCCTTCTATCCTTGGTGGGAATTTTTTCTACTTTCATGGTGAGACCCTTCTAGTTATCTAGATGTCGTCCATTGGGTGTTGACGTAAATCGCAGCTTGTATATTTGTATGTTGGCTTAGAACTACATGAAGAAACATTCGTATTTGGTAGATTAAAAGTTCTATGATGCATGTGTGGTGGTCCGTTGTCATGTCTTACATGCATTATCAGCATCTAACGTGGCGCACTGACAGATTCAAGTCTCACAAGATCATCTTGAAGTTCCCGTCATCGTAAGTCGCACTGACCTTTGTCCGACTTCACTTGCGTTCTTTTGCTGCTCACTTTTCCTCCCCCACTTCTACCTCACCGTATTTCTACCTTACTCTTTTCCGTCATTCCTACTCCTAGTATTTTTGGCGTACTAATCCTAAACCCACATCGCTGATGCCTGAACTCTTTTCTTAGCTCATACTTAAGCTCTACCATGTCATGTCTCTATCCTCTCCCCTCTATGACATCCAAAATCCCATACTGCTTCTCTTTAAACTCTCATTTTTTATACTTGATTAACCTCTACCAATCTCTACTGATTCCTCCCTTTCACTTGTGTTATCACTTTCTCTCCCATTCTCTGTTTTCAGTTTCTCTTTAACAGCCTCGTGTCATCCCATCGCCATGTGCTAAACGTTGTTGTATTAACAATTTGGCCCGTATCCAGCATAATTTCAATCGTTCTCATCTACTTCCCTCCTTTCCATTCCTCCCGTGCTTCTTTCGTTCCTTTTCTTGCATAACACATTACTATTCACTTCATCAAGTGTGTAGATTTGACGATGTCACAACTCGAAGCTCATTACCATCACTTGTTAGCTAAAACTTGCATGCTTGCTTCTTTGCCTTGATTCTCTTTTGGTGACTTCCACTCCGTGAATGCGGTCATCTTGGTACCTTTCATCCTTTGCCAGAGTGATGCATTATTTGTGTGACTATTTAAATGGGACTGCCTCATCACTTCAAGCAAGGTCCTTTGACTCTCTCCATGAGTGCAGTCACTTGGATTGAAAGTGATAAGTGCAAAACATTTTTTGGTTCTCACAAATTGTGTTTCTTAACAATGGTATCTTCGGATGTTTGGCTTGAAGCTTCCCCCCCCGGCTAAAGCTGGGGAAGCGATAGCCTTTGCCCGGAGTAAAATAAGCAATGCGCGGCGCGAAATGAAGAGGAACAAAAACACATTCATTTTGTTTTCCCTCATTTCTATACAATGCAATTTCATTACACTAACCTGACATATTTCATTGGCGTCCGTTAGATTTAATTCTAAACTCTAAGCCCATAGATTCGTTTTATAGCACATGATATATCAGCGTTGACAAAAAATAACACCCTGGAAACCAGGGTTTCTACTAGGTTTCTTATACTAGCTCCCTCATATATCTTATTTTTACGTAACAATTTTATTTCCCACCACTTCCATTTAGTTTAAGTGCAACAAGTATACCAAAATTGACCATTATTAGCCTACCAGTAGTATGGTTGTCTAAAGGATAGCCACAAATTATTGATGATACGTTTCTTTTTAAATATTAGAAGAAAAACTGAAAAATAAAATTCCATTCGATCAACTGCATTAGGTTGCTCCGCAACCCAAAAAGAAACCAACTTTGGGAAGGGCTGGACTCATGAATACAAAATAGTTGACGAAATTGAGAGGCATAAAGATAATAGGAGAAGGTAACATGTGAGTGCAAGGAATGGCTGATTGAAACCGACCATAAGGTGAAAAGGCTATTTATTATTTGACTTCAACAAATCGAACCTAACAATCGGTTGGAAAACTGACCTTAACAGACTGAGGCCGCGGACTGTAGAGTCCGGCGAAGTTAACTCCTGCTAGTGTGAGCTGAGCGACAATGTGAGGGGGTTGAGAGGAAAGTGAGAGGGGAGGAGAGAGGAGTGTGAGAAAGGAGTGTGAGAGAGCAGTGTGAGAAAGGAATGAGGGTGGAAGATGAAGGGGAGATGAAGGAGGAGGGCCAAGCCAAGGGGGGTGGGCGAGCAGAACAGAAACATCAGGCAGTGAAACGAGTAGCGTCAGCACCCCTTGCACGCATGTTTGTCCTCCATCCCATCCCACACCTTCACACTCACCTGGGCCTCCAGCAGCGCAATGTGCTCCAAAAACTGGGTGAACACTATCGCCTTCTCTCCCCCACTCCTCCCCTCCTCCTCCCCACCACACCTCCCCTTCGTATCATCTCTCTGGCCCATGCATTGCCCTTGCTGCAGCACTCCCCTAATGCCCCTGCTGCCCTCTGCAGCATGGGAAGCAGTGGCATGCGTAGCAGCCGTAGAGGCAGGGGAAGGAGGAGCGGGAGAAGGGGAAGCAGAGGAGCGTGCAGCAGGCACAGGGGCAGCTGCCACTTGCGCACATGAATCTTGCCCTGCTGGTGCTGCAGAGGGCACAGAAGGCAGCTTCTCGGCTGACTCTCTCTCTGCTGATGCTGACACTACAGAGGGTGATGGCAGTGGCGGTTGTGCTTGTGGCGGGAACAGTGGTGATACGGTGGAGGCGAGGGTGGGGGGAGCCAGCAGGCGCAGCTGGGAGATGAGGTAATCCACCTTGGAGCTCGCTGTCTCCTGCCACTCCAGGTGCCACTCCCTCTGAGAGCACGAGTACAGGAGAAGGGATGGGGGGATACGAGATGATGTGCGGAGAAGATGCTGCAGTGCAGCAGTGGTGGAGAGGGTGGAGGGCGCCAGCTGGGAGATCAGGTAGCTCACCTTGGACCTCACTGTTTCCTGCCACTCCAGGTGACAGTCCCCCAGCACTCAAGTCCCTCCCTACTAACGAGGCACGTACGACGGAAAAGTACGACGAGAAAGTTCGACGGAAAAGTGCGACAAGAAATTACGACAAGAAAGTACAACAGAAAAGCACGGCGGGAAAGTACGACGTGTAAAGTACAAACTAGACTTGAGCAGTTTACCCGGTCGGGTCGCGGGTACCCGACCCGACCCAACATTTTGGCCGGGTCGGATAATAGGATTCTGACGAATTACCCGGCCGGGTCGGGTCGGGTACTCAGGCCGGGTAATGCATACCCGTTACCCGAGAATCACCCGAAATGTCGGGTAATTTATTGCCCATCGGGTCGCGGGTACCCGACCCGACTTCGGGCTTGTTACTCCGGGTTTGCTGAATTTCGCAGCCACCTAGGGGTACCCGGGTAATATTACCCGACTTCACTTAAATGCGGGTTGGGTATACCCGACCCGCCAGACGGGTACCCAATTACCCGGTATTTAAATGCCGGGTCGGGTAACAGATCTCCAAACATTACCCGGAAATTACCCGACCCGACCCGACCCGGACCCGATCGATCGCGGGTAGGGCAATACCGGGTCGGGTCGGGTAATTACCCGGTTTTGCTCATGTCTAAGTACAACGATAAAGTATGACGGAAAGGAAAGGCAGGAAATTACGACTGGAAAGTACGACGGAAATGTACGGCGGAAAAGGGGGGGGAAAGTACGACGAGAAAGTACGACGGGTAAGTACGACGGGAAAGTATGACGGAAAAGTACGACGGGAAAGTACGATGGAAACTACGGCGGAAAAGTACGGCGAGAAAGTATGACGGAAAAATACGGCGGAAAAGTACAACGAGAAAGTACGACGGGAACGACGAGAAAGCACGACGGGACAGTACGACGAGAAAGTGCAACGGAAAAGTACGACGGAAAAGTACGATGGGAAAGTACAACGGAAATGTACGAAGAGGAAGTACGACGGGAAAGTACGACGGAAAAGTACGACGGAAAAGTACGACGGGTAAAGTACGACGAGAAAGTACGACGGAAAAGTACGACGGGTAAAGTACGACGAGAAAGTACGACGGAAAAGTACGACGGAAAAGCAGGGCGGAAAAGTACGACGGGGAAAAGTAGGGCAGAAAAAGTACGAGGCGAAAGTAAGACGGAAACGTACGACAGAAAAGTACGACGCGAAAGTAAGATGGAAAAGTACGACGGAAATGTACGACGGGGCGTACGACGAAAAAGTAAGACGGGAAAGCACGACGCGAAAAGAACGACGAGAAAGTACGACGGGAAAGTACGGCGCGAAAGTACAACGAGAAAGTACTACGGAGAAGTACAACAGAAAAGTACGACGGGTAAAGTACGACGAGAACGTATGACGGAAAAAGTACGACGGAAAAGCACGACGGAAACATACGAACGACGGAAAAGTACGAGGGGGAAAAGTAGGACGGGAAAAGTGCGAGGTGAAAGTACGACAGGAAAGTACGACGGGAAAGAGAACGTACGAAAAGAGTACGACGGCAAGGTACGACGGCAAGGTACGACGGAAAAGTAGGATGGAAAAGTACGACAGGAAAGTACGACAGGAAAGTACGACAGGAAAGTACGACAGGAAAGTACGACAGGAAAGTACGACAGGAAAGTACGACAGGAAAGTACGACAGGAAAGTACGACAGGAAAGTACGACAGGAAAGTACGACAGGAAAGTACGACAGGAAAGTACGACAGGAAAGTACGACAGGAAAGTACGACAGGAAAGTACGACAGGAAAGTACGACAGGAAAGTACGACAGGAAAGTACGACAGGAAAGTACGACAGGAAAGTACGACAGGAAAGTACGACAGGAAAGTACGTTGGGAAACTAGAGGAGAGTACGAAGAGGAAGTACGATGGAAAACTAAGACAGGAAAGTACGAGGGGAAAGTGCGACGAGAAAGTACGTGCAAAAAGTACAACCGGAAAGTACAATGGGACACCCTGCTCGTCGGACGGCTGCAGGTCAATTAAGCCCTGAGGCACGCTCCATGTGGGTTTGTATTCTCCAGTCTAATCATATCCTGCATCCTGTACTGCCAGCCACACCCCAGCATGACCGTAGCGGCAATAAGCCCCTACCTGTTCATACGATGGCTGCAGCTCGATCAGGTCCTGCGGCACGCTCCACTTGGGGTTGGCATTCTCTGGTCTCTTCATGTCCTTGGGCTCCTGCATCCTGTACTGCCGGCCACACCCCGGCGTGGCGCAAGCGTGCTTGTCCGTGGCCACACACGTGATGCACAGGAGGTGCGCACAGGGGGTGACTATAGGGAGCCGGGCCCACTCCCCACACCTTTGGGAGGGAGGGAGGGAGTGAGAGTGAGTGAGGGAGTGAGTGAGTGAGCGGACGATGAGGTATTCAAAAGAAAAAAAGACACAGAAAAAAGTGTAAAGAAGGTGAGATCTTGGGTGAAAGAGTAAGCCGCAATTGTTTTCCTCCTCCCTCCCTCCACCCACCTTTCACAGCAGCATCCTCCCTTCAACGCTGCCCGAATCTCCTCAAACCTGCCCGAACCAGGCTCCAGCGCCCCCTGCACCAGCTGCTGCATCGTCTCGTCAATGTCCCCGGGCAGGTCGTAACTTTCCATGTGCCCGGCGACGCAGCAGGAGAGGCGCACGTTGTTAAGGGTCTGCTTGGCCTGCTTCAGGTTGCGGGGGTTCAGGAGGGACTCCTCGTGGGAGGGGTCCATCCAGTCAGCCAGCAGCAAGTTGCGCTGAACGGTCTCCACGAACTCGTTGTAGGAGGCGGCGTGCTGGGGGGAGAAGGAGAGCAGCTTCACCTGGCGAAGTAAGGAGGACGAGGACAGAGGGAGAGACCAAGAGGGCGAGCAAGTGAGTGAAAGACGACAGGTTGCACTGAACGGTTTCGACGAGTACTCATCAGCATTCCTGTCAGCATTCCACTCATCATCAGCATTCCTGTCAGCATTCCACTCATCATCAGCACTCCAGACTCACCTGATGGTGGGTGACGGAGAGAGGGAAGTGAGTGGAAGGGACTCGTTCAGACTACTTGCATATAAACTGGTGCTCCTCCAGACCCCCAGCACTTCAAAGCTCAGGGCAACCGATTATAAATGCAACCTTTAAAGTACCTTTCTCCAGCAAGGGGGGAAGGCGAGCGCGGCTTTCTTCTCTCCAAAGAAAATGCAAATGCAGGCACTCGAGCATTCCCCACATGCACCAGCTGCCCCCTTTTTACTTCACTTTCCGTGCACATGGCGGGATGGAGAGTACGTCCTTCTTCTGCCCCAGGAACATGCAGCGGGTTAACACCTGCACCAGTCGCTGCCTGCCCTCAAACTAGTCCAGCCCCACACACCGTTATATATTACCTTCCTCGCGCAAGGCGGGATGGAGAGCACGTCCTTCTTCTGCCCCAGGAACATGCACCGGGTTAGCACCTGCACCAGCCGTTGCCTCCCCTCGGGCCGGCCTGCCTCGAATGGCCTCTGCACCGCCCTCTCCCACAGGCCCTGCTGGCGGCCGTAGATGGGCTCGTGCAGGAAGGAGAGCAGCGGGAAAAGGTGCGCTACCTGCATGGGGGCAAGGGGTAAAAAGGGGGGAAGGATGAGGAGTGGCTTACCCTCTCCCACACGCCCTGCTACTAGCCTCCACTTACCTTCTGCTGGTCCTGCTGCATAGACGAGGGTCAAAAGGTGAAGAGAAATAGAAAGGGGGAGCGAGGTCAAGAAGAGGCAAGTGGCCAACCTGGCTGGTGGGGAGTGCTTAAGTGGCTCACCTGGCTGGTGGGAGTGCTGGGAGTGGGCGTCCCTGTGAGTATCCACCGCCTTGCAGCTCTTAAAGCCACGGCCATGCGCAGCTTGTTGGTGGCTGCCAGGCTGGCACCCAGCGTGTGGCCCTCATCCAGAATCACTCTCAGCCAATGGATCCGCAGCAGCGGGGACGCGATCCGACGGCTCTCCTTCACTCCCAGCCGGACCCGCTTTTTGGCTGACCGCTGCGAGCGCCGTCCGCCGCCGTCCTGCCATCCACCTAGCTGCCAGGCAAGTGGCTCTGCTTGTCTGCATCTGGGACTGCGTTCCCTTGGAGCACTCATCTGGTTGGCGCTTCTCTCGCTCCTCTCGCTTTTCTCCCTTCTCTCGTCTGCTTGTCGGCACCGCTTTCTCTTAGCCCCCCTCCCGCTTTGCTCTCCAGAACCCGCCCCTCTTTCATTTGGCCTTTGCGCCTCCTTTTCCTGCTTGGCTTTCTCTGCACTCTCCCCTGTCCTCGCGCCCTCCCATCCCTCCTCCTCTTCCTCCCCCTCTTCCTCCTCCCCCTCCTCCTCTGAATCCCACCACATACCCTCACTCCCAAACCCCCCACCCTCACTTGCCCAATCCCCCTCTCCCTCTCCCCGCCCCACCCCCCCCTCCTCCTCTCCCCCCCACTCCACACTCAACCTCGAGAATGTGGTAACCACCACATCGTAATCCCATGCCAGGCTGTGGACAGCTGGCGCCTTCTGATTGGCCCCGTCGTACACGCACACACGCAGAGCCCCCGGCGCCACGTGGCGCGAGATCTGCGTCAGCCAATGGCTGACGAGCGTGGTGGGGACCACAATCAGAGTGGCGGACGAAACGAAATGATATTCCCTAGGTGCCACGTCACCACCAGAAGCAGATTCACCAGCAGCAGCACCAGGAACGGTCTTGCTTCCCCTCCCCCTTTGAATTTGGCAATCCTCAAAGGCTTTCCCAAGCCTCTCTCCCCTTCGCCCTACCACACCTCCCTGACCGCCCTGCCCCTCCACAATTGCATGAGCACGTCTGAAGGACTCGAAGTCGAAGGTAAGATGGGCAGAGAGTGAGGGAGGAAGCACCCACGAGCCCCCAGCTCCATTCGTCGACTGAAAGGGCTTTGACCTTGGGGTGGTGGCTCCTCTGCCTCTCCCTGCTGCTCCTCTTGCTGCTCTGCCTGCAGCTCTTCCCCTTGCTCCTCCTGCCTGTGCTGCTCTGCTGTCTCCGCTCCCTGTGCTGCTGATGCCATTCGCAGCACTGGATGGGCCAAGAGCAGGAGAAGCAGAATCATCAAGAGCACCAGCAACAACGGCACCAACAGCACCAGCATCACCGTCACCAGCAGAAGCAGAAGCAGCAGCAGCAGAAGTGCCATCAACAGTAGAGCTTACTTTCCCAGCAGCCGCACTTGCCCCTGGTGCTGCAGCAGTGGCGTGAGAGGAGCTCCCTCCAATGCTGTGACTGCCACTGCCCAGACTCCCATCGCCCCGACCCACATTGCCAAGACTACTCGAGAGTACACAGAGGCCGGGCAGCACATGGCGCCCCGTGAGCACATCGAGACCTGTACGCTCAGCCGCAGTCGCTGCAGCATCATTACCATCACCACCACCACCTCCACCTCCTCCACCTCCTCCTCCTCTTCCTCCTCCTCTTCCTCCACGTATTCTGGGACCACCTCCTCCTCTGCTGCCACCATTGCCTCTCCTCCCACCTCCCCCAGACCCACCCCCCCCAGACCCATCTCCCCCAGACTCACCTCCCCCAGAACCCACCCCCCCAGCACTTCTTCCCCTTCCTGTGTGTCCGGGTGCATGGCTGGGAGCAGGCACCCACACAAGCCCCAGGGAGGAGAAGAGGTGGGAGCAGCACTCACTGCGGCTCACACACCCAGGGGGGACCAGCCCATTACTCCCCGGCCCAACCCCAGCTTTTCCACCTCTTCCCCTCCTCCCTCCACCCCTCTCCACTCCTCCTCGCCCCCTTCTGCTCTCTCCTCCTACCTCCCCCCCATCAGCCTCACTAGCAGCAACCAGCTTCGCTGCTTCGCCTGAACCAATCCGAGCCAGCCACCTCACCCCTTGCTCCACGTCACTCCACTCCAAATCCGATTCCGCCCTCCGAAAACTTCCCCCGATTTTTTCCACGAATAGCGACACATTTGCAGGCAGCCCACCGTCAAAAGCTGCCTCGACCGGGCAGAATCCGGGCAGTGAAGAAATGTCTGTGTCAGCACTGGTAGATTCCTCTGGCTCAGAGCAAACGCGGCGGGCAGAGTCAGGGTTCAGCCCGCAGAACCACAGCTGGTTTTCCGGGTAGTTGTAGCTTCCTGGAACCTTCCTCCACTTAGCACACTCGTCACAGCATATCCACTTCTCCACATACTCTCCATCTTCCTCTTGGCTCTTTCCAGGGTAGTCGGCCTCTTGGCTCTTTCCAGGGTAGTCGACCTCTTGCCTCTTTCCAGGGTAGTCGGCCTCTTGGCTCTCAAGACACGTGTAATCCAGCTTTACAGTCACCAACCGGCTGTCTCTTTCTTGCCCAGCCTTCTCTGCCTGTTGCCCTCTCTCCTGCAGCATCTTCACCTCCCCCTCCTCCCCGTTCTCCCCCTTCCCAGCCTTGTGCCCTGCCCCTACACCCTCCTCCCGCTGGCCACCCTTCTGCCCTGTCCCTAAACTTACCTTTCCCGTTACCACTGACGCATTCTCCTCCCCGTCCTCCCCCTCAGCCTTCAACCCACAAACCCCTCTTCCTCTCTTCCCCAGTCCCTTCTTGACCTCTTCCCCACGGTCCTTCTCTGCCTCTTTTTGAGTCGACTCAAAGGCTCTCTTGACCTCTTCCCCAACGGCCTTCTCTACCTTCTCCCCCTTAATCTCGTCTTTATCCTCTCGGTTATTCTCTTCCCCATTCTCTTCCTTGCCCGCTTCCAGATTCCCTTCCTGTTCTCCCTTCACCTCGTCCTCCTCTCGCACGCGCACTGAGGTGCGCCTCCGCTTGGGAGTCCCGCCCCTGTGAACCACTTCAACCGCTATATCCACATCCCTTGCTGCACGCCCTGAACCGGATGCATGCATCGGCCTCGCTGCACCCACTTCTGAAATCCTCATGTCCACACCTCTGTCACGAGCAGCACCCTTCGCACGCAGCCTGCTGCTCTGCCTGCTCGTGTGGCTCGTGGTTTCCTTGCCACACGACAACTCCTGGAGACTCTTGCACTTACAGATGCCATTGACGCTCCTGCATTTACAAAGCTTATTGATGCTCCTGCATTTAGACCTCCCATCGACGCTCGTACAATCGGGCCCTTTGAAGCAGAGAAGCAGGCAGCGTCTCGTGCCACACTTGCTGCCATCGGTACCATTAGCAATGTCGGCACCATCAGCACCACCAGCAGCACCACCAGCACCACCAGCACCACCAGCATCACCAGCACCACCAGCACCACCAGCACCGTGTGACACACATAAGCAGGCATCGGTATCGCCCTCATTGTCCCCCTCACCCCGCTTCTGCCACTGCCGCTGTACCTGCTGCTGCTGCTGCCGCCCATGCTGCTGCTGCTGTGATATTTCTGCTGGAGAGTGAAGGACCCTTACAGACCCCTTTGAGTGGGCACAAGAGGGAGTGACCTTTGCCGAAGGAGTGACGGCTGCAGAAGAACGAGACACCCTTGCTGAAGCCTTTGCGCGAACAGAAGAACCTGCACTAGAAGGCACCCAATCGCTATCATCCTCCTCCTTACTCTCTTCCGCATCATGATCCTCCTCATCCACCTCTTCCTCCTCCTCTTCCCATCTTTCTCCCTTCACCTGGTACCTCACCCCATCGTCACTCTCACATTCCTCTCTACCCGCCACCTGACTGTTTCCCAACTCAAAATGGTCTTGCCTGTCGACACACTTCCCACCATCAGTACAATCCCGTGGGCCACTTCCACCACCTCCAGTGCTCCATCTCCATCTCCTCTCACCATCCTCGTTTTCGTTATCCCTCATCCCATTACCCTCGCCGCAATCACCCCCCGAAAGGCCTACTGCCTCGCTCCCTTCCTCCTCACCCTCCCTCCTGCCTTCTTCCCTTGAGTCCGTCCCAACTGCTGCTTCTACCCCCTGCTTCCGGCGCACACACCGCTCTGAACCCCTCCGGACCCCTCTCCCAGCCCGCCCTTCCGGCTCAACCACTTGACTCTTGGTTTTGGGTGCCTGCAAGGCGAGCACCACTGGAATTGACAGCTTTCCGCATCGAATCGCTGCCCCCTTTGCTGCCCCCTTTGCTGCCTCCTTTGCTGCTTCCTTTCCTTCCTCCTTTCCTCCCCCCTCTGCTGCCTCTCTCGATGCCTTGCCCCTCCTGCCTACATTCGCCCTGGGTCTCCTCAACTCCTTTCCTCCGCCCTTCCCTCCCGTGGTCTTCTCCTCTTCCTCAATCTTCTTCCCTCCTCCTCTCGTTTCCGCTCCTCCACTCACCTCCACAACCTTCTCCCCTCCCCCAATCCTGTCCCCTCCCTCACTTTCCCCCCTCATTTCCCCTTCCCCCCTCATTTCCCCTTCCCCCCTCATTTCCCCTTCCCCCCTCATTTCCCCTCCCCCCCTCATTTCCCCTTCCCCCCTCATTTCCCCTTCCCCCCTCATTTCCCCTTCCCCCCTCATTTCCCCTTCCCCCCTCATTTCCCCTTCCCCCCTCATTTCCCCTTCCCCCCTCATTTCCCCTTCCCCCCTCATTTCCCCTTCCCCACCCGCCTCCCTGTCCACACCCCCCCTATCCCTCTGTGGCCGGGTCGACGCAGTTGCACCACCTTCCTGTTCGCAAGCAGCTGCACCACCTTGCAGCACTGAAGCACCTTTACTGCCCACGCTTCTCAGCATGCTGCTCCCAGCTGTAAGCCTCTCTGAGCCATCCGGTTGGTTCCTGCTCCCCTGCACCACATTGTGCCCTTTGCTGCTCCCCTGCGCCGCATTGCGCCCTTTGTTGCTCCCCTGCACCGCATTGCGCCCTCTGCTGCTCCCCAGCACCGCATTCAACCCATTCTCACCTCCCTCCCTCTCCTCTACATACCCACCCTGTACCATCTCCGTTTCCGCCCTCCCTTCGCCCATGTCATTCCCTTCTGCCCCCAACCCATTGGCTTCCCCTGTCTCACTGCCGTGCCGCACCTTCCTTCCCCACCAACCTTTCTCCTCCCCCTTCCCCTCTTCCTCCCCTGGTAAAACCCTCTCATAGTATCCCAACCACCCTCCTTTCCACGCCTTTCCTCCTCCTCCTCTTCCCCCCCCTCCTCCTCCTTCTCCTCCTCTCCACCCTTCCTCCCAATTCCCTCCCTTCCGCCCACACACCACCAGTCGGCAACCCCTAGGCACTGAGGGCAACAGCCCCTTAGTCTTGAGAATCAGTGCCAAGGCTGTTACTGTCTTCCCCAGCCCAGGCTCGTCACAGAACAAGCCTCCCCTCACGTCCGGCACCATGCCGAGCCTGTCCCTTAGGTCCAGAACCATGCCTCGTCTGCCCGTTTCCAGGTTCGCCAAACCAGAACCCTCCAAACCTTCCCCGTCCCTGCTGTCACCCTCTAGCCGGCTTCCCCCCTCCCTCAACTCACGCGTGACTTCCTTCTCTTCCCACTCTCTGCCTTTTCTCTTCCCCCTTCCGTTCCTCCTCTCCTTGCCCCATACGAATCTCACCCCCCCTGTAATCACATCGCATAGCATCACCCTCCCCTCACTCCCTCCACTCCTCTCACCACACTCACTCCCTTCCCCTCTCATTCTCAGCACATGCAACAAAGGACTCCGAACAAACCCCTGAGGCACCCTACTCTCTCCCTCAATCCCACTCCCCCCCTCTCCCCCACACTCCCTCCTCACTCCCCCCTTCTCTCTCCCCAGCATCCACTGTAGCGCCGACCGCTGGTGCGGAAAGAGGGAGAGGTGCGGCAGGCTGGGTACAGCTGGCGCTGCCAGCTGGCGCAGGCGGGTACACGTGGCAGCAGCTGAGCGGAGGTCGATGGGGGAGAGGCGGGAGAGGGAGAGGAGGAGGAGGTCGGGAGGGAGAGAGAGGAGGGGGGAGGGAGGGGCGGAGGAGGAGGGGGGCGCTGGAGGGGGGTCACTGATAGGACGAGAAGGATACGGGTGGAGGGATGAAATGGGGGAGGAGGGAATGGGGGAGTGGAAGGTTGAAGTTTGGAGACAGGTAGACAGGTAGCCAAATAGGTATCCACACATCAGTCCACGAAACAGAAGCAAAACAGGAAAGTTGAACGAAAAAGCGGGTCCAATATCATGCAAGGCAGAACGCGTTGTACTTACGGGTAGACTGTAGGGGCGTCGAATCTGTTGGGCAGTGCGCGAAAGATCTTGGACAGGCTGAAATCTGAGGGGTCACTAGTAGGAGATGTGACTGTATGTGGTGTGACTGTGGACGGTGTCACTGCAGACGGGGCTTCGGCCGATGAAGAGGACACAGGTGAACAGAAGTTGAGGGAGCCATGGAGCGTGCACCCATGCACACCACAGGCTGGCAGGCTGGGATCACAGAACTGACACCTAGGAGAATGCGATTCTTGTAGCTTGTTACAGGGATGCGTTGACCAATCAGTGCAGAGATGGGAGAGGACTGAGGCAGTGGCGGCCCCTCCCCTCCACGTGGCAGGCATGTACCATGCCTCCTTGCTCACAAACACATCCACCAACACCCCCACCACCAGCACCACCACCTCCCCGGCACCCCACTTGCCTCCACTTCCCTTTTCCCCTTCTGCCGCTCCCTTCTCTCCTCCTCCTCGCCCTCGTCCTGCATCCAACTCTTTTCCTCTCTCAGTCTTAGCAGAAACTGGCCTGCCTTTAACCGACTCTGACTTCCGTTCAGGTGTTCTATCAGGTAGGAATCGATGGAAGGAACTGGAAGGCACCGCATGGCGACAGATTATCTGGGCTTTCACCTGAACAGGGTTCCGAGCAACAAACTCGTGCATGCACGACCACACACTCTCCGACGCTCCACCTCCTCCTCCCCTTCCCCCTCTCCCTCCCCCACCTCCTCTTTCCACTCCTCCTCTCTTCTTCCCTCCCCCTGCTGCTCTCCTACCAGGCCTCTTGCTTTGCGCGTTCTGGCCTCTGCCTGCGATGGATTTGCTGCTGCTTCCATGCTCAGATCCCAGGCACGTATCAGAGTTATAAGCACCAGTTGCAGATTCCACAGGCTCGTTAGCATCACACGCACCAGGGGCAGCAGAAGCAGGACAAGTATCAGCAGCTGCGTCACCTACCACCTCATCAACCCCACCATCATCATCAATGTTGACGTCACCATCAGCATCAGCATCATCATCCCTGGCAGCTTCCACGCCTGCACATGTCATATCCACGTCAGCATGGCTCCCACACTTTTCGGCTCCACTTCTTCCAGCCTGTAACCGACTCCCTTTGTTTACTGTACAGTTCACTGTAGCGTCACGCATACGAGAAAGCACTATATCCAGTGGACTAAAAACTAAACCTGCATCACGCGAACCGTCCGTATATTGCCCAAGGCATAAATTCTCGAACCCTAACTCTTGCTCCTCGCGTTCCTGCCCTCCCCAAACCACGTCTAAGATCGTTTCCTGACCCCTTCCCTTGTTCTCTACCTCCCTGCCGACCAGTGAGGCCGACACACGTGTCCAGTCCAGATGTCCAGAATCCAGAGAGGTGGAGCTCGCCTTGTCGGTGGCTTGGCCAATGAGAGGACGTGCTGGCCGAAACTCGTTGCGACACGGGCTGATGGCATGCTTAAACTCTGCTGACGCCGTGTCAGCACGTGAAGCTGATTGATCCAACTCGGCAATCCCCAGGGAAGGGCTAGAGGTGGTGCCAGGATTGGTTAAAGCGTCGGCACCTTTAGTTTCTAAGTCCGTTTCGTCGATAGCAGCAGGATAGAGGAAGTTAGCTGAGGGCGTAACTATGGCGGCAGCGGAGGCGATAAAATAACCAGCGTGCTCGTGGCCTGGCAGCTGGAACTGCATTGGTTGACCGTTTTGAACCTTCGCCGGGTCCATTGCTGCGGAGAAACGCTCTAACTGAATTTCAGTCAAAGATGGTAACTCGCAAAGGGTATTATCGTGGGACTGCAAGTGATAAAAGCCAGTCGCGGAAAGTGAGGAATGGCGGGAAAACCAGGAGGTGGGGTTTCCCCAGAACTCCAGACGGCCGTGCCGTACGCTGTATGAAATGCTTCAAGAACGAATGTCATATCAAAGACGTAACAGAATCCAAGAGTTTCTCGGCTATAGGGTTTCAAGTCATAGTTGATGTAGTTGAGAAGGTGTACTCCCATAAAACATTGCACTATTTTGGGTGCATGCACGGAGCTGCAATTTCTGGCGAACGTTACCACTCGTGTGGATTGCCTCTGTCAAAATGAATAGGTTCCATTGGTCAGAAAGCAGCGAAGCAGGATTCATTCTACTGTACATGGCAATTTCTGACAGTTCTCCACGGATTTCTACATTTCTCCTCCCCGCTGATCTCGGATTGGTCCCCTGACGAGGCGAGTGCCCGAAATGGTTGACAGAAGCAAAGGTGACAGTTTGCGGAACAACTTTTACCGAGGGCACCTTGCCCACAACACACTACGCGGTTCATTGGACTGACGGCACAGAGCAGTGGGGGGCAACCATTGACGGGCTGGTTTCTGCCCGCAACAGGCTGCACACAGCCTCATCTCTGCTTACAACAGGAAATCAGAAGCTTACAACCCGCCAGCACCACCCGTCCATTTTTTTTTTTCTGCCAAGCTGACGGATTCCCCCAGCACTTCACGTGCATGAGTGTTGCTTGGCTTCTGTTCTGTACCTCGCTTTTCCCCCCTGGATCTTGTCTTCGGTGCCTTTTCTCCAACGCCCTGCTTGCGTTGTTCCTATCACTTCAATACAGTATCTCCGCAGGCCTTCACAAACGCCAGATTCGGCGGCTTTCTGCTGCCGTCAACCTAGCTCAGCGCAACGCGCCGACTACTCCTCGGTTCTTTTTCTGAGGCATCTGGTTCCTCTGCTCATCAGGCATTCTCTTAGCATCGTGGTGGCTTTCATTAGGGTTTCGCTGCCTTTCTCTACATCCGCTTGGACCAAAGGTTGATGCGTTCTGATACGTGGCATGGCGACCCATGTCGGAATCGCAGACCGTTCGATTGCCATCACAAGTTCCGTTTCAGGTAATATCGACGTACCGCTGTTCGCGTCACTTCTCCTGCTGTCGTATCGCACGCGCGGCCGTATTAGATTCGCTGCAGTTAGCCGGTATGCCGTATGTTCTATGATCTCGACGCTCACGGTCGCGTTTGCTTTTCCTACATCTCCGGTTCACAGTTCTGTCAGATCCTATTTCGACAAGATCGCGGTCATATTCCTTGATTTTCCAGGCTATTTGTTTCTCACCGCCCCTGTTTTAAGTCATGCTGCACGCGTGTCGTTCGTCTGACAGAGCTGTTATCTCCTTATCCTCCCAGCTGTCAGCATCTTTTTCCTTGTTCTGGATCAGTTGCGTCAGTTCTGTCTCAGCTACCTTTGTCTCCAGTCCTGCCTCCAGTGCGCCAGCTGCTGCTAATCGCTCGTTCACCTCCCCTTTCAGAGTGATAGAAGTGTAGATTTGAGACGTCTCAAAACCACACTTCTATCTTGCGCCAGCTGCTGCTAATCGCTCATTCACCTCCCCCTCCAGAGCTCGCTGGACTGCGTCCGAGCCTCCTGCCATCTGCTCGCCGAACCACGCAACGGACCAGGAACACAGGTTCGGGGCGAACGCGGCAACGTAACCCGCAATGTCGGTCCGCTGCTGCAGCAGCAGCCCCAGCAGCAGCAACTGATGGCTCCTCTGAGTCGACCAGTCAGGATTTTGGGGGGAAGAGAACCGGATGGTTGAATGGCCGCGCGTGCTTGGTTTGCGCTGCTCAGGGTTGTGTTTCGTGCGTCGGCGTGATTCCGCTTAGCGCCTTCCCTTCACCGGTACGCGCCCCAGAGATGACCTAATTGACGTTCTCGCTAACCACGGCATAAGCAGCAGCTTGTTTTCTCGTATCGGAAAGGAATCTTGCGCGCATTCCATCCGTCTGTGCACAGCAAAAATAAGCATTTTCCATGTTCGTTGCCCTTCTTCCAGGGGTGGCGCAAGCGTTATTCCCGCAGACGTGTTTCCGCGCGGGGATCCCAAGGGTCAGCGGGGGAGAGATTCATAGACTCGGAATCAGCAGGGTCGGGGGGAAGCGGTAGTAGCGCTAGCAGCAGCAGAGGTTCTGGCGTTGCAGATTCGAGCAGCGGTAATGCGGGGGAGACGGAAACGAACAGTCAAGTCTGCAGCAGCAGCAGCAATGGTATTACCGGAAGCCTTGAGATTGGGAGGTCGAATGGGACTGGTAACGGTAACGGCAACGGCGCTGCAGCCTCTATCCGCGTCGTTGCCACGGACGGTACTTCAGCTTCTTCTGCTGCGGCTGCTTTTGCCACTGCTGCTGGTTCTGCATCTGTTGCCGCGTCTCCAGTGGTTACTCCAGACACGCTTTGGGAGGTGAGTTCCAGGCGAAGGGAAGGGGTCTACTCAAGAGAAACGAGCTCAACGTGCTGGACGTCGCTGGGGTCAACACCGTTGCTGCATGCCTATGCGGCCAGATATTGACCTCGCAGTTGAGTGCATTCGATCTTGGTAGAGCGGGGCACATTTGCTGTCTTGTGACTTGTCTGACGCACGTCTGAGTCGTGGGTATGGATGGGGATGCCCTTGCAGGAGCTGCTGCCGTGCATCACGTATCTCTCGCCCACTCAGCTACAAGTCGTCCGCCACGCCTTAAGAGTGAGTCACCCTGTTATCACGCAGCGGAACAATCACTCCGCTGTGTGTTTCTCGCATTGCTCTCTCGCCTTTTCTTGTCTCACGCTTGTGTCATGCCTTCTGGGCCTCTCGTCCCTCTGCTGCTACTGCTGCTGCAGCTTTTCTGCTCCTACTGATGGGATTACACGTCTTGTGTCGCTCAATTCCCTCTCTTCTCCGGTCATACCTCCTGCGCTCCACCCCAACGTGCACACTTATGGCCTTTTTTGTGCTGTCAGCTGGCGTTCAGGGCGCATGACGGGCAGAAGAGGAAGAGCGGCGAGCCGTACATCATTCACCCTGTTGAGGTCGCCAGGATACTGGGGCAGCTGGTGAGTTGGTGGGCTGGTGGGTTGGTCAGTCTTGCACGCATACATGCACAGATACACATACACATCAGCACGGACTGATGCATTTGTCTACTTTCTCCCCACAACACATTGGAACGGGGGAGGTTGTTCCTCTTCCCCACTTCCCCCCTCCGTTCCTCCCCTCCCCTCCCCCGCCCCCCCTCGCCCCCATACGCTCCGCCCCCCTTTCCCCACCTCGCCAGGAGATGGACTGGGAGACGGTGGTGGCGGGGCTGCTGCACGATACCGTGGAGGACACGGACGAGGTGTCCTTTGAGCAGATCGAGGCGGCCTATGGGCCGGCAGTCAGGCGGATCGTGGAGGGCGAAACCAAGGTGCGTGACTGCTGTTTAGAGGCTGCATTTGGGCCGGCATTCGGGTGGATAGTGGAGGGCGAATCTATGGTGCCCGGCTGGTTCTGAGCATGGAAAGGTCGCCTATGGGCCGGCAGTCAGCCGGATCGTGGAAGGGGAATCTAAGGTGCGTGGCGGGAAGTATGGAGGAGGTGGAGGGAAATGGGAGGATGGATGTATGTGAGGGTTATGGTTAGGGATCGCCCGGTGGTGGGCGTGGTGAAGGTGAGCGAGGGGTTGAGCTTTCAGTCGACTCACTAGCCTCTTGTCCCGCACGTCCTGATCTCCTCCCTGTGTCCCTGCCCTGGCAGGTGTCAAAGCTGGGCAAGGTGAAGGACGGCAGCAAGGCAGATGTGAAGGCAGACGACCTGCGGCAGATGTTCCTAGCAATGACGGAAGAGGTGCGTCGCGCTGTGTTGATGTTGATATGGGTCTGACTGAGCAATGTCAAACACCCCCTGCTGCACCGTGTGTCTTGCAACAGGGGCGCATTGTTGAAGTGGCATCGAGTGCACAGAGCTGGTAGGGAAGTCAAAGAACCGAATGGAGTCCCCTTTGTGGATGATTGAATCACCACGTGGCATGCACCCGCTTGATGCCACCTCTTGTTTCATCCTCTCCATGGCGCAGTTTTTTCTCCTGTCTCTGTGTCCCGATTCCATAGTGAAGCTAGCAGCCCGGCTGCACAGCATGGGCACGCTCACGCACATGCCGCACAATTTCTCCCCCACCCCTTTCTTATTCCCCTACCCCTTTCGTGTCTCTCATGATTCATCTCAGGTCCGTGTGATTATAGTGAAGCTGGCGGACCGGCTGCACAACATGCGCACACTCACGCACATGCCGCCCCACAAGCAGAAGTACATCGCTCTTGAGACTCTCAGCGTTTTCGCCCCTCTTGCACGTCTACTCGGCATGTACCACATTAAGGTGTGTACTAGGGGGCTCGTGTGATGCTGCTCGTTAATGCTGGTCGGGGCTATGGAGCCTATGGGTTCCTCTGCCGTCGTCCTTCTTTCTATTTCCCTCAACTATGGATTCTCTCCCCCAACCTTCCCACTCCCTCTTTTTCTCGCCCTCGTCATCCCTTCTCCCCCCAGACGGAGCTGGAGGACTGGTCATTCCGGTCATTCCTGAGGACTATCTGGGTGTTGCTCATTCCCTGTCAGCCTCCCCACTCCGTCAGCCTCCCCACTCCCTCTTCCTCTCTCCCTCGTCATCCCCCCTCCCTTCAGACGGAGCTCGAGGATCTCTCATTCCGGTACGCGTATCCCGAGGAGTACTTGGACGTGAGTGGGCGCATGCTGCAGCCTTCCCACTCTCTTCTCCTGGTGCCCTCATCCTTCCTTCCCCTGTCAGACGGAGTTGGAGGACCTGTCATTTCGGTACGCGTATCCCGAGGAGTATCTGGACGTGAGTGAGCGCATGCTGCACCTCTGCACGCAGCAACAGCCCGCCCTGGACGAGGTCAGTAGCAGCACTGGGGCGCGTCAGATGAGGATAGTATCAAGCTATACAGAGGGACAGACAGATAGTGAATGGAGGGACAGCCTGCCCTGCGGTATCCTGCCTGCCCATTAATACAAGGACCGCTTGAATGGAGGAAATGGAGGTATCCTGCCCTTCCTTCTGTTCCTCTCCCTCTCAGGCGCGTGTGATGCTGGAGGAGGCGATGCGGAAGGACAAGGTTCCGGACCTCATGACGGGTAGCCACATGCCTTCTTGTCCTTGTGTAATAACTCACCTGTCAACACTTGCTCTTTCCTTTCTCTCCCTCTCAGGCGCGTGTGATGCTGGAGGAGGCAATCCGCAAGGACAAGTTCCTGGACCTCATGACATCAGGGGCAAGGGTGGAGACACGGTGCAAGGAACCGTACAGGTGGGAGATGACACGGGTCAAGAAACTGTAAGGGGTGAGTCTTGATCTTGGTAGCCGTACAGCAGTAGCAGCCCGTCCTTTTCAACTTGTCCACGTGTCTCCTTGCCATTCCCGGTGCCTTGTCCTTCCATTCTTGACACATTCTCATTTGTGCTCCTCTTCCTCGTGTCTCCGCCTCCTCTCCTTCCCCCCTCATCGTCCCTCCCCTCTATGTCCCTCCTCATCCCTCTCCTCCCACGCTACCCCACCTCTCTGCGCCCTCCTCTCTGCTTTTCTCCTCTCTCCCTCGTGCTCGCCTCTCTACCTCACCCCCTCCTCCCCTCTGCCCGTCCAGCATCTTCAAGAAGGTGGTGGAGACGGGCGCTAAGGAGTCCATTGAGGCAACTCACTCATTTCCCGTCCCTGATTCCCTTCTCTGCCTCCTTTCTCCCCCCCCCCCCGTCTCCCAGCATCTTCAAGAAGGTGGTGGAGACGGATGCCAAGGTGGAGGAGATTCACGAGATCTCGCAGCTGCGTGTGGTGCTCAGCATGGACGACTCAGATGCTGACCAGCCCGACAGCAGCTCCCGCAACATTGCCCAACAGGTGAGAGGGGAGACGGGGGAGGAGATCACGAGATTCAGCGGATGGTGCGATGAGGGGGAGACAGGGCAGTGACAGCAGTGACAGGAGCGGGGGGGGGAGAGAGAACAGAGATTCGCTAATAATCCTCCGAACCGCATAGTGCCCAGCTCGACGGACACAGCCACTGGTATGCACCCAGCATCTTCCCTGAGCATGCTCTGGCATCCCCTCCGCTGTCTATCCTCACCCCCCCACCTGCAGGTGTCCTACCACGTGCTGGGCCTTGTTCACGCCCTCTGGCGCCCTCTACCTGGCACTGTAAGCCTAGCTTTTGCTCCAATGCCACCATATTACGTGCATGCCACCTAGATTTTTCAAGCTTTCTCGTTCATGCTGCCTGGCCTCTACCGGGCAGGCCCCGTAAGCTGCTCAATGGGAGGCAAGAGGCCCTTCCGTTTGCAAGAACCACCCCCCCACCCCACCACCCACCCCCACTGTCCCCGTCCCCCTCGTCTCCTGCCCACCTGTCTCTTCCAACCTTCTGTCTCCAGTTCTTTGCACCACACCCCTCCCTCTCTCCCCCCCCACCCCCCTTTCTCTCGCGGCCTCTTTCTCTTTCCTTCTCTCACGCCCGTCTCGCCTCTCCCCCCCGTCTCCCTCTCGGGTGAAAGACTATATAGCCAAGCCCAAGCCCAACGGGTACCAAAGCCTGCACTCCATGGTGCTGCCGCTAGCGAATCGTCCCTCCTTCCTCCCCTCGCGCTCCATCCCTCCTCATCCCCCCCCTCCCTCTCCCTCTCAGGTGAAGGACTACATAGCCACGCCCAAGCCCAACGGGTACCAGAGCCTGCACACCACGGTACTACCCCTTGGAGCCTCGTCGCTGTTCCCCCTGGAGGTGCAGATCCGCACGGACCACATGGACAAGCTCGCCCAGTGGGGCATCGCCGCCCACCACACCGGCCGCCACCCGCACCTGCTGCAGCACGGCCAGCAACCGCAGGAAGAGCAGCAGCAGGGGCAGGGGCAAAGGCAGCAGCTGAAGCAGCAGCGGCAGGGGCAGCAGGGGCAGGTGAAGCAGCTGACTGGGGGTTCCGAATCAGAAGTACCTGGGTTTCTTTCTGCAGACATGGATGGCATGAGTACAGATGATTCGGGCAGTGATAGCTCAGGTAGTGATGAGGAGGCGCCGCCTGTGTCGTCCATCAGCGGCGTTGCCGTGTGCGGGGGGGTGGCTGAGACGCAGAGCAGCTGGGGGAACGACGCTGACGTGGCGCGGAGGGTGAGCTGGCTGAACTCCATTCGCGAGTGGCAGGAGGAGTTTGTGGGGGCGATCAGCGCGAGGGAGTTGTGGATACTGTCACGTGCGACCTCTTTGGGTCGCGCATCTTTGTGTTCACACCCAAGGGAGAGGTGAGGGGGGGAGGAGTTGAGTTTAACTGGAGACAGGTCAGAGCCGAGAGAGGCGAGCACAGCATTCGAGGGAGTTTGTGTATACTGTCCCTGCAACCTCTTTGGCTCACGGATCTTTGTGTACACACACACATGCACTCTGCGCGCACACATCACACACACACATTCACCCCTCCCCTCTCCCCCTCTTCTCAGGTGAAGAACCTCCCCAAGGGCGCCACAGTGATCGACTATGCATACCACATTCACACAGACGTGGGCAACCGAATGGTCGCAGCCAAGGTGAGACGGATTTGAATCCCAGGCAGTGCTTGCACGTCTAGATGGCTGAGTCGCTGCACCTAAGGGCACGGAAAGGTTCCCCTGAGCTGCCGTTGTGACCTCGCTATCTCTATCTCCCCCCCCTGCTGCACCTGCTGCGCCCTGTCTACCGCTGTGTAACATCGGTTGGCGATCTCTCGACCTCCATCCCTCTCTCTCTCTCTGTCCGTCCACCTCCTCCCCTCCCCCATTCCCTCCCCCCATTCTGGCAGGTGAATGGCAACTTCGTCCCCCCTACCTACGCCCTGTCCAACGGGGAAGTGGTTGAAGTTCTCACCTACAAAGTAAGTTGTGCGAGTTGCTCGTACATGCACAATCCGTCACATCCCCTGTGCCAATCCCTCACATAAGTCGCATGCAGAGCCCATCATGCGCCCTGTCCAATGGGGAAGTGGTTCAAGTTCTCACCTACAAAGCAAGTCGTGCGAGTCGTCCTGACAAACTGAATTATCCCTAAACAAAATGGATCACATTGCCTGTCCGGACATGCCAGCTTAGTCACTCTCGCTTGCGCCCCTTCGTGCTGGCCTTCTGCTCTCTCCTCCCAATCCTTTCCCTCTTCCCCCAGGGCGGGTCAGGCGGTTCTCGCAAGGGCTTCAGGCAGCGCCAGCGGTGGCTGCAGCACGCCACGACAAGCAAGGCCGGAGACATGCCCACCTGTCTGCATCAGCTCCTCTTTCCCTCCTTTCCCCCCCCCCCCCCGCCTTTCGCTCCGTCACTCCATTCTCTCTTCCCCTCCCCAGGGCGGGTCTGGCGGTTCTCGCAAGGGCTTCAGGCAGCGCCAGCAGTGGCTGCAGCACGCCAAGACAAGGAGCGCCAGGCACAAGCTCACTAAGGTATGGGAAGGACCCGTTACAGAGCTGGGTACCAACCAAGTGACTCGTTACAGAGCATGGTGCCAAGGGACTCGTTACAAGTACAATCACAACAGTGTTCACCTTCTCCCTCATGCACATATCCCTCTGGTAGCTGCCTGGGCAGGCCCGATGATCCCGTTTTCCGTTTTAAGCACGTGTGTATATCTCTTTAGACTGTAAAGTTGCCACTTGGCGACCAACTAATGTTGTTCACGTGTTTTTTGCTGCTTGTTTGCGCAGTATTTGCGCGAGCAAGGAGCGCTGAACTCGCATGAGATCACTGCAGATCGGATCAACGAGTTCCTCATCGAACTCCAATCGACTGACACTCGCACTGCTGGCAGCAGTAGCAACAGCGACAACAACAATACGACCAGCAGCAGCAGCAAAAGCAAAAGCACCAGTGGCAACAACGGACCTGCTACTATGCCTCTCATTGCGGATTCCCTTGTCCCCACCAACCAACCCACTCAATCACCATCCACACAAGCACCATCGTCACTCCCCTTTGACTTCTCCCCGTCTACCATCCCCTCCGCCCCCCCTCTTCCCCGCTCCTCCCGCCCTCGCTCCCAATCCCCCCCGTCCCTGCCTCCCCTCCCCCCGCCACAAAGACCATCCCCAAACTCCCATCAAAGGCATCCCCAGGCAGCAAGAGCAGGAGGAGCAAAGCTTGCTGCAGGGCCAGCAAGGCCAGCAGGGGCTATGGCCCGTGAGGGAGGGAGAAGCAGGTGCAGGGTCTCGGGAGGGGCGTTTAGAGGGAGTGGGGAGGGGTGCAGATGGCATGGCGAGGGGGCGAGAGGTGGAACGAGGCAGGGCTGAACCGGGGGAGGTGGGATCCGAGGGAGGGATGTCTGGGAGAGGGCCTGGTGCTGGCACGAGCAGCCCAGAGGTTTCGCGATTTTCTGATGACAGGGCTGCTGCTGACGTGGCGTCCGTTCGGATGGCCGGAGGGGGTGCTGACATGTCGCTGGCTCGGGCTGATGTGGAGCAGGTGGGAGGCAGAAGGAGAGATGATGTGGACGGTAGTGGTGATGCGATAGGCGGCAGGCAGGAGGGCGTGGATGAGATGGTATCTCGGCTGCTAGGAGGGGTAGCAGGAGCAGCAAGGCTAGATGAAGGTGTGGCCAGAGGAGGGGCAGAAGGAATGGGAAGAAGCGATGGGGAGGGCAATGGCGCTCTTCTGCAGACAGTAGGCTACTCGCCACAAGGAGGGTCAGCAACACAAGATGCACCCGCAGCACCAGCAGCAGCAGCAGCAGCACTACCAACAGCTGCAGGGCCAGGGGAAACCGCAGCTGCAGCAGCAACAGCAGCTGGAGGAGGTGCCTCGGAGGGGGGCGGGGCGTCTGTGGACGCGTTTGCGGAGTTTGAGGAGTGGCAAACACAGACTGTCGCCATGTGGCAGTTCCTGAGTGGCCGCAGGAAGGTGGTGCTATGGCTGGCTGTGCAGTGCTATGACCGCACGGGTGAGTCATGAAGGGGCCACGCTGATGGGCATCTTGAGTCGACTCAAAATACACCTGCCGCAGGAAGGTGGTGCTGATGCTGTGGCTGGCTGTGCAGTGCTATGACCGCATGGGTGAGAGCAGGGATGTGGCAGTGAGGGGGGTTGTAGTGCTTCTACTGATGTCTCATGGGCGTGATTCACCGGGGTGCAGTGATGTGTTAGTGACATTGTAAACAGGTGGATGGTGATGTGTCAAAGACATACTAACATTGCGTATTGAAACATGACCTTGCATGGTCATTAATTTAGTTTCATGTGACAAGCTTCCATACTCTCAACTCTCCCCTACCCCCTCTGCTTTCTCCTCTTCGATTCGCCCATCTTTCTCCCCATGCTCCTGCAGAGATGCTGGCAGAAGCTTCCACGTTAAGTAGGTTTGTTTTGAGTTGTCTCAAAGCATTCCCCTCTTCTATTTGCCCATCTTTCTCCTTGTGGCTCTGCAGGGATGCTGGCGGAAGTTTCCAAGATAGTGACGGATGCTGGCATGCTCATCTGCACACATGCGGTAAGCTGGGCATGCGCACATGCTCACATGCACACACATGCACACATGCCAACATGCCCACATGCCCACGTTCCCACATGCGGTAAGCTGGGCATGCTCATATGAAAACATGCCCACATGCCCACATGCGGCTGTGTGTGCCGATATGCACACTGCACTTGCCGTCATGTGCAGCACATTGCCATCATGTGCTGCACATTGCCATCATGTGCTGCACATTGCCATCATGTGCTGCACATTGCCATCATGTGCTGCACATTGCCGTCATGTGCTGCACATTGCCATCATGTGCTGCACATTGCCATCATGTGCTGCACATTGCCATCATGTGCTGCACATTGCCATCATGTGCTGCACATTGCCATCATGTGCTGCACATTGCCATCATGTGCTGCACATTGCCGTCATGTGCTGCACATTGCCGTCATGTGCTGCACATTGCCGTCATGTGCTGCACATTGCCGTCATGTGCTGCACATTGCCGCACCTTTCCCCACATCATGCCCCTGGTTATTCTACTTCCCTTCGACCTCCTGCCACTGGATGTGAGGTACCTCAAAACCAACCTCCTGTCATGCCCCACCTTTCCCCAACCTTTTGTCTACCTCCTCTCGATCTCCTGTCACCTGCCGTCCAAAGCTGCCCTCCGTTATCCGTCACTTCCTTTTGAGGCGCCTCAGAAGTCCTCCGTCATCCCTCACTTCCTTTCTGTCTCGATCCCTCGTTCACTTCCCTTCTTCCTTTCCTCTCGCTCACACGCTACCTCCGTCAGGGGCGCACATGAGTAATGTTATTCGAGGGCGACGGCCTGGACCCCTTGGTGACTGCAACAACTGCTCTGCCTCTCGTCCCATCCTCCCATCTCACTCTCCTCGCACCCTCCTCTCCTCCCCCTCCCCCCCCCCCCCTTTCACTAACACCGCCAGGGGCGCACCAACCAAGATGCAGGCACGGGAGTAATGTTATTCGAGGTCGATGGCCTGGACCCTGACTTCGTAAGTGCAACAACTGTACTGCGACTCCTCCTCGCAACCCCGCTACGCCCCCCCACCCGCACCCCTCCCTCTCCCACCTCTTGGCCCCACGCTCCTGTTTCCTTCCCCGTCGGTCTTACCCATCTCTGTCTTCTTACCCCCTTGCCGGATGACTTCTCTCTATGGTTTGTTGAGGAATGAGAAGACTCGTGCAATGAAGCAGATCCAAAAAGACGCCTAATACGACTTGGGACCATCCCCCCTCTGTTGTTGGGCGTGGCAAATGGTGTTGCTGCTTGGCTTGGCGTGGCATGGCATGGCAGGGTGTGATAAGCGATAAGCTGCTGGCCGTGGATGGCGTACTCAGCTTCGCCCTGGGCTGCACCCTTGCCAACTCGCCCCGCTTCTGGCCCTGGAGCAAGTGACATGCGGGCACCAAGACATGCAGTTATAAGAGACACGCAGCCAAGAGACATCCAGCTAGGAAACATGCAGGCAAACTGGCATGCAGAGGAACGAGGCTTGCAGCCAAGGTCAGACAGTCAAGAGCTCTACAGGCAAGAGAGACTCGCAGAGATTCAATGCGCTCTCAAGCGACCGTGCAAACTCCCCCTCGCTTCTACGGGCCTGGAACAGGCATTCTTGTCTGAGTGAGTGGGATCTGGCTAAAATGCTTGCTGCTACTAAACCAGTGACCTGGACTGTGCGTTGAATTATGGTGCTACTAAGCCATGGATGGGAAAAACGGCACATGCCAAGCCAATCCCATCTGATCCCATCCAGTGATAGCAAGCTGTGATCAGCTGTCCCACTGCGAGTCTGCTGGTACCATGGTGGGCTTGGCTGGCAGCAGGGAATGCTGGTGCAGGGGCATGTTGCTAATCATGCCCGCCTTAATAGTGTTACGTTATTGCACCTTGTGTGTGTAGTTGGGGAACAAGGAACACGTGCACTTGTGAATCGTGATCCGGAGAAACATGTTATCATGTGTAGTTATGGATACCTGTGCATAGCAGTCCGTTTTGCTGTACCCATGCGTTTCCAACTATAAGTGGTGCCAAGAATTGTTTTTCATTCTAACAATTAATTACTAGGTTCTCGGCTATGCACTTGGCTTCTCACAGCCGGCAAATACAGTTCCCGATTTCCTGAAAACGAGTACGTCGAGAATGTCGCGCCAATGCTGGAAGTGCGGATAATGACTTCTTCCAGAACGCCCCAAGTTTGTACACGCTCTGGCTGCCCTTGTTCCCATCACCTCTGCTGCTTTTCCCTCCGCCATGCAGCTTTCGCGGGCTTCCGCTGCCGCCGTTGCCCCTCTCCCCGCCCCTATCGTTTGCGCCAATTACCCCTCCGCATCCCTTTCGCGGGCAGCTGCGCCTTCCGCCGTTCCGCTTTCTCTCAGCGCAACTCCTAGCAGCCCCACCACCTCCGCATTCGACGGCCTAGGCGCGCTTCTACATCGCACAACAAGCCGCGCGCAAAGCGCAACGTTCCGCGCGCACTCTTGCGCTCCCCGTGCGATGGCATCCGCGGCTGTAACAGCGTCCGCGGAAGTGGTCCCCGCGGTGATCATCGGCGCGGGGCGCGTGGGGCAGGCGCTGGAGAAGATGGGCTGGGGGCGGGACGTGGTGGTGCGGCGGGGGGAGAAGGTTCCGGAGGGGGGGGAAGGGCCCATCATCGTGTGCACGCGGAACGACGCGCTTGACGCCGTGGTGGATGCTGTGCCTGAAGGGAGACGGGAAGGTGGGTGGGTCTGTGCCGTGCTTGAAGGCAGAAGAGAATGTGAGGAAGCATGAGGCTCCTCTAGCATGAGGGCACGGAAGGGCCGATCATCGTGTGCTCGCGGAACGAAGCGCTTCACGCTGTGGTGGATGCTGCTCCTGAGAACAGGAGAGAAGGTGAGGGAGGAGAGCGGGTAAGTCACAGGGACGCGGCCCTTGTATCGAGGGCACGGAAGGGCCGACCATCGAATGCACGCGGAACGGCGCTCTTGGCGCCGTGGTGGATGCTGTACGAAGAGAGGGCGAGTGGGCGGACGGTGCGGCTGGAATCAGAAGAGACGGCGAGGGAGAATGAGGTTCAAGGGCCGACCACCGTGTGCATGGGGAAGGGGAACGATGCTCGTGACGCCAGTTGGTTCTCAGCCATGGAGAATTCTCAAAAGCCAACTTGCCGTGGTGGTTGCTGTGCGGGAATCTAAGGGAGAAGGTGCGTGGAAACTGGTTCTTTACTAGTTGATTCCTAAGGCTCAAAACGCCATCTCTCAACTGCTCGTGTGCTTTGCAGCAGCCAAGGCAGGCGACCGCCCCATTGATAATTCCCCGTCCTCCCTGCTGCCGTCACATGCACCCCCTCTTGCTCCCTCCCCCCAGACCTGGTGTTCATCCAGAATGGCATGCTGGACCCCTAGCTGGCCTCTAGCGGCCTGGAAGGCGCATCTCCAGTGCTCGTTTGCTTTGCGTGGTGTATGTAACTTGATTACTCGCCTTCTCCCCAACCCCCCTTGTTCTCCACAGACCTGGTGTTCATCCAGAACGGCATGCTGGACCCCTGGCTGGCGTCCAAGGGCCTGCAGGACGCCACCCAGGTGCTCGTGTACTTTGCCGTGGCCAAGGCGGGGGACGCCCCCCTGGATGGAATCACGGACGTCAATCCCGAGGGGCTCACTGCCGCCGCTGGCAAGTGGGCAGATGCCGTTGCTGCCAGGCTCAAGTCAGCTGGGCTCAGCTGCAAGGTGAGAAAGGGAGTAGGGGCCTCTCAACCAAATCGTCGATCCCGAGGGGCTCACTGCCGCCACTAACAAGTGGGCGGACGCTGTTGCTGCGAGGTTCAAGTCTGCTGGGTTCAGCTGCAAGGTGGGCACTGGGTAGGTGGGAAGAGGGAGTGGAGTAGAGTGGGGAGATATTTGTTTTGCCAAGGCAGCCGACCCCCCCTTGGATGGAATCACGGACGTCAATCCCCAGGGGCTCACGGTTGCTACTGGCAGGGCGGATGCTGTTGCTGCGAGGCTGAAATCAGCTGGACAAAGCTGCAAGGTCGGGGGGGTATCAAGAATGGAAAAGGACCAGCAGAAGGGTAGCTTGTGCAGAAGCTGATGTGGATGTGCGCACTTGTGGTCGTGGGTGCAAGTACCCACACGTCTCAAAATCTTCTTCTCCCCCCCGCTCTAGCCCCCTCTTTAACCGCAGGTGCTCTCCCCTTCGGCCTTCCGCGGCCCGCAGCTAGAGAAGTTGATTTGGATCTGCGCATTCATGCTGGTGGGGGCGAGGAACGGCGGAGTCACAGTGGGCGAGGTGGAGAGGGAGCACAGGGAGGCCGTGGCCCTGCTGGTTAACAATCCTAACCTCCGATCTCTACCCCATCCCCTCCCTCCTGCATCCACCCCCCTCCTCTCCTTTCCCCCCTTTTCTCTTCCCTCCCGGCCTCCACTCTCCTCCTGTACCACCGCAGGTACTCTCCCCATCAGCCTTCCGCGGCCCGCAGTTAGAGAAGTTGATTTGGATCTGCGCGTTCATGCTGGTGGGGGCGAGGAACGGCGGAGTCACAGTGGGCGAGGTGGAGCGGGAGCACAGGGAGGCCGTGGCCCTGCTCATCAACGAGCTGGCCGCTGCTGCTGTGGCGGCTGGGGCTGTGGATGGGTTTGACGAGGGGCTCGTGGACCGGCTCTGCGCTTATGCCCGCTCCGTGGCACACTTCCCCACGGCTGTTAAAGAGGTACGGATGCTGCTCCTCCTGCTGCTGCCACCGTTGCTGCTACTGTCCTTGCTGCTGGGGTTGTGGTTGGATTTGATAAGGGGCTCGTGGAGCGCTTCTGTGCTTATGCCTGCACTATCTCATGCCCCCCATGCCCTTCCCACCAGTTTGAGTGGCGCAACGGCTGGTTCCACAGCATGTCAAAAGCTGCAGTGGCAGCTGGCAAGCCGGACCCGTGCCCCCTGCACTCAGCATGGCTGGCAGAGGTGGGGGCTGCACCTCTTCCACAATAATTGGGTGACATAACGCAGTTGCATGAACAGCACAACTACTATATTATTAGTCGTTAATAGTCGGTTACCAATGGAGTGTAGGAAAATTATTAGTCGTTAATAGTTGGGCGATGGTGATCGGTGTATTGGCTGCTTTCTTTATTGAATCTGGTAAAGAAAGTGAAGTCGAAGTTTAGCCGCGTATTCTGATACCGAGTGTGCTATTAGACGGAGCTTCACGGGTGCGGTGTGGTCGTTGGGCTGGGGTTTTGCTGGATTGCGAATTGAAAAGCGAACTCGCGCTCCAATCAGTGAGCCGCAAGATTGGCAATCCATGACCCATGGCCTCTGGAGTGCCACCTCACTGTCCTCTGCTGCTCACGTGCCTGGTTTCGATTCGCTCCCCCACTTTTAGGAACCCCGTAAACTTGCGGTAAGGGTGACCGCTGACCAAGCCACCAAACAAGCGTTTCCAATGCTTTGAGCTCTTGCAGGCTGCATCCCTGCCGTTGCGAACCCATCGGACGGTTGTCGTTGGACCATGAGTGGGAACGCATTGTCAGTTCCGCGAGAGCTGGCTAGCTCTGATGCACCTCAAAGCAAGGCAGCTGGGGCAACATTGATCTGCAGTCAGCAAGACACTAGCAACTAATCTGGTATCCAGGTTAGCTCTTAGTAACTAATCTGTATCCAGGTTTGATCTTCAATTTTATCAACCATGGCCGCCACCATGACCAGCTGCGTGCTTACCTCCGCCGCTTCCCTCGCCGGTTGCCAAATTGCGGCTCCCCGCCAACAGCAGGTGGTCAGGCGGTCCCTTGCTGCTGTCCGCTGCGAGGCAACAGCGTCGGATGACAAGCACGTCATCTCCCGGCGATCAGCCGCTGCTTTCGGCCTAGCTGCTCTCCTCGCTGCCGTCCCCGCTTCCTCCGCCTCCGCTAAAGACATCCCCCTCTTCGGCATTAGGAGGAAGGCTGCTGAGGAGCCCGCTGCGCCTGAAGCTGCTGCTCCCGCTCCCGCGGTTGCTTCATCGCCTGCTGCTCCGGTCTCCGCTCCTGCTATCGGTGTTCCGGTCACGTCCGAGAGCGACATTCCCGCTGAGACTCAGGCTGTTGCCGTTGCTGCCGTGGAGGTCGTTGCTGTGCTTACCGCTGGCGCTATCGTCAAGTCGGTGACATCTTAAAGTAACTTATGTACCTAAGGAAAAACCGTGTATCTACAATTTTCTTTAATAACGCTTCCCGTTTCCACTGACGTTTTTCGTCTGGGTTTTGAAAATATTGTCCCGCAAATCTATAAGGTGACATCAGGCACAAGTCGTCCATTCCCTCGGTTACATGGGTATCGTCTCACAATACTTCGTCGATTTGCCAGTTAGCGAAGTGTAGAGCTTGCGAAATTCACGGGGAGGGTTGATTGTATGTAGAACCACAGGCAAAACAGGCAATGTGTGCAATGTGGAACCAGTACCGGTATGTGTGTGTGCATCATCTTGGTGCATGCACACGTATTCTGATCATGCATTCGTAGAAAGAGCGGGCTTGATCATCTTCGAGCATTCTAGGGTTCGCCAAATTCATCCGTCATGGAATACCGAGATGCATATCTTTATGCAACAAACTTGTTATGAACAAATTACACGTAAAGCTACAGAACCCACAAGATATGCACATCAATTTGTTGAATTTTGGACCTAAATCGCGTACCACGGGGTTCTCGTTTCTTTGGCGGACCAGGGATGGTGGATTCGTAACATTACTGCAGCCAGTGTCTACATTTGGGTCTATCTAGAACCTAGAGATAGCCCATCTCCAAATCCTCGTCCCGACTGTCGCCACTATGGCGGAGCCAGACGATGCGCCAAAGGTTGACGGACAGCCGGCAGGATTGACGGCAGAGACAGCTTCTAGTAAAGACAATCCGTCGTTTTCAGGCCGTGGATGGTTCTTCCTTGACGCGAACCAGCAGAATCAAGGGCCTTACCCGGAGGACCAGGTTCCTGGTGCGTTTTCTACTCCCTCCTCCCAGATGTAGAAACGAATGTCACTCTATTCCGCCTTCGCCCGGCTCTCTCCCTAACTCCAAACCCGTGGAGGACAGTTTGAGACGCTTTAAAGACCTTCCTGGATGCGAATACTCGTGCTTCAGAACGGGACCATGTTGCACATGGCTGGCGATTAAGCTCTCTGGTGTCCCGTGACTACCCTTGCCTTGCAGTTTCCTTGCTGCCAGTAACTCCTGATTCCAACCTGCCGCTTCCAGGTCTTTTGGCATATAAACTGTGTGACGCCTGACACTCTCTTCTGCCCTGCTGGCTCATTCTTTCTCAACCCTGGCAGGTCTTCTGGCATACAACTATGTGACGCCTGACACTCTCTTCTGGACAGAGGGCTGTGCGGAGTGGCTTCCTTTGAAGAGTATCCCTGAATTCGCTGCTGCTTGCGCCACCGCTATTCCTGCTGCTGGTACTGCTGCTGCTGATGCGGCTGGTGCTGTTGCTTCTGGGGCTGGTGGCACAGGAGGCACCACAGTGGCAGCAGCACCAGTGTCGGCAGCAGCTGGGAATGGAGCAGCTTCAAATGCAGCAGCAGGCTCAGAAGGAAGCGGCGGAGAGAAGAGAGCTGGTAGGACATGGCAATGGGGTGCTCCTGCGGGCGATGGGGGGAACGGGAAGGGGAAGGGGAAGGGGAAGGGGAAAGGGGACGGGGGAGAAGGGGGCGTGGGGGGTGCGGGAGGAGGAGGAGGAGGAGGAGGGGGAGAGGAGGATGAGGAGATGAGGAAGTTTCTGGAGGAGGTGAGACGAGCAGAGGCGGAGGCAACAGCTGCGAAACGAGCAGCGAGAAAGAGAGGGCGACTGGTGGCGGAGTTAGCTCATGGTGCTGAGGCGGAGGTAGGGGAAGAGGAGGAGGAGGAGGATGAGGAGGAGGGAGAGGAGGGAGAAGAAGTGGGGAAGGATGAGCCGGGGAGTGGGGATGGGGATGTGGAAATGACCACAGCAGTAGAAACAGACGGGCAGCAAAAGGCGCACGTGCAGCAAGGGCAGGAGCAGGGGGAGCAGAAGGGGGTGCAAAGGCAGGGGCAGGCGGAGGAGGGAGATCCGGCAGAGGGGGAGCAGTTCGAGGATGATGATGGCACGGTGTACCGATGGAGTGCACGCATGCGAGTGTGGGTACCGGTGGTAAGTCATGGGTGCTGCTGCATGGGTGCACGGGTGGATAAGCATGGTTGGATGTGCATGGTTGGATGTGCATGGTTGGATGTGCATGGTTGGATGTGCGGAAGGGTACTAATTGGAGGTTGGTGATGCCACAGTGTGCAGATGTCCATCCATCCGTCCTCCTACCATTTCTCGCCTGACCAAGTGCTCTTGACTCACTTCTCTTCATCTCCCACCACGACCTACAGGGAGAGCAACTGCCTGGAGCAGCAGCAGCACCACCACCACCACCAGGGAGTGGAGCAGCAGGGTTGCCTGGTGCGGCAGACTATGACCCAGAGCAGATGGTGTTTGTAGAGGACGAGGAGGTGATCCCCTCTCTCGATGCCGCCATTGCTGCTGCCGTCGCTGAGAGGGAACGGGCGGAGGCGAGTGAGGAGGAGGAGGCAAGGGGGGGAGATGCGGAGCGCGGCGGAAAGCGGTGGGGGAAGGGCGGGGAGAAGGAGAAGGGGAAAGGGAAGGGGTGGAAGAAGGGGGATAAGCGAGGGGGGAATGGGAAGGGGGAGGAAGGAGGAGTGGAGGATACTGACAAGAAGCATTGGGGAGAGATGGAAGGGGATAGGAAGGGGAAGGGGAAGGGGAAAGAGGGGGCAGAGAAGGCACCAGGGCAGGAGGAGGAGCGTGTGGAGACGCGCAAGGAGCTCCAGAAGAAGGTGAGCGGGCTGAGTAAGCATTTGCGAGTGCGTCTGAAGCGTTTGGAAGGGCAAGAAGAGGAGCGTGTAGCGACACGCATGGATGGAGCCTCCGAAGAAGGTGGGTGAGGTTTTGATGCGTTTTTTTACATAATTCTGGAGTCCTATGGAACCAGTTGTGTGTGCTTATGATGTATGATCTGCTGTTGTTTCTCTCCCCTTTGTCTGACAATACTCTGTCCCCGTCAGGGCTCCCCACTTCCCCTTTCCTTGCACTCCTGCCTGCAGCGCCCCTTTGAACCACTTTCTCAAGCTCTCCCCTGCCTTTCGCCTGCAGCCAACTTGCCAGTACCGCTTGGTTCCCCCCACTCTCCCTCCTCTGTACCTCAGCCGACCAATAACGAGCCGAATGAGTGGTTTGAGCTGAAGGTCAACACAAGTGTGTACGTCACCGGACTGCCTCATGACACCAATGAGGACGAGGTGAGGTGCTCTATAGCGGGTACACATTCGCGAAAAAACTTATGTGTATATCTTCAACCTTCAACCCCAATATGCACATGCATGCATGGTCCGTACCACCCCATTGTGATGAGTTCGTTCATTCTCATGCTATTCTTATCCATTACCCACCCATCCATGCATGTGGATGTGCTTATCCATTCTCATACATCGATTTATTCATTTCCTATGTCAGGTGGGGGAAGTCTTTTCCAAGTGTGGGCTCATCAAAGAGGTAAGAATGCACTGAGGGAATAGCAAGTTGTAACATATGTACTTGCAACAAACCTTAAACCCAGCTTTAAATGCCACCTGAACCCCTCACTCCCGGGCCTTCTTTTCCAAGTGTGGGCTCATCAAAAGAATGTGCTGCTGAGGGGATAGCAAGTTCTAACTTGATCATAGGTCTTGATCATAGTGTACTTGCCCCATTGGCCACAGTTCCCTTCGTTTGTCTCCTTTTGGCGCCCTCCTTTTGCCCCTAGCCTCGTCCAACTTGGCTGTCCAAGACTTGGCTTGGACCTCATGCCCGGCGCTTACTTTTCCTCTCCATTCTGCCCCTGGATTCTCCTACCCTGTCTTCCATGCGTCCCTTCAATCAAGGCCGTCTGAATCCCTCAAGCCTGTGCTTCCTTTTCCTCTCCCTTCTGATCCTGGCTCCTCCTACCCTGTCCGCCATGCCTGTCCAGGACTTGGACACAGGCAAGCCCCGGGTGAAGCTGTATCGGGACAAGCCGACCGGCGAGCTCAAGGGCGATGGGCTCATCACATTCCTCAAGGTGAGTCTGGTTACGCTCTTCGGGTGAGGTGGGTATATTCTTCAAAAGTAAACCATGGCTCTCCAGGACTTGGACACAGGCAAGCCGTAAGGGAAGCTGTATCGGGACAAGCCAACTGGCGAGCTCAAGGGCGACGGGCTCATAACGTTCCTCAAGGTGATCGTGCTTATTTTTCCTGCTGTGAGTTGTAGCTCAACTGATTGTGTCTGGTAGTATTACCCTCTCATTGCCCCGTCCGTTCCTCCGAATTTCTTGTTTCTTCTCATCCCTTCACCAGGCTCGCCCAAGGGCATGCCGCCCAAGGTGATGCCGCCCGAGGGCCTGCTTCCCGAGGGCCTGCCGCCCGAGGGAAAGCCGCTCTAGGGCATGCCACCCGAGGGCATGCCGCCCGAGGGGATGCCGCCCGAGGGCATGCCACCCGAGGGCCTGCCGCCTGAGGGGATGCCGCCGAGGGCATGCCGCCCGAGGGGACGCCGCCTGAGGGCAAGCCGCCCGAGGGTATGCCGCCCGAGGGCAAGCCGCCCGAGGGTATGCCGCCCGAGGGCAAGCAGCCTGAGGGTATGCCGCCCGAGGGCATGCTGCCCGAGGACCAGCCGCCCGAGGACCTGCCGCCCGAGGGCATGCCGCCAGAGGGCATGCCGCCCGAGGACCAGCCGCCCGAGGGCATGCCGCGCGAGGGTATGCCACCTGAGGGGATGCCGCCCGAGGACCTGCCGCCCGAGGACATGCCGCCCAAGGGGATGCCGCCCGAGGGATGCCGCCCGAGGGGATGCTGCCCGAGGGCAAGCCGCCCGAGGGGGATGCCGTTCGAGGGCATGCCGCCCGAGAACCTGCCGCCCAAGGGCCTGCCGCCCGACGGGATGCCGCCCGAGGGCCTGCTGCCTGAGCGCAAGCCGCCCGAGAGCATGCCGCCAGAGGGGATGCCGCCCTAGGGGATGCTGCCGCCCGAGGGGATGCCGCCCAAGGGCCTGCCGCCGGAGGACCTGCCGCCCGAGGGGATTCCGCCCAAGAGGTTGCTGCCCGAGGGCCTGCCGGCCGAGGGCGTGTCGGCCGAGGGCGAGCCGCTTGAGGGGATGCCGCCCGAGGACATGCCGACCAAGGGGATGCCGCCCGAGGGCATGCCGCCCAAGGGTAAGCCGTCCGAGGGGATGCCGCACGAGGGCAAGCCGTCCGAGGGGATGCCGCCCGAGGGCAAGCCGCCCGAGGGCGTGCCGGCCGAGGGGAAGCCGCCCAATGGGATGCCGCCTGTGGGCAAGCCGCCCTAGGGGATGCCGCCCGAGGGGATGCCGCCCGAGGGCATGCTGCCCGAGGGCACGATGCCCGAGGGGATGCTGCCCGAGGGCAAGCCGCCCGTGGGCATGCCGCCCGAGGGCCTGCCGCCCGAAGGCTTGCCGCGCGAGGCCATGTCGCCCGAGGGCAAGCCGCCGGAGGATTCTCTTGACTGACCCCCTCTCCCCCTCCTTCACCTCCGGCCGCCATTAGTGGATCTAGCACTCAAGGTTCTGGACGGCTGTCCTCTGCTCTAATTCCTTCTCCCGCCCATCCCGCTCTCTTCTCCCCCACCCTCCCCTCTCTTGCCTTTCAGCCGCCCTCAGTGGGTCCGGCTCTGAAAATTCTGGACGCCTTTCCTCTTGAAAGGACTCGACTCGAGTATGCTCGGAAGATTCTGGAGGGCACTCCTCCGTTCCCACCCATCCACCCCCCCCCCCCCCCCCTCACCCCCATCCCTCTCCTCTTCCCCCCAGCCGCCCTCAGTGGATTTGGCTCTCAAGATTCTGGACGGCACTCCGCTGAGACTGGGCGACAAACAGCCCATGACTGTGACCCTGGCGAAGTTTGAGCAGAAAGGTGCGAGCGGTGGTGACGGGGGCAACTTCCTGTTTCATCACGTGCCGCTGCAAGGCTCACCATGCCTTTGCTCGCTCCCCCACGTTTCGCGTTCTCCCTCCATATCCCACGTCCTGTATTTTTGCTTGATTTTCCATGTCCCAAATCCTCGTGTTGTTTTTTCTCAGATTTTGGCATTTCATGACTGCACGTTTCAACTATTTGCTTTTCTTACCAGGCAACGTGTTTGTGAAGAAGGCAAGTGACAAGAACAAGAAGAAGAAGCTCAAGAAGCTCGAGGCCAAGGTGCTGGGATGGGGTAAGTGGCGACCAGCCAAGGTGCTGGGATGGGGTAAGTGGCGGCCAGCCAAGGTGCTGGGATGCGGTAAGCTCTTCTGTTGCCACTCCATCACTGCTCTCTATGTACATCCCCTGTGATCCTTTTTGCTGCAATGCTCGGCTGCTCTCCCTCGTCAGCCCATTTCACGGTTCTGCTTGCCCCGAAGCAAACGCCTTCCTTATATGCCTCCTGCCAACATTGCCCCTCCTTTCGCTTGCTTTCTGTGGTCCTCTTGCCAGATGCGAATCTGCTGCTGCTGCTCCGTCATATCCCCCTCCTTCACTTGATCCTTGCATCCCCTTCTCCCCAATTTCACCCTTCAGGCGGCTCTAACAGCGCCAGGCACAGCCTCCCAATGACGGTGGTGCTATTCCACGTGATCACACATGACGACGTGGATGCACTGCTGCTGCGCTCTCTCATCCCCCTAGTTTCTTGCACCCGCTTCTCCTCCCTCTTCTCCCCCCAGGCGGCTCTGATACAGCCAAGCATACTCTCCCAATGACAGTGGTTTTATTCCACATGCTCACTCGCGACGAGGTGGTCAACGACCCCTCGCTGCCAGACGAGCTTGAGGCGGAGGTGCGGGAGGAGTGCGCCAAGATGGGGGTGGTGGAGCGAGTGAAGGTGAGCAGAAGGATATTGGGCACACGCTTCCCTGGCGTCTGAATGGGATGAGCATTGAGCACGCACACCCACCCAACCCCCTGCTGCCGGACGAGCTCTAGGCGGAGATGCAGGAGGGGTGTGCCAAGATGGGCGCGGTGGAGAGGGGGGTTGAGGTGAAGAACACTCTCCTACTAGCCATGCAGCCTTGTCCTTCTTGCTGTCTCTCCCTCCTCCCGCGTCCTTTTGGACGAGCTGCTTCACTCTTTCAACTCGTGTTTGTGTTACTGCATCCTCTTTTCCCTTCCCCCCACCTTGCATGTTACTCCCACCATGTACCCCAACCACCCAGACGGCGTGGTAACAGTGAGGTTCAACGACAAGGTAGCTGCTTTCAAGTTTCGAGAGGTCTCAACATTCCATGCCACCTTACCTAACAGTGTTCCCCCCATCTCCCCCTCGTAATCCCCCTCGTAATCCCCCTCCTCATCCTGCCACCAGGTGTACCCCAATCACCCGGACGGCGTGGTGACAGTGAGGTTCAAAGACAAGGCAGCTGCTTTCAAGTGCATTGAGGTCATGAATGGGCGATGGTGAGTCGTGAATGGGCGGTGGCGAGTCATGAATGGGTGATGATGAGTCATGAATGGGCGATGGTGAGTCATTAATGGTGAGTATGAGTTGACCATGGTAGAACGTGCTATGAGGAAACAATGGCAGGGTGTGTTGAACACCTTGCCACACTTATTGTGAGAGATTGTGGAGGGTTGCACGCACTGCACACTCTCCTCCATGGTCCATAGTGGTGTTGTTGATCCCATAGTGATGTTGATCCTGTGGTGTTGTGATCCTGTGTCCCCCCTCTTCCTCAGGTTTGGTGGTCGACAAATATCAGCAATAGAAGACAAGGGCCTGGTCAATTGGGGGCTTGTGCGCGACGAGGAGGAAGAAGCAAGGAGATTGGAGCAGTTTGGGGAGGAGTTGGAGGCTGATGATAAATGATGCATGCCGACAATAGGTTGATGTGTAGATAGGGAATGTAGTCACGGGAGCAGAAATAGGAGTGTGAAATTTCTTTACCCACATAAGGAAAGGCTGCCGTCGCGCCGCAGTGCATGATATATGTTAGTGCAGTTAGTTCCTACTTTCGCACAAGTTTGCAAGCGTAGTTGTTACTATTAGTTTCAACAGATTTGGCTTAGTTTAAAACGATCTGGCGTCTTGTACGGCGTATTATTGGGACAACCCTGAATCTCAATTCCCAAATTCGCCCCTCCCACTTCGCAGTCAGCTCAAATTCCCACCACGGATTTCAGAACTCAGATTTAGGCCTTCTCTAAGCAATTCGGCCAGCAAACGACGGCTAGGCGGCAACCATGCCAGCCATAACTCGCGCGTCGTTAAACCGCGTCGACGCGGCCGGCGTATGGTTCGACTGCAACGACGGCTTCGCGTGCCGCGTGACCCCCGTCGCGCGCAACCTCTTCCGCGTGCTCTTCCTCCGCCCCGGCGGCCTCCGCGAGCCCCGCACCTGGTCCGTCTGCTGCGGCCGCGCAGCGGGGGAAGAATCCGCAGCCGTAGCCACGAAATCTGAATCCGAATCTGTAGCCGCGAAATCTGCTGCGGAAGCTTCATCTCTAGCAGCAGAACCAGCAGCAGCAGGAGTGGCGATTCAAGTGCCCTTCACGGACAATCTCCCGCGAAGCCCGCTGCTGCCTTCCCCGTACGATCCGCCATGGGAGGGGTACGACCGCCTTAATATCCCCTTCGCGCGCGTAGATTGTACGGTCGAGCAGACAACAGTGGCGCTGAGGGAACAGGGCACTCTACCGCAATCGGGGAGCACTGTAACGGAGGGTGCTGTGCCCCAAGCTCCAGCCGTTGTCATCCGCTCGTCTCAGCTGATCCTGACCGTCCGATTGGAGCCGTTTCACCTCTCATGGGCCGTACCTAGCAGCACCGCACCTGACAGCCCCGCACCTGGCAGCACCGCACTTGACAGTGGCAGCACCGTATTCGCGGAGGATCGGGAGTGCTGCCCCTTTCGCTTCTCTGACCGCTCCTTCGCCTTCGACCATGCCATGAAACGCTGCCCGCCCAACGCTGCTGCCGCTGATGCTGCTCATGCTGATGCTGTTGGTGATGCTGCTGGTGATGCTGCTGGTGATACTGGTAGTGCTGGTGGTTCTGTTTCTGGTGCTGGCACAGCACCGGCAGCAGCAGGGGTTGAGGCAGCAGCAGCAGCCGGAGGGGATTTCTTTTTCGGTCTAGGCGACAAGACCGGCCCTCTGAACCTGCACTCGCGGCGCCTGGCTGTCGGCATGCGCGACGCGCTCGGCTTCGACCCGATACAAGGCGATCCCCTTTACAAGCACTGGCCGCTCTTAATGACCCGCGACGGCCACACGGGCGTGTGCTACGGCCAGCTGTACGACAGCCTGGCAGACGGTGCTGACGTGGACTTGGGGTGTGAGCACAGCAATTATTACGGGCCGTATCGGGTGTGGAGGGCGAGGGATGGGGACCTGGATATGTACATGGGTGTGGGTCCGGGGGTGAGAGAGGTGGTAGGGACTTTCTCTAGGCTGATGACTGGCGGACTGGGAGGAGGGCGTGGGGAGAGAGGGGTGGGAGGGGTTGAGGAGCGAGGTGTGGAGAGTGGTGGAGGGGAGGTGGGAGGAAGAGGAAGAGTGGAAGGGAGTGGTCGGGTTAACGAACACAGGGGGCAACCGCCACCACTATCACCATCATCACCTGCTCTATCTGTAGGGCCTGCTCTGATACCACGCTGGACCCTGGGCCTTCACCTGACCGCCATGCCGCTAGCTGACGCCCCAGATGCGCAGGCCCGCATCTCCCGGTTCATCTCAGCCGCCCATTCCACCCACATGCCAGTCAGCGCGTTCCACTTTGGGTCCGGCTACACCACGATTGGCAAGCGCCGGTACGTTTTCCACTGGAACTTAGCTAAGTTCCCGGACCCGCAGGGGCTGGTGGGGGAGATGAGGAGTGCGGGGATGCGGGTGGTGGCGAATGTGAAGCCGTGCATGCTGGTGGATCATCCGCGGTATGGGGAGGTGGCGGCAGACGGTGGGTTTGTCTTTTCGAGTGGCTCCCCAGCTGCAGGAGCTGCAGAGAGGGGAGGAAGCGGAGGAGGAGGCGGAGGAGGAGGAGGCGGAGGACCAGGAGCTGGGGTCGCAGCAGGAGCAGGAGCAGAATTTCTGCAAAATCCTAGGGCAGCAGAGTCGCCAGTCAGTGCTGAAGCAAGGCCGGCAGCCATAAGTCAGTTCTGGGACGGGCTGGGAGCACATCTGGACTTCACCAACCCACGCACCATCGCCTGGTGGCAGGCCAACATGCAGAGGGCGCTGCTCGATACCGGTATCGAGGCGGCGTGGAATGACAATAACGAGTACGAGATCTGGGAGGAGGACGCTTATAGTCACATGTTTGGTCGGTCCGAACCTCTCTTTCTGCACCGGCCGATTCATGCGCTCCTCATGACCCGAGCCTCGTTTGAGCAGCAGGTTCGGGCCGAGCCTGGCCGCCGAGCCTATGCAGTTACCAGAGCTGGAAGCTTCGGCATTCAGAGATACGCTCAAACTTGGTCCGGGGACAACTCCACCAGCTGGAAATCTCTAAGGTATAGTAACACTCATGTACAGAGCATTTGCGTATTTTGTCATATAATGATTGCTCAGTATGAATGTATACACATGGCTCTTACACTGTTTTTCCTTGTCTTCTTTCTCTCCTCTGTCCCCAACCCCCCCCCTTCAGTCTCGCATTATCCTCTCCTCTCTTTTTTTGCAACCCCCCGCTCCCCTCAAAATCCCTCCTCTCCCCCCCCCCCCTCCCCCCTCTCCTCCCGGCCCTCCCCATTCCTTCACCCCATTCCCCCCCTTTTGGAAATTACCAGGTGGAATCTCCGCCTCGGCCTCTGTCTCTCCCTCTCCGGTCTCTTCAACTGCGGTCACGACATCGGGGGCTTCTCCGGACCTCCTCCCGAGCCTGAGCTTCTGGTTCGGTGGGTCCAAGCCGGCCTGCTGCACCCGCGATTTCTCATGAACAGCTGGAAGCCCGACGGCACCATCACCTGCCCTTGGATGTACCCCGAATCGATCCCGGCCGTCCGTTGGTCCGTGAGGTTGCGCTACCGCCTCATCCCCTACCTCTACTCTCTCTCGTTCCGCTCGTCTTTTTTCCACGAGCCCATTATCCGCCCGACGTTTTACGATTTTCCAGAGGACGGGCGGTGCTGGAGGGATGGGGATGAGCTCATGGTGGGGCCGATGCTGCTGGCAGCGCCAGTGGTGGAACGCGGGGCACGCCAGAGAAAACTTTACCTGCCCAGTCAGAAGCCGGGGCAGCCGGAGGGCTGGTTTGATTTCTATTCGGAGGAGTTTTTTCTTTCCGGGCAGGTTGTGATCGTGGCGGCTCCGCTTGATAGGGTGCCACTGTTTGTGCGGGCGGGCGGCATAGTGGCGATGAGTGAGAGCACTGTGGACTTTAGTGGGTTGCATGATGAGGGGTCTCGGGTTCTCCGGGTGTTCCCTCCCCCTGTGGGGCCTGCTGCTGCTGTTGGTGGTGCTGCTAGTTCTTCTGCTGCTGCCGCTGCTGCTGCTGCTGCTGCTGCTGCTTCTGCTCCCACCGCTAGCACAGCTGCTACAGCAGGAGCAGGGGGGGAAGGGGGGGAGAGCCAGTGGGTCTTGTACGAGGACGATGGGGAGACTCTTAAAGGGGACAGAGCCGAGGTGCATGTGCACATGCGGTGGGATGCACAGAAGGTGGTGGTGACTGTATCGCTTGTGCACGTACAGGGGGAGAGTGGGGGAGAGAGCGAGGGAGAGCGTGGTGGAGCGATTAAGGCAGAGAGTGAGGGAGTGAGTCAGGGAGAGAGTGGTGATAGCAGCAGGGAGGAGAGTGGCCGAGGAGGGGGGTACAGAGTGCCCTGGGAGACACTCAAGGTGGCTCTACCAGCTGCGGACACAAGGGAGCTGGAGATACGGTGGGGGGGGGGAGGGGGGGAAATGGGGGGAGCAAGGTGGTGAACAACCAAGGGCAGGTGGTTAGAGTGGAGAAGGGAGCGTTTGTTTGGCACTCCTTGTGATACTGGTGTGGGAGGATGGCGCTGCCTGCTGCAGACAGTCGGGAGTTGGAGATACAGAGGGGGGATGGAGGGGTGAAGGCAAGGTGGTGAATGGCAGAGGGCTGGTGGTTCGATTGGAGAAGGGGGAGGTTTGTTTGGCACGTACTGTGATACAGGTGTGAGAGGAGGAAGGGTGTAGAGGGGGGTGGGAGGGGAGGAGTTGGGAGGAGGGGGGAGGTGTTGTGATATGCGACTACATGCCAAGTGTTTACCGGACGTAAGTGTGCATTGCTATACTGTATACTTTTTATGATACATACCCACCGTGACTAGTACAGTATCCCTCGGTGTTGTGGCAACTACATGTGGCTAACGGATGTTGCAAAACCGACCATGTACCACATGAAGTGAGGCGGATCCCGTGATAGGAAACACTCAGATAACAAACAAGTTGCTGCCATGCCAATCTTTGAGTCGACTATAAAATAGACTCATAACACATGGATCTTGCAAAACCATGTAGGTACCATACCACATGAGGTGAGGCAGATTATGTGAAAGGAAGCAGTGGATAAAGAGCACGTTGCTTGCTGCCTATCTCCTGGTCCTTAAGCTCTGTTCCACGACGTAAAGCAGTACACACCTATCTCCTCGTCCTTTTGCTCACCCGCTCACCCACTCTCGCTGCACCTCTACGAACCGGCTTCACGTCCCTTTCCTCCTCCCTCACCTCCTCAATCTCCTCTCCCTCCTCTTCCTCTTCCTCCTCTTCCTCCACCACCTGTCTCCTCACTCCCCTCCTCTCTCCTGCTCTTGGTTGCACACTTCCCTTCCCCCTCCTCCGCCCCAGCTCCGCCTCCTCTTGCTCTTCTCCCTCCTCTTCCTCCTCTCCCTCCTCCCCCCCTCTCTCTCCATCCGCACCCTCCTCCTCCTCTTCTTCCTCCCCCTCTTCATCCCTCTCCTCTCTCCGTGCCCGTCCTCCTGCCTGCCTCCTCCTATTCCCGCCGCCCCTACCAGCTGCCTCGGTTTGGTTGGGTGGCCTACCTCCTTCCTCACTGGAAGGCCAGGGTGAATCACACTGGGGGCACTTGGGGTGCTGGCAGGGAGAAGGGTGGGGAGAAAGAGGGGAGCAAGGCAGAGAGAGGAGTGGGGAGATAGAGGGGATTTTGAGCATCTCAGAACTGACCTACTTTCCTCTTCACTGGAAGGCCAGGGAGAGTCGCACTGGAGGCACTTGGGGTGCTGGCAGGGAGATGGGTGGGCAGGGGAGAGGGGAGAGAAATGGGAGGGAGGGAGCAGAACGAGACGAGGAAAATAACAAAGGCTTGAATAAAATAGCATATTTATTAATTGATTACAGTTGACCCCAGTTGACCATCCTCGTGACTGACTCCATCCCTGTGACTCCCTCTACTCGAGTACCGGTTCACTCACCTTAACTCCTCATTGACTTGACTCACCTTGACTCCCTGTTGACTCACCTTGACTCGATGGAACTTGGCAGCTAGGCAGTACTGGTGCAGGCGGTACTCGCAGCCTTCAGAGGCACAGCACACAGCCTGGAGTGATCGAGAGATGGAGGGAGGAAATAAGGGGGTTGGGGACAGGTGAGAGAAAGGGAACCAACACAAGAATCATAGAAAGGCAGGCAGTACTGGTGCAGGCAGTACTCGCAGCCTGGAGAGGAACAGCACACGGTCTGGAGTGATTGAGAGATGACGGGAATGGGAAAGGGAGAGAAAGGGAACCAGCACAAGAGTCATGGAAAGGCAGTACTGGTGCAGGCGGTACTCGCAGCCTTCTGAGGCACAGCACACAGCCTGCAGCGATTGAGAGATGGAGGAGGGATAAGGGAGGTGGGGGCGAGTAGAAGAAAGGGAATTGGGAAGCATCACGGGAAGGCGGTGCTGGTGCAGGCAGTAGCCACAGCCCTAAGGCGCTACTCGCAGTCCAAGACACTGCACACAGCCTGCCATGATTGAGAAATGAAGGAAAGGGGTTTGGGTGCTGGTGAGAGAAAGGGGAATTCATGCAGCAGCATTGCTCGTGATGGAAAGCATTGGGTCACTCACCGTGACAGCGGCATCGTGGCACACGTCGCACACCACCACCCCCTCAATGCTCTTCAAATACTGCTGCAGCTCCAAATACGTCCTCACTCCCAGCCCCACCCTCCCCTGCACGCCACTCCCCCTCCTCCCACCACCACCACCACCGCTGCTGCTTCCAGCGCCACTACTGCCATCCCTCGAGTCGTTTGCGAGGCTCAGCCAATGGTTCTCCGCCAGGTCAGCAATGAGGCGCTCCTTGTCAGTTAGTGAGAGGGCGTGTGAGCGGGCGGCAGGAGGGGAGAGAGGAGGTTGAGAGGACGATGGGGAAAGGGGGTCTTGAGTTGCATTGGGCTGCATGCGAGGGGGAGGGATGGGGCAAATCAAGAGAGGAAGGGGGAAAAGGATGGGTGTGAGGAGGTGGAGAGGGATGGAAAAAAGGGGGAAGAGGAAGGGGGTGAAAGGGTGTTGAGAGATGGGCAGTGGGGGCGAAAAAGGATGATTGGCGATGAGGGATGGGTGGGGGTGGTGTGGATAGGGAATGGGAGGCAGGCAGCATGGAAGAAGAGACTTAGAGCAACTGGATTAATTTCCGGGGAGCAGAATAATAGTGGAGAAGGAAAGGGAGAGTGTGGATGACCCGAAAGGTGTATGTTATTCGCACCTCAAAAAAGGAAAATGGTGGAGAGATGAAGGGAGAGTGGAGAACCTGAGACTGAGAAAACAAGAATGGTGTATGTTTTGAGCCGCCGTGAAAACAAAAAGAGAGAATGTGTGGATAAGGGAGAGGAAAAGGGAGAGTGGATGACCTGAGAGGAGCTGGGAGCTGGGGTGAGGTGGAGTGCTGTGATGCTGGAGATGCATCCTGAGCCGTTGGATGCTGTCACTATGTGCTCCACCTGATGGTGTTGGGAGTGAGGAAGATGGTATGGCGGATGGTAGAGTATACTTTACATGATCAGGAGAAAAAACCGAGATGCAGACTGATGCTTCCAGGTGAAAAAAGAAATAGAAGAATGTTCATCGCCGCAACACCAAGTATATTAGAATCAATTATTTCAGAAAAATACAAATCATACACTGACCAAGCATTTGAAGTACTGTATCTCCTCGTGGCTGTATCTCGTCCCCAGCTTCCCCTGGCTGTCTGCCGCCCGGTTGACCACTCCGTACCAAAGCTCGCCGTCCGCCTGGTCGGCTGCCGCCCGCAACTCCAGCTGCAGCAGCGAGAGGGCGGCGTTGATTCGCCCGACTGAGGTAAGAAAATCCTCCTGGGGAGTGCGCGGGTGGGAATGGGGGTTGAGGAAGGATGGGGTGAGAGGAGGAGCTGCTAGTCGACTCAAAGCTCACCTTGCTTCCTTTTTTTGAGGCGCCTAAAAAATAGTCTTAAAGGTTTCCTTGCTTCCTGCTGCAGCAGCGAGGGGGCTGCATCGATGCGCGCCACTGATGTGCGCAAGTGCTCCTGGGTAGTGGGGAGGATGGGGAAGGGAAGGGGGGAGGAGGAGCAACAGGCTGACCACCAGCCAGGGTTACCTAGGAAAGCGTTTGCCTTGGAAAGTACCTGCCTGGTAAAGTATAGTTTTGAGGCGCCTCAACTAGACAACCAGTTACGGCTAGCTAGGAAAGCACCTGCCTTGGAAAGCACCTGCCTTGGAAAGCACCTGCCTGAGAGTCGCCCGCGACCTTCGCCCAGATATCGTGATGCAGCTGCCTCGCTTGAGCCTCCTTGGCGGGCCCGCGACTCATGAGCGACTGGACCAGCGTGTGGTGGCGAGCTTCGAGAACCATTGCGACGGGATGCGACGGAATGCGAGGATGCGACACGATCGTGCGACAGGATGGGACGAAGGCTAGTCCTGCGCCTCAGAAGCGGGTTCTCGACTCGTACGCGACTGGATAAGAGTGTGATGGCACGCTTCCAGCACCATTGCGACACAAGCGACACTAGTCGACAGGATGCGAGTTAACTAAGCGAAGGAGTCGCACAGTGAGTATTTGGAGGTGGAACGATCAGCACAACCTCGAGGCAAACGTGACAAGCCAGAAGGCGGTGAAATTCCGTCGCTGCTTTTAGAGAGATTCGATTCCGCGACTGGCGAGCAAAATAGCCTTCATTTCATGCACCATGGTCAAAAGTGCAGGTTTTAGCTTGAGAGAACTCACTATGGTATGCCTCCTCAACAAATGTTGAGAACAAAAAGTGCCGCTCATATGTTGAAAAAAATGCTCATCTGTTGTTGTAGGCAATTTATTGTAACAAAAACTGGAAGCTTTCTCGACAGGCTATCTCTGGCTTGTCACTTGTCAAGTGACGCATAGATGTTGTTGACCGCTTGGGAGAGCTCCTTGACTCGCCTCTCAATGCTGCTGCGGTGCTTCTCGTGCAACCGTAACCCCCACTTCTGCATAAACTTGTCTGTGGGGCACAGGGGGTGGGGGCAGGGAGGGCAAGGGGAAAGAAGGCAAGGGGAAGGGAGGGCAAGGGGAAGGGAGAGGAAAGTTTTATTATTAAGATGGCCAGTATACTATGTATGATGCGATGACTATGAGAGATGATGGCACTCATGGGGATGTGACATGGCATGGCAAGAACTCTAACACACATCCAACGGTGTCATGTGACCATCACACATACCAGGGTGCCATCTAACAACCTCCTCCCTCATCCGCTTCCGGTGCTGCTCCCTGGGCACGCCATGCAGAACCACGTGCTTCAGATCGTCCTCCTGCCCAGCCGCCACTGGGAACGGCACATCAGCCATGGTTATCCCCATGTCGCATGACTTGGCAAACCTCCTCCATCTCTCATCGTACTGCTCCTGCTTCTGCACTGTCTTCTTTTTCTGAACTTGCTCTTTAATTGCTGCTCGCCACGCCTTATCCTTGGCCTGTTCTGCCTCCAGAACCTTCCTCGCTTCTTCCTCCCGCACCTTCCTCTCCTCCTCCCACCGTCTCCTCTTGTCCTGTTCTTCCTCCCGCTTCGCTCCAAAAACTGCCGCTCGATGGCTCTCCTCGTCCCTCCTCATCCTACTCTTCATCTCATGTGCCACGTCATCCCTCCAAGCGTCATCAGCTCCCCATGGCCCGGCTCCGAACCTGCTGGATTGGGACCCGAACCTGTGATACCGAGCCTCAGCAGCTGCTGCCTCTGCATTTTCCTCGGGATCTCCCCACAGTGCAGCATTGTTTGAACCATTACCATAGCCACCCGCCCCACCACCACCTCCAAAGTACCCCTCATTATCACTCCCTTCTCCCCACACGCTCCCAGCTCTTTCCGAAGCTGCCTCGGCGGTTCGGCGCCGCAGATCCATCAGCCGGCGCTGCACCAGAGCCTCGGGAGTCTCCCCAGCCAGATTCCGAGCCTGCATGTCAGCTCCGGCGTCCCGCAACAGCTGGATCACCGAGGCATGGCCCATCCTAGCTGCCACGTGGACGGGCGTATTCCCTCTGCTATCCTGTACCGAAACCGAAACAGACACCTTCTGATCTTTGCTTGACTTCCCCAAGTGTTTCCGGTGGTGCTTGTCAAGGTGGTTATGATTACTGTTGCCGATTTTAAGGAGGTATTTGACGAGATCAGCAGCGCCTGAGTGGGCTGCATGGTGGAGAGGCGTCCAGCCCTGAGCATCCGTACTGTTCAGCTGGTCCAGAAGAAGGTTCCTGGAAGACGGCCGTTTCTCCCTCCGCTCTCTATGCCCGCTCTTCGCCTTTCTCCTCTTCTTGTACCTGCCATTGCGCCTGCTGCTTTTGCCCTCCCGTTTCTCCCTCTCCTTCTCCTCCCTCTTATCTCTCCGCTTTCCCTTCTGCTCATACTCAGAAAAACGAGGCGAAGGGGAGCGGCCGTGCTTACTCCGTTTCTTCTCCTGCCGGCCGTCGCCCGGTGCCTCCTCCTCCTGCCTCCGCCTCTTCCCCCTCCCTGCTGCACCTCGCTCGGAGGAGCCTGAATCAGAATCTGCACTCAGCTTTGATTCTGATTGGACATTCAAATCGAAATCCGATTCTGAATCAGAATCTGATGCCCTATCCCGGTGTTTCCTCCTCTTCGTCCTCTTCTCGCTTCTCCTCTTCCCTTCATCCTTCCTCCTTCTCTTCCCTCTCCTGCTGCCGTCGCTGCTGTCGCTGCTGCTGCTTCTTCTGCTGCCTCTTCTCCTGCTCCTAGAGCTGCTACTATCACTTCCGTTAGGATCGCTATCGTTGCTGTCGCTCCGCTTCCTCGATCTTCCTCTCTTCCCGGATGCTTCCTCCTTACCCCCTTTACGGCGTCTCCGTCCCCTTTTCCGTTCTGCTGACTCAGACGACACAGATGCTGAGCTGGACGTATTCGAATCCGACCGTCCAGATGAATCCGACGGTTCAGATGAGTCCGACGCCGATGATTCCCTCGCTGCGCCTTTCAGGAGAGCTTTAATCTTCTTTAGAGACCCCTGCGCGGAGTATTCGATCAGCTTCCGGCGGATTCTAGCGGTGCTGCTCATGCCAGAACACCGCCGGAGAAAGGCGGGAAGACCCCAAGCACAGGTGGGAGATGACTTTTGAGGCGACTCAAAAGAATTCTACCGCTGCTGTTCATGCCAGAACACCCGCCTGACAACCACGCTGCGAAAATTGGCGGGACGCTGGGCAGACTTCTAAGCCACTGCCTCTCTTCGCTTCGTACGAAAACGGGAAGCACTATCGAAGGCCAGAAAGCTGTTGCCTACTAAGAGACTATGACTTCCATTGTCTGGCTTTGCGTGCTGTTCTATGGAGTGGTAGCTTCTGGTGCGGCAGGAATCGGTTTCGCTACTCGATAATAACACTCGTTATAAAAGAAACGGATCATTCTGGCTCGTTTCGCAATGCTCGCACAATAACTTCCTACTTCACAGGTAAAGTTTACCTTGAACATTGATAACTGTTTTCTAGGCAATCTCCAATATTCTATAACGCATGTTATTTTCTTTGTAGCAGTTTCACAAGTAGAGGCCAGATATGCGAGCCGGAGACATAGTTGAGGCGCTTTGGGCAGGGGAGGAGGAAGAGGGGGTGGTGGAAACTGGGGGGGAAGCAGAGGCTCGCTCTGGCTGCTGCATCATCGATTGCAGCCCCCCTCCCTCCCAGCCCAGCCTAAGCATCTGATCCACCATCTTCACACTTAGCTGAAAGGCAGGAGGGGTACGTGTGTGGGTGTGGAAAAGATGAAGCCATAAGGTGCTCGGTTCGTGGGCTATGTTACAAGGTAGGAAGGGCTTCTGATGGGGAAGGAAGTACCAGGCACGTGGGAGAGACTCACAAGACCGAGGGTACAGAAGGTAGTTATACAGCTTATGATGGGATTGCAATAAGGAGGACGGCAATATATATTATAACCACTTACAATGGGGTTACTGTAGAGAATGAGGTGGCCAGGGGATAGGACGACAGATGCTGAGCAGATGAGATTTGTGTTGTCGGCTGAGAGCGCCAGCGCCGTCACATCGTTGCTCTCTGGCAGCTTGAAGCGATACAGAGCCTGCTTGTAAGGGGGATGGGATGGAATAGAAGCAGAGAGCAGATGAGGTTGGTGTTGTCGGCTGACAGGGCTAGGGCTGTAACATCATTGCTCTCTGGCAGCTTGAACCGGTACAGAGTCTGCTTGTAAGGGGTGCATGCGAGTGCAGAGAGTTGTGGAAAAGCCATTTGTCAGTACGACACGGCAAGAAAGAGTGCCAAGAAACGATTCTGACAACAGCTCAGAAGCACGGGCTGCCACACCCAATGCAAAGGTCCCAAGCGCCCATTTCAAAACCCACGTCCGTTCCCTTCCCAGGGTGCTCCAACAATGGTAACCCTGCTGGCCGGCCATCCGTTCGTACCTTGAGAGTGAAGATCTCGAGCAGCGAAATGGCCGACCCGCGCTCCCTCTTTGACCCCCCCTCATCCGAATCCCTCCAGTTCGGCAACCCCTCCTCCTCAAACGGCTCCCTCCCATCCCCCCCTCGCCCCAACCCCTCCCCCTCCTCCTCCTTCTCTCCTCCTGCTCCGTCTTTCCCCCTCTTCTCCCCTCCACCCACTTTCCTCACCCCCACACTCTTACCCACCATCACTGCTGCCCTCTGCCTCTCCCTCTCCCTCTCCTTCTCCCTCATATACCTCCACCTGGTGCAGTCTGTTCCAACCACCAGATACAACCCATCTGCAGAGATCTGCACCGCACTCACATCCCCATCCTCCTCAGGCACGCCCACAGCCGCCACCGGCTCAGCATTAATCGTAAAAACCCTTAAAGCGCGCATAGCTAATTCCCACACCACGACCAGGCCCTCGGGAGAAATTGCGAGCACGTCTGCCCGGGCGACCCCAGGCAGCGTGCAAAGAAACTTTCCACGCATGATGGAGTGGAGGAGGACACCGGAGGAGAGAGAGGAGGAGGCGGCAATATCTAGGTCTGATGACACGGCACAGCACACCACCTCATCGGTATGGCCTCTCAGCACATGCACCGGACCCTCTAGTCGCCTCATTTTCTTCTTTACTTGCTCTAGGGACGCCCGACCAGCAGCAGAGAGCATCCTAGCTGCAGCTGCAGCAGGGGAACTGCCACTACCTCGCCTCCTCCTTTCCTCCTTCTCCCTCTCCTCCTCCTCTTCCTCATCCTCCTCACTGGTAGTTGCCGCTTCAGGGGTCGATACGAGGCTCGGGTCATGCGGCCCTCCAGTGAAAGACTGAGAAGAGTTATCTGCCGTTCCCAGCATGCTAGCAGCGAGACTCGAGGCAGCAGCAGCAAGCGACGCAGACGTGTTCACATGCCACAGCATTACCGTCCCATCTGCTGCGCCTGTCACCAGCGTTGCCCCTTCCTGGGACAGGCTGAGGGCGGTCACAGGAGCGGTATGCACCGCTGCTGATTCCACCACTCGGGTGCTTTCCACCGAGATCAGCTTCACTGAAAAGTCCGCGTGGCCGCCCGTGATCAGATGCTTGCCATCCGGCGTGATCGCCATCAGCTCCTTCGGGCGGCGGATGCCCCTCGCAGGAAGAGCAAGCAGCCGCGGGTAAATCGACGTCTCAGAAACCATCCCTCCTCCCCCTCCTCCTCCGGCTCCTGCTGCTCCTGCCCCTCCCCCCCCTCCTGAACCAACCCCCCCCAAACCCCCTCCTGCCCCTCCTCCTCCCCCACTTAACCCTCCCAAGCCGGTTCCCCCAATACCCATGCCTAGGCCGGCCACTATGCTACCAGCTCCGAACCCCGGGGCTGAGCTTTTGAGCATGCGGAGGAGTGCGCCGCCCGAAAGAGACGCCCGCCCGGGCTGAAACAGAAAAGGCCAACCGTGGCCGTCCGGCGTGTTGGGCTGCCACTGGTGCACGGCAATGTGACAGGCTGGCACGTTGTGATCAACGGTGATGATCGCATCAGACGTGGCGTGCAGCCGGGCGGCAGGCACGTTGAGGGTCTCGGGACGGGGTAGCACGTATGGGAGGATCTCGTTGGGCTTGCGGAATATGGTCTGGGGGACAGGAAGTGGGGGGGCAGGGGGGTGGGGAGGAATAGCAAGGTTAGGGAAGGAAGCTGCAGGAATTGACGAAACCAAGGGCAAAAGGTGGTGGATCCCTGAGAACCACACTCATGCAGGTGCAACGCCCGGTCGAGAGGAATGCGCTTGAGGTGTGGAGCCCAGTCTAGAGGAATGCACTGGGATCGAGCGGTTGGATTTCGTGCAGCTTTACTTGGTGTGGATATGGCTCATCCAGGTGCATCACGTACTTGCAGGTGCAGAGCTCGGTCGAGAGGAATGCGCTTGGGGTGCGGGGCGGTGAAGAGGTGGGAGGGCGTCTGGCCGAAGTACTTGATCTGATCCTGCAGGCCCTGCCGAGTGACCTGGGGGCATGGGGGGAGAGAGAGAGGGAGGGAGGAGAGAGAGAGGGATTGGGGGATTATGCAAGGGGGGTCGAGAACAGTGGAGGTGGGAGGGCGTCTGGCCGAAGCACTTGATCTGATCCTGCAGGCCCTGCTGAGTGACCTGGGGGCATGGAGAGAGGCAGACGACGTGGAGTAGGCGGCAGCGAAGAAGCGTGAGAGGGATCAGAGGATTTGAGGCAGGAGTGGTGGAGAGAGCAGGAGTGGTATGAAGGGCGATTGGAACTGTTCACGCCCTTGGGGCGACTTGAGGGAGAAGCAGCAGAGGATGGGCTGGGGAAGAAGGGGCGCTAGCATAGACACAAGACTGTGTGGAAGGCATTATCTGAGAAAAAGTGGCTGCCTTGGGGAGGTTACCAACTTACCAGCCATTCTGAGAAGCGTCAGAGCAAAGTAGTTGTGCCACACCAGCTGACCTCTGAGTCGGCTAAAAAGCTAGCACTCACAGCATCGTGAGTGAACTCAAAGGGTCGTGAACCGAGTCTATGTCGGCAAGGGTTGTGCCCTGCGTTCTGCGCCTTCAAGAATTGGCTCACAGGGTCAGCAACGGGCTGATCGTATTAACAGCAACGGGCTGATCATATTAACAGGGACTCACAGGGTTGTGAATGGAATCGATGTCAACTGCCCCCTCGTAGGTGACATAGAAGAACACATTGTGCGCCTTCACTGCCTCTGGCCCCGTTTGCTTGTAGCTGCGTGGTGGGATAGGCAGGGGGAGCGAGGGGGGAAAGGCGGGGGGGGGGGGGGGCAAGAGGGGGGGCAAGAGGGGGGGCAAGAGGAAAGAGAGGAAAGAGAACGGGAAGGGGCAGACAGGGAGAGGGCGTTAACAGGAGGGAGGATACGAGGTCGGGACAGAGAGGAAAGGGGGGGGGGGGGGGGGGGGGGGTGGCTTCAAGTGTTCAGATGCCGATGGCAAGTTGATCAATGGTCCATGCATCCGAAGACGAGGTTGCTGCTCACGTATTCCCTCTCCAGCGCCGCCCGCTGCTTGTGTACAAAGTCTAATGCTTACTTCAGCCTATCATCTCCCTACTAGCTACTTGTTCGCCCTATCGCACTGAGACACACAAACACACACACACACGCACGCACGCACACACACACACACACACACACACACACACACACACACACACACACCCACCCACCCACCCACCCACCCAACCGAAGACGATGTCGATCCAGTGGTGCAAATTGGAGCTGACGCATTCGCTCTCCAGCGCCGCCCTCTGAATGTGCACAAAGTCCACCGCACACGACTACCTAGTATACACACCCCAAACCAAGGTATGGGTAGATCCAACGGTGCATCGTGCACGCACCCGAAGATGAGGTCGATCCAATGGTGCAGGTTAGAGCTGACATATTCGCTCTCCAGCGCCGCCCGCTGCTTGTGCACAAAGTCCACGGCGCTGTCAGCCCAGGGGGGCAGCACCACGTCGCCTATCTCGTCTCCCTGCTGCGTGCTCCCCAAGCTCAAGCCATTGACGTTCTGAAACATCTCTGGCAGGCAGAACCACTCGGGGATCTGAGACGGGAGCACAGTGATTAGGGAGACGGGTTTGGGGGGAAGGGTGGGAACAGCGCTGTCAGCCCAGGGAGGCAGAGTCACGTCGCCTATCTCCTCCCCCTGCTGAGTGGAGCCGAGGGGGAGGCTGTTGACGTTCTGAAACATCTCTGGCAGGCAGAACCACTCGGGAATCAGAATAGGGGACGCAGGGCAGGGCAGGGCAGGGCAGGGGATGGGATGGGAGCCAAGTGAAGGCGCGTTGACGGGGTGGGAAGGAACCCACAGCGCCATCAGCCCAGGAGGGCACAGCCACGTCGCCTACCTCCCGCCCCTGCTGCATGCTTTCAAGAATGAGTTGCGATTCCCAGCTGTGGCAGATCACGTCTCTCTTCCCCTAAATCACCTCCCACCCCCCTCTCTCATATACCCTCCCTCCCTCCCCCTCATCTCACCAGCTCCTTCACATCAGCCATGTCGGTAGTCACCCCCTGCCACGTGCTCGCCACATCTCGGAACAGCCGGTCCGGATGGTCCAGCTTGCCTCCTTGCAGGGATAGCGCGAGGGAGGTAAAGGGCTCCAAACGCAGCAGGTAGTGCGAGGCCTGGGGGGAGGGGGAGGAGGGAGGGAAGAGCGGGGTGGAAAGGGGCAGCACAGGTGCAACCCGTCTCGGAACAGCCGGTCCAGATGGGCCACCTTGCCGACTTGTAGGGATCGTGTGAGGGGGTGCCCGGGGAGAGCCTGCGAGGGGGCGCATGGGAAAATCCCACAAGGGGGTGTGCCGCGTGTGGGGAAAGGCTGCGAGGAGGGGGAAGGGGGGGGGGGGGGAGGAGCAGGGAATGGTTGCGATGGAGAGCGTGCGCGGGGGAAGGCTGCGATGGGGTGTTCTCGGAAAGCAGGGGGGGGGATGTGAGGGGTGTACGCAGGGAGGTTGTACAAATGGGGGGCATACGCATGGGTAATGCCTGGGGGGATGGGGCCTGTATGCATGAGGGGTGTACTTACAGTACAGTGCTAAGAAAGGCACTCACAATGGCAGCGCTGGAGTAGTGAGTGCCATGGTGGAACCTGGGGATCACAGGGTCGTCAAACGAGGCATAGCGCTCAACCAGCTTGCCCAGGCGAGGCTGGGTCAGCGCTCCCATGGGCTGGAAGGCGGAAAGGGTGGGGGAAAGGTGGGGGGGAGGAGGGGAGAGGGGGGGGGAGGGGGTTAGGGGGTTTGGGGGGATGGATTATCAGCCAGCTTGGCCAGGCGAGGCTGGGTCAATGCTCCCATGGCTGGAGAGGGGAGAGGCGAAGGGGGATGGGAGGGAGTGGAAGGTGCATGTGGGGAGGTGGGGGGTTTGCAGAGAAGCAAAGCAGCAATTGAGGCTCAACTAGCTTTTCCATGCGAGGCTGAGTTAACACCCCCGTCGGCTGGAGAGGGGAGAGGTGAAGGGAGATTTGTGGGGGGGGGGGGGGGGGGAGAGGTGGGGGGAGTGTGTGGGGGGGTAGGGGGTTTGAAGAGAAGAAGGGATTGGGGCTCAATTAGCTTGCCCAGGCGAGGCTGAGTCAACGCTCCATTGGCTGGAGGAAGGAGAAACGTGGAGTTGGTGGGAGGGGGAAGAGGGGGGTGTACGGGGAAGGGGGGGGAACGCAGCGTGGCACAGAAAAAAAGGTGATAGGGTGGGGAAGGAGAATCGGAGGGAGGAAGGCCAGTCGCGATAGAGCCCGCAATTTGTACATGACCTCGAAAAAGGAGCACTGTCAGCCAAAGGGAAAGCAGCGCCGGTGCACTTTCACCACAGGTGCACTATCAGCACAGGTGCACCATCAGCGCCGATGCGCATACCTTTGAGAGGTCACGGAATGTGGCTGTCTTGGTGAGGTCGAGCTCCTTTGAGGTATAGTCCTGAATCACCCAAGGGAACACGGGGTACTGCAGCAAGCAGGCCAGGGCAACCGGGATGGGGATTAGTAGGACTAGACTCAGTGGTTTGAAGGAATACTCCCAGCACTGTGTACTAAGGTCCACGTATGTGGTTCTCACGTAGCGACTGCATGAATGGAGCCCGTATTTTAGGCGCCTCAGATCTAGACACAGTGCTATGTAGGAATACTCCCAGCAGCATCGCGTACAAGCATGCTTTTGAGGCGCCTCACAAGCAGCCTCAAACCTACACCCAGTGCTATGTAGGAATGCTCCTCCCAGCAGCATTGTGTACAAACAAACATCCAATGATTCAAAAGCGAATGCATGCATGCGTGCGTGGGCACGAAACGGAGCTGCATGAAGGATGCAAAGAGACGACTTTTGCGGCGCCTCAAAAGCCTCGAAAGACACCTCAAAAGTCGGAACGGAGCTGCATGAAGGACACAAAGGACCTGCCTGCGGGACAGATGCAGTGGATGTGGAATGCACCTGAGTGACGTCGTTGAAGGATCGGCCAGCTAGGGTGTTGAGATGCATGAGGTACTCGAAGTTGGTGATCTGATGGGGGGTGGAGGGAGAAAAGCGCATGTGTTATAGACAAGCGACACACTAGGAGGAGGGTTATGTATAACACTCAAAGCTGGTGATCTGATGGTGAGCTGACGGTGAGCTGAAGATGAGAGTGGAGGGGGGCAGAGTTTCTTTGCTTAGGGTGAGATAGGAGGGCAGGGCACTAGGCAGAGGGGCAACAGGGAGAGTGTTGGCATGGCGTGCATGCAGGCCTTTGTGCAGAGGAGATAGCAAGAGGCAGTGGAAAATGTGGTGTACCTCTCTGTCGACCCATCGTTTCGTGAGCTGAAGCTTCTCCAGAATGTTCTCAGGTCGCTGCAACAGACAAAAGCACGAACAAAAAGGAGCAAGTTGCGCAAAAAAAAAGAAAAAAGAAAAAAAGAACAGCATCTAAGAAACAAAGGGCCACAAAGGAAAAGGGTTCAGAGGCGAGTAGTAGCGCTTTTAACAGGAAAAGAGGTGGTGGAAGTGCGACGGGCCCTCTCAGTTGCTGCAAGGATGGCAGGAAAGATTCTGAACGGCGTGCATGCGCGGCAGTGATCTGGGAGCCTAATAGTCACCTGCGAGGCGGAGAAGAGGTGTTGGAAGTGCGGCGGGTGGGCTCTCTCGATGGCGCGGTGCACTCTCTTGCGCTGCTCCGCGCCCTCACAGGCAAAGAAGAAGTTGGAGCGGTCGATCATGAATATCTCCAGGGCAGAGCGCCGCAGCAGGTACCTGGTGCACGGGTAGGCGGGGAGGTATGAGAACGAGTGCCATTAACGCAATTGAGAACACCTCAAAGGCGAAGAAGGAGTTGGAGCGGTCAATCATGAACACCTCCAGGGCAGAGCGGCGGAGCAGATAGCTGATAGGGGCATGGCGGGAAGGAATGGGAAGGAGTGCATCCATTGCAATTGAGAGCACCGCAAAGGCAAAGAAGGAGTTGGAGCGGTCGATCATAAACACCTCCAGGGCCGAATGCCGGAGGAGATAGCTGATGGGGGGTGGAGGGGTTGCAGATGAGGAGAAAGGCAAGGGTAAGAGGCTGGAGCAACCGGCCAAGAGCATCTCCAGGGCTGCGTGCTCCAGCTGGGTCTATTTTTGAGGTGCCTAAAAACGAGGGGAATCTAATCTGTGAGCAGAGCATCAATCGGCTTTTGAGTCGAGAGGAACCAAACCAGTGAACATCAATCGATTCATCCATCCATCCATGCTGATCATCAATCGATCATGGATCATCCATCCATGGCACCAGGCTTCTCACCGTCTGGTGAGCACTTCTCGCACAGACGACAGCCGCCAAACACGATCGCCCACATCCCCACGCACAGCCCCATCTCCCCCAACTCCTCTCCCCACGCCTCCATTAGGAACCGGTGTCTCCTGATTGGCGTCACTCTGCCCACTCTCTTCCTGCTTCCCTGCACCCCCTCCTCCTGTCTCTCCATTCTCGCCCTTCTCTCCCTTCTCCTCCCGCCCCCTCTCTCGGAACTGCACCAAGGGGTCAACATGGAACCAGAGGCGCGTGGTGGTAACCACCAGCCGCCCCTTCACCGTCCTCAACGGCTGCACCATCATTGCTGCCACGTCAACAAGCACCTCCTCGCCGTCCGCATCCGCCACTAGCGTCCACTCCATGCCGCCCGGTTTCACTCTCTGCTCCCCATGAGCTGACTGTCCACTTGACCTACTCTTCCTCCCTGCAGCCCCACCACCCTCTACATCTTTCACACCACCCTCTACACCTTTCACGCCACCCTCTTTATCTTTCACACCACCCTCAACGCCACCCGTAACATCGCCTCCCTCTTTCCTCCCTGCTCCCTCCTCTGCCACCACACTCCCTGACCCTTCCCTTGGAATAACAGCCCCTTCCGTGCCTCCCTCTTCCACGCCTCCGTCCTTCACTTCCTCTCCTCCTCCCCCGTTTGCTCCCTCCTCTCCTGCCTTCCCTTCTTCCTCCTTGTCTCCCTTTGCCACCTGCTCCCCTTCTTCCCCCCCACTTCCCCCTTTTCACCACCCCCCCTCATGAAGCCCCCTAGAGGGGCGGGGAGAGCCCCCCCCAGCCGCTGCACTGCCTCCACGTGTGCTGCTGCACCTGCTGCTGCTGTGGCTGAATCTGCTGCTGCGACAGTCGCTGTCTCAAGTGCTGCTGTGACTGCACCTGCTGCCCCAACACTCACTGCATCCCTTGCTGCATCAGCAGCGGCACGGAGCCCGTCGGTGGCAGTTCTGGTGAAGCAGGGCTTGACGCGGCGGCGCATGCGCAGGGATGTCTCCATGCGATCCAGATAACACACCACCTGAGGGGAGGATGTTGGGAGAATGGAAAGGCAATTTAGGGGAAAGTACAGCCAGTGGCAGTTCTGGTGAAGCAACGCTTGACGCAGCGAAGCATGTGCAGGGACGTCTCCATGCGATCCAAATAACACACCACCTGAAATGATGTGGGAAGAAGTGGGAAGACGGCCATGACGGGGGAGGCATTTTTGAGAATTCTAAGAGAATCAGAGAGGAGCTTTAGGAGAAGTCTGCATGCGCAGGGACGTATCCATGAGGTCCAGCTTCCACACGACCTGAGGGGAGGATGTCGGGAGATTGGAGGATCATTCTGCAGGGTGTTTTGGGGAATTCAAAAAAACTCCATGAGGTCCAGTCAGTGGCAGTTGTGGTGAAGCAAGGCTTCAAGCAGCGACGCATGCGCAGGGACGTCTCCGTGTGGTCCAGCTTCCACACCACCTAAAATGACACAGGAAGAAGGAGGGTGTGTTGTCAACCAATAAAAAGAAGCTCACAGCGTTTTGAGGGTCTCACTCACAAGCACGAGCCCTCGAGAGTGTTCGCAGCTTAGTGGCAGGATATAGAATCAAATGCTCACTGGTGATTGGCGGAATTCTTCATGGCTTGATCGAGCCCCACAGAGCCGCCCGGACTTGAGCAGCTGACGAATGAGAGAGCGCCACATGCGCCCCCCTGCCGCCCGTGCCTTGATGATAGGTGAGTGAAGCTTTGCCGTTTGCAGGCTCTGATGGTTGGGAGAATAGGAGGAGGGGAAGATAAGGAGGAGGGGAAGATAAGGAGGAGGGGAAGATAAGGAGGAGGGGAAGATAAGGAGGAAAAGGATAAGGGAGGAGGAGAACCAAGGAGGAAAGGAGGGGAACGAGTACACCTTAAAGTCGCACGGTCATTTAAGTCACATTAGTAGCCTTGTGTCTGCAGGTTACATCCATTTCACTCACTCCATATGTGGCTTAATCCAGGGAAGCAATAACCAGGGAGGCAACACCAGAGGGAGGCGCACCAGAGGGAGATGACACCTGAGGGAGGTGACAACTGAGTGAGGCTGACCTGTGAGTCTAGGAGGTCGTGCAAGGAGGAGAGGAAGAGCTGCAGCCCGCCCACTCTGGGCCCAGGGAGATGCTGCACCGCATCTCCACCTCGTCCCACTCCCTGCCACCGCTGCTGCTGCCGATGCCCAGGGAAGGGCAGTAATGAGTAAGCCAAGAACACACTTAAACCCAGAAATGCTCACCTGTGAGGAGAGCAGGTCATGCAGAGAGGCGAGAAAGAGCTGCAGCCCGCCCACTCGGGGGCCGAGGGAGATGCTGTACCGCATCTCCACCTCGTCCCACTCCCTGCTGCTGCTGATGTTGCTGCTGCCACCTCTGCTACTCTTGCCGTCTTTGTTTTCTGCAGCAGTCAGGTGGTTGGCAGCAGCGGTTGAATCCACAGCGGTTTGCGTCACTGTGACTGGGAACGGGGCACTGAGAGCAGCATGCTTGAGACCAATCACATCCCCCCACGCGCCCTCTAAAGAGTCCCACAGGCTCCACCGCGATGACCTCTGGATGTCCCCCCTCTCCCGTCGCTTCGCTGACGTGGCACCCTCGGGAGTGCCGTCCACTCTCTGCCTGCCATCTGTCAGCCCGTACAGCCGATCCATAAGCCCTAACTTCCTCTCTCGGCCCCCCCTCCCAGCACCACCAGCACCACTGCTGCTGCTGCTGCTCCAGGATACACCACCCGCACCACCACCGCTGCTGCTCATAAAGCCACCAACAGCACCCCTGCTGCTGCTAACAAAATCAGCAGCAGCAGCCGAAGGGCCTGTGGCAGCAGCAGTGGCAGCCAGGCAGGCAGCAGCAGGCGGCGAGGCAAACGCAGCGACCCACAGAGGGGAGAGGAACGCAAGGGCAGCTTCAGAGGGGGTGGCATCGGTGGCTAGGGCGGGGTTGTTGGGGTCTGAGAGGGGGGAGGCGCCTGTGTGGTCCGAGAGGAGGCGCAGGCAGCGCAGGGCCGGGCGCCACTTGCGCAGGAGGGCGGTGAAGGGAGGCAGGAGGAGGGAGAGGAAGGTGGGGCGGAGGATGGTGCCATCGTGGCCGATTGAGTGGATGATCTGGCAGGGTGGGGAGTTGGGGTGAGAGAAACAGAGGAATACTTCACAGAAGCATTGCGAACAACTACCGCTGTGTGCGGAATGGCGGCAAGAGAGAGCACAGAACATGATGGACGGAAGAAAAACCCCAGAGCGAGCAAGCAAGCAAGGCCTCGTGATGTGAGGAGTGAGTGGCATGGCATGTACCTCAGTGTGCAAAATGGCAGCGACGGAGAGAGCACAGTTCTGGCGCTGGTCGAGGCGAGAGGTGGTGAGCAGAGGCGCAAGGACCCTGACCGGCGGAACAGAGAGAGAGAGAGATGGGCAACAGGCATGGAGAGAGGCGGTGACACAATGAACAAGAGAGGCAGACAGATACGCATAATGCATCCGGTCCAACTCACGGATGCTTTTGCGTCGACTCAAAAGCAGACTCGTTACACGAGGTTTTAATATTGATAACATACTTGTGGCAACATGCATAGAGAGAGGCGATACACCGAACTAGAGAGGCAGACAGATATGCATCCAGCCCAAGGCATGGATGGAATGATGCGTGAATGAGGGAAACACAACACAGCATCCAGCACTCACTCATTCACTCATGCCTCAGCAATCATGCGATTCAGAGCCATCATGCCACACACTCACTCACCTCCACAACAGGGAGCTCAGAACCTTCTCCGTAACTTCCTCCCCCTCCATCACCCCCTTCTTAACCAGCTCGCCTCCCATCTCCCCCCCATCCGTCTCCCTAGCCGCCACTAGCACCACCCTCAGTATAGTCACAAGCGACTGGTCGTCCTCCAACACCCCTTTAAGAGCCTCGCTCATCCCTGCGCCGCCCACGACACCCAGCACTGCCAGCACGCCTGACTCTGAAGCCGCCACCCCCTCCTTCTCTAGAAGCATACCCTTCAGAATAGTCACGCCCTTAAGTACCAGTCGCAGGTCTATCCAAACCCCTGCCTCGTCTTCCTCCTCATCCTCTTCTTCCTCTTCCTTCGGTGGCTCTGCAAGTTCCATCAACACTTGCTCCAAAGCAGATACTTCTGTTCTGCTCCCCTCCGCACTCCCACCCACCCCTCCTCCCTCCTCCCCTTCCTTCCCCCTTTTCCCTCCTCTCTCACCCCCCCACCCCACCGGCTCCCCCCCTTCCTCCTCCACACCCTCTCCGAACCACAGCCGGCATCGGCGCCGCCAGCTGTCAGGCAGCGATTGGGCGATGGAGCCGTAGCTAGCTAAGGCGGACTGGACGGCTTTAAACCGCCGTGGCTTGTGCTTCTTGCGGTTCCTTTCCATTGCTGAGCCGAAGGCAGGTGATGCCTGTGCCTGTGCCTGCTGTCGCTGCTGCTGCTGGGGGCTGTTGAGTGAGATAAGGGAAGCTGACCCCGGTGGTGATGACAGGGGGCCCAGGGGAGGGGAGACGGTGGGTTGCAGTGGAAGGTTGGAGGGAGAGAAGGACCCTGTGAGCAGATCGAAATGCAACCCAGCTGCTGCTGCTGCCGCTGGCACTGCCACCGCTGCTGCAGGCGATGCGTCTACTGGTGCTGATGCTGCCGATGATGCAGAGGCAGACTGAGCTGCGCCAGGTGCTGGTGTCGTGGTGGTGACAGTGACAGTGACAGCGGCAGCAGGGAGGGCGTCCGAGCTGAGGTCGATCAGAGGGAACTCTGCCACCCACCCGGCACCATTGGAGGCAGGAGCTGTAGCAGCTGCAGCAGCAGAAGAAGAATCAGCAGGGGCCGTCTGGGTGCTAGCTTCAGAGTCCAAGGCCGAGAACTCAGCCGACCATGCAGGAGGAGCAGCAGGAGCAGCAGCAGGGCTCTCGGTGCCCTCTGCTGTTGTTCCTTCTGCTGTTGCTTCTGCACTTGCTGCCACTGGTTCAGTCACAGGTATTGCCGCAGCAGCAGCAGCCTCAGTCGGCTCGGACCAAGCAGCAGGCCTCGGCTTGCGCTTCCCCTCCCCCTCCCCCTCCTCGTCCACCACCGTCCATTGCAAACCATGCTTACCAACCCTCTGACCCTCAACCAACCCATCCCCACCCTCCTCCTCCCCGTCCTCCCCCTCTTCCCCTATGTCCATCCGTTTTTCAGCCTGCATTCGAAGGAACTCCTCCAGAAGCATCAGCAGGGCCACTGCGTTTTCCAGACAGCATGAGGGAGCAGCTGGAGGAGAATCAGCAGCAGCAGCCGGGGTAGGAGTGGCGGAGGGGCGAGGGGTGGAGGAGGAGCGAGGGGAGAGGATGTCAAGGGGAGAGCAAGAGGGTGGGGGGGAAGAGAGAGAGGGAGAAGGAGGAGGGGGTTTTGTGGGGAGGTGAGAGGCGGTGAAGTCGAGGGCTTCGTGTAACAGTCTGCGGTGGATGGTTACCATGGCGGCCTCCCTCCTGCACATGTGGGTGTGTATTGGACACATGGAGAGATGGAGAGATGAAGAGGTGGGGAGCTGAAGTCACGGACATGTGTAGTCACGCCGGCCACCCAATGCGTAGTCCAGGGCTTCGTGTAACAGTCTGCAGTGGATGGTTACCATAGCTGCTTCCCTCCTGGACACGTGGTTGGGTGTATTGGACCGATGGAGAGATGTGGAGAGATGTGGCGAGATGTGGAGAGATGTGGCGAGATGTGGAGAGATGTGGCGAGATGTGGAGAGATGTGGAGAGATGTGGAGAGATGTGGCGAGATGTGGAGAGATGTGGAGAGATGTGGAGAGATGTGGCGAGATGGAGTCATGGAGTCATTTACATATTGGGTCACGGAGCATAAACAGTTGGAGGGAGGGATGAACGGACAGGTATGCAGACACACAGGTGCGAAAGCAGTAGGAAGTGCATGTATGCTATTCACTTCCTCCTGTCCTACCTCACCATGGAAATATGCACGGACGCCCACACACCAACGCAGCTGCTGCCTCCAATGTCCTTCCCCCCATCCGCTTTTGAGTCGACTCAAACACAGAAGTAGGGAGTGCATGTGTGCTATCCAACTTCTATTCCCTACCTCACCATGCAAATGTGCACGGACGCATGCACGCACTGCCTCCCCCCCATCCACCCACACACGCGGACACAGATACACTCACATGCATGCATGCACCCATGCACATCTGCGCACGCACACGCATGTACACTCCACGCACCTCTTAAGTTGCACTCCCACGCTGCTTCCCCCAATGAGAGCCTTCCACTGCAAGCACTGGAAAGTTGCCTCCAACACCTGGGAACACACATGGAGAACACACAGAGAAGGGGGGAAGGAGGAACACACAGAGAAGCGGGGAAGGAGGAACACACAGAGAAGGGGGGAAGGAGGAACACACAGAGTGCTTTCGAGTCAACTCAAAAGCCCCCACCCCAATGAGTGCCTTCCACTGCAAGCAGTGGAAAGTGGCGTCCAACACCCTGAAAACACAGGGGGAGGATGAACACTCTCAGGGAGGGATGAGAGGAAGGAGACGCACGCATTGCATTCTAAACCATATACCACAAGTCGTGCATAACACAGGGCTTGAAATCAACCATGAATGAACTAGAAACCCTGTAATTTGCCCTCACCTTCCATCCGTCCTTGACCGCCAGGCAGTGCTCGAACACTATCCCCAGGAACCTGAAGACGAGCTCATTCACGTCCCCCCGCACACTCGTGCTGCTGAGTCACTCCTGCTGCTGATGCTGAGTGTTGCAGGCAAGTCAAGATAGGCTATAGCTGTAACCTCACCTTCCACCCGTCCTTGACTGTCAGGCAGTGCTCAAACACTATCCCCAAGAAGCTGAAGATGAGCTCGTTCACGTCCTCCTGTACACTCGTGCTGCTGCGTGCTGCAGCGGAGCCACTCATGCTGCTGGGATAGCTAGTCCTGTCCTTGTCATCGTCCCGCCCTCCTGCCTGCCCTGCTGTGGCCTGGACGGAGCCTGTTAAGGGCAATTCCTGTATGTGGTGTGGTGGCATACGGAGCAGGGAGGGATAAAACACAACACGTGAGATGTGCAAGCTAGAGCCAAGGCACGTAGCTGTCTGTACCAGGCGTGGACGTGAGGTATATGGAGCAGAGAAGGGTGGAAGGAAGGAGACTTTTGAGTCGACTCAAAAGTCACCTGTGGACGTGAGGTATATGGAGCAGAGAATGGTGGAAGGAAGGAAGGGAGGGCATGGGTGAGGCACATGAGCATTCAGAGGGAGAAAAGAGCCCATGTAGGACACCGACTCTCTCACCTCAAGACCAGCTCGCGGAATCTCCAGCAGCCACTCAGGCCACTCGGGGGACTGTGTGAGGCGGCGTCTTTTGGCGGGGTTGAGCAAGAGGAGCAGCAGCACTGGCAGAAAAACTCAGAGGAAACGCCCGCCCTCTCACCTCGAGATTTGACAGTAGAATTTCTAGCAGCCACTTAGGCCACTTGGTGGATGACTGTGTGAGGAGGCGAATACTGGTGGGGTTGAGGGAGAGCAGCAGCAGCAGGTCCTGCAGCACTGCGAGGAAATCACGAGTAGAAGCATGCAAAAGATAAACTACATGCTCAAGCCTCTCACCTCGAGATTTGACAGCAGAATCTCCAGCAGCCACTCGGGCCACTCCGGTGACTGTGTGAGGAGGCGCATATTGGCGGGGTTGAGGGAGAGCAGCAGCAGCAGGTCCTGCAGCACTGCGAGCTGCGTGTGAGGGGCGGCAGCGGGGAGCGCACGCAGGAGAGCCAACAGCAGCTGTTGCTCCCAGGGGGCTATGAAGGTGGACGGAGGGAGGAGGGCCGAGGGGGAATCGATGGCCTGCATAGGGGTGAAGGGAGGACACGGATTGGGGAGGGGGCTTTTAGAATGCAAGGAGAAGCAGCAGGTCCTGGCGCACTGCAAGCTGCATGTGAGGGGCGGCAGCGGGCAGCTGCTTCTCCCAGGGGGCTATGAAAGAAGACGAAGGGAGGAGGGGCGAGGGGGAATCTGCAGCCTGCATGGGGATGAAGGGACGAAAGGGATTTGCGGAGGGGGGGGGTAGAATTTGAGGAGCAGCAGGTCCTGCAGCACTGCGAGCTGCGTGCGAGGGGCGGCAGCAGACAGGGCGCGGAGGAAAGCCAGCAGCAGCTGTTGCTCCCGGGGGGCTATGAAGGTGGACGGAGGGAGTAGGGCGGAGGGGGAATCTCCAGCCTGCACAGGGATGACGTGAAGGGAGGTTTGGGGTTGGAGAGAGGAGGCTTAGAATGTACAGGGCGGCAGCAGGCAGCGCACAGACGGAGGACAGCCAGCAGCAGCTGCTGCTCCCAGGGGGCTATGAAGGTGGACGGGGGGAGGAGAGCGGAAGGAGCATCGACGGCCGGTGCGGGAATTGAGACAATGGTAAGAAATGGGTGGGCGGGGGAAAGGTGTAAGTATAGGGCAGCGTGCAGAGGAGAGCCAGCAGCTGCTGCCAAGGGGCTATGAACTCTAAACCCTAAACCCCAAACCCTAAACCCTGAACGGGGGGGGGCCGGCCAAGAGGAAATCAATGGCTTCCTTGCATTTTAGGACAGCAATCATGAGAGCATGCACCGCCCAGTGCCCACGCCACGCCCCCACATTGCTCTGGTCCCTCGCTAATCCTTCACTCACCTTGCATCGCAGCACAGCAGTCATGAGGGCGTGGTACACAGCAGGCGTGAGCAGCCTCCTGGGCGCCAGCTGCAGGGCTCTTTGCACGCCGTACACCGCCCACGCCCCCACATTGCTGCGGTCTTTCCCTGCCCTCTCTGTCACCACCGCCCCCAGCCCTTGAGTGGAAGGCACCACCCCTAGGACTGACGGATTGGATAGACGCAGGAAGCCTGAGTCTGATAGCAGCCCTAGGATCGAGATCACAGCGACCATGATCGCATCTGGACCGTCCGTCAGCGGGAACCCCTGGTCACTGTCATAATAGAAATCTGTGCCCGTGGCAGCAGCAGTAGCTGAAGCTGTAGCGTCTGTTGAAGCCATAGCAGTGGTGGCTGTAGCATCAGCTGTGGCTGTAGCGGCTGTAGTATCAATGCTGGCTGTGGCAGTAGCTGTGGCAGTGCCCTCAGCCATCCAGCCAGACAGCCAGAAGGCATCTGCAGCAGCTGCAGCAGCAGAGACAGCGGCCCCAGCAGCAGTGGCAGGTCCTGCTGTGGTGCTGGGAGCGCCGTGAGACGATGCTCTGTGCGCGGCTCTCCCATGCAGTGCGCCCTCACTGCCCCTCATGCTGCTGCTGCTGCCACCACTCTCACTGCTGCTGCTCCTCACAGCATCAGCACGACCACTGCCACTCCTGTTAACAGTGCTGCTGCTGCCACCCGCACTGCTGCTGGCGCCAATACCCCTGCTGCTGCTGCCACCACTACTGCCCCTGCTGCCACCACCAACATCCCAACTCGCAGCATTCACCATCGCAGCAGCAGCAGCAGCCGCCACATCCGCCGCACTCGCATGACTGGAAGCCGATTTCACTGAGGAAACCCTCGATGCACCCCCGGTTCGAGCCAAGCGGGGCACGGACACACACACCCAGGGAGCAAGCACAGCGACCCCTTCCTTTGTCACCTGCACTGCACTCTCCTCTGCGTCGTCTTCATACACCTGCTTCAAACTCAGCCTCTGCACCACTGCTGCCACCTCCTCTAACCCCCTCCTTGTATCCTCGTCCACATCCTCTTCTTCCCTGTTCTCCTCCGACCCCTTTTCCAGCTCTTTCACCACTCCAGACCCCTCTCTATCTGTTGTATCCCTTGGTAACCCACCTGAGTTCCCGAATACTGCCCCAGCAGCTGCTTTTGAGTCCCTTTTCCCACCCTCTTTGCTTGCTGCTGCTCCCGGTTTCCCTGCGTCGGTTTTCTTCTCATCTATCGCACCAACCTTCAACCCAAGGGGCTCCAGGAAAGCGTTCCACGTGCTCATGTCCCACACCCCTCCTGCCTTGACCGCCTCTTGCTTTGGCTTGCTCGCTTCCTCCTCCTTCTTCTCTTCCTCCTCCTCCTTACCCTTGCTCTCCTTCTCGGATAAACCCTCCTCGGATCTGCCTTCCTTAGGCACACCCTCCTCACACGCTTTCTCGCTGTCTTCCCCTGTGACATATCTTTCCTTGTCCTTTTCTGCACCCGCCTCATCTCCCTCCTTCCCTCCTTCACCTTTACCCTCCGCTCCCTCCTTCAAAACTTCTTCCCCACTCTCCTCCCCCCCTTGCCCCTCAGCCGCCCCTCCCTTTCCATCTGCAAACACCAGAACTTTCCTTGCACTTTCCTCCTCATCCTCACTCCTTCCCCTCTCCTCCCTCCCCTTGTCACCTTCCACCTCCCCTCCCTCTCCCTCTACCTTACTATCAAGGCCTTCGCCGCCCGGCGCAGGAACCAGCCGCCTTCTGATTGGCCGTCTGCCAGATTTGGCCGGGAAAGTGACAGGGTAGGTCTCCCCATACTGGGTTTCTCTCAGCAGCAGCGCCAGCAGCATCTCTGCCCCGCCTGCTGCTAGGAATTGCACCATGAAGGCTGAAGCCCGGCTGCTGTTGGGCTGAGACATGAGGCGGTACAGCAGCAGCAGCACTCGGGCCACCTAAGAAAAATCCAAGAGAAGCGAGAGAGGAGAGAAGGAAATGGTTTAGAAGAGAGGGTGAGCGATTTCATTCCTCACATGAGATATCATGGCGTGGCTGCTGCTGGGCTGAGACGGCAGGCGGTAGAGGAAGAGCAGCAGTAGATGGGCCACCTGGTCCTCGAGATTAGGTAGGGGAGGGGATGTCAAGGAAGAGAGACAGGCAGAGTTGGAAAAAAAGGAAAATGTCTGTCTCTCTTCCTTGGCATCAGAGTTGGAAAGGATGCAGGCAGAGTAAATACACTTCTCGCAATGGGGTGGGGTAGGTCTCTCCACAGTGGAGGTATTTCAGCAACAGCGTCTGATTAATGGCAAACTCGGTTCATATGAGAGCGTGGGCGCTGGAGGGTATGTTACTACCTGGTTAGCTTGCAGGCATAGGCGTGCAAAGCTGACAAGCGCCCGCATGTCTGCTCCCGCCAGCCCCACGCCTGCAGACACCAGCTTCTCTAGCACCGCCACGACTGCATTCACCATGCCATTCACTCACCTGCCCCATCATCCCCTCCCACCCCCCCTGCATTTCATTACCTGGTTGGCTTGAGGGCACTGCAGTGCAAAGCTGACAAGTGCGCGCATGTCTGCTCCCATCACAGCCAGCCCCATGCCTGCAGACACCAGCTTCTCTAGCACCGCCACGACTGCATTCACCATGCCATTCACTCACCTGCCCCATCATCCCCTCCCACCCCCCCTGCATTTCATTACCTGGTTGGCTTGAGGGCACTGCAGTGCAAAGCTGACAAGTGCGCGCATGTCTGCTCCCATCACAGCCAGCCCCACGCCTGCACTGACCAGCTTCTCTAGCACCGCCATGACTGCATTCACCATGCCATTCACCTCCCCCATCATCCCCTCCCTCTCCCCATGCATGTCCTCCCTCCCCCACTCCGCACCCCCTGCTTCCCCTGCTGCTTCAGAAGCTGCTGCTCCTCCTGCCCCTTTTTCCTTCGCTCCTGCGGCGTTGGAATGCCAGCTGGCAGTGCAGAGGCGCACAGAGGAGGGCTCCCAGGTCATCCAGTAGCAGCGGCGACAGCCGTCCAGGAGGAGCTGAGAAAAGGACGGCAGGGGGAAGGGGGAATGGGCGGAGGAGGGGCGAGGTAGAGAAGAGGGGGGGGATGTGGGGAGGGGGAACGGAAGGGAAACATGTGAGGCGCACAGAGGAGGGCTCCCAGGTCATCCAGAAGCAGCGGCGACAGCTGACCAGGAGGAGCTGAGTGGGGGGAAAGCGGAGTGGGGGGAGCGAGGGCATTGATGGTCGGGGAGGAAGAAAACTAAACAAGAAAGAGGCAGGTGAGCCACTAGCAGCGGCAGATTGTGTGAACGAAGTGGGAACCAAGGGAAGGGTGGAGGAGGGAGGGGGAGATCAGTGGCTGGCAGGAACAGACGTGCAGCCAGTATCAGCAGCAGAGTACAAGGTGTACAGCTATATCACACGTACTCAGTCAACTCACTGATTGCAATGCCTGCAGGCTGCAGCTCCATTGGTCCCTACGGCTGCCAGGAGCGCTCTCTAAGACCCCACCCCAGCCCTAATCCCACCTCCCCCCGCTAATACCCGTCACAGATAATACCCGCTAATACCGAGACAGCTCCTACAGATTACAGCAGCCTGTAGCTCCACTGGAACCGCATCCCCTACAGGTTCCAGAAGGCACTTTGCGACATCTCACCCTGCTTATGACCCTTGCCTCTAGGCTCTTTCCCCCGCCCACCCCCCCCCCCATATTTTATGTGCCGAGACAGCTCCCACTGACTGCAGCGCCTGCAGCTCCACTGGCACCGCATTCCCTATGGCTGCCAGGAGCGCCCTCTAAGAACCCATCCCAGCCCCCACCCCCGCCTTCTCCCGCTAGTACCCCTCCCCCAAGCCTTTACGTACCGAGACGGCTCCCACAGATTGCAGTGCCTGCAGCTCCAAAGGTACCGCGTCCCCTATGGCTGCCAGGAGTGCTCTCTGAGTGCTCAGGTGGGAAGGCGCCCACAGAGGCAGGTGCAGCAGCAGGTGCTCCATCAGGTGATTCTTCAGGTGGTCGCCAGGTCGGGGCAGGTGGGCCAGGAGCATGCACGCGTGCACTAACTCCTTGTCCCTATCTCGGGTTTTGTCCTTTTCCTTTCCCCGGGTGGATAGAGAGGAGGAAGCGGCAGGGGCTATTCTGATAGAAGCTGATTCGTTAAGAGTGGGAGGGGAGGAGAGGACGAATTGGAGGAGGTGGGAGAGGAGGGTGGGGCCGGCTCCTTTAAGCTCTTCTCGGTTCATTGGGCGGCGGAGAGAGCGGGCAATAAGGCGAAGGACGTGAGGAAGAAGCTGGGAGGCGGAGAGGGAGAGAGGAGGCGAGCGGACCTGCAACAGAAGACAAGGGGTTGAATGGGAGAGGAGGGAGGGAGGGAGCCGGCGATGAGGCGAAGGAGCATTGCGAGAATTGCGAGGCCACCCTCTGATTTTGGATTTTTGAGTCGACTCAAGAATTGCGAGGCCACCCTCTGATTTTGAGAGGTACCCGACAGCAATGAAGAACAGCAGGCTCACTCACCTGCAGAGAGGGAGCAGTGCTAAAGGACCGCCCTCTGTTGCAGCCCAGAGCATTGCTTAGAGGCACCTCAAAGCCTTGAAGCGCTCAAGGCTCACCTGCGGTGCCATGGTGTGGAGATCCACAGCTTCGATGCAGAGGGGGAGCAGAGCCAGAGGACCCCCTTCTGTTGCAGCCCAGAGGGCATCAGCTGCTCGCCGCCTCGCTGCCACATGCACCTGCCCCACCACCTCGGCTGGCCGGCGCTGAACGCCTGAGAGAAAGAGGAGGGTAGGAAGAGGGGAGATAGCATGGCAGGCACTTGAGTTCGACTGGCAAGTGGAATGGAAAAGTTCCAGGTTTTGGTTTCTTACTACGGAGCGGAGGCAGTCTTCGGACAGGTTAGGGTTGGAATGAAAGGTTGGGTGAGACGCACCAGATGCGATGGCAGGAGATGCATCAGGGCAGAACCTTCCCAGAAGCATCTTGGGGTGGTACAAGAGGTGGAGGCTGGGAGCCAGGTCCAAATCCAGACCATACGATTCCTCCGCTTTCCTCATCATCACCTCACTCCCCACGTGAGCCGGCGCGCCCGCGCCCGCCCCAAAGACAGGCAAGTGGTCCCCACCACGCACCGCCAGCCTGGCAATTCTCTCGCTCCCGATTGGCTCCTTGAAGATGTACACAGGCCCGAGCTCAGCAAACAGAGGGCACTGTAGCCGCTGCTGCCGGTGCTGGTGGTGGGCGGGAGATCCTGTCTGTTTCTGAGAGGAGTTGAAAATCAATCTGGAAGGGGGGTTGGTGCCTATGCAGAGAAACCCTAGCGGGTTGGCGATCCGGGGGAGATCGAGAGGGCAGGCTTCTATGAGCCGCCCGTTCACATACAGCCGAATCTCACTCTCCGCTTTTCCCATGAGAGAGGGTTTGAAGATGTGTTCTAGGGCTAGGAAGTACCACCGGCGGGGGAGGAAGGTGTGCCGGAAACGGACGGTGTTCCTGATACCGCTCCAAGGGCAATTAGACTCCACAACTAGGGTGTCTTTGTGGAAATAGGCCTCTATTCCGTGGTTCTCAATGGTTAGGAAGCTGTAGAGGCGTGGCAAGTGGAGGATGTTGGAGTTTGCTGCTGCCACAGCAGCAGCGATCTGAGCGGCAGTCACCTGAGCGGACCCTTTCCCTCCCTTTGCCGTGATTGCTGCTGCAATGGCTGCTGCTTTCGCTGCTGCGGTGATAGCCGATGCTGACGTGTCGACAAACGATTCGACGTACAGCCACGTGGCGACGGCGTAGCCATTGCTGAAGGGCCACTTGCTGTCGCCCGGACCTAGCAGCCCGGAGGTTCGGCCGTCCAGCTCGAAGGAATGGGAGGGCCCCCGAGCCTCTTCCCCAGCCATGGCACGCTCCAGAGCTGTCAGCAGGAGGGCTGCACGGCTGCTGCCATATAGGCCACTGCTGCTGCTGCTGCACGTGCTGCTCCTGGGGTTGTCTAGATCGGCACCAGCAGCAGCAACAGCAGCAGCATCAGGAGGCGGAGCAGCAGCAGCAAGTGAGGCAGCAGGGAGGATAAGAGCCTCTGTGGATCGCATCCATTCCTGGAGCTCAGCTACGTTGAGAGAGTGAGCCGCCAGAGACTCCAGCGCCGTCACCAAAGGGGAGCAGTCCCACGCTGCTTCACCCACACCAAACAGACGCACCACAGCAATGGACCCAGCCTCGCCTCCTGTCTGATCCGCAACCGCACTTCTGCTGCTGCTGCTCCTGCCACTGTCAGCACTGTCACCCTTGCTATCGCTTGCCTCTGTGCTTGCTTCAGCACAGCTGTCTTCACTCTTCGAGCTTGTGCCTTTCCTCCCTGGCAGCAGCAAGGCGTCAGCGGTAGCAGCAGCAGGGGGCAGCCCCTGCGCATCCACCCCTCCCAGGAGAATCACTCTCAGCGCGGCCAGCAGCGCGCGGACGAGGCCCATGGAGGCGCAGAGGGCGCGGTTGCGCGTGCAGGACAGCAGCACGCGGGCGATGCCCCGCGCCATGCGCGTCCGAGGAGACACTAGAGCCGCAGGCGCGAGCGCAGCTTTGGGATTAGCTGGATCTGGGAGAGGCTGGGACGCAGGCTTGGGAGAGCTTTTGGCAGCAGGGTCGATGGTAGGTTCGGCGGTTGGATCGGTGGAATCAACGGATGGGGTATCAGCAGCGGGTGCGTCAGCACAAGGCGGGTGAGCAGCTGACGTGGCAGAATCGGCACCGTCGGAAGCAGACTGGGTTGGCAGCACGCCCTCTGACACGTCGGATTCTGGTTTCTCTGCAGTCTGGGTTTCAATGCCACGAGAATCAGCAGGCTCAGGTTCAGGTTCGTGGCACGGCAGCCATGGCAGCAGCCACGCGCCGAGCCTTGCAGCTTCGGGAGTGAGCATGATCACCGGGCCTCCCTTCATCCACCCATGCCCACCGCCACCACCCACGCTGCTACCACCAATGCTACCACCCATGCTGCTACTCGTAGTACTGCCGCCCACACTGCTCCCAATGCTGCCATTCCTGCCACTGCTTCTGCTTCCCAGACCCTCCCCGCCTTCCTCTCTGCCTGCGCCAGCTTGCCCCACCTCCTCCTCCTCGTGCCTCCCCCCCATGATCGCCAATAGCGTCTCAACGATCAGCCTAGAAGTCTCCTCCTTCCCTAACGCCTCCTCCCCTGTCTGTGTCTCCGCCTCTTTCCCTTCGCTTCCGGTTCCGCGTTCCGCGCTCCCCATCGCTTCCTCGTCTTTTTCAGATGCTTCGGTGTGACCCTGACCCTGCTTTTCCTCTTCCGCTTCTTCCTCCTTATCTTTTGCGACGCCTCCCCCGTTGGCATCTTCCCCCCCGGTTTTTTCCGATTTCGTTTTTTCCCCATTGGCTTCTTCCTCTTCCGGCTTCTCTACAGCGTCCTCCGCCTTCCCCTCGCCGCGCTTCCCCTTCTTAAGACTCCCCAAGGTTTCCAAGCCAGCAGCAATCCGTCGGAGCTTCGTCAAGGCCTTCGGGTGTCCTTCATGCGCCGCTGCGTCGATCAGCCGCAGCAGATCCAACGGAATCTCCGGTACAGTCACGACACCGTGTAACGGGTGGACCGACGCCGAGGAAGCAGCAGCAGGAGCAGCAGCCGAACCTGAAGGACCAAAACCTGGAATTCTCTGCGAAGCTCCTGCTGTTCCATCCTTCCGCGTCTGTGATGATTTTTCTGAGCGGTCCTCCCCTTCCGGCTGTGACTGACTCACAGAACTACCAGAACCAGCCGTCTCTTCCGGCAATACCGAGAACGATCTTACATCGGGAATGATCGTGTCAGCGGCAGCGGCGGCGGCGGCAGCGGCGATGGAAGAATGAGCCGTGCCTCGCGCTCGGTCCGCTTCTTCCGCCGCGAGAGCCGCGAATCGCTGGAGAGCGGAGTTACCAGAAAGGTCGACTTCGCCGAGCATTAAATCGGAGACGGACGCGGTGGAGCGAGTGGGGCCGGTGCCATCCCACTTGTCGCGGCCTGTCGAGTCCGCCATGGCTATTCCGGCCGTTGGATAATCAAACGACCATAGCTGTGACCAGAGTCGACAAAAGAGGGCCGTTCCGAAGCCGTAATCTTTCGAGATTTCACGAAAGTGTGGTTTGAACGATAAATGTCAGCGAGGAATGGTTCCAGGAACGAATTGATGCAGCAACTCCGCCGTGCCCTGGTCAGAATGCCGCTTCCTGCTCTCCCTACTACAACTGAAATTCCTGCTGGAATGCCCACATTGCCTGATGATCCCTCCACTTGCCCCTCGAGAATGATGAGATCCACTGCGGTAAAATCGGTGGTGGGTGGTTGATGGTTGGTGGTGTCTGACGAAGTCAATAGTGGTAGTTACCAGCGTAGGTGTATAATTTGCAATGTAAATCGCTTACAGCGCAAAATATCCACCCAGAACAAAAGTGATGATTCACCTGGTTACTACACATTCCCTATTTTGACGGTGTATTTTAGCCTTGAAATTGGAATCATTCTTAATGTATGGAAGTCCAAACTTTTAACATGTGTTGCACTTGTTCTAAAGGTTCATGTTGTTTGTTTCTGCTTTGATACGTGGTTCTTGATTAGCGTAGTTTATATCTGCTAAATTGGCAACCAAATACATGTCAACAGTGTCTGGGCCTGGCCCCTTAGCTTGATGCAGGCTAGCAGCCATTGGGTAGTTTTCCCTACTGCTGCTCCTGCTTCTGCTGCTTTCTGCTGATGCTGTGGTGGTGGCTTCGGTGGTGTATCCCTGGTGCGATGTCAAGTACACCAGAGTCTAGTGCTGCTCTGGCTTCTGCTGTTGCTCCAATCGCTTCTGCTGCTCCTGATTTTGCTGCTGCCCCTTCAAGCAGACGTTGTCCACTTCGAAGTCAGCCAAAGAGGGAGGTGACTTTTGAGTCACTCTGAACTCATCTCGCTGCTCTGGCTGCTGCTGTTGCCCCTTCAGGAATATGTTCCGTGTCCACCTGGAGGTCGGATTCGGCGGGCACTGTAAAGGGAGGTAGCAGGGAAGCAAAGCAAGGGACAAGGAAGCGCCGGCGAGAAGAGGCGCAAGGCGATGGGCCTTTCGGAGCAGAGGGGTTGAGCGGACGGAGCGGCTGAGTTAAAAAGAGCGGCTGAGTTGAGCCGTGGGGCTCAGCAGAGTGGTGGAGCTGGGCGGAGGGGATGAGTTGAGGGGAGAGGTGCAGATGAGGGGAGTGAAGGAGCTGAGAGGAGAGGTGGGGTTGAGTGGAGCAATTGGGCTGAGGCGATGGGTGGGGCGCAGCGGGGAAGCGGAGAGCGGCGACTGGCGGATCTGAGTGACGAGGATTTGCAGCAGCTGGCGCGGGAAGAATGCCGACGGCTGCTGCAGGAACAAGGTTGGTGGTGGTGCGGTTTAGCCCTGTTACCGGCACACGTTGGGCGGTAGCTTAGCGCGGCGCTTGTGTTTCTCCTCTACCCCTCCTCTGCCCCTCCTCTGCCCCTCCTCTGACCCTCCTCTGACCCTCCTCTGACCCTCCTGTGACCCTCCTCCGATCCTCTGTCTCTCCTCTCACCCTGTCCCGCTGACCCTGTCCCTCTGTCCCGACACCCCTGGCATGCGACGGCTGCCTTGGACGAGATCCTTCAGTGCAGCAGCTCTCGAAGCCTTTCAAGTCTTGAGGCATCTCATCGCCACCACCACAGCTGCCTCCCCTCCCATGGCTCCTGCGTCTCCTACTCCGTCGCACTCAACCCCCCATCCTTCCCATCCCCTCCTTCCAGGCATGCCCTCCCCCAGGCATGCCCTCCCCCAGGCATGCCCTCCCCCAGGCATGCGAGTCCACAGCAGAATGGGTGCTTAATTAACTTGATCAACAACAGCAGACTTATCAACGAAGCTCGTCAGGAGTTTCCCCCAATCCCTTCACGGCCGTTGGAGGCACATACACACACGGCCACAAGGCTAACGTGCTGGCCCTTGGCCGAGTACTTTTGAGGCGCCTCAGAAACCAATCCCTCACTACACGGCCGTTGGAGGCACATACACGGCCACAAGGCTAACGTGCTGGCCCTTGGCCGAGTACTTTTGAGGCGCCTCAGAAACCAATCCCTCATTACACGGCCGTTGGAGGCACATACACGGCCACTTGGTTGCGCGGGTACTCTTGAGGCGCCAAGCCCATCCGTTGAGGCTCTCTACGTGGCCGTTGGGGTTGGAGGCACATACATGGCCACTGGGTAGTGCGGGCACTTCACAAAAAACCGGTAGGACTGCCACACCACAACCACAACCACAACCACAAACAAGCATACATGAAAACAACAACAATAAAACGTTAATTTACTTCAAAACGATTCGCATTCCCCATGTACACTGCATAGGACTGCCACACCCCGACCACAACCACAGTCAAACATACATGCATACATGAAAACAACAGGCCAAAACGTTTGACAGTTCACATTCCCCATGTCCTCACACTCATCCCCACTAAAGAAAGTAGCGACAAGAGCAGAGGGGGTTCTCCCTCACACTCCACAGCATTCACCAAAAAGTTTGACAGTTCACATTCCCCATGTCCTCACACTCAACCCCACTAAAGAAAGAAGCAACAAGATCAGAGGGGGTTCTCCCTCACACCAGAGCATTCACCCATCCCACCCTCAGCAGCGCAGCACAGCCGAAGATGATGCAAGAGACGGTAAGAGGCACCACGACAGTGGTGTTTTGGAGACAGTCCAGTAAGGGAGGATGGTGAGGGAGGGAGGGAGGGGTACTTGCCCCACTCACACCAGGGAGGGAGGGAGGGGTACTTGCCCCACTCACACCAGAGCATCACCTATCTCACCTTCAGCAGCGGGGTCTTGAGCGGGTCCTTATCCCCGGGGTCAGCACAGCCGGAGTTGATGCAAACGACGGTAAGAGGCACGATGACCCCAAAGACCAAGCCGAAAAGGACCATGGCAGTGGCGGGCTCGACTGTCAACCAATCACCGCTGCGTGAAGCTGGAAGGGGAAAGGAAACCAGTGGTGGGAAGGCAGGGGGGCAGGCGGTGGGGTCCAGTAAGGGATGGCAGCGAGGGAGGGGTAGGGGCCCATGACTGCCACAGCAGCGCCATCAACTGAAGGTGGAAGGAAACAAGTAAACCAGTGGAAGGGAAGGGAGGGGGGCAGGCGGTGTGGGTCCAGGAAGGGAGGAGGGGTAGTCGCCCGGGACTGGCACCCAAGCGTCGTCACCTGGAGCTGGAAAGAGAGGAGGAGCACAGTGGGAGGGATGGTAGGCAGAGACAGGCACACAGGGGGGCGTGCGGTGAGGGTCCAGTCAGGAGGGGTGGCGAGGGAGGGGTAGTCGCCCGTGACTGGCACAACAGAAAAGAGACAAGGAACAGAGTGGAGGGTAGACAGTAAGGTCCACTAAGGGAGGATGGTCAAGGAGGGGTCGTCGCCCGTGACTGTCACAGCAGCGGCATCGTCGCCTGCGACTGGAACGAGACAAGGAACACAGTGGAGGGCAGGCAGAGGCCTGCACACACGGGGGCAGGCGGTGAGGGTCCAGTAAGGGAGGATGGTTAGGGAGGGGTTATACCGCTTGACTATCACCCAAGCGTTGCCGCCTGAAGCTGAAGAGACAAGGATCACAGTGTAAGGGAAGGTAGGCAGAGACAGGCACACAGGCAGGCAGGCGGTGAGGTTTCAGACTTCTGGTAAAGGGGGGGGGTGGTGAGGGAGGGGTAGCAGCAGCCCGTGCGTGACTGTCACAGCAGCTCCGTAGACTGCGGCTGAAAAGAGATGAGGATCAGGTTGGGAGAGGCAGGCACATAGGCAGGCAGGCGGTGAGGGTCCAGTAAGGGAGGATGGTGAGGGAGGGGGGGTGCAACTGAGAAGAGACAAGGAACACAGGGAAAGGGAAGGCCGACAGAGATAGGCACACATGCAGGCAGGCAGCAGCACGGGCAAGCAGACAATGGGGAAGACGGGCATAGATGCACATTGGTGAGGAAAGATGGCGGTTAAAAACGAGAAGATGAACAATTTGCAAGCAGAAAAGCAGTAAAGGTGTGCCTTTCCAGCCCAGCCCTACCCATTGTATCTCACACACTCTCCCTCCCCCCTCTCCCTCTTCCGCCTTCTCTAAACACCCCCTTCCTCTCGTCCCTTCTCACAACGAAAGCAATCACCTGCAGAGTCATCAATCTTTAACTCAAAAGGAACAGCCTCCCAGCTCTCCTCCTCCGAGCTCTCCTCCTCCGAGCTCCCCTCCTCCGAGCTCGCATCCTCCGAGCTCCCCTCCTCCGAGCTCGCATCCTCCGAGCTCCCCTCCTCCGAGCTCGCATCCTCCGAGCTCCCCTCCTCCGCCTGAGCGGCCTCAACGCGGCCAATGGCCTTCTCAATCGCATGAAGCACCTGCTCGAAGTCCGTCGTCACCCGCTCCCCAAAGCTCGTCATCGCATACCTCTCCTCAATCTCCGCCTTGTATAAGAGCCGGAAAGTACTCTTTACACCTTCCACAACCTCCGTAGAGAGCGACTCAGTTGAAATCGAAGAGAAGAGCTCGTCGAGGCCCAGATATTCCTTCGAATCGTGTAAGCGTTGGAAAGCGTTAAACGCGGACATCAGGCGGACCGCGGGGGACGCAGACACGGCAGAGGCGGGATCCTCCGTTCCCGTCGCGAAGAGGTCGTCGGAGGGGGGATCGGCAGTGGCGGCAGCGTCGTTGTCATCTTCCGTCGAGACTATGACGTTTTCCGTGTCGGAATTCTCCGAGCTCGCATCCTCCTCTTGAGCGGCCTCCACGTGGCTACTGGCCTCCTCAAGGGCATCATCCACCTGCTCCATGCCCGTGCCTTCCTCCGTGCTCCCCTCCTCCATGCTCCCCTCCCTCATGCTCCCCTCCCCCGTGCTCCCCTCCGTGCTCCCCTCCTCCGTGCTCCCCTCCTCCGTGCTCCCCTCCTCCGTGCTCCCCTCCTCCGTGCTCCCCTCCTCCGTGCTCCCCTCCTCCGTGCTCCCCTCCTCCGTGCTCCCCTCCTCCGTGCTCCCCTCCTCCGTGCTCGCACCCCCCTCCTCCGCGCTCCTCATGATGGCAGAGATCTCATCGCACAACTTCTTCACCTCGGTGAACGTGCGCAGCGCCTCCGGAGGGAGCGACTCGGGCTGAATCCCGGAAAACAGGTCGTCGAAGTTGAAATCTTTATCCAGACCATTAAGGCTTAGAAGACGGTGGAGTGCGGATGTTAAGAGGTCCACCTGACTGCCCGCATCTTCCGGAGGGGACGCAGACACGGTGGCATCCTCCGTTCCCGTCGCGAGACGCTCGTCGGAGGCGGGATCATCGGCATTGACGGCGGCGTCGCTGTCGTCTTCCGTCGAGACTCTGACGTTTTCCGTGTCGGAATCCTCGATGGCCTTGTCAGCACGATCCTCGTCCTCTGTCGTTACGGCGGAGTCGTCACCATCGCCAGCATCACCACCAATGACTATTCCCCTGTAGGCGCCGGTGAAAGAGCTCGAAACACCACTCGACAGAAAAGCATCCTCCTCCCCATTTGCAATCGGGACCGGAGTCGGAATATCCTCGTTAGAAGACGCGGAAGGCTCGGAAGGCTGCGAAGGCTCCTCGGTGTCTTGGGGCTCGGCGCGTAGCTTGTTGAGTAGGTCGGGGATGGAGGAGGGGACGCTGTGGAGCACCATGCGGGAGACGGATGACAGTCGACTCGCCACGACGAATGTCAAATTGTTCTCGCGGCGATGGAATCGTCCGATTTTGCGAGGCTGCCATGGTTAAATAAGGGAGATAAATTCAGGGAAAAGGGGAGAAAATGCACGGAGAAGGAGAGGGAAAAGAGAGACTTGAGACGTGGTTCTCACGGCGATGGAATCGGCCGACCTGCGAGGCTGCCATGGCTGAACAAGGGACGGACATTTGGGGGGGGGAAAGATAAGAGAAAAGAAATAGACACGTCGAAGGAGAGGGGATAGGGGAGAGAGGAATGAGACGTGACCGGAAAATATGTTTTGCTTGTGCATTTGACAAGAGAAAACTTTTGAGTCGACTCACAAGAGAGGAGAGGGGAGTGAGACGTGACGGACAGAGACGTTTTGCATGTGCATTCGACAACAGACAGACTACGGTAGTGAAGATGAGCAGACAGGAGAAGCAAGGTTAAGGTGACGCGTAGAAACACATGCAACGGGACTCAATGGTGAGGCACAACGAGAGCAGTGCACCATTTTAACATGGTGCTGCGAAATTGTTGAGTAAGAAGCAAGGTTGTGACCACGAGTATGAAAGATCGCGATGATTTGAAGACATGGATACGAAACCAGAAAGTTTTTGAGGCGAGAAGGCGCGGAAGAGGTGTAAGTGCATAAAGCAAACCGCACGTACCAGGCCCCGAGTCTCGCTAACTTGTAGCTGTTTGCAAGCAAAAACCCATGAGACGAGTAGCAGACAAGAAATTAGGAGAAAACGCGCCATAGTTGTGCCTGCGTCCCAAAATCCTACAGCTAGCTAAGGAAATAATCCGGTTCTACTGGTAACTTCTAGGAACCGCCGACCTATATATTTCCACCCGAAAATGCTTTCCAGTCAGAAAGCAAAGCATGCACTTCCTCCCCAGAATGAAGACCTGCGAGCAGAACCACTGTTCCCTGAAACCTGCAATCGATTCTCGTCAGGCTCTCGCGAGGAGTCTCGTGAGTCAATTGCGCCCTCCACACGCAACGACTTCGCTCGCTCGCTGGGGTTGCCAGTCAGGAGGAACGTGCGAAGATGCAGCGAAACAAATTGATTCGTCCAGGTTTCAGTAACGGTGAGAAGGACCCTCGGCTGCTCGCGACGACTCAGCAGCCTCTGCCAAACGTGTCGGCTGAAGGAGAAAATCAAGAAACCTGAGAATTCCCAGTCAGGGTCACCTGTTGTGTTGGGTGCGTTAACAAATACAGCATGATAAGTGCACAAAAGAGGACCAATCAACCACATGCTAGGGAAAGTAAGCCCCCCAGATTATGGTAACTCCATTCCACTTTAATAGGAATTATGTCACATTACCTTCATAGAGTTTTCATCCCACAACATCTAAAAATCATGCTTGAACCGAACCACAACTTCCCTATGGAGGATACATCAGTTCTCCATCCGAGAGCTGATGATGTTACATAAACGGGCTGATAATGTTTTATTCTAAAAAATATGACAAAATTGTTCTGGGAAATTGAATGGATCATAGCAAGCATGTGATGTATTGAACCACGGTGAATGATGTAAGGAATTTTCCATTCCTTACCGAGCAGTACTGCTATCGCGTACGCTCGAACACACCCGAAGCCTCGGGACGGTTCCAGACCTTCTGACAGAACTGCCTCGGCTTCTCCAGACCTTCTGGTTCGACATTCGGGAGTTCTCCCGGCCTCGCTGCGTCACTTCAAGACCCTTCGATCTCTCTCCCGAACCTCACCATCGCATGGTTAGACTAGTTCTGGTGTTCCTATATCTTGACTTGCCATTCCTTGTATCGTCATCCAGTGAGTGGACATTTCGTTATTCATTTCCGCGCTACTCTGCTTGTTCATTCATAACACCTGGTAATCAGAGCCACTTTCCTCGCTCACCCGTTTTCGAGAGTTGATTTTTTTTGGGGGGGGGGGGGGGGGTAAGTCCCTCACGTAAGCTGCAAAGCGGTTGCTCGCGAATTAGACTGATTAATTCGCCCAACTACGATAGCGTTTGCGCTTACCTGCGTACAAGCACATTACGGATTTCCCCCTGCCCCGGCGGAGCATTCGCCAAATGGACCAAGCTCAGTTCAACGAGCTTCGGGAGCAGTTCAACGCCATGAACACGCGCATGGCTACAGTACTGGAGGACAACGAGCGACTTCGTGCAAAAGTTGCCGAGTAACGCCAGGCGCGAGAGGATTCGCGTCAGAAAATTACCGCCCAAGAGGAGGTCGCCAGCACCGGACGTGTCGAAACCGTCTTGGACGAAATCGCACGTGAGGTGTTACAGGAGCGCAAGGACAGTGAAGCCGCCGCAGCAGCTAACGTGGCAGCACGAGCAGCAGCCGAAGCAGCAGCAGCAGTGACAGCAGTAGCCGCTCGGTCAGAAGCAGCCGCTACTGTAGCCGCCCCGGCGTTTATGCCAATCGTGACGACAGCGACGATCAAACCGACAATGCCACCCCCGTTCAACCCCACAGAAAAAGAATACTACTATTACGGGCTGGTTATTTTCGGCGGAACTTTATTTTAACGCCGCTGGGATTACTGCTGACGAGTTGAAAATTCGACTGGCTGTATCACTACTGCGGGGACCTGCGCTAGATTGGTGGCGATATACCTTACAGGAGGGGGAATTTCCGGCAGGCGACACATATGGGTTTTTCGAAAACTCTGGGTATGCTGCCCAAGGGTCAACCGCGATTTTTGGATCGACCAAGATTCGCACGTGGAAGGCGTGGGGTACAGCTGTGCGTGAACGGTTCGAGCCAATATCCGCGTCGGACAACGCACGTACGAAGCTGGACAACTGGCGCCAGTGGAGTTCTGTCCAGGATTACGCGTCAGTCTTCATGGCGTTATGCGATCAAATCACCGACATGCATGACTCCGAGAAGTAAGCTCGATTCATTTCGGGTTTGAAGCAGGACATTAAATGCGAGGCCGGACTGCGACTTCCGGCGACGTTTTACGAAGCAGTCCGGATCGCAGACACTTTCGACGCATATCGGACGTATGCGAGAGCGGGTTCCCGGGAGGGAAATCGTTTTCGTGGCCAGAATCCACGGCCCACGATTCACGGCGTAGTGGCAAAGGAGCACATGGAAGATTTTCGCAAGGGACAATGTTTCAACTGCCACCAGCCGGGTCACCAATCTCACGATTGCCCCCGAAAGAAGCAGATAAAGAAGGACGACGAAGGCAGGTCGGGAAACGCCAAGCGTCAGTAGCGGTCGTGCCCCCTACTGACCCTGCCTCATCGTCCGAAAAACACCATCCCCATCGGGTAGTGGTTCCGATACATGCTATCAACCGCTCCTGGCTGAATAAGGGGGATGACCCAGTGGACCACCCTAGACTGGCGGAGGGACGACTCAACGGAAGAAGAAGAAAAATATTCATCGACGGCGGTGCGAGTCACAGTCTGTTAAATCGAGAGACAACACGACGACTACACCTGATGCTGGAGAGGTGTCTGCCCGAAATCGACGCGCGATTAATGGACGGCACCCCGCTGGCGATACGCGAGAAAGCACCTGTCATTCGAATGAAGTGTGGCGCAGTTTTTGGGTTCAGCGCGCCGATGCTGGCGATAACGCTCGACGGCTATGACGTGCTATTGGGACGCGATTGGCTGCGACGATTCAACCCGCAGATCGATTGGACAACAGGCGAGTGCACAGTGAAGTGCGACAAAGGCTGGCGAAAATTACCCACGTGGCCGGAAGCAGAGACAACATCGACACGCGTCAACGCAGTGTGCCTCAAGCGAGCGGTCAAGAATGGAGCGGATTTATACGCCGTCCATCTAACCGAATTGACGAAGCAGAACGAGGCGACCGACATCAACAAACTTTGCGATTCGGTCCCGGATGACTTGGCGAAACTCAGTCGGGAATATCCTGAGATTTTCCCGGACGACTTGCCAAGTGTGTCAAACATGTGTGTATCATATATTTGCATAAACTGTATAGGGCCACCTCTTAGAGGGTACAACACTTAGGTATATTCACCTGTACTCTCTCTGTACTCCATCATTCAGCGCTCACTTTGATATGGTATCACGCGTAGGTTAGGATCCCCCACCTACCGCTTCCGCCCGTACCCTAGCTAGGCCCTGTCGCGCCCCTCCTAAGTCGCGCCCCCTCCTGGGCCCTGCCGCACCTCCTAGCCCCGTCGCGCCCCTTATGGGCCCCGTCGCGCCTCCTAGCCTAGTCGCGCCCCCCCCTGGGCCCTACCGCGCCTCTTAGCCCCGTCGCGCCCCTCCTGGGCCCCGTCGCGCCTCCCAGCCCCGTCGCGCCCCTTCTGGGCCCCGTCACGCCTCCTAGCCTAGTCACGCCCCTCCTGGGCCCTACCGCGCCTCCTAGCCCAGTCGCGCCCCCTCTGGGCCCTACCGCGCCTCCTAGCCCCGTCGCGCCCCTTCTGGGCCCCGTCGCGCCTCCTAGCCTAGTCGTGCCCCTCCTGGGCCCCGCCGCGCCTCCTAGCCCAGTCGCGCCCCCCCTGGGCCCTACCGCGCCTCCTAGCCCCGTCGCGCCCCTTCTGGGCCCCGTCGCGCCTCCTAGCCCAGTCGCGCCCCCCCCCTGGGCCCTGCCGCTCCTCCTAGCCCCGTCGCGCCCCTCCTGGGCACCGTCGCGCTTCCTAGCTCAGTCGCGCCCCTCCTGGGCCCTGTCGCGCCCCTCCTGGGCCCCGTCGCGCCTTCTGGCCCCGTCGCGCCCCTCCTGGGCCCTGTCACGCCTTTTAGCCCCGTCGCGCCCTGCCTGGCCCCGTCGCGACCGCCTGGCCCCGTCGCGCCCTGCCTAGCCCCGTCGCGCCCCTCCTGAGCCCCGTCGCGCCGTGCCTGGCCCCGCCGCGCCGTGCCTGGCCCCGCCGCGCCTGCCTGGCCCTGCCGCGCCTGCCTGGCGCCCGTCCCAGCCAGCCCCGCGCCCGCCCTCGTGACCTCCGCGCCCGTCTTCTCGGCTCCTGCACCCGTCCCAGCCGGCCCAGCGCCCGTCCTGCCCCGAGCTGTGAGCGGCCCGCTCGTCGTCCCTGCCCCGGCCCTGCATCCTCCCTGGTACTGTTCCTCCTTACCTGCACCGCATTGCACAGCACTGCATCGCACTGCGCTGCACGGTACTACTCTGCACCGTACTGCACCGCCCTGCACCGCGCTGCACCGCACTACACCGCCCTGCACCGCGTTGCACCGCACTCTACAGTCCTGCACTGCTCCTGATGGCGGCGGAGCTTCGCTTCGACGCTGAAGGCCAGCCTCTGGAGTTCGAGGCGTGGCTCGCCGACCTCCGTCGCCACCTCACTGGTCATCGGCAGGATGGCCACCCGCTATCCGCACACCTTGACGGTACGCTCCCCTGCCCAGACCCCCCTGCTGTTCTGCCCGCTGACCCCACACCCGCTGAGCGCGAGTCTAATGCAGCCACTGCCCTTGCGCGCTCTGTCTGGCTTTCTCGAGACGCTGTCACTCAGCTTGCCATTAGCAATGCCCTTCCCCCGTCTGAGCGCCCTTGCTTTAGGTCCCTCACTACCGCCCAGGCTTACTTAGATGCTGTCATCAAGCGCTATTCCATCCCTCCTGCTGCCTCGGTGGGTCGCCTGATCCTCCCGATGCTCTTTCCCGACCTTGCGTCTTTCCCCACTGTCTCTGACCTAGCTGCCCACCTGCGCGCAATAGATGAGACCTGGCGCGCTGCCTGCACTGACACACAACTTAGAGCCCACCAGCCGCCCATTACCTATACCCTCTACCTGCTTGCCACCCGCCTCCCTGACCGCCTTGCCGCCGCCCGCGACCGCTTCCTTAGCGTCCACCCCGGTGAGCTCACCCTCCCCGACTTTGTAGACATCCTGACTGTTATCAAGACCCGCCACCGCTCCATCGCCCAGGCGAGCGGTACCGTGCCGGTCCCTATCTTTCAGGGCTGTGCCCCCGCTCAGTGTACCTTCTCCGACGGTTCTGTCGCTATGGCTGAGACTGCTGCTCCAGTGCAGCTTCGTTCGGGGAAGGGCCGCCGTCCCAAGGCTGGGCGCGGCGGAGGAGGCGGGGGTGGTGGAGGGGGTGGTGGTGGAGTCGGGTCGTCTGGTGCTGGAGTGGACGAGGGGACCCTGCCTGGTCCGGCGGAGCCGCCACCTCTGCAGTCGCAGCAGCAGCAGCCCCACCAGCCGCAGCAGTCGCAGCAGCAGCCCCACCAGCCGCAGCAGTCGCAGCAGCCGCAGCAGTCCCCGCAGACGAGGCAGGCGAGTGCCCTCCCGCCCGGGTGGCCTGGCACTGGCGGTCGTCGAGCGCGTGGTGGTGTGCCGAGTGGTGGTTCGGGAGGCGTGTGTTGTCAGTACCAGATCCAGACCGGTCCTCGCCGCGTCTTTGTTTGCGGTAAGATCGGTTATACCACTCCCAGTTGTTTTCGTCGCTTGGAGGACCTGTTCCGTCAGCGCTTCGGCCCTTCGCCAGACCTCCCGGACTGGCACAGTTTGCTTAGTCGTAGGATTCAGATTTTTGACATGGACATGGATGCCATTGTTTCTGCTCTGCATGTGATGTATGCTGATGACTCTAGTGTGCTCCCCGCTTATTACTCCCTGTCGTCTAGTGTAGGTGTGCCTAGCTTAGCCTCCCCTGCTGCGTCAGGCGTAGGATCCCCTGCTTTGTTTAGCCTTGGTGCTTCCGCCGTCGCCCCGTTGCCAGACGCCACTGCTTCGCTTTCCTTCACGTTGGACTCTGGCGCTTCCCGGTGCTTCTTCCGCGACTCTACTACACTGACGCCGCTTCCTGTTCCTGCTGCCGTTTCTCTTGCTGACCCCTCTGGCGGTCCGGTAGTCGCCCGCATTTCCACCACCCTTCCCTGTCCGGCAGTTCCTTCAGGCTCTCTTACAGGTCTGCATATCCCCTTGTTCTCCAGGAACCTCGTTGGTGTCTGCTGCCTCCAGGACCTTGGCGTCACCACTACGTTCCCTGGTCACGAGCGGTATGCTGTCTGTACCGAGGTCGCCACTGGTGCCCCCCTGTCCACGTTCCCCCGGGACCCGGTGTCCGCCCTGTTCACTATGGACACCATGACCCCCCTGGCTGGGGCGCCCCCTCAGGTGGTTGCGTCTACCCAGGTTGCTGCTGCCTGCTCCTGTCGGTCCCTCACCCACCCGACTCTCCTTTGGCACCACCGCCTAAGTCACCCTGCGCTCCCGCGTCTGCGTCACATTTCCCAGCACGGTCTTGTCCTTGGTCTCCCTGGTTCTCTCCCCGCTTTTCCCTCCTCCCCAGCCCCACCTTGCACGCCTTGCGTCGAGGGTCGGCTTCGCCGTGCCCCTCACTCATCCTCTTTTCCCCCTACCGCCGCGCCGCTGCAGACCATGCACATGGACGTCTGGGGCCCCGCCCCCGTCCATGGGCCGCGTCGAGAGCGCTACTTCCTTGTGCTTGTCGACGACATCACTCGCTACACCTCAGTCTCTCCCCTGGAGCGGAAGGCCGACGTGCCTGACGCTCTCATCCCCTGGCTTGTCTCTACCCGTGTCCACCGAGGTCTCCCTGTCTTGCGCCTTCACTCCGACCGTGGTGGTGAGTTTGCCTCAGGTGTCCTTGGTCGCTTTTGTCGTGTGGAGGGCATCACCCAGTCGTTCACCCTACCGGACTCCCCACAGCATAATGGGGTCGCTGAGCGACGCCTCGGTTTGGTCATGGAGGTGGCTCGCACCTCCATGATCCATGCCGGTGCACCCCATTTCTGTGGCCGTTCGCTGTGCGCTACGCTTCTCACCAGCTTAACCTGTGGCCGCACCCCCAGCAGCCGCAGGTTTCGCCGACCCGTCTTTGGACTGGGTCCCCTGGTGACGCGTCTGCGTTCCACGTCTTGGGCTGCCTTGCTCACGTCTATGCCTCCGGCACGGACAAGCTCACTGCCCGCACCCTTCCATGCGTCTTCCTCATTTTTTCGCTTGACGAATCAGGCTGGCACTTCTACCACCTGCCGTCTCACCGATTCTTTCACTCTCGCGACATCACCTTTGACGAGTCCGTCTCCTTCTACCGTCGCTTCCTCCACCGCTGTCCCCCGGTTACCCCCCCCCTCTTCCTGGTCACTCCTTCCCCGGTAGTCCCTGCACCCCCCCCTCCTCCTCCCCATCCTGCTCCCTCTGATGTGTCCCACGTCACCCCTCTTCCGTCGGTGGTCCCGGTTGAGGAGTCTTCTGACTCTGGTGGTCCTGCGGTGCAGTCCTCGTCGGCTGCCCCTCCCCAGGCATCCCCTCCTCCACCGCCTCTGCCGCCGCTGTCACCCCTGCTGTCGCAGCCGTTGTCACCTCCGCCGCCGCCGCCGCAGCCGTCATTTTCGCTGCCGCCTCCGCCGCCATCGCAGCACCCGTTCGTTGACTCTGGAGGTGCTGGCGTTGGAGTGCGTGCTAGTCTCGGTAGCCCTGGGGGTGGTACTGGTCCTCGAGGGGTTTCAGGCCCTGTGGGTGTTCCCTCTGGGGGTGCTGGCGTGGAGTGTGCCGGTGGTAGCCGAGGAGCAGCTTGCGGTCTCGGTGTCGGCGTTGTGCCGCCGCAGCAGCAGTCCCCGCCGGTGTCAGCCCTTCGCCTGCTCGGCCTTCCGTCCCCTGACCCTGCGTCTATTCCTCCCCGGCCGACTCCTCCTCTTCCCGTCTACGGCCTTGTGTTCCCTCCGCCGGACTCGTCCCCGGCTCGTTTCCCCCCTCGTTCCCCCCCAGTGTCCCCTCCTCTGTCTCCTGACCCGACGCCTCCGTCTCACGTCTGGTCCCGCCGTCCCTCCCGCGCTCGTCCTGTCTCCCCTGTCCCGCTCTCTCACCCTATATTGCTCCGTTCTCACGCGTCTCGTCCTCCCCTTCTCTCGTTGCCTCCTCCGTCCTCTCTTACAGTTGCGCCTTCTCCTCTGTCTGACTACCTTCGTGCTGCTCATCCTCTTGTTCCTCGGGTCCTTGCCTCTCTCGTTACCGACCCGTCTGTTCCGGTCTCGTGCCTTGACGCTCTTGTCGCTGCTGTCGCTGACTTCGCCTCTACCCACCGCCTTGACTACGCCACCGCTCTAGTCTCTGACCCTGCCTGTCCTCCGTCTGTCGGGGGTGCTCCTGCCCTCGGCAGTGACGTCCTGGAGGACCGCCAGTTCGAGCTTGCTTTCCTGTCCGAGGCTGCTCCCCATCTCTGTTCCATGCTGCTTGTCCCTGAGGGTGACCCAGACGCTTTCGACATCCCGACCCCTCGCACTTACGCTGAGGCGACCTCGGGACCCTAGACCTCTTAGTGGATAGCCGCCATGGAGCAGGAGATGGCATCTTGGAGATCCACCGGCACCTTCGTCGACGCAGTTCCCCCGCCTGGGGTGAACGTAGTTGATGGCCGCTGGCTCTTCAAGGTGAAGCGCCCTCCTGGAAAGCCGCCTGTGTTCAAGGCGCGCTATGTGGCTAGAGGCTTCAGTCAGCGTGAGGGGGTGGACTTCTTCCAGACCTTCGCTCCGACCACGAACATGACTACTCTTTGGGTTCTGTTACACCTAGCTGCTCAGCGTGACTACGAGCTTCACTCCCTCGACTTCTCCACTGCCTTCCTTCCGGGCAGCCTACACGAGCAGGTCTACTTGCGTCGCCCTCCGGGCTTTACAGGCACCTTCCCTCCTGGGACCCAGTGGCTCCTGCGACGTCCCATCTACGGCCTGCTCCAGGCTCCCCGTGAGTGGCACGACACACTGCGAGCTACCCTTGCTGACCTGCAGTTCTTTCCGTCTTCCGCAGACCCCTCACTCTTCGTTCGTGCTGGCCAGACTCCGTTCTACATCCTTGTTTACGTCGATGACCTGGTCTTTGCCACAGCGGACAGGGACGCACTGGCCTCCGTGAAGGCAGAGCTGCTGAAGAGACACACGTGCACTGACCTTGGAGAACTGCGCCGTTACCTTGGCTTGCAGATCTCCAGGGACAGAGCAGCGCGCACCATCAACCTGACTCTGTCACACTTGGTGCGACAGGTCCTTCAGAGGTCCGGCCTTCAGTTCTCCTCTGCACAGCCCACCCCTCTGCATGTAGACCACAGACTCTTTGCTCCAGTTTCTGAGAAGTCGGTAGAGCCCAGCGGCCCCTACGCAGAGCTGGTGGGTTGCCTCATGTACCTGATGACTTGCACTCGCCCACATCACCCTTTCGGCATCCTGGCTCGCTTTGTGGCCACAAGCAGACATCGACCGCAGCACTGGTCTGCCGCTAAGAGGGTTTTGCGTTATCTTGCTAGTACATCAGGCATGGGGTTAGTGCTAGGAGGACGTAGGATCATCAGCGGCACTGTGTACAGCTTGGTCTAGTTCCTGTAGCCTCTCACTTGCTAGGGCCTTGACGTTGTACTGTTCTTTATATGTGTACTCAGACTGGACTTGTGTCCTCTCACAGTGGCTGGACTAGTATTGCCGCCCTGGTGTTGTTCTTGCCTTATCTGTACTCCTTCTGACTGGTCTTTTAGACCCTTGTCTCAAAGGCTGGACTAGTAGTGCCGCCCTGAGCTGCTTGTTCAGGACCTGCCCCTATGCAGTCTAGGGGGTGTGTATATCCTATGTTTGCATAGACTGTATAAGGCCACCTCTTAGAGGGTACAACACTTAGGTATATTCACCTGTACTCTCTCTCTACTCCATCATTCAGCGCTCACTTTGATAAAGTGGACTGCCACCCGAACGACCCCAGGACCACAAAATCGAGCTGGAGCTTGGCGTGCAGCCTACTATACGCACGCAATGGCGCCTGAATCAGCCAGAGCTACAGGAGTTACGAAACTTGCTGGACTACCTGCTGGCGAAAGGGTTCATTCGGCCGAGCACATCACCATTTGCAGCACCAATCCTGTTCATGCCAAAAAAAGACGGCGGACTTCGCATGTGTACGGACTACCGTGCCCTTAACCGGGAAACGATAAAGTCGCGCTACCCAATACCACGCACGGACGAACTGATCAACAACCTTTGCGGAGCTCGCTATTTTTCGAAGATAGATCTTTGCGGCGGTTACCATCAAATTCGGGCGTTCTGATGACTGCCACAAGACCGCGTTTCGTACTCGCTACGGGAGTTACGAATACACGGTGATGCCGTTTGGATTAACGAACGCCCCCTCGACGTTTCAACTCACCATGAATGGGGTATTCCGCGATCTACTCGACAAATGCGTGATAATTTACCTGGACGACATCCTGATCTACAGCAAGACCCGTGAGCAACATTTGAAGGATTTGGAAGCGGTTTTTCAGCGGTTGCAGCAGCATCGTCTCATCACCAAGGGCTCCAAGTGCGAGTTTTTAAAACAAGAACTGGAGTTCCTGGGGCATGTGATCTCCACGGAGGGGATCCGGATAGACCCGAAAAAACTCCGGGAAATACAGGAATGGAAACCACCAACCAATCTGCAGCAGCTGCAATCCTTTTTGGGTTCCGTGAATTACGTGCGGCGGTTTATACCCAATATGGCGGGGTTAACTGAACCTCTAACTGACCTACTGCAGAAGAGGACTTTTTACGAGTGGGGGGAGAAGCAACAAGCTGCGTTCGAGGCATTAAAAAACTTTTTAATGTCGCCACCAGTACTTCGCATCGGTGACCCGGAACGGCCTTTCGAAGTCATCACCGACGCAAGTGACATCGCCATCGGAGCAGTTCTCATGCAGGATTTCGGCAATGGGCTTCAACCAATTGCGTACGAGTCTCGAAAAATGCAATCTGCTGACCGCAACTACCCAGTACACGACAAGGAGATGCTGGCGATCGTCCACGCGTTCAAAATCTGGAGGTGCTACCTGACTGGAGCAGACGTGACGGTGCGAACCGACCACAAATCACTACAGTATCTGAGAGCGCAGCCGAATCTCAACCCGCGGCATATACGCTGGCTGGACTACCTGCAATCCAATTTCACGTATAAAAAGGGCGCCAACAATATTGCCGACGCCCTTTCCAGACCATCTGCCCAACTCGCAGCAGTACTAGTCGCCCAGAACAACCCGCTACTGAGTGGACTATTTACCCACGGGTATTCGACTGACCCCTTCTTCGTAAATGACGGCCATCTCCCAATCACCACACGAAAAGGCATCTATTACTTACGAAGCGGGACTGATCGAATTTGGGTCCCAAGTTATCGTCTACTTCGCGAATTACTAATTCAAGAAGTCCACGATTCGAATTTATCGGGACATTTCGGGGTTGACAAAACTTTGAAGGCGTTGCAGCGGTTTTATTACTGGTCAGATATGGTGACGGACGTGCAGCGTTACGTGGCCGCGTGTCCGATCTGCCAGCGAATGAAGTCATCACACCAGCGACCTACAGGGCTGTTGCAGCCCCTCGAGCCACCTCAACGCCCATGGCAACACGTAACGATGGATTTCGTTACGGGACTACCGGCCGGACCTAGCGGAAACGACGCAGTTTTGGTTGTCGTCGACCGACTGACGAAGATGGCGCATTTCGCACCATGTCGTACAACCATCACAGCCGAAGAAACAGCGCGCGTGTTCATCTCGACCGTTGTCCGTCTACACAGGAAACCAGCAGCAATCATTAGTGACCGAGATCCGAAGTTCACGTCAAAATTCTGGCAGGACGCGTGGGCTCGGTACGGCACGCGTCTAGAGTTCTCATCCGCTTATCATCCCCAAACGGACGCCCAGACTGAAAGGACAAATCAAACAATGGAGCAGTTGATTCGGACAAACTGCCCCGACCGGAAAAAAATGGGAGGATGTGCTGCCCATGTTGGAATTTTCCTACAACAACGCGCCCTCGGCTACGACTAATCACTCCCCGTTTTATCTCAATTACGGGATGGACCCTACAGTACCAATCTCCACCCACGTTGAGAATCAAGTACCACGATCGCAGCAGTTCGTCAAAGAATTACAAACTGCCCGAGACAAAGCTGTCGAAATTATTCGCAAGGCGAACGCAATGGCCCGACGGTATGCGGATTTACATCGACGAGATATTACAATGACAACAGGGCAACAAGTCCTTTTGGACACCAAGAATTTACGACTGCCACTACCGACGAAAATACGACAACGTTTATGTGGCCCATTCAAGATCGTAAAGATGGTGACGCCGGTGGCCGCCCAGTTGCGCCTACCTGATGACTGGCGTATTCACAACAAATTCCACGTGAGCCTGTTACACCCTTTCGTACCTGACACATCGGACATCGCCCGACAACGATTGGTCCCAGATGTACGGCCACCAACCGAGACGACCATCGAGCCTGTCAAACATGTGTAATTGTCATGTTTGTATAGACTGTATAGGGTCATCTCTTAGAGGGTACAAGACTTAGGTATATCTGTGTGTACTCTCACTCTATCAACTAACACTTCTCTGATTTTGTTATGGTATCACGCGTAGGTTAGGATCCCCCCCCACCTACCGCTTCCGCTCGCCCCTCCCTAGCCCCGTCGCGACCCCCCTAGCCCCGTCGCGCCCCTTCCTGGGCCCCGTCGCGCCCCTTCCTGGGCCCTGTAGCGCCCTCCTGGGCCCCGTAGCGCCCCTCCTGGGCCCCGTCGCGCCCCTCCTGGGCCCCGTAGTGCCCCTCCTGGGTTCCGTCGCGCCCCTCCTGGGCCCCGTAGTGCCCCCCCTGGGCCTCGTCGCGCCCCTCCTGGGCCTCGTACCGCCCCTCCTGGGCCCCGTAGCGCCCCTCCTGGGCCGCGTCGAGCCCCCCCCCTCCTGGGCCCCGTCACGCCTTCCGGCCCCGTCGCACCCGCCCGGCCCCGTCGCACCAGCCCGGCCCCGTCGCGCTCGCCCGGCCCCGTCGCAGCCGCCCGGCCGCGTCGCACCCGTCCGGCCCCGTCGCACCGGCCCGGCCCCGACGCACCTGCCCGGCCCCGTCGCACCGGCCCGGCCCCGTCGCACCGGCCCGGCCCCGTCGCACCGGCCCGGCCCCGACGCACCTGCCCGGCCCCGTCGCACCGGCCCGGCCCCGTCGCACCGGCCCGGCCCCGTCGCACCAGCCCGGCCCCGTCGCGCCCGCCCGGCCCCGCCGCACCAGCTCGGCCCCGATGCACCCGCCCGGCCCCGTTGCACCGGCCCGGCCCCGTCGCACCCGCCCGGCCCCGTTTCACCGGCCCGGCCCTTGCGCTCGTCCCTGCCCCGGTCCTCCTCACAGGTACGGTCCCCCCCCCCGCCCTGCACTGCCCTGCACCGTCCTGCCCCGCACTGCACCGCCCCTCACCACCCTGTACTGCCTGGCACCACACTACTCCGCACTGCACCGCACTGTACCGCACGGCACCGCACCCCACCTTGCTGCACTGCCCTGCACCGCACTGCGTCTTTCGCTTCGACGCTGAAGGCCAGCCTCTGGAGTTCGAGGCGTGGCTTGCCGACCTCCGCCGCCAACTCACTGGCCAACGGCAGGATGGCGAACCGCTTTCCGCACACCTTGACGGTACGCTCCCCTGCCCAGACCCCCCTGCTATTTTGCCCGCTGACTCCACCCCCACCGAGCGCGAGTCTACTGCTGCCGCTGCCCGTGCGCGCTCTGTCTGGCTTTCTCGCGATGCTGTCGCCCAGCTTGCCATTAGCAACGCCCTTCCCCCGTCCGAGCGCCCTCGCTTTAGGTCCCTCACCACTGCTCAGGCATATTTAGATGCTGTCATCCAGCGCTATTCCACTCCTCCGGCTGCCTCGGTGGGTCGCCTGATCCTCCCGATGCTCTTTCCTGACCTTGCATCCTTCCCTACTGTCTCTGACCTTGCTGCCCACCTGCGCTCGATAGATGAGACCTGGCGTGCTGCCTGCACTGACGCACAGCTTAGAGCCCACCAGCCACCCATTACCTCTACCCTCTACCTGCTTGCCACCCGCCTCCCTGACCGCCTTGCTGTCGCCCGCGACCGCTTCCTTAGCATTCACCCCGCCGACCTCACCCTCACTGACTTTGTAGACACCCTGACTGTGATAGAGACCCGTCACCGCTCCATCGCCCAGGCGAGCGGTGCCGTGCCGGTCCCTATCTTTCAGGGTTGTGCCCCCGCTCAGTGTACCTTCTCCGACGGCTTTGCCGCAGTGGCTGAGACTGCTGCTTCAGCGCAGTTTCGTTCGGGGAAGGGCCGCCGCCCCAAGGTTGGGCGCGGCGGAGGCGGGGGTGCGGGAGGGGGTAGTGGTGGGGTCGGGTCGTCTGGTGCTGGAGCGGACGAGGGGACCCTGCCCAGTCCAGCTGAGCCGCCGCCCCTGCAGTTGCAGCAGCCGCAGCAGCCGCCGCAGTCGCAGCCTTCGCAGCAGCCGCAGCAGCCGTCGCAGACACGGCAGACGAGTGTCCTCCCGCCCGGGTGGCCCGGCGCTGGCGGTGGCCGGGCGCGTGGTGGTGTGCCGAGTGGTGGCTCTGGCGGCGGGCGTTGTCAGTACCAGATCCAGACCGGTCCTCGCCGTGGCTTCGTTTGCGGTAAGATCGGTCACTCCACTCCCCGCTGTTTTCGTCGCCTGGACGACCTCTTCCGTCAGCGCTTCGGCCCGTCGCCAGACCTCCCGAACTGGCACAGTTTGCTTAGTCGTAAGATTCAGATCTTTGATGTGGACATGGATGCCATTGTTTCTGCTCTGCATGTGATGTATGCTGATGACTCTAGTGTGCTTCCAGCTTATTACTCACTGTTGCCTAGCGTAGGTGTGTCTAGCGTAGCCTCCCCTGCTGCGTCAGGCGTAGGATCCTCTGCTTTGTGTAGTCTTGGTGCTTCCACCGTCGTTCCGTCGCCAGACGCCTTTGCTTCGCTTTCCTTCATCTTGGACTCTGGCGCTTCTCGGTGTTTCTTCCGCGACTTCACCACCCTGACGCCGCTTCCTGTTCCTGCTGTCGTCTCTCTAGCTGACCCCTCTGGTGGCCCGGTAGTCACCCGCAGTTCCACCACCCTTCCCTGTCCGGCGGTTCCTTCGGGCTCTCTCACAGGTCTGCATATCCCCTCGTTCTCCAGGAACCTAGTTGGTGTCGGCTGCCTCCAGGACCTTGGCGTCACCACTACGTTCCCTGGCCACGAGCGGTATGCTGTCTGTACCGAGGCCGCCACTGGTGCCCCCCTGTCCACGTTCCCCCGGGACCCGGTGTCCGGCCTGTTCACTCTGGACACCGTGACCCCCCCGGCTGGGGCCCCCCCTCAGGTGGCTGCGTCTACCCAGGTTGCTGCTGCCTGCTCCTGTCGGTCCCTCACTCACCCCACTCTCCTTTGGCACCACCGCCTAGGTCACCCTGCGCTCCAGCGTCTGCGTCACATGTCCCAGCACGGTCTTGTCCTTGGTCTCCCAAGTTCTCTCCCCGCGTTTCCCTCCTCCCCCGCCCCCCCTTGCACGCCCTGTGTCGAGGGTCGGCTTCGTCGTGCCCCTCACTCCTCCTCGTTTCCCCCTACCGCCGCGCCGCTGCAGACCCTGCACCTGGACGTCTGGGGCCCCGCCCCCGTCCCTGGGCCGCGTCGAGAGCGCTACTTCCTTGTGCTCGTCGACGACTTCACTCGTTACACCACAGTCTTTCCCCTGGAGCGCAAGGCCGACGTGCCTGGCGCTCTCATCCCCTGGCTTGTCTCTGCGCGTGTCCACCGCGGTCTCCCTGTCTTGCGTCTTCACTCAGACCGTGGTGGCGAGTTTGCCTCAAGTGTCCTTGGTCGCTTTTGTCGTGCGGAGGGCATCACCCAGACGTTCACCCTACCGGACTCCCCACAGCAGAATGGGGTCGCTGAGCGACGCATCGGTTTGGTCATGGAGGTGGCTCGCACCTCCATGATCCATGCCGGTGCACCCCATTTTCTGTGGTCGTTCGCTATGCGCTACGCTGCTCACCAGCTTACAGTGACGGAAAAAACTGTCCGGATGTTTGACTCTAATTAGGGTTTTTTGGCTTTCCGACCACGGTACATAAAGTCTTAATGCTTTATTGTGGTACACTTTGGGAGGGGCACATAGTGGATGTGTTCAAAGCGCTAAAATCCATAGTAGTACACTGGATCTAACTTTGTGCCAAAAGTTATACAAGGGGGTCATCCGGACAGTTTTTTCCTGAGACAAAGAGCAAACTTCCGAACAGGGTTTATAGTACCTAGTGTACCGAACCTTGGCCTTAGTCACCACCCGCAGCCTCCTAGGCATGTTATTTACGCGGCTAGTGCAAACCTTTATTGAGATCTTCTTGCACTCTTCTTGGACCCACCCTTTTGCATAAGGGGGTGAGCACTTGGAAAACACGAAGGATTTGAGCGTCTGCAAGTTTTTTTGTGTACGATAACTGTTTGAATGTTATGTATGAGACTAGCCACACTGAGGTATGACCAAAGATGCCATTAGCCGATTGGTTCCATTTTATCATGGGTCGTCTTCGTCGTATCGTTGTAGGGTAAAACCATGAATAGAGCGGCAAAAAATGGTGTATATGCCGTGAAACTATGGGTAACATAGCACGGTTGATTATTCATCCTTGCACTATTAGAATCACGCTAGGATCTGCATGTCTCATCATGGTGCAGCAGTCAAAGAGGTTGCGACTGTTCGGGAAGAATATCCGGGTTGAGGTCTGGTGAAGAAAAGGGTCACTCCAGTGCAACATACTGATGCTCCCCAATGCTCTCCAAGCCATTTGTACCGCATATGCTTGGAATAGCATTGGAGAACATCAGTTTGTAGCACTGGAGTGGCCCTTTTCTTCACCTGACCTCAACCCGGATATTCTTCCCGAATAGTCGCAACTTCTTCGACTGCTGTACCGTGATGAGACATGCAGATCCTAGCGTGATTCTAATTGTGCAAGGATGAATAATTAACCGTGATCCGTTACCCTCAGTTTCACGGCATATACACTACTTTTTGCCACTCTATTTGTGGTTTTACCCTACAGCGGTACGACGAAGACGACCCATGATAAGATGGAACTAATCGGCTAATGACATCTTTGGTTATACCTCAGTGTGGCTAGTCTCATAGATAACATTCAAACAGAAATCGTACACAAAACTCTTGCAGACGCTCAAATCCTTCAAATTTTCCTAGTGCTCACCCCCTTATGCAAAAGCGAGGGTCCAGGAAGAGTGCGAGAAGATCTCTGCAACGGTTTGCACTAATCTCGTAGATAACATGCCTAGGAGGGTGTGGGTGGTGATCAAGGCCAAGGGTCGGTGTGCTAGGTACTAGAAACCTGTTCGGAAGTTAACGCTTTGTCCCGGGAAAAAACTGTCCGGATGACCCCCTTGTATAACTTTTGGCACAAAGTTAGATCTAGTGTACTCCTATGGACTTAAATGATGTGAACACATCCACTATGTGCCCCTCCAAAAGCGTACCACCATTAAACATTAAGACTTTATGTACCATGGTCAGAAGGCATAAAAACCCTAATTAGAGCCAAACATCCGGACAGTTTTTTCCGTCACTGTAACCTGTGGCCGCACCCTCAGCAGCCGCAGGTTTCGCCGACCCGTCTTTGGACTGGGTCCCCTGGTGACGCGTCTGCGTTCCACGTCTGGGGCTGCCTTGCTCACGTTCGTGCCTCCGGCACGGACAAGCTCACTGCCCGCACCCTTCCCTGCGTCTTCCTCGGTTTTCCCCTTGACGCGTCCGACTGGCACTTTTACCACCCGCCGTCTCACCGTTTCTTTCACTCTCGCGACGTCACCTTTGACGAGTCCGTTTCCTACTACCGTCGCTTCCCCCACCGTGGTCCCCCGGTTACCCCCCCCTGTTCCTGGTCACTCCTTCCCCGGTAGTCCCTGCCCCTCCTCCTCCTCCTCCCCGTCCAGCCCCCTCTGGTGTGTCCCACGTCACCCCCCTTCCATCGGCGGACCCGGTTGAGGAGTCCTCTGACTCTGGTGGCCCTCCTGTGCAGTCCTCGTCGGCTGCCCCTTCCCCGGTGTCCCCTCCCCAGTCCCCTCCTCCACCGCCTCTGCCGCCGCTGCAGCCGTCGTTGTCGCTGCCGCCGCCGCCGCCGCGGTCGCGGCCCCCGTTCGCTGACTCTGGGGGTGCTCGTCCCGGTCGCCCTGGGGGTGGCCCCTCTGGGGGTGCTGGAGTGGAGAGTGCCGGTGGTAGCCGAGGAGCAGCTTGCGGTCCAGGTGTCGCCGTTGCGCCGCCGCAGCAGCAGTCCCCGCCGGTGTCAGCCCTTCGCCTGCTCGGCCTTCCGTCACCCGACCCTGCGTCTGTTCCTCCCCGGCCGTCTCCTCCTCTTCCTGTCTACGGCCCGGTTTTCCCTCCACCGGACTCGTCCCCGGCCTGTCTTCCCCCTCGTTCCCCTCCTGTGTCACCTCCCCTGTCTCCTGACCCGACTCCTCCGTCGCACGTCTGGTCTCACCGTCCCTCCCGTGCTCGTCCTGCCTCGCCTGTCTTGCGCTCCCACCCTATGTTGCTTCGTTCCCATGCGTCTCGTCCTCCCCTTCTGCCGTCGCCTCCTCCGTCCTCCCTTGTTGTTGCACCCCCCCCGCTGTCTGACTACCTTCGTGCCGCTCGTCCCCTTGTTCCTCGGGTCCTTGCCTCTCTCGTTACCGACCCGTCTGTTCCGGTCTCGTGCCTTGACGCTCTTGTCGCTGCTGTCGCTGACTTCGCCTCTACCCGCCGCCTTGATTACGCCACAGCTCTGGTCTCTGACCCTGCCTGTCCTCCGTCTGTCGGGGGTGCTCCTGCTCTTGGCAGTGACGTCCTGGAGGACCGCCAGTTCGAGCTTGCTTTCCTCTCCGAGGCTGCTCCACATCTCTGTTCCATGCTGCTAGTCCCTGAGGGTGACCCAGACGCTTTCGACATCCCGACCCCTCGCACTTACGCTGAGGCGACTTCGGGACCCTGGGCCTCACAGTGGATTGCTGCCATGGAGCAGGAGATGGCATCTTGGAGATCCACCGGCACCTACGTCGACGCAGTTCCCCCACCTGGGGTGAACGTAGTCGATGTCCGCTGGCTCTTCAAGGTGAAGCGCCCTCCTGGAGAGCCGCCTGTCTTCAAGGCGCGCTATGTGGCTAGAGGCTTCAGTCAGCGCGAGGGGGTGGACTTCTTCCAGACCTTCGCTCCGACCCCGAAGATGACTACTCTTCGGGTTCTGTTACACATAGCTGCTCAGCGTGACTACGAGCTTCACTCCCTCGACTTCTCCACTGCCTTCCTTCAGGGCAGCCTACACGAGCAGGTCTACTTGCGTCGCCCTGAGGGCTTTACTGGCACCTTCCCTCCTGGGACCCAGTGGCTCCTGCGGCGCCCCGTCTACGACCTGCGCCAAGCTCCCCGTGAGTGGCACGACACTCTCCGTGCTACGCTTGCTGACCTGCAGTTCTTTCCGTCTTCTGCAGACCCTTCACTCTTCGTTCGTGCTGGCCAGACTCCGTTCTACATCCTTGTTTACGTCGACGACCTGGTCTTTGCCACAGCAGACAGGGACGCACTGGCCTCCGTTAAGGCAGAGCTGCTGAAGAGACACACGTGCACTGACCTTGGAGAACTGCGCCGCTACCTTGGCTTGCAGATCTCCAGGGACAGAGCATCGCGCACCATCACCCTGACTCAGTCACACTTGGTGCGCCAGGTCCTTCAGAGGTTCAGCCTTCAGTTCTCCTCGGCACAGCCCACCCCTCTGCCTGTAGACCACAGACTCTCCGCTCCAGTGTCTGAGGAGTTGGTAGAGCCCAGTGGCCCCTACGCAGAGCTGGTGGGTTGCCTCATGTACCTGATGACTTGCACTCGCCCAGATCTCGCATACCCTCTCAGCATCCTGGCTCGTTTTGTGGCCACAGGCAGACACCGACCGCAGCACTGGTCTGCCGCTAAGAGGGTTCTGCGTTATCTTGCTAGTACATTGGGCATGGGGTTAGTACTAGGAGGACGCAGGCCAGTGGTCCTTACTGGACACACAGACGCTTCGTGGGCAGACGACGCCGAGACACTTAGGTCTACCCAGGGCTACTGCTTCAGCCTTGGCTCAGCTGCCGTCTCGTGGAGAGCTACTCGCTCCTCGTCTGTAGCGCAGTCGAGCTGTGAGGCTGAGATCTACGCTGGTGCCATGGCGGCACAGGAGCTCCGCTGGCTGACCTTCTTGCTCACTGACTTACTGTAGGTGAGCGGCCTAGCTCTGCCCCGGTCCTGTTCGCTGACAACAGGGCCATGATCCTCCTGTGCCAGGAGCCTCGACTTGAGGGCAGAGCGAAGCACATTCAGCTGCGGTACTTTCTCCTGCGTGAGCTACAGCAGCGACGTCAGGCTCGCGTAGTACACTTGGCCTCAGGTGCCAACACGGCTGATATCTTTACGAAGGCGCTTGCGCCTAAAGATCATCAGCGGCACTGTGTACAGCTTGGTCTAGTTCCTGTAGCCTCTCACTTGCTAGGACCTTGACTTTGTACTGTCCTTAATATGTATACTCAGACTGGACTTGTGTCCTCTCGCAGTGGCTGGACTAGTAGTGCCGCCCTGCTCTTGTTCTTGCCTTGTCTGTACTCCTTCTGACTGGTCTCTTAGACCCTTGTCTCAGAGGTTGGACTAGTAGTGCCGCCCTGAGCTGCTTGTTTAGGACATTCCCCTATGCAGGTTAGGGGGTGTGTCAAACATGTGTAATTGTCATGTTTGTATAGACTGTATAGGGTCATCTCTTAGAGGGTACAAGACTTAGGTATATCTGTGTGTACTCTCACTCTATCAACTAACACTTCTCTGATTTTGTTAGAGCCATCGAAGATTTTGAGCCATCGGATTTGTATCGACGGACAAGGACGACATGTTGACTTTCTGATACGATGGACCAATCGTACCAGTGAGGACGACACCTGGGTGCCCTCGGACCAGATACAGTCACCTTCGATACTTGTGAATTATTTGGACCGCATGCACGTGGCTGATATAGATCACCTTCGCTAAGGGGGGGTGGTGTAAGGAATTTTCCATTCCTTACCGAGCAGTACTGCTATCGCGTACGCTCGAACACACCCGAAGCCTCGGGACTGTTCCAGACCTTCTGACAGAACCGCCTCGGCTTCTCCAGACCTTCTGGTTCGACCTTCGGGAGTTCTCCGGGCCTCGCTCCGTCACTTCGAGACCCTTCGATCTCTCTCCCGAACCTCACCATCGCATGGTTAGACTAGCTCTGGTGCTCCTATATCTTGGCTTGCCATTCCTTGTATCGTCATCCAGTGAGTGAACATTTCGTTATTCATTTCCGCGCTACTCTGCTTGTTCATTCATAACAAGTGACGTATTTACTACAAAAGCAGAACGTAGGGAGATTTTAGCTATACATTCCTCGATTTCTCCCGCGAACTCAGCTTTTGATTTCTCCTTTTCTTGGGATTGCCTTCACCTGCCTCGAGTTTGCCGCCACTAACTCGCCCTCACCACCACCACCAACCTCCATTCAGTTTGCCATTTCTGATGGTGATCCAAGAGGCAGCCATGACATGACATGACCACTTCGCACCAAGCATTGTTGCTGGCAGCAGCCGTGCATTATGGCGCGCTCGTAGAGCAATTTTCAGATGTTCATATGGATTTGTGAGACATTAAGCTCAACCTGTTTCTCTTGAGCTGGGTATGTGTTTCTTTCGCCGGTGAAGTCAAGCACCTGGATCGTCGCGTAGGCATTGTGAGGCGAGTTGTGCGTCCAACTGCTTGAGAATTTGATTCGTCAAGGCTGAAATGTTTTCGCGAAGCTTAGGATAAGCGGGCGAATTGCGGATAAACGCGAGAGTAGCAGGCGAAGTGGATCAGGTGTTACTTTCGCGACGTGATGGATAGGCGACATTCGGGAGCGCCGGTACATCGCACGGGGTCCGACACCACTGCGCACCGCTCTGCACCAAGCGCCGACCTGCCGGTTCATCGCACGGGATCGTCGTCTGTCGCCAAGAAGAAGAAGCTCGTACAGACTCGTCCGATCGCGTCGGGTGCAAGGTGCGAATGCCATTTACGTAGATCCTACTCAGTGTGAACGAATTTTCAACCTTGTGAAGCTTCGCCGTCAGGGTTGTTCGGGTGCGTTACCTGGGGCTCATGGTACGAGCGGTTTCAGAACGGCTCTTCTAGTTGATGCAACCTCGTCCGCATTATTTCCGTGTTGAGTTTTAGTATGATAAAAAAAAAAGAGGTAAGACTGAACCTACTTGCTGTATCAGGCAGTGCGTCATCACACGTCATCAAGTTACTAACTGCGTGTTGGAGCCGCGTTCTTCTCATCTAGAATCGACGCACCAAACCACCCTCCATGCTCCGGCACTCCTTCCCTCTCACAGGTCCCCCGAGCCTGGCTCTCCGCGAGCCTCCTCCCCGAAGCATGGCCCGGCTTCACCCAAGCCTCTCATCCTGCACCCCTCAGGCAGAGCCGCACCTCCCTCAGTCCCCACCCACATGATCCCACTAGACAAGGAAGAGCAATCCTCCCATGTCCCGCCCCTAGAATCCACCCCTCCTTCCGGCTCCCCCCGGTCCTCTGCTGGCTTCTGGGGGACTGAAGCGCACCAGCAGAGGCATCAGCAGCAGAAGGCCGGTTCCACCTCTTCCTCTTCCTGGTTTACAAAGGAGGACGCTGACGACATTCTTGGTGCTGCGGGGCTGTCAGGGGGGAAGATTCCCTCGGGAATTGCTGGAATCGCGGCTGTAGCGGCTCAGCTCGCCCGCGCTGCTACAGCCGCGTCCCCCCCACGCCGGCCTCCAGGAGGGAGGGAAAGTGGTCCGGAAAGGGAAAGATATGACCCGGAAAAGCAGTACTTGAGTAAGCCTTCAGGGGGATTGTCCGGGTTTATTGAGAGGAAATATCAGACCCCACCAAAGCAACAGCAGCAGCAGCAGCAGAAGCATGGAGGCGGCATGGGGTTTGGAGGAACCGGAGCAAGCCCGGAGTTTGGTGTTCCGAAGCGATCAGGTTCGGGAACTGGCCGAGCCTTGCTCGGTTTGGGAGTGTCTCCTGACCGTCCCTCCAGCTCCACCGGCCGACCCTCCAGCTCCGGTGGCCGAACCTCTGGTACAGGAGTGGGTGCTAGCAGCAGGATTGCGTATAAAGGGGCGGGTGGATGGGGAGGGAGTGAGAAAGCGGAGGAGGAGGACGAAGGGTGGGGGGCAGAAGTGGAGACAGATGAGTGGGATAAAGGCAGCACGGATGGGTGGGAGGGTCTAGGAGCTGCAATCACAGTCAAAGCTCCCAAGCCTCTCACCAGCGGCACCAGTGTTGCATGCAGTGCTGGTGTTACAGCAAGTGTTGCAGCACCAGGAGGGAAAGGTTCTGCTATGGGTGTTACCAGGACTGCATCAGTAGGCAGTGGTGGTGGCGGTGGTGGCAGCGGCGGCGGCGGTGGTGTTAGTGGTGGTGCGAGCGCTACTGGCGGTGCTGATTTTGATGACGACGATGGTGGCAGCAGTGGAGGGTGGGATAACTCAGACTGGGAGTCCTTATCCCCTGTAGCTGGTGGTGGGCATGCTTTGTCGTCTTCTACTGCCAGTGGGCATTCCGCGTCCTCGTCTGGAGCACGACCAGCAGAGGACACGAGGGGGAGGAGAGGCAGGGGACTGGGAGTCGATTCTTTAAACAGAAACCCTGGAGGCGAAAGGGGAGGGGGAGGGGGAGGAGGGGATGGGGAGTGGAGGGGCAACAGAGGCGGAGTTGGGGTGAAGGGGGGAGGCGGGGGGAGCGGGGATTGGGGGAACTGGGGCTCGTGGGACGGGGGGGAGACAAAGGCAGGGGGGAGGTCAAGCCCCTGGGATGGTAAATCCGGGGGAGTTGGGGGCGGAGGGGGCAGCTGGGGGGGGTGGGGAGGCTCACCCAGGGGCGGTGTTACTGTGCCAGGAGGGGCTGGGAGGGGGGGCATGGGGGGCGGGGGGCTGGGGAGTGGGGGGAAGGGAGGGGTGGGTGTGCCCTTATCCTCTAGAAAGAAGAGGCGGCGGGGGGTGATTCTATGCTGCCTGGTCAGTTCAGTCGTGATGGTGGTGCTGCTGCTAATGGTAGGATTTATAGGGGGTTTCTCGGTTCAATCAAGGGTGAGGAAAGAAAGCAGCGGAACGGGCAGCAGCAGTGAGATTGATGTTCCTAGTGACGGCGTCAGCAGCAGCAGCAGTGGTGGTGGTGGGGGTAGTGGTGCCAGGGATTCGTCTTCGGTTATTGGAACCTTATCCCCTGTTGTTCCAGATAGTTCTTTAAGCGCGGGACTCGGGACACAGGGGCAAGGGCAGGTATTAGACCCAAAGGAAGGCCAGTATGGTGAAAGGGGCGGGCAAGGACAGGACGTGCAAGGAGGTGGCATGAGAAGGGAAGGAGACGGGGAGCGGGAGGTTAAGGGAGAAAGCGGGGTAGAGAGGGGGGGACTTGGGGAGGCTGATGCTGAGGAGGGTGGTACTGAGGAGGGGGATATTCGGGTGAGCGGGCGGGTTGGGGCTCGTGGAAGGGGGAGGGTTACTGGCAGGATGAGACAGGATGGGGTGCGGAGAGGGGATGGGGCAGAAGTTTCTAGGAACGATGCTGGTGTTGCTGGTGGTGTTGGTGCTCGTGGTGCTGATGGTGTTGGTGTTGGTGTTGGTGGGGGTGTGAGAGGTGCTGGTGTTACTGCTGGCGTGGGCGGTGCTGGAGAAAGCCTGCCAGAGGACTCGTTAAGGGGTGACCCGGTATTGGAGGCAGCAGCTAGGCTCGTGGGAAAGCGCACAAGGGCTGAAGACGAGGAGCTTGATAGTGAAGCGGCAGGGGAGGAGGAGGTGGAAGGGGGGGGGCAGGTAGGGAGACAGGGGCAGATGGAAAGAGAGGGGCAGGTGGGGACACAGGGGCAGGTGGAAAGAGAGGGGCAAGGAGAGAGGAGGGGAGACGGGCTGAGAAGGAGGGAGGGGGAGGCAGAGGGGGAGGAGGGGGAAAGGAAGCTTGAGGAGGGGAGGTTGGGGCAGTCTGATATTGAGATGGCGCAGGATGGGGGGGAGATGCCGCGGGGTGAGGGCGAGGCGCAAGGGGAGGGGAGAGAGGCGGGAGGAGGCGAGGGGGGAGGAGACGAGGGGGGAGGAGACGAGAGGGGAGGAGACGAGAGGGGAGGAGACGACAAGGGAGGAGTGGATGGGGAGGATCTTCAGCAGCAGCAGCAGCTGAGAGAACGAGAGATTGTGCAGCAAGGTGTTGCCGCCTCTGATGATCGTCCTCAGGGCGTGCCACTGCCCCTTAGTGCTGCTGGCGCTACAGGTCGTGGGACCGACAGGGGGTTTGCTGGTGCTGATAGGGAGGGTGAGAGGGGGGGAAGGTGGGACCTGGGAAGGGAGAGGGCGAGTGAGAGGGGCCGAGGGGGGGATAATGAGGGAGAGGACGGGGTGGAGGTGGATCATGAGACGGAGGATCGCCATGTGAGGACCGGGGCTTTAAGGGACGAGGGGGAGGGGGAAGGGGAAGGGGAAGGGGAGGGGGAAGGGGAGGGGGAAGGAGGAGGACAGGATTCGGATGCTGTAGACAGAGGAGGGAGAGAGCCAGTATCGGATCGTACTGGCATGGAATCGGGTGCTGGAGGGAGGGATGGGAGAGAGCAAGTGTCGTTTGAGTCGACTCAAAAGCAAGTGCTGGACCTTACGGGAGACTTTGACTCCAGAGGAGGCCAGGGATCTCTGGAGCGAACGACGGGTGCAGCGAGATTAGAAGCGGGCGGGATGGGACAACAACCACAGGGCGGCACGGCAGGTGGGGCTCAAGAGGTGGGAGAGGGGGGTGGGCTGAGGGGAGCAGGAGGAGCCTCAGACGCAGAGCGCATGGGGGGTGTGAGTCTGGGAGGATCAGGATTGGTAAGAGGGGCTGCTGCCGGAGTGGCAGGAGCAGGAGGCGTACGTGGTGTGGAAGGAGAAGGGGTTGGGAGTGTGGGCATGGCAAATGTAGGGACGAGAGATGCAGGGATGGGGGATGCAGGGATGAGGGATGCAAGGGTGAGAGAGGGAGAAGGCGAGAGCAAGAGCCATGAGGAGGATGATGAGGTGCTCCGGGGACTGGGAGGAGTGGAAGGGGAGGAAGAGACTGTGGCAGGTGGTGGCGCTACTGCTGCTGTTCGCACTGCTGCTACTGCTACTGACATTGATACTGATGTTGGTACTGACGTTGGGCTATCTCGTAGTGCTGGTTCTATGGGAGAGCGGGTAGAGGAGAGGAGGGGGGTGATTGAAGGAGGAAGGGCAGGAGGCGGAGAGGTGCAGGGAACGGAAGCAGTGGAGGAGGACGTGGAGGGGGAGGTAGAGCAGAGGGCAGCAGGGGAAGATGGAAAGGAAGAGGAGGAGAGGGAGAGGGAGGGCGAGGGAGCAGGGGACGGTGTGGGAGAAGGAGAGGAGGATGGGGATAGAGAGGCGGATGGGGATGTGGAAGGAGAGGGGGATGGGGAAGCGGGCATGGGGATGGGAGGGGAGGGTGATTTGGATGGGGGGATGGAGGGTGAGATGAGGGCGGCCAAGAGAGTGCATAGGAGGAGGAAGAGGAGGACAGGAGGGTCTTTTGCTGGTAGCCAGGATATCAATAGGGGCAGTAGCAGCAGCAGCACCAGCAGTGGCAGCAGCAGCGGCAGGAGCGGCGGCAGGAGCAGTGGCAGCAGCAGTGGAGCCACTACCCTCAACCTGGTTAGCAACAGTGGTCGTAGTGCTGGTTCGATCAGGCAGGAAGGCTCATCTGACGGAGCCACGGTTCCAGGTAGTGGTGCTCGAGAGAGAGCAGGCCAGCAGCTGCAGCAGCCTCGGTTTGAGATGGTTCAAGGTGCTCAAGAGAGGGTTGGTGCACCGCAGCAGCCGCGTTTTGAGACGGCTCAAGAGGGACGGGGGAGGGTAGGTGGGGGGCAACAGCCGGGGCAGTTGCTGCAGCCACAGCAAGCGCGAGGGGTGGACGGGTCTCAGGTGGTGGGCCAAACAGGAGAGGATAGACTGCCTCAGCAGACAACGCAGCAGATGACACTGCTGGGGCAACAGCAAAGGGCACAGCAGATGACACAGCAGATGACACCACAGATGACACCGCAGATGACACAGCATGTGCAACAGGAGCAGGCCGTGCGCCAACAGCAGGAAAAGCCCAAGTCGGGTTCAGGCTCAGTTTCAGGTTCAGGTTCAGGTTCAGGTTCAGGTTCAGGTTCAGGTTCAGTTTCAGGTTCAGTTTCAGGCTTAGATTCAGGTTTGACTTCAGACCCGATTCTTGGGCTTGATGAGGCTGAGAAGCTGTTGAGGGATGTGCCTCTCTCTGGTGACGTGGCAGGGGATAAGTCCTCGTCATCACTTCCTGCGTCCACCTCAGCCGTAATCACATCCACATCAGCAGCGTCCACCTCACTTCAATCGCACTCGCAGCAACAGAATATGCCATATTTGACTAAATCGACCTCTTCACTCCGTGTTGGCGCTCCTGCTGTTGTCACCCCTGCTACTGTCACAGCTACCCCTGCTTCAGCTGCTACCAACAAAAGCGGTTCTCCCAGCAATATGATTACCAGATCTGTTACACCTCCCACAACTGTTACAAGCACTGCTACTCCCTCCACAACCGGTGCTTCTACTGCTGCAGTAGCAGCAGCAGGAACAGGAGAAGGAGCAGCAGGAGCAGGAGCAGCAGGAGCAGGAGCAGGAGCAGCAGGAGCAGGTGCAGCAGGAGCAGGAGCAGGAGCAGCAGGAGCAGGTGCAGCAGGAGCAGGAGCAGCAAGAGCAGGTGCAGCAGGAACGGGAGGTGTGGGTGCAGGAAACACAGCTTCTCGTGCTGCACCCTCTCAGGATCTGCCTCAACAGCCAGTCTCCAGACCTGTCGTTCTAGATTATGCAGGTTTGGGAGCTATTGAAGAGCTGCGGCGAAGTCCTGCTGTAACTTCAGGCTCGGTGGGAGGTTCGGCAGGGAGCGGAGGCTCGGCAGGGAGTGGAGGTTTGGCAGGAGTAAGTGATTCGTTTGCAGGGGAAGCTGCTGCAGGAACAGCAGCCGAAGGAGCAGCAGGAGTAGTAAGAGGAGTAGCAGCAGGAGGAGCAGCAGCAGGAGGAGGAGCGACTGGGGCATTAGCAAGGGGAGCAACAGCCAGAGCAACAGGAGCAGCAGGAGGAGGAGCAGGAGGAGGAGCAGCAGGAGGAGCAGGAGGAGCAGGAGGAGGAGCAGGGGGAGCAGCCACCATGCTCCGAGGAGCGGGTGCCACATCAGCATTAACAGCCAAGTCGGCAGCATTAAACCCAACAGCAGTAATCGCACCACCAGCATCAACAGCATCAGGAACACCACAACCAGCAACACTATCACCGTCAGTCGCAACATCTGTAGCAAAGCCAGCACCTACCACTCCCGCAGCTGTAACAAAGCCAGCACCTGCCACCCCTGCAGCTGTAGCAAAGCCAACCCTCCCTTCTGCAACCCTAACTCCAGCCTCAGCTGCTGATGCAGCCAAAGTTCCTGCAAAAGCAGCTGCTGCAGGGGCAGCCAACGTGCCAGCAACCCCTGTAGTAGCAATTGCTGGCATGGCCACGTCTAGTCCAACAACACCAGCAACATCTAGTCCCACCACAGGGATTTCCACAGGCACATCTACTCCCACCGCTCCAGCAATCTCCAAAGCCGACAGCGAAGCCTTGGCAAAGCTAATGCAAGGGAAGCCAGGTTCGGCAGCTGGAGGTTCGGCACCAGCCAGCCCAGCAACCTCGGCCAGACCAGCTGCACTTCCTTCACCAGCAGCAGCAACCTCAGCTCCAACCAAGATCGTGCCCCCTGCTGCTGCGGTCGCAACGCCTCAGCAGCAGCTGCAGCAGCAACAGCAGGAGGAAAAGCAGGCAAAGGCTGCTGCTGCAACTCAGGCCAAGCCACTCCCTGGCACTCAGCCAGCAGGCAAGCCACAAACCCCTCAAGCTACTGGTGCTGCTGCTGGTGGTGCTGGTGGTGCTGGTGGTGCTGCTGTCGCTGTTGCAAGCCCAGCCAAACCAGCAGCCGGTGCAGCAGGTGGTGCTGGTGCTGGTAGTCCTGGTGGTACTGCTGCTTCTGGTGGGTCTGCCACTGCTGTTGGTGCTGGTGTTGCTGCTGCGTCTACCAAACCTGGAAATGCAGCTGCATCAGGTGCCAAGCCTGTTACCCCTGCACAGGTTGCATCCACGCAAGTCACTCCCACAACGGGTGCTGCTGCTGGAAGCTCAATTGCCAAAGTGGCTGCTGGCAGTGCTGCTAAAGCCAGTTCGGTTGAGAGTGGTCAAGTTGGTGGAGTGACGAGCAGTGTTATGCAACAAGTAACAAGAGAATCTAGTGCGGCATAGCAAATTTGAATTGAGATACAGTCATTATCTCTGTGGTTATCGGTGGTGGAGATAACTCGCTTGTTTTAGGCATGTTACAATTTTTTTTGTTGGAGTCTATCTTTGTTGAATGTATGAATATTGTAAGCAATATCAGTCTTGTAAGGTTTCACGAGCTAGTCAGTTTCCGCCACACCACCGACAGGTCCTGGGGAATGCTGACCATGCTGTAACGCGTACCTCAATCTTCCCCGCTATCCCCCCAAACCAAATCCCCCTTCGCCTCACCACCAGCCTTCCCCTTGGGAATTTCGCGCCAATGTTTTGCAAGGTTCGCAGCAACCTCATGGGGGTAAGAACCTCTCATCTGTGGTGGCTGTTCTAGGAGGTTAGTGAGTGGTCATCGACAGGCGTAACGCCACGATTCCCGCGCTGGAGCTTCAGCACCCGTATACACTGCTTCCGTTCTCCTCTCCCCGCTTTCTCCCTCCTCCGCATTTTTGCCTGTCGTTCCGAATCCGAAGCCCGATCTGAGAGCATGCGATATTGCTCCGACAAGCCGCGGTTGTCGGCCGCGACTCTGCGGCAATTTTGATTCTCACGCGTCAGAAGCAGCATTTTCCACTGCCTGGCCTTCTTTAGAAATTTAATACATAGGCTCAGCAAGCCCGCGCGCCATGGCGCCTAGGTCCCGCAATTTCTCGCTGGTGGCCTTCCTCGTTCCCTTCCTCCTCCTCCTCCTCCTCTCCTCCCTCCCTTCCGCCGATCCCGCCCGGGATAGAGGCGGGGTAAGGGGGGGGGGAAGGGGCGGGGGAAGGGCCGCTTCGCGTTCCGCCCCTCGCGTGCGGAGGGGGAAAGATCCTCGATCCATCTCCCCCGCCGCGTCCGGCCGCTCCTTTTCCGCCTCTTCTGCCTCTTCCGCCATGCTCCCCGCAGCAGCTACCGCCGAGAAACTCGCCGGCTGCAGCTGCTACACCGTTCGCAACACCTTCTGCTGCTGGCAGTCGCTGTGCGTCTGCAGCAACGTGTGCTATAACGGATCCGCTCTTGTCGGGGATTTCGGGTCGCAGCCTTGCATCCGCGCTCCGCTCCCGGAGGCGCCGGCGGCGGCGCCAGGGAAGGGCGGGGAAAATGAGACTCCCCGCCAAAAGCGGCGGCGGCAGCAGCTGCTGCTGCAGGAAAACCCCCTCGCGCCGGTGACGTGTCGCCGATTGGATAAATTCCGGCGTATTTTGCGGATCACGTTAAAGGAGTCGCCTATAGACGGGATAGGGCAGCGCGACAAGGGGTAAGATGCTGAAAATGGGTACCGCTTATGGAGCACCTTCGTTGATGAGCAGGTTTCCAGCGCATCCTAAAAGAATTATCTCTACACAAAAGAAAAGAACAAATAAATGCCGCTCCATCCCTCGAAGTATCAGAAGCAGCATTTGCGCCCTTCCGCCTTTTCACCCCCCCTCGCAGGTGGCGCAAGGAACGAGAGCGCATTGAGTGGCGGTCAGGCACCACGTACCTGCAGCCACTTGACGCAGATTGCCTCAACATTGCGTCGTTCTTTGGTAAGAATCTCCGTTAGACGTAGGACAACGCATCCAAGCAGTCGCTGCTTTTGCCTCTACCGCCCTTGCCCCTTCCCCCACTCCCCTTTCACCCCTCCCCTTCCCCCACTCCCATTCCTCCCTCCCCTCCCTCCCCCCCAGGCAAAGTGGGTCAGATTCTCCTGGTGAACAATGCCTCTAAGCCCGCCCTGCCCCATGCTGTGGATCGCTTCATGTTCCCACGCGCCCCTCAACTGCTGCAAGCGTAAGTATATCTCTTAGATAAACACCCCAAAAAATCAGCCCGCCCTGCCTCTCGTGCGGTGGACTGGTTCTTGTTCCCACGCTCCCCACAGCTGCTGCAACGCCTTTCTCTCACGCCTTTCTCTCACGCCTTTCTCTCACGCCTTTCTCTCATGCCTTTCTCTCATGCCTTTCTCTCACGCCTTTCTCTCACGCCTTTCTCTCATGCCTTTCTCTCATGCCTTTCTCTCATGCCTTTCTCTCATGCCTTTCTCTCATGCCTTTCTCTCATGCCTTTCTCTCATGCCTTTCTCTCATGTAGACCGGGTGTGTTTTGAGTTGATTCAAAACACATCTAGTAAGTCTTTCTCTCATGTAGATGTGACGACCGCTACCTGAACCCAGCTGATGCATCCGCTCCCTTCCACTTGCCTATCCTTCCTCTCCCCCCTTTCCTCCCTGTGCACACAAACCCCCCAGCTTTGCTGAAGGGAAAAGTTTTGGGTGCATCCGCTTTTCTTTCCCTTTTGCTGTCTTTTGTCGGTCCGTCCATGGGCCGTTGCAATGCTTGATCCCCCTCTCCCCTTGTGGGCCCCAACCCCAACCCACCATTCAAGCACTCAAGCAGTCGGCAAGGACAGCTGGCACGTGGTGGTGCTGCGGCAGCTGCACTCACCTCTTCTCTTCCTCCCAATCCAACCCCCCCTTCCCCCTGTGCCCTCCTCCCCCCTCCCTCCTGTCCGATGCAACATTCCACAGCCTGCAAGCAGCGGGCAAGGACAGCTGGCACGTGGTGGTGCTGCGGCAGCTGCTGGGGCTGGCAGTGGCGCCGATGCTGGGAGAAAAGGCACTCAGAAAGAGCAGCATGGCGGCTAGGAGGTGAGCACGCTTGTTGATGCCATTGTCAATTCTGTGGAAAGCTTCTCTTTTCTCTTCCTTTCTCTGCCGATCCCACATTGCATGGGATAAGGCAGGTCTCTTGGCCCTGGACCGCTAGGGGGGGGCCTTTGTGAGTGCAGTTCGGAGCTCGCGTTTTTTAGGCATTCAAAGCTTCTAACACCCACCCCCCATTTCTTCCTCCCAACCAGATTCCTCGGCACACAACCTCTCGCTGGGGGCATTGTCGAGGTCGAGCCCGCATTCGAAGCTGCCTCAGAAACTCGCCCCCTGTGCTCCCCTCCCCCACCCCCTGTCCCGCATTGGACCATTTATACCCCCCCACCAGATTCCTTGGCACAGACCCTCTAGCCGGGGGAATTATCGAATTTGAGCCAGCGTTCGAAGCTGCCTCAGAAACCCGTCCTCTGTGCTTCGCAAAGGTGGTAATCCCGGGGAAACTTAAAGCCATAACTTACCCTGGCGGCCCTTCCGAAGCCGAGATGTTTAAAGCCCATCTCGGCTCGTCGCTCGCTCTGCCCAATCCGCCGCTGCCAGCTGGCAACAGCCACAGTGCGCGCGCCAAGCCCCGCGTGCAGCTACTGTTCATCCGAAGGAACAGGACGAGTGTGGGCGGGCGGCGAATCATGGACGATGGGAGCGACGGGGCGCTGTACGACCTCTTTTACGACATGGGCTTTAAGGTGAGCAATGGGACTGCTTTTGAGTTGACCCAGATTCTGGCGCTGGACGAGCGTGGGCAGTGTCTGAACTGAGTTTTTTGTCTGGTCATTGGATGGAAGGGTTTCCCTCCTTTCCCTGTGCTAAATGCACTGATCGCACTGACCGCACAACTCCATTACCTCTTCACCCCATGCCCCCCTCACCATGCACCCCTTGCCTGCCTTGTTCTCAGATTCGGAGGGCGGATTTCACGCGCCTTTCCTTCCGCCAGCAGTACGAAGCCGTGCTCAACGCAGAGGTCATAGTGGGCGTGCACGGGGCCGGCTTGACTAGCGCCGCAGCTTTCGCCCGGAACCGCTCCGTCGTTCTGGAGATAATGCCGCATAATACATTCAATCCGCGGTATTATTTCATGGCGCTCCAGGCCGGCGTGACGTATTTCCTGCACCAGCTGCGTCCAGGTGCCAAGCAGCCATTGGACGAGGAGTTTGAGACGCTGACGGTGCGCAAGTGCTCCGGTGTCCCTGATTGTCGCAAGTATTTTTATGAGGATCGGCTTGTGAATGTGACAAAGGAGGATTTGGAGGATTTGAAGGTGCTTTTGGAGGAGGCTCGGTTGTTTGTGCGTCAGGCTCGGTGGAATTTGAATTGGGCGGGAGGACGGCTCAAGACTCGCTATGAGACACTCTGCTCTGCAGGGAAAGCGAGGGATATTGGGTGCCGCATGGATTTGATTCGGTCGCCTGTGGCCGACGTGAAGACGGAATGCGTGATGAAGATGGACTGCTTAACGGTTAAACCCATGTTGGCTGATGACCTGGACGACATCATGTGAATGTCATTTGGAGCTGATTTGTTGATGGACTTATCCTAAGCTTGGTAAGTTATTTACTTGTCCAGCTGTGTTTCGGCTTTTATCATATTATTGGAGACTCACTGTACCGTTGTGCTTTGGTCCACTTTCATGAACCAAACAGTCCCGACAGCTGGACACGTGGACCCACCAAAACCCGTCGACCTTGCCTTCTGTAACAAGGGAAAGCGTCGTGTGTCCGACTTGCCGGCCAGTCGACCTTCGCAGCGGGTGCAAAAACGGGATACTGTGCTGTACTGTATGCCATCTACTGTACGGAATTGTCATTGTTGGCCTGCGATTTCGTCAGCCCCACGCTGACCTCGTAAACCCTTCGTCAACCCGAAGCGACTGACGACGGCTGCACACGAAGGGCAACGCGTCGCGTTCAAAACGGTCAACAAGCCGCCAAGCTGGCAGCCTCGCCAACGCGGTAAATTCGTTTCGCCAACACCAACGACCTCCTTCGTTCGTTTCGCCGAGAGGCGTGTGGACATTTCCCTCCCTCCCTATTGGATCCAACATCAAAACTCTTTCCAATTTCCTTTTCACAATCCCACCATTCCCCAGTGTAGGTTCTGAAAGCAGGGTCCGAAATTCCAACGCCAACAAGAAACGGTTTTCAAGGCGCAATCAGGCGTAACTGTAACAACACTAGGTACAGTCGGACTTGCGGAATCGTTCGTTTCCACGGGTTATTCCGAAAGCAGCAATCCGTGGAAATTAGCGGCGGTTGTTAGACGGATTCTCCCAGGAAACAAGGCAGCGGCACGGTTTAGTCTCCTTAGCAGCGTAGTACGCGAGGGCACTCGAAACTCTAGGTGATGACAAGACCGCATATCGTGGCGCTGCAGAGCAGAGAAAACGTCCCAGAGACGCAAATCGTGCAGACTTTATCACCAAGAGTGTGCACAGACCCAGACGCGCGAGCCAGGAGGCCACTGGTGGGACAGCACACCTCTGGGAATTGCAGCGTTGAAATGGGTGCGGCGGGAGGTTTCAACGGTGTGGGTGGTGGTAGATCCACGGTCGGACGGCTGGCAGAGGGCATGACGGCTGGCGGGAAGAGGAGCCGTAGCATGGGGAACATGGGCGGCAGGATCGAGGAAGGAGGTATGGGAACCATGGGAGCGGGAAACAAGGAAGGAGGTGTGGGTACTAGTGCCGTGAGATCGGGGGGCACGATCTGCGAGTGCGTGAGCTGGCTGAGCCAGCGAAGCGCCGCTGCTTCTCACCAGGCTGCTGCTATTGCTGCTGCTGCGTCGTGCTGTGACGGCTGCCGAGGAACCCAGCGCACCGGCCTGGTGGCGGAGCATCAAGGAAAGAAGAGAGTGCGTCGCGAGGCCGAGTCTCTGGACTCTTCCCCCGGGGAGAAAGACGTGTGGACTCGTAACGACCTCGAGCTGCCGCAGCAGCAGCAGCAGCAGCAGCAGCAGCGGAAGGAGCAACGGCAGCAACAGCAGCAGCAACAGCAGCAGCAGCGGCAGCAGCCGGAAAAGCAAGCACAAACAGCCCAGCTACACAGCTCTTCGCCAGGGCAAGAGGCAGCACCTTTCCAAGCCCACACTTCTTATCCCTCAACCTCTGAGAACATTACCTTCTCTAGCTTTCGGAAGCCGATGGAACTCAGCCCTGCTGCTTTGATGCTATCCCCCCATACTCTGCCCCCTCAAGTTCTCTCCCCCCATGCTATGGCCGCAAGCCAGCATGTGTCAGGGGAACCGGGTACATCGGCTGGCAGCAGCAGCCAGGCAGAGCACACGCGGGTGGTGCTGCTGACAGTGCTGTGCGCGGCGCTACAGGAGTTGCTGCGACGGGCGCAGAGGGAAGCTGCTGCTTCCGTCTCTGCTGCTGCTTCTGCTTCTGTGAATGAGCCCTCAGCTGCGCCACAGCAAGGGGTTCTTGTCCTGCAGCAGATCCTGCAGCGCTATCTATCGACTGCAAGACCGTCCAGTTCAGAGGGGCCTGATGTGGACATCCTCCAGCGGGTTCTGGAGCTGTTCTCACCCTCTGCTGCAGCTGCTACCGCTAGCAATGTCACTGCTACTGGTGCTAACGATGGCGCTGCTACGGGCGCTATCGATGGCACTGGTTCTAGTCAGGGTCTCTCAAGCCCTACTGGTTCTTCTTCTAGCGCGTGTGCTTTTAGCGATGCCACTTGTGCAGCTGTCAGAGGCGCGGGTGCATCGCCTTCATCAGCAGCAGCAGCAGCAGCACCACCACCACCACCATCGATAGTGCCTGCTCGGAAGTACAGGGGAGTAAGGCAGAGGGGACCGGGGAAGTGGGTGGCAGAGATCGAAGATGCCGCCCGGAACATCCGCCGGTGGCTCGGAACTTTCTCCTCGCCCGAAGCTGCTGCCCGAGCCTTCGACAAAGCTGCCCGGGAGCTCCGCGGCCCGAATGCAAAGACGAATTTTCCGCTGCCCGGCGAGCCAAATCGGGCAGCTCGTCAACAAACGTCCGGGGGCAGGAATTCCAGAGTGAAATTCGCAGTGCAGAGAGAGGTTGACCTCCCAGGTGTGGACTCAAGCAACGGAGGGTGGTTATACTGCAGGCCGCAAGTCCCGCTAGAAACGCTGCAGATCCCCCCTCCTGGCGACGTTGCGGCGGCAGTCATATCCCAGCAGCTCAACCTTGGTGGTTGCAGACCTCTGGTGGCTAAACGGGTTGGATCAGCTGGGTTGAGTTTTGAGCCACTGCGAACGGCACGTCAGTCTCTGGTGGGTGAGACGGCTGCAGGTGAATCGCACAGTCATGCCACCCACGAGCAGGCTCGCTTTTCTGGTGGAATGGCCCAGCAGCAGCCGAATCACCTGCAATTGAATGAGCAGCCAACAGCCCAGTACCAGAGGCATCAGCAGGAGAGAGAAGCCATGATACAGCAAGAGGTGGTGGGAAATGCTCTTATGAGTGAACCCCAGAGTTCCCTCCCTGTGGCATTTCCCCCTGCAGCTTTGGCACAAGCACCGCCTCCTCAACCGCACTGCACCATTGCAAACCTCCTGGCAAAAATGGTCACTGACAGGGAGGTCAAGGGTGAGAAGTTTGAGAAGGGTGGTGGTTCTACAGGGGAGGAGTTGTGTGAGGGAAGCTCCCCCTTGACCGTTCCTGATGATTGTGATTGGGCGGCGTTAGTATTGGGATGTTGTGATGATAGTGGTGGGTGGGGTGAGATGCACTAGAGATCAGTTGCGTTTTCAGGGTGGCTGCACTAGACACCGGCACTTAATGACAATTTGTTTTGTTTTGAACTCAAACCATAACCTACATTTGAACATTAACATCACATATGGCATGTCAATCAGTATAATTTGCATGTCGTACACTGTGATTTTTTTTCTTAGTAGTTATGCTTACCGTAATCCCCCACAGAAGGCACCCTAGGGAGAACAGAAATTACAGTAAGAAAGAGGGCGGGGGGGGGGGGGGAGGTGTTCACAATTGCTTAGATTCTTACACCCGTTGGGTGCTTTATTATGACATAAGTCAATTTTAATTTCCAATGTACCTTTTTAAAAAAAGGTGGATAGATTTTTCGAGTGAGCCACCAAGTCGTCAAATCGAGGCACTATCTGACAAATTTGGCGAGGTTTCATTAGGAAAAGTGGGATAAGCGCGACTTTCTTGTCGATTTCTCTTTAATCATGTCTGTCGATTTCAAAGGATTTGTGTACATTGCTTCCAAACCGCCCTTGCTGACGTTTTTCCCGAGATTTCACAACTGAGGCTATATCATGTGCTATTATGCATTCAGGGTATTGGCTGAAAATACTAGAGAATACAAAAAATGAGGGGGTGTACTTTCAAATACGAAAAAGGGGTGTTATTGTTAGAAACTTAGGACACTAGCTTCTTAAACTTAGGACACTAGCTTAGCTAGGAAGCTAGGAAGGCCGCCATGGAATGGCGGGAGGAAAGTAGATCTAGGAGAGGACGAACATGTCGAGAGAGAAGAGGGTCGATTAGGAAGAAAGAGGGGTACAAGGAGGGGATTGTACCCTCTACAGAAAGGTTCAGTAACAACTACCAAGCCTATCAATTATATATAGCTTATATAATCTTAACACACCCCCTAGGCTTGGTAGTCACACACCCACCCAACACCCACACACCCCCTAATCCTGTACACCCTCATGCTCGTGCTTAGCCGGGTATCTGACCCTCGTGCTAAGCGTTGACACCCCCGGGCGAGAGGCAGCCTACGGCGTCTGGGTGGCTCAGCGACAAGCAGCGGCGGAGCACTGGCTCAAGGCGGCTGGGTCGCTGACGGCAGGCAGCGACTGCCGCGGCTTAGGGCTCTCGGCAGTGTGGCAACGTCCGGGCAGAAGACAGCAGCTGCGACAGGAGGAAGAGAAGATGCAGGGGAAGGGAGAATGGGGGGTGGGCGGGGCGAGTCTTCAGCGACGCGCCATAAATGGCGCGGCGCTTACTGGCGGGAGGGCGGCGTCCTGAGCGACGCCCGTGGCAGGAGAGCGGGCGGCAGGTCCGGCGGCGCCACAGATGTCGCTCGGCCGGCCGCAGCCCGACGATGCTGTCAGCTGCCCTAGACGCCGCCACAGCGCGGCGTCAATGCCGCAGCGGCGAGGCGGACGGGCGACGGCTGCACCATGAGCCCGCGGCGACATCTCGTAACGGTCGTCGCAGCGGCACGAAGATGAGAAGCCGTCACGGTGGCGCGACAGCAGAAGGCCGCCACGGCGGCAGGATAACAAGTGGCCGCCACAGCGGCAGGGTACTGAAGGGCCGCGACGGCGGTACGTACGCGAACGGTGAAGGCACGCAGCGGAAGCATGGGGAGCAGGCCCAGAAACGGCCTGCTCTGATACCATAGTAGAAACTTAGGACACTGGCTTAGCTAGGAAGCTAGGAAGGCCGCCATGGAATGGCGGGAGGAAAGTAGATCTAGGAGAGGACGAACATGTCGAGAGAGAAGAGGGTCGATTAGGAAGAAAGAGGGGCACAAGGAGGGGATTGTACCCTCTACAGAAAGGTTCAGTAACAACTACCAAGCCTATCAATTATATATAGCTTATATAATCTTAACAGTTATAGCATGTGTTACGATAAGGAAATTGTTACATTCCTGAAAGTGCCACACATGATGTAGTCCTTGTCGAGTCCGAGCCTATGACGAGAGGCACGAAGTGCAACGGTCGTTGACCATTGACTGACAGTCGAACTGACAGAAGTTCAAGGGTCTGTTACGACAGCAAGCACACATAACTGACCTTGTAATACAGCACAAGCAATAACCCGAGTCGTGTGCAATTAGTCGAGTCGGATCTGGAACCTCATAGGGAATGCACCCCTGTTAAGTGCATCATAGTGAGACCCTTCGCATTTTCGTGTATCACTATATGAACCCTGTATTCTCTTGCTATAATAAAAAAATGTTATGATACATTCAATGTTATAATCGACCAATCAACCACTTCTGCAAAGCACACTATTGCAATCCAATCATGGACATCCTACGGATGATATTTGATCACTTCATGGTAAACAGAGCTTATTAGGATTCTATGCACGACATCCCCAATCGTTTTCAAAGTCAAATATCGTGGCGCTAGTGACTCACTCCCGCCACAGAATGGTCCCAGGCTCGGGGTCACGAGGGCAAGGAAGCCCTTCTCCCGAAGCACCTGCAAGCACTCCGTATCCGACGGCAACCACTTCCGTCCCCAAAGGACTCCTCGAGAAATTGCTCCAATGAATGTCAACTCTTGAAGAGGGACTTCAAACTCTTAAGATCGACAGCTCGAGCACCGCTCGCCAAAACACTCGCAGACAAGCACTCTACTCTTGGCTTCTTCAAATTTGACGCCTCCAACACGCAGCCACCTACAAGCATACAACTAAGCGGCGAAGCCCTGCAGTCAGCACAATCAAAGTTCTTCGTTGTTTCTAAGATCAGAACAAGCTCTATCTTCGACGGTCGGGACTCCTACACTTGGAGTTTCGAGTTCACGCTACTACTACAGAGTACTCATATCTTATGCTATTTCGAAGGATCTTACCCCGGATCAACGATCGACACCGAAGACACGAAACGTCGATATTACAACAAATCGCTCATGGCGTTCAGCGTGCTACTCCATGACGTATCCGCCTCCGAGCAACTCGGAATTCGATCGTTCAAAACCCGCGTCGCTCCGGTACGAGACTCCTGGCTATACCTGACGAATGTCTATCAGCAGAAGGACTGCTGCCATCGAGTCGACTGCTCGGCCAACTGCTAGAAGTGAAGATGGCCTCGTGAGTGAAGGCCAACACTTACATTGATCACTGCCGAAACATCCGCGACCAGATCATCAAGCTTGGGAACACCATCACTGAAGATATGTTCGTGACGATCGTACTCGCTGGACTTACCCCCGAATGGCGACCGTGCAAGGCACTACTCCACCAGCTAAGCGAAATATCCGAAGCGACCCTTTGCGCAAAATTACTTGCTAAGCAGCAGGATATGGACCTCTACAAGTAGAGAACTCCGCGCAAGGAGAGGCTTGCTTTCTACTTGGGCCAGAAGGACCTATGCCACGATACGCCAGTCGTCGCTACATTTGCAAGTAACAAAACCTTCTGACACTCTACTAAGCGCTGCCAAAATCGAGCAGGAAACAGTGCAAGACCATCCCACACGCCTATTCCAAGTGGAATTCAATGGGGTCACACCCAAGAGAGGATACCCATCGACCCTTACCCCCAGGACCCGCGCCAAAGCCATCGCCCATCCCATACGGACCAGCGACCAATCCCGCGCCCTCTTGCATCCTCGGACCCTCGTCCGACTCAGCCAGGCTCACATGGTCAACCTGTCCATCGCCAAGTCTTCATGGCGATGAGAACACGTTTTCGTACATGCCGAGCAAATCGACGTCGCCGCGCGCCACAGCCAACACCCTACATCACTGATGGCGGCGAACAACAGACATCCGAGCTGCTGCTGGTAGATTGGATGGGTGGCAGGAGCGAGAGTTTTGGTGTCGGGCTTGTAGCCGGTTGCGGGAGCGCGGTAGGGTGTGGAGAGCGACGCAGATGTTAGGTTGAATTTCTTTGCGAGAGTCTCGACATACTTCGATGCGGAGAGATGGATGGCCTCTAGCGTATAGGAGATGTTGAGGCCGAGGAACTGGGTCACGATCTTGGAGGTAGTGCTATCGACGCGCTGCCCCAGATGCAGAGTTTTCTGCTATAACGGGAGCTTATGTGAAAGTGCCTGGCGTAGATAAAGCTACTCTAGCTCTATAGTTCTCTAAGGAGAGATAACCTTCAGAATTGTGTGTTTCATTTAGTAGCTTGAGAAGGCTCGGGCACACAAATTCATTAGAATCAATATTACAAATTATGGTACACAAGGCAAACACCAGTATTACCGCATTGAACCTCATTGAATACGGAGAGAACGTTCGCACGAGAACGTTTACATAACTACTCTCAGCTGCGCTTAGCCAAGTCAGCAATGGCAGGTGAAAATTACAGCACATGCTTAGTTGGTAATTTTTCCCACTCAATTTTACCCACTAAAAAGTAGTTGTTTTAACAGTTTCATACTGGTAGGTCTTTGCGCCAGTCTGACCGAGGTCTTGTTGGAACGCATTTTTTAGCTTCGGCTCTGCCAAAAGTTTTGCATGCAGAAGCGCATTATGCGCACACTTCGACAGACGACAACTCCTCTGCGAATGACCCCTGGTGCCGATTCGGCAGATGGTCTTGTACACTCGACTCTGCCAAGGTTGTCTCTACAAAGCCATCTGTCGTTGTAGAAGTCATATGCAGAAAATGCGCTCCTGTTCTGCCACTTCGACAGAACCGTTTTTTTTCTTCTTCTTCTTCTTCTTCTTCTTCTTCTTCTTCTTCTTCTTCTTCTTCTTCTTCTTCTTCTTCTTCTTCTTCTTCTTCTTCTTCTTCTTCTTCTTCTTCTTCTTCTTCTTCTTGGGTTGCGGAGCAACCTATTGCGATAGATCGGACGAGATTTTTCTTCAAGTTTTGTTTTTAAAAAAAGAAAAAAAAATCAGGAATGGGGGAAAACTCCAAATTCATTGAACCCTACATATTGTACTACATAGATTGATTTTTGCCTAATTATCTAGAATGGTTGTTGGAAGGATGTAAATCGTAGTGTAAAATAGAAAAAAAAAAAACACTACAATTAAGATCAAGAAACGAGGGTCGAAAAAAAAGTGTTAATGTTTTCCATGATTTCTCGTGGCGTATTTTTGTCGAGGACAAAAATAGGCGATCGCTTCCCCGGCTGAGTGGGGGA